TACAGCCAGCTCTTCCAATATAGCCAACAATCGCCGAAGAGTACCCGCAAAGTGCTCAGTCAGTGCAGTGCAGTGCAGTGCCTTGTTTGGTCCCTTGATGTTTGTGCCGGCTGCCTATGCCTGTGTTTGCAAGTTTGACCCTTCGACCCATGAGGAAGGCAATCATGCGACTCATACCATCATCATACCATCATCGGTCGATCATATTCGGTCAGGATGAGCGATAGAGAGCGACAAGAAGGCAGGTGCTTGGAAGTTGGTGAAACGTGCTCGCTCTCCACTCAACGCGCTGGAGTGACTCTCAGGGCGCGCGGTTGCCTGGGGGACATTGGAAGGAAGGCAGGATGGATAGAGCAGGGATTTGATTTGACTGGATTTGATTTGAATTGAGGGTTTGAATTGGATGGCTGGGTTAGGAAGCTAATAATAATTCATGATATAGGGAATAAGGAGTTTCTGTTTGCTTCTTTCGCCACTTTAATAATAATAGGCCAATGAATATGTGATTATGTGTGATTATGTGTGATTTAGTTGTGATTTATTTGAGTTAGGGAATAAAGTGAGCAGTCAGTCAGTGTGTTGAGAAGTGAGAGAGAGAGAGAGAGAGATGAGGGTGCAAGAGGATCGATGGGTACTTTACCCTGTACAGTAAAGTACAGTACAGCAGTAAAGTACAGTAAAGGTGATGAGATTTAGTGGTTTAGTGGTTTAGTGACAAACACGGTTAGCCCCGACGAACAGAACCCTTGGACGCCGCTTATGATACCCGATTCGTCGGAGTTCAGACTAGTCACTCTAGTGACTGCCCCTTTTGGGATTTCGGAGGGAGAAAAAGGTGATGAGAGGGAAGGGACGGGGTCTGTTTGTAGCGGAAGTACTAGGGGAGGATGCAGCTGTTCTGTCTGTGCTGTGATGAAGAGGTAGGGGATGGGACGGGGATAGAGAAGAAGAACAGGCGACGAGCAGGGCGAAAGAAAAAAGCAGGGCGTGGGATTAACTCGCAATCAGATTGCATTGCAAACAGACTGACTGACTGACTGACTGACTGCCAGACTGCCAGCTCACAGAGGCAACTTTTCTCGTATTGTACTGCACAAACAGCCCGTAACGCCCATAGAAGCCCAAGGCAGACAGATCTAGACCAGACCAGACAAGCCAGACACACAGACACCGAGAGAACAAATCATATAGAAGAAAGAAGAAACGCTCACGGTCACTCCTGCCAACTATAGCCAGAGTTCTAGGCACACCCCCCTTTTACCAAGAAGCTGTAACCAACCCACACCCACACCTAACACCCACACCCACACCAGCCTACCACTCCTCACACTCCCACACCTATCCACACCCACCATGCCCACATCCACCACATCCACCACATCCACACCCACCCACTCCACCCACTCCCACTCCCACACCCACTTACCACACACCCACACCTACACCCACTCCCACCAACCCTCCTGCACCCCTTCTTTACCATACCGCATCCCCGGAACCGACCGATCCCATTTCATTTGGCATTTAACATTGCTGCACGATACAAAGAGTGTGTAGGCTGGTACATCCGCAAACATAGTAAAGTACACACCGTATCTCGTATATCTGTAGAGACACGATGTATTCTTTTCATTTCATAGCATACTGCTGGTTATACAGTATAGTATAGTACACACAGATAGATTGAGTGCACATATTCATTTACTCTACTCTGCTCCGTTCTGTTCTGTTCTACTCTACCTGGCTAAACGGGCTGTACAGCGCTGCAAAGTAACTGACTCACACGACTCACTCACTCTACCTGCACCGCGCTCTGTCATATACCTCATCCATTTATGCTTCATCATCATATACCTCAACCATCTCACACTGAACCAACCAAACCAACCTAACTATAGAAACAAGAACCACACTACTCACCAAGGGGCTTCCCGGGGAGATCGGGAACGCGGGAAAATGGAAAACAGCAAAAATATGACACAAAAATAAACAAAAAACCGACAGAAAACAAAATCCAGAAACTGTGATGCAATCAAGCTAACTGTGAAACATTACCACGGCAGCCACAAACCAGGCACCACACAGGAACAGCACCACCAAAACACGAACGCCGCGGTGGTGCTCGGAACAAACCAAAAAAAGTGAGAGGCTATCGATGGGGGACAGGGGGGGAGGCGCCATCTTTGTGCAATGGGTGCACACAGGGGAGGAGAGGGCGATGGTGCCGCTGCTGTGCGATGTGTAACGCCCGCATAGTATGAGTGTGTGTCTGTGTACATTGCATACGAAGTTGCATACTGATGTTCTGTGTGCGGTATGCGTGCATAGTATGAGGATGCATACTGAGCGTACATACTGAGCATACACACACACATGCACATACTATGATGAGTATAATATGTAGAGTATAATATGTAGAGTATAAATATGTATGTATAGTGGTTGCATGTACCTCTAACGCGCACATACATATCTCACCTACCTTTTTCTTCGTCCTGTCGTATGTACATTACTACCGTAAATATGTACACTCCTACTACTACTACTTCTACTACTACTACCACCACTAAACTACATACATGCTTGGACCCATCCCCCATCTAATCCCGTACCCGTACCCATACCCATACCTCTCTAACTCTCCTTGTCCCTTCTTCCCTACTGTATTATTCCCCTTCCCCTTCTCCTTCTCCTTCTTCTCCTTCTTCTTCCCTTACCCATCTTACCCATCCCCTAACCCCCTGTCCCCCTGTCCATCCTCCCCTACCCCCTGCCCCCCTGCCCCTTCCCTTCCCACCCCCCCCTCCCCCCCCCTAACCCCCGTCACCCATACCCGTACTCATATCCACTCTCCCATACTCCATCACATCCCATACTACTAAATTATAAAGTACCACACTCTACAAACTAAACCAAAACTGTACCTTGTCCCATACCAACCCCATCCCCCATTCCCAACCCCTGGCAACAAAATCAAACTCTCACACTCATCCCAACTCATCTCTCCTCTACCTACTACCTACTCTCCCCTTTCATATATAACACACTGCCACCCCTACGCACACTAATCTCGTTTTTTTATTTTATTTTATTTTGCATTCCTCCCCGTGTGCTCTTTCCTCTACATCCATCCATCTATCTATCTATCTTTCGCTCTCTCTCTATCTCTCATCCTCAAAACTACAAGAAAGACAAAAACTGCAAGCCACGGTGCATATACACACACGTCAACATCCCAGCAACAATTATTTCCACCTCTAAACCCAACACACCGCACCCAAACACCTCCTCCAACGCACCACCCTCTCCCGCTGGGCAAACTAGGCATTCTCGATACACAAACAGCCCTTGTCACCACATACATCCGCCTCGCACATCAGAAAGAGCCAACAATCCACATATAACCCGCGCCGTCCGGCACCAAGCTTCCCACGAACACCAACCCGCCAGCGTCACCGCTCCCAAGTTAGCCACCATTACCACCCCTACCTCACCACCACCCCGGACGCTCCACAGAGGCCCGCTTGAAACAACATCAGAGCCCAACGAACCGCGCTGCTGCTGCTGAAGTGCCAGCACTCCCCGCGTCCTGATCCCCCCTCCCCCGGGAGCTCTCCTTTCGTCCAAGCCGCCCTCTCTTCCTTGTGAGTAGTTCCTGGATTTTTATTAATAATCTCATGCCCTACCCCTCTCGTTCCTTCCTGCACGGAAAAAGCACACAAAAGAAATACAGCTTCACACGAGAAATGCGAAGGAAAAAGAGACGCAGAAAGATACACACGCGATCACAAGCTTCAAAAGACCAAATAACTTACTTTTTTGTCTCTTACACAGACTACACGCACAAAACTCAACATGATCACCTCAGAGTTCCCCGACTTCAACATGGGCCGCGGCGCCTACGACACAACCGGCGTTGAGAAGCCCCCGAAGCCAAAGCCAAAATAAATACTTCACCCTCTCGACACCCACCACAACCCCCTCTCGAGGACGCCCGCGCGGGTCACAAGGAGGACGAGGAGGGGCATGGAACCCTTCTCTTCTGTTCCTGACGATCCCGCCGGGTGGCTGAACCACACCGATGAGCCGTGCCGGTGGCATGGGCTCGAAGATCGAATATACCGTCCGCTTTTATACTCTTAATAATTACAACCCCAGCGGAGGAGACTTAATAATACTGTCACATTATATCTGTACCACCAACACCACGACTGCAACGACACTACACCTACACCTACACAGGCGCGCACGCAGCCAGCCAAAAAGTCATACATCTATACTACACATCATCATCACCATCGTTTCTACCACACCGACACACCACATGGCGGCGCACCAATCGTTTTACACATCTTTATTTCATTTTCTTGTCAGTTTTCAAAGAAGCGCGAATTACACGAGAGAGAGGGGGAGAGGCACTCAAAATGCACAATCAACATCAAAAGTCGGGGAAATTTCACAGGCGTTTTTAAATTATAGACTGGGGTTACAATACTGGGAACAGGGCAGGGAATTTTTTGCGGGGGTTCAATATAGCGGTTGCGTTTTTCTCTATTTTAGCATGCATCCTTTTTTACATCGTTTTGGTTTACTTCTCTCGCGGGATTTTAGCAGCTTTGGTTTTTTTTTTCGCTTCTTGGTCTTCGGGGTTCGTTTTTTATATTTCTTGTTCGGTCACCAACGTCACCTTGGGGTCACTCGGGTGGGGGGGGGGGGGGGATGGGGAAGGGAGGGGGTTATCTGCTTTACCAAAATGTTATCATCGGGGCGGTCGGGTCGGTCGGTGGGGGCTTGGATAGGCAAAATAAACTGGGAGGATAGGATATGGGGTGTTGGCAGGAGGCAAATCGTTTTTTAAAGACTCCGTTTTTATCATTTTACTACTACTTTTAACTCATTTTTGGATAGATACCCGTCCGCGCTTTCTAGACAGAGCCCTTTTTTGTACGAGTTTTTATCTTTGGTCTTTTTTTGGTTTTGGTTTTTGAAAGAGACGTTTATTAGAACTGGGCATCGACAGCACCGAGACCGCAAGCCGCAAGGGAATGGGCAGAGGAGAAGGAGAGGGGGGATATATGGATAATTTTTAGAGAAAGGATATGGATAATTATTTTGATATACTTGATATACACCCCGTCATGCTCCCATCGTGACTCGACGCAACTCCCCCTGCTTCCGCAAATGTCTTGATGCGGATTCCTGCTTTGGCAGTGCATGAACTTCTTCTTCTCACCGTTCACATAATTTTCGACAATTCTCATGAGTTTTACAAGATTTTGTGAATCGTTTGTGCGCTGGGCGCCATGACCGGATTGGTTACTCGACCCCGTTGGGCATCTGTATTGGCTGTATGCGTTGGCTGCGGATGGGATTGGAGACATTTTGGGGGGGGGGGGATTTTATGACAGCAGTAGTGCAGTGCAGCGCATCGCAGTGCATCGTAGTGCATTACGGTGCATACTGTAGGAGCGCAGGTGTATGACGTGGTATGTTGTCGTATTTGCGCGCGGTATGTAGACACGGCAATGTTCATACCCGTCCGTTGGCTTCGTCATATTTGCTGTGGCCAGCGGTGGTGATGTGTGTGTGTTAAATGGCAGAACTACATGCAGGATGGAGATGTCTGGATTGCAGATTTGGGATTGCGAAGGGAAAGGTGCATGTTAACTATTTGCGGAAATGCAGATTGCAGATGTAGATTCTGGATTGCGCAGTTCATGTACAAGCCGTCGTTTTTTCTACAGTTGGGGAGATGATGGCAACCGACTGTAGAGTCTAGACTCTAGATGCTGGATGGATAGATGGATAGGTGGCGGTGTAAGTTATTTCCAAAACCGTAGATTGCTTATCATGCCTGGGCGGCCATCATTTACGTGTCGTGTCGTCAGATGGATAGCGACGTTCTGTGGATATTGTCTCGCAATAGTGCAGGTCTGCAGATTTTGGGACTCTGACTCTGACTCTGGATCACGAACATCTCATCTCATCTCATCGCGCATTTTGTGGATACAAAGAATCCATCCCCCATCCATCTCACCCACACCCACCTCTATTCTGTTACTACTGTAACTGCACCATACCTGTTCCTGAGCGGGTGGAAATCGCGATAACTCGCTTCACGCGGGAGACACCCAGCGGCGGACCCACCGCGCCTGTACGAAAGCGGAGTCGGCGAGCTGGACCGGGGGGGTGGGATGATGCACGGCGTGAGTCAGGCCGGTTTTTTACGCTGTGCCGGGGGTTGGGGGATTATGAGAAGATGGAGATGGGAAGGGGGAAAATCGGGATTTGGATTTGGAGGCTGAGACACGGAATCGCGATGCGACGGGACGGGTGGGAGGATGAATGGGATAGTTTCATGGGCAACAGGGCGGTAATCGATCACATTCATTTGCATTACATTTCTGTCATATTTTTGTTATGATGTGATGTGGCGCTGAGACGGCAAGAGAGGTGTCTCGGTCGATAGGCTCAGCGCGGATGGGGCCGCAGATGTGGTTGGGAGGCGATGTCTCATTCTCATCTGATCTTTATCATATTTTTTCCTATGTGTGTGTGTGTTTCGGTTCGGGATGTGGGCTGGATGGGAGGTGTACGCCGTGTGTCGGGGGAGAGGTGAGATGGAACGCGGAGTGGCGAAGTGGAGTGAAGGGTTGGATAGGGTCTGAGGTGGGAATGTTGTTGTTGTTAGCTGAGGTTGTTGATGGGGTGTATAAATAAGGTTGGAAGTGATGGATGTGATAGATGTGATGGAAGGTAAATTGTGAAAATGGGAGAAGGTGTTTTTGGCCACTCAGACATTCTTCATTCATGCTATCGTCGGGGAATCTTAAGCATGTCCCCCGACAGCTTACGGCGAGTGAATGGTGTCTCATCACTGTGGAATCTCCTCCTCTCCTCCTCTCCTGCTCTTCTTCAGGGTGATAATGAAAGGCGAGTACTTACACTAATCAATATTTATCCGTTTGAACCCTTTTCTGTGTTGAAATTTCGCCTCGAGCTCAAGCCTCAAGAGATACACACACAGCCAGTATTCAAAAGAAAAGAAGGAGAAGAATCAGCAAATCTCGAGATGCACAGCGTTATTTATTTGCCAGAGCAGCGGTGCCAAGATCTTAAGCGGGTCTCGCCGCCCTGTCAGATCGGGGAAATTGGGATCCGGGGTGGAGCTATTCGGCGTCCTAGTATGGACTAGTAAGATACCACGTGATAATATAAGAGACATTGCACGTGATGTGATTAGGTAATGCTGCTATTGTGAGTGGTGATGGTGGGGTACGACGACGTAGGCAGGCGGGACTGTGACAGGACGGAATAGCAGGAGCAGCTACAGCAACGTCAACACAACTCGCCATCCATTCACCTCACCTCACCTCACCAACACAACTCTCAGGACCTTACCTGAACCACCACCAACCACACTTACACACAAATCCACCCAACCTCGAATCCACCGCCACGACACCACCATGTCGATAATCCAATCCCACACCTCCGCCTCCCTCACCGACCACTGGCGCACAATCGACATCGACGCCCTCGACCCCGAATCCTCGCGCAACTTCCCCATCGCCACCCTCGCCGCGCCGCCGAGTGGACCGAGAGCGCTTGATGCACAGAGCGTGAGGGGACTTTTGAGGGGAGGGGATGCGGAGGGGGCGCTGAGGGGGGCGGTGGGGAGTGGGGTTGATAAGGTGCGTTTGCTTTGCTTTTTGGGGGATGGGGGAGTGGGAATTGGAGGGGGTTAGACGGGGGAAAGGAAGGACATCGGCTAATGGTGAATAGGATGCGCAACTCCAGATCGTCATTGAGGTCCTCCAGTCTATCAAGGCTGCGGATATGACGCCGCTTCTGCGCAGCGTGTATGCCTCTGAGGGTGGATCGGATGTGCTTGATTCGCTGATGAAGTACTTGTAAGTTCCTCCCCACTTCCTCCCAATTACCTCTGTTGTTGTGCTGTCTGCAGGTCCGTTTTGTGGAAATGGCAGAGGGACACTGGTAGGGACACAAGCTGATGCAATGCGAAATAGGTACGCAGGAATGGCAGCACCAACGCAGCAGCGACAGGGCGAGAGCAGCGGCGCGGCGATGAGCGTGCTTCTTAGCTGGCATGAGAAGGTCGTTGAGGTTGCGGGATTGGGGTGTGTGGGGAGGGTGATGACGGATCGGAGGACTACCTAGATGGGACGCGCTGCTTGGGCTGGGCGAGATATGTGCTCTAAGATTGGGACGAGACGGGACTTGGTGGGTGGGTTCTAAGGGCACTGTACATGCTGGGTGCTGAAGACGGGGGGGGTGCCTGAAGAGAAGGTACTAGGGAGAGATTCAAGCTGGGCGTCTATGGAGCAGGCATCGGAGAAGCGTAGACAAAACAGACAGACAGGATGCCCAAAATCCAACTACAAAAACATTGTTCATACAAAATATCCTACAGCCCCCCTCAATTTATACTCCCCCCTCCCAAAATATCCTTCATATTCACCTCTCCTGTCCCCCTCTCCAACGGCTTCATCTGATCCGGACTCTCCTTCCACCCAATAAAAAAGATCACCCTAAAAGTTGCCGGTATCCCCTCCTTCCCGGGCTCCCCATACAACTCCTTATAAATCCCACTCGCCGCCGCCAACACCTCCCGTCCGATCCCACCCATTTCCCTACCTAGCACCGCGTTACTCTCCCCCATCGCCTGCAGGTCTCTCATCAGCGCGAAGATATCGGGGAACTCGACGACGATATCTTCCACATCCACTGTCAGGAGTTTGAACCCCGCTTTCGTCAACAGCCCGCCGATGTCCCGCACATCCGCCAATGGCGAAGTATGGGGCGCTACACCCCCGCGCCGTTCTTGCGATGCGAGCTGTAACGCAGTGCGCATCTCGAACAACGTGTCCCCCCCAAACATAGCAGCTATAATCGGCGCATCTGGTTTCAACGCGCGATTCACATGTGCCAGTAGCGCGGGGAGGTCATTAACCCAGTGCAGCGCCAGAGAAGAGAGGACGGCATCGAAAGTATCCGCTTCGTATGGTAGGGACTCGAGGGTGGGGAGGACGGTGCGGGTTATGGCTAATGGCGAGGGGAGGGGGAGTGCGTCGTCGCGGTGGAGAAGCGTGGGCGAGGTCTCGGCGCAGGTTAAGTGCCCGATGCGCTCGCTGGCGGGGGCTTCGGTGGGGGAGAGGGGCGTGGTGAGGGCGCGGGAGAGGTTGCATGCGTTGGCGCCGAGGTCGAGGATGTGGGGGAAGTCGCGGTTGATGTCCTGTTGCGGGGAGTGTTAGCTTGGGCGTGTTCTTCTAGTTTATTCTTGGCTGGGGAGAGGGGGAAGGGGACGAACGAGCAGGCGGTCAGCGAGACGGGTAGCGATCTCGTCGCGGAGGTAGTCGACTTCGCGGCTCTGTTCTGGCTTGGAAGCTGCGCGCTCTTTCTGGAGGTGCTTGACGTGCGAGTTGAAGACTTGGAGGGTTGGTGCGCCGGGGGCTTGAATGGCGTAGGTGCGTGTGCGTGGTGTGAATGGGGAGGAGATTCGGGTACAGGGGAGGGAGGAGGAGATGGCCGGCCGGCGGCACCGGAGGAGGGGGCGGAGGGCGAGGGGTCTCATGCTCGGCGTTGTGGAGTGGTTTGCGTTGGTGGTGCTGACCGGAGATAGCTATGCGATCGATTGACTTTCTGACAGGGATGGGATGTTGGAGCGGAGGATAGTATGGCCGAGTTCCGGGAGGTTAGGGACGGGAAGGCCGCTTTTAAGGCGTTTTTTTAAGGCTGCTGCTTTTAAGCTCGGCTTGGCTTGGCATAGGGGATTAAAATAGAAGCGATCTTTGGAAGGGGAAGGAGTCTAGAAGGGGGAAATGGGGAGGGGGAGAGACAATGATGGTATTTGAAGATTTTAAGCCATTTTTGAATTTATACTGTGCTTATACTGTCGATATTCACTGTATTTATATGTGATTTGCGTCCGCTGTACTGTAAATACACGACTAATACCAAGCACATGCTCTTGAAGCTCTATTGCTCTGTTCACTTGAGAATAAGATCGAAGTCAAATAGCATTGCCCTAGAAATATGGGAATACGCCAATGCATGCAGCAGACCTGATAATATAACAAATACTCCTTCCAGCTCTCTAGTCCTCCCTATTGAAAGAAAACGTGACTTGTGGAGAGTACGTACCAGCCTCAGTGGTTAACGGTGTTCCCTGGAGAAAATCTAGGAGTAGCCGGGCCCACTATTTACTTATCGCTCAGGGAAGTCAGGGGTATTCAAGCTTATCCATTGGTCGGATGGCATCGGGTATCCCTGACCCGAAAATGTTTCAGACGCTACAACGGCAGGACTGGGAAAAGTACTTGGTTCGCTGTGGGCCGCTCCGCTAAATACGAAGTACCATCCCCTACTACCGCCCATCGTCCAGTACCTTGCCTTCATGCGCCCCTCCTACAATTGCGAAAAAGGCTTGGATGCCGTCGTCTTTGTCCAACAAAGCCAAACTACCAGCTTCAGCTCAGGAGGCGATTTTCTATTTTCTTTGCTCTTTCACTTCGCCTTCTTCATCCTCTCCCTTATTGCTACGACTTTCTCTATAGCTTCATTCTGCTTTGCCGCGTTCTCTCCACATCTCCCACCACCTACGTCAACACTCCACCAAATCCGCATACTTTGAAACCCACTAGCATTTGATATTCACTCGCTGAACCATTCCGGGGAAAATCGACTCCCAAGAAATATCATCGACACTACCCCAGGATCAACATTCTCTTCCGACTCTGCTTGCCACTTCCTACTTCTATCCCCAGCTCCATCTGCTACGTCAGACGGCTACAATCGTTTCAACCGTTGCACTTCCAGTGCTTTCCTTTTCAGACCAGGATACGAGCAACCCCTCACGGCCTGCATCCCAACTACGCAGCCCACGGCAAGGATCAGCAGCCTCGAGGGAAGAGCTGCTTCCTATAGTGACAACACCTGCATAATACATACTCCGGTCTATAGCCGGCTGTACCAACACCGAACACCACTGTTCGGCTCTACACACGCGACCAACACGGCTTCCTTCATCCCTCTGTGAGCTGGTCTCGCCATTCGATGTCCTACCAAGCTGGAGTTTCATCGGCTAGACAGGGCGGATTTATACCACTCTCGAATACTGCGTCGAAAGAGACGCTACGCAACAACGACGCCATGAACTTCGAAGATATCCCCATGACCAAGGTCAAATCCAATGCCAGTTCGGCTTGGAAGCAGCGTGATGGCCAGAGCATCTATGGCAACGACGGCGATCCATCTGGCGCACGACTTGAACCGCCCGGCCATGGTCACCACGGCCGTCGAAAGCTGAAGAAGATGAACTCGAGACAATCGAATGCCACAAACCAGCAGTCGGTGCTGACGGGCATGGGAAAGTTCTACGACAAGATCGTCAACTTCTCCATCGTTACCCGCTACCTCGTCTACGTCCTCCCCATCGCTGCCCTAATCGCAATCCCAATAGTCGCTGGCGCTACTGTCGCCCCGGATGCGAAGATCGGTGGAGTCCGCCTCCTCTGGTTCTTTGTCTGGATCGAGTGCGTCTGGCTCAGCATCTGGATCGCTAAGCTCTTCGCCAAGACCCTCCCATATATCTTCGTCTTCCTCTGCGGCGTCATCAGCCCCGGCACACGCAAATATGCCCTGATCCTGAAGAGACTCGAGATTCCCCTCTCCCTCGTCGGCTGGGCCGTCGCATCCATCGCCACGTTTGAGGCGCTCATCAAACGCCCTGATAACGCTCCCCAACACTGGACAGATGTCATGAAGAAGATTCTGGCCGCGGCCCTCATCGCATCCGGTATCTACCTCGTTGAGAAGCTGATTATCCAGCTCATCAGCATCAGCTATCATTCGCGCTCCTTTGATCTCCGTATCCAGGAGTCGAAGCACCAAACACATCTTCTCGGCCTTCTCTACGATGCATCCCGAGCCCTGTTTCCCCTCTACTGCCCCGAGTTTGCTGAGGAAGACTACCGCATCACTGGCAATGTCGACACCTTGCGCGCTGGTAAAAGGGCATCCGGCGCTGCGACTCCCATGAGGCTCATGGGCAATGTGAACCGCATCGGAGACAAGATCACCTCGGCATTTGGGAATGTTGCGTCTGAGATCACAGGAAAGAAAGTCTTCAATCCCAACTCTGCCCATTCCATCGTGCTGGAAGCCCTGGAGAAGAAGAAGTCCTCCGAGGCACTGGCCAAGCGTCTGTGGATGTCTTTTGTCATCGAAGGAAAGGAGGCACTGGGCATCGAGGACATCCGAGAAGTCCTCGGCCCTGCACACAAGGATGAGGCTGATGAGGCTTTTGCGTACATTGACGCTGATAACAATGGAGACATCAGTTTGGACGAGATGATTGTCAAGGTGGTGGCGATGAGCCGCGAGCGCAAGGCCATCGCCAACAGCATGCACGATATCGGGGATGCTATTTCCGTGCTCGACTCCGTCCTCGTCTCTGTCGCCTTTGTTATCATAACCTTCATCTTCGTCGCCTTCCTGAACGCCAGCTTCGTGACTACGCTCGCGACCGCCGGAACAACGCTCCTCTCGCTCTCCTTCGTCTTCGCGGTTACTTGCCAGGAATTCCTCGGTTCCTGCATCTTCCTCTTCATCAAGCACCCCTACGACGTCGGAGACCGCGTAGACATTAACAACGAACCCCTCATCGTCGAGCGCATCTCTCTCCTCTACACAGTCTTCAAGCGCATCGACTACATGAAGATGGTCCAAGCCCCCAACATCGTGCTAAACACCATGTGGATCGAGAACGTCACGCGCTCCAAGGCCATGAAAGAGCAAATCGAGCTCTCCATCTCCTTCGACACCAGCCTCGAAGACATCGAGCTCCTCCGCACCGAACTCGAAGCCTTCGTCCGCCACCCCGACAACAGCCGCGACTTCCAGGAGGACGTCATCCTCGAATGCACCGGCGTCGGCACCATGGACAAGCTCGTCCTCAAGGCCGAGATCCGCCACAAGTCCAACTGGGCAAACGAATCCATCCGCGCCTCGCGCCGCTCCAAGTTCATGTGCGCCCTCGTCCTTGCCGTTCGCAAGGTGCCCATCTACGGCCCCGGCGGCGGCGGAACCGCCCTCGGCGAGCCAGGAAACCCATCTTACTCGGTCGCCGTCACCGATGACGTCGCCGCCGAAGCTCGCGCCCAAGCTGCTGAGAAGAAGGAAGCCAAGCGCCTCGTCCCAACACCCAAGCCGGATGCAGGTAAATCGACGGAACCTGGTGCTACTGCTCCAGAATCCGGCGTCCTCGCAGGTACCCACGAAACTGCTGCTGCGGCAGCGATGAATGCGCGTCGCCCCACGGATACCGGGCTAGACACCCAGCAGAGGGGTAGAGGCGACACCCTCGATCGCGCACGTAGCAGCGACATTGAAGATATCCGCAACGACCTCCTCCACCGCGCCAGCACCCGCGGCCGCCGCCGCGCCGACATGACCGCCTCCCCTCTCCAAGTCGGCACCAGCGGCGCCAGCATCGGGTTAACCCCCAGCAGCCCGCTCCGCGACCGCGCAGATGAGGACGAGGAGGCGAAGGTGGGCGGGTACGGAGGGTATCCTGCGTCGCCGGGGTATCCGGTGCAGGCGCAGCAGCAGCAGGGACAGACGTATCCGACGCAGCAGCAGGGGCCGGGGGGGAGTTATGCGCAGTTTCCGGCTGGGGCGGCGGGCGGGCAGCAGTTGGGACAGCAGCCGGCGCCGCCGAGGAAGGATGGGAGGTTTTAAGGGGGAGAGGAGTAATGACGGGGAGGTTGGGTGAGAAGGGGGGGGGATTGGAATATATGCCTTGACGGCTGAATGTGGCGTTTTTTTTTGTTTTTATTAGAGCGTGGTTGGCATAGGATACCACCGCGCATTGATTGCATATGTGGATGGATATTTGTAAAAAGAATAGAAGGGAGATGAAGGGGGGGGGTTATAGATGAACGAATAGGATACAGAATTCAATTCTTTTTACTATTTATAATGAGATCCAAACATCAGGGGAAGGGGTGCGCCCTCGTCAAGGATATAGTGGAAGGCAGAGGTCAGATTGTCCACCTGTGTAAGCCCATCGAAGGTCGATATTGTTGGCAATGGAGCCATACTGTCGTCGAAACGTTTGATCAAAACGCACACGGGGATCACTACTCTTTTGCAGCACGGAGTTTAGGTATCGTAAAGCGGATAGCAGCGGCAACAGCAAGTGGCAACGGTAAGCAAGAAAGAACGGTGACAGCAGGCGGCAACGACAGCAGCAGCTAGAATGGTAACAGCAATATCGCTCCTTTCTTTGGGTCCAGTTCCACCCGGAATCCCATCCCATGACAACAGGCGGCAACGACAGCAGCAGCTAGAATGGTAACAGGAGGTGGCAACGACAAGAGGTAACAGCAATATCGCTCCTTTCTTCGGGTCCAGTTCCACCCGGAATCTCATCAAAGTGAAATATGGAATCAGTCCCGATTAGTCGCATGTTGCATAGTGAGTGCATTTGATGGCATGCGACGTGGGATTTTCTGCTGCTACTGCTGATGATGAACTTGGGAATGGGTTTGGGCTTATCTTGGAGATGACCACCGTCCTTTCACATTGTTGTCTCATGCATGTGGAGGGATTTTCGTGAACTCCGCGGCCTCTCCAAGAAATTCCCCTTGTCGAAGTGGGAGGTTATATTCTAGTTCCCAACGCCAACCATCTCGTACTAGGACCACTCTTTTATCGTCGCTTAAACGATCGCGGTAATCAAGGACATCGAGGTCTCAGAACAGACAGGGATTAGCACGGCGAGGAGGCAAGAGCTTGTCAGTATGAGATGTAGGGGGTTCAATTGTGTTCGACAGCATCTGAAGCTTCACAGTTACGAGAAGGCAGCAGTGACAGCAACAGCAACAGCGATAGCGACAGTAACCGGCGACGGCAAGAAGCATGCGACGGCAAGAAGCAAGCGAAGTAAAAGTTTATGCTTCCACTCGGAGGTGGGCACTATAGCGCTCAGGCACATCGATCCTTTCTTCCAGTAGTCTCAAGGTCCTTTGGATCTCATCCTCTGAAGGCATTGTGAACCCCCGTGTGCTTGGATTACTAGATACTGTCCAATCTCGTTCGGAACACAAGTAAATTCAGAAAGTCTAAACAGACGAAAGAGATAGAAGATATACAGAGAAGGTGGGAAGGTAGAAGGTGGGAAGGTAGGAGAGTAGAGGTGAGAGGTAGAAGGTATAGCAGTTCAAGAAGGTAAAGTCTAGGAAATAAAAGTGAAATTAAGCGTACAATTCGACTATAAACGATTATTATGTTAATTAAGTTAGACAGCGTCTAATTCTGCTTACCTCAATCTTCTTATATATAGTCTTTTTTGTTAAGTTTCGAGAAACACTTACTTCAGCATTAGACAGGTCTGTTTCTTCTCTTGCGTGCTTAGCGTTCTTCCCTTTCGCGACCTGAAGGTTGTTGACATAGAAAATATGTAGTATGGGTTAGACTTGGTCGAAACACACATCAACGACGGGACAGAGATCATCTCACACAAACTCGCTCGCACTGGTGCCGTCCTGTGTAAATTGCACACATTTGATTCAGAAGCACGCAAGAAGCAGAAGTCATGCCAAGAGGTTAGGTTTTAATCTTCTGCAATGATGCGGTTGTCCACAGTAAAAACGTGCCCTTCATCAACCTGTTGCGATTCCAGCTCTTCCCGAGGCAGTGAAAAAACCGCCAGGCCTCAGGCGCGCTTACAATGGCCATAGCATGTAGTAATAGTAAGTGAGAGTTGAGGACAGCAAGCGGCGATGACAACGACGGGTAGTAATAGCAGCAGCAACAGTGACAGCAGCGGCAGCGGCAGCAGTGACAGCGACAGCAACAGCGACAGTGACAGCAGCAGTGAGCGGCAACAGCAAGTAGTAACGTAACTGCAAGTTCATCTTGTTCCTACTCGCCCCTGTCCCCTCTCCCCGCGCCTCATCCTCCTTTCTCATTGTTGGAACTTAGGAGGTCAATCGAGATAACCTATTTATTATCCCTAGTTGAGCTCAGCTGATGCGGCTGGTGGATTTTATCTTCTTGGCCCTATTCCCGAGTATCCAACATAAGTTTCCAACATAACAATTATAGCCTTTAGTCACTGAGAGTTTTTATTTCCAATTATAGCTACTGAAATCCACCACCATCACCTCAGCTCGAGTTATCTAACAAACATGTTCCACCTCCCCCCCACCCCCCACCCTCTCCCCCAACTCCGTCCTCAAAACCCTCCCAAAAACTTCCTCCAACATCCCCCAACAAACCCTCGTCACCGCCCCATCAAACCGCCCCTTACTCATCTCATCCCTAATAAACGCATGCTGCGCCCCCGCCACCTCAAACCAACTAAACACCACCCCCGCCTCCCTCAACTTCAACCGAATCTTATCCCGTCCTGCCGGCGGCACATGCGTATCCAGCGTGCCATGAATACACACCAGTTCCCCCTTAATCTCCTTACACCTCGCCAGCGTATCATCCGGATTATTCGCACCCAGAGTCGCACTATGCAAATCCGTAGCAAAATACGCAACCGCCGCACTAATCCTAGGATCCAACGCACACCGGATCGCCAGGTGGCCACCGAGACACATACCCGTAGCCCCCAGCCGCCCGGTGCACGTCGGCAGGGCGAGAAGGGCGTCAATGGTGGCGGAGCTGTCGGCGTCGTAGGAGGCGAGGGTCTTCTTGGCTTTGAGGGCGTTGCCGAGGTCGGTGCCGGGGACGTCGTAGGCGAGGGGGTCCGAGGGGACGAAGTCGTGGTAGGAGGAGGGGGCGGCGACGATGTAGCCCGCGGAGGCGATGGAGCGGGCGAAGCGGGCGACGGGGCCGGTTACTTGGTAGATTTCGGAGAAGAGGGCTACGCCGGGGAATTTGCTGGGGAGGGGGGGTTAGTTTGGGGGTGGTTGGATCGGGGATGTGAAGGGATAGGGGTAAAAGGGCGTACGCGTTGGGGTAGCCGGGGATGGAAGGGTGGAAGAGGAAGATCCCTTGATGGATGTTAGTATGTGTTTAGAGCTGGTGGGGTGGGGTGATGGAGGGGTGAGGTACTCATTGATCCCTCCACGCCGTCTGCCTTGGTCGGCACATCTATATGGGACTCTACGATAAGCATTTTGGCAGTTGGAAAGTGAATTGAAGAGATTGTTGATGTTGAGAATATGGAGCTCTGACAGCTTCAATCGTGGAGGGGTTGATAGTGGGGGCGGGGCAGGTGGGGTGGATAAATATAATATCACGTGAGTATATGCAAGACGATGAATAACATATCACGTGATATAAACGAGTGAACATACACATGACGATGAAGAGCTGTGAACAGCGTTGGTGGGGTATTTTTGGGTTGGCAGTGGTTGGCAGGGCAAGTGACAACACACTTCTGCCAACTCAACGTCATATTTCTGTGCTGCAGTATACGATACTTGGGCAGTACTTGGGTGCATCAGGCTGCAACTGGGGAATATTTTTTTATCGCCAAGGAGGGCCGGGTGTATTCCTAATATCCCAATGGAAGAAGTGAGGTTATTATGAGCGAGTCCTGTATTCTGGTGGTATTCTGTACTACGGTGGTTACCTACATAGGCAAATATAGCAATCAAGAAGTGGCCGGCTTCATGTAACCAGTAGCTATAGTAACTATTCACCTCTTGAACTGCCAATAGCTACTTATTCTGCGCTTTATTCTGACGGTTTCCACGGTTACGTACTTGGCCAGCTCCACGTCGTTTGTTCGTCGTAATTCGTATAGTGGAGTGCGTAGTGGAGATATGGTGAGTCCTCGAAGCTGGAAGATATGCTAAGAAATGCTAAGAAATAGTAGGAATACTACCAAAATGCTAGGAAAAGGTAGCCTTGCGGGTCAAGCGGTGTGGTACATGTGTTTGTATGCCGTTACGTATGCACTAAACAAGTACCTTTAACCCCTCATAGAGCTTTATCGGCATAACAAACACTCACCGATCATCCATCAAAAATCGAACTGACAGGGCCCTGTCGCAAAATCCTAAAAATTATAGAACATTCTCCAGCTTTCAGGGATCATCCAGTTTAAACCACAATTAAATCCGTACAATTACCATAATTACTATTATTAAATCATTGAATTCTTTATTTCCCCTCCCGGCTATGACGTTGTTGCTGGGCCTCCCGCGAATTTTTGCGATGATCCTAGAATGTGCGTGGTGGTTCCAGCCACTAGCGCCATTGGCTTAGAAGTTGCTGGAACTGCCTGGAAACCACCGCCTGCTGCAAGCAGTGCATACAAAACCTCGAATCTTCCTCGCACACAAATTCTTTTCTTCCTTCTACTTCATACCATAACAAACCTCCCTCTTCTCTCACCACGATCACAATTGCTCTTCTACTTCAACATCAAGGTTGAAGATTCTTATACCAACACCACTTAATACATCTACACACACAGAGCAACGATGTCTGCGTACGTTGACCCCGCCAAACCTCACTCCCACCCCCATGACAATATACTAACTGGCCCCAGCATCGGTATCGATTTGGGTACCACCTACTCGTGCGTGGGTATCTTCAGAGATGACCGCATTGAGATCATTGCCAACGACCAGGGCAACCGCACAACCCCCTCGTTCGTTGCCTTCACTGACACCGAGCGTCTGATCGGTGATGCCGCCAAGAACCAAGTCGCCATGAACCCAACCAACACCGTCTTCGACGCCAAGCGTCTGATCGGTCGCAAGTTCGCCGACGCTGAGGTCCAGGCCGACATGAAGCACTTCCCCTTCAAGATCATCGACAAGGGCGGCAAGCCAGTTTGCCAGGTCGAGTTCAAGGGCGAGACCAAGGACTTCACACCCGAGGAGATCTCCTCCATGATCCTCGTCAAGATGCGCGAGACTGCTGAGGCCTACCTCGGCGGAACCGTCAACAACGCTGTTGTCACCGTCCCAGCTTACTTCAACGACTCCCAGCGTCAGGCTACCAAGGATGCCGGTCTCATTGCCGGACTCAACGTCCTCCGTATCATCAACGAGCCTACAGCCGCTGCCATTGCTTACGGTCTCGACAAGAAGGTCGAGGGTGAGCGCAACGTCCTGATCTTCGATCTTGGTGGTGGAACTTTCGATGTCTCTCTCCTCACCATCGAGGAGGGTATCTTCGAGGTCAAGTCCACTGCCGGTGACACTCACTTGGGTGGTGAGGATTTCGACAACCGTCTCGTTAACCACTTCGTCAACGAGTTCAAACGCAAGCACAAGAAGGACCTCTCTTCCAATGCTCGTGCCCTCCGTCGTCTCCGCACAGCATGCGAGCGTGCCAAGCGCACTCTTTCGTCCTCTGCCCAGACCTCCATCGAGATCGACTCTCTCTTCGAGGGTGTTGACTTCTACACCTCAATCACCCGTGCCCGCTTTGAGGAGCTGTGCCAGGATCTCTTCCGCTCCACTCTCCAGCCCGTCGACCGTGTCCTCTCAGACGCCAAGCTCGACAAGACCAAGGTTCACGAGATCGTCCTCGTCGGAGGTTCCACCCGTATCCCAAGAATCCAGAAGCTCATCACCGACTACTTCAACGGCAAGGAGCCCAACAAGTCCATCAACCCTGATGAGGCTGTCGCCTATGGTGCTGCCGTGCAGGCAGCAATTCTCTCTGGTGACACCTCGTCGAAGTCCACCAACGAGATCCTCCTTTTGGATGTCGCTCCTCTGTCTCTCGGTATTGAGACTGCCGGTGGTATCATGACCCCTCTCATCAACCGCAACACCACCATCCCAACCAAGAAGTCCGAGGTCTTCTCCACCTTCTCCGACAACCAGCCTGGTGTCCTGATCCAGGTCTTCGAGGGTGAGCGCAAGCGCACCAAGGACAACAACCTGATGGGCAAGTTCGAGCTCACCGGTATCCCACCCGCACCCCGTGGTGTTCCCCAAATCGAGGTCACCTTCGATCTCGATGCCAACGGAATCATGAACGTCTCCGCGCTCGAGAAGGGCACCGGAAAGAGCAACAAGATCGTCATCACCAACGACAAGGGCCGTCTTTCCCAGGAGGAGATCGAGCGCATGTTGGCCGAGGCCGAGAAGTACAAGGCTGAGGATGAGGCCGAGGCTGGACGCATCGGCGCCAAGAACGCTCTTGAGTCGTACGCCTACTCCCTCAAGAACACCCTCTCCGACGCCAAGGTCGACGAGAAGCTCGACGCCGAGGACAAGGCCAACCTCAAGGCCGAGATCGACAAGACCGTCTCCTGGTTGGACGAGTCCCAGCAGGCCACCAAGGAGGAGTACGAGGAGCACCAGAAGGAGCTCGAGGCCGTCGCCAACCCTATTATGATGAAATTCTACGGATCGGAAGGCGGTGCCCCAGGCGGCATGCCCGGTGCTGGTGGACCCGGTGGCTTCCCAGGAGGCGCCGGCGGCCCAGGTGCCACCCACGACGACGGCCCAACTGTCGAGGAGGTCGACTAAGCGCCAGGTTTCTTCGGAATGGTTCAATTATAAAGCTTTCGGTGTTCACTGGGGTCATCATGAATTGTAGACTTTTTATCTGCGGGTTTTTGCGTTTCCTTTACACTATGACGATACGATAAAAAGCTGGTGCAAAGACAAGAGATTTTTTTGTACTTGTGTATCTTTGGGCTGCCGATAGGGCGGTTTCCATAATGAAAGTCGTTAAATTTATATATGCTGTTCCTTGTGCACTTGTGATGTGAATGGTTATTGAAATGTTCGAACTCTTTATTCTATAAATGCTAGTAACTAACAACACTCGATCAACAACAGCCACCACCCCGTATGATTCTTGTTTATTTTCTCAGTGCAAGGGGGTTTTAAGGCACGGTTCCCAAACGGCGTGGGGGAATTTATAGACTAGCTAGTTGAGGCTTTTATAGGAGCTGTAAATAAAATATTATGAATATTTAAAACATTTCAAAAAGCTAACCTCCCTCTCATAGCCGTTTCATGCCCCAAAACATACTACCTACACAGTATTCATTATATACACGACATTGAAATAACCATGGGATTTTCTTGAACTAGAAAATATATAAAGGGGCTCTCATTGTAATACGCTGTCCGTACCTAACGTCGTTCACAGGTAGTCCCATAGATAACACGTGTATGGACGTATTTGCATTCGCTCAATTCATTTCTGTCAGAACATTGATACCATAATGATGGTGATATACGTTTTTTCTATCGAGTGGCACTAGCTGTTACTGTCGGTGCTTGCTGTCACTGTCGCTGCCTGCTGTCGCCACTACTTGCTGTCACTATCGCTGCTTGCTGTCGCTACTTACTGTACCTTGTTAGCGTCACTACGTGCTGTTGCTGCTTACTGTTGTCGTCGCCGTTGATGTTGCTGTCGCTGCTCCTCGCTGCTACCGTTGTGGCTTGCTATGTTACAACGGATTGTTGGAGGAGGACATGCTGGCACAAAAAATCTATCAAACTCCAGTCTCCCTCCACTGGTCTAAACAGCTTGATGGCACTACCACAATCGAGAACAAGGACTCTGTGGAGTTGGCTTTCGCTGTAATAATCACCATCATTCCGGGCAGAGATTTCCCAAGTGAAAACAACGGGCAAGTGAATTTCAAGCTATAAGGTTAACGTCCCGCCGAGGCTACTAATAAACGGCGTTTAGATTTAATTAATATCAGCCTATGCTATAATAGATGCATATATCATCAATAGAAAATATAGCATGTATTTGGTTTTACCAAAAAAGCATTTGTAGAGCGAGTTAAGGCACCTATCAGTGTTGCATCGTTGATCCTCATCTCCCGTACCGTAGCGCCGATACCTGTTGAGGGGTTCCCGTTTGGTGGCACTGCCGCGAGCCTTTCCCGACCCTCTCACCAAATCTTCAGCCTCGCACAGCATTTCTTCACTGTTCATACGCATCCTCCCGAATCACGACTTCTGCATTAATCTGCCACTGATTTAACATCGTCTCTTCAACTAGCAACTCGCTCAAGATGACCACATCCTAGATCTCGAGCGTTGATTGCGAGTTGAGTGACGAGGGATGCCGCGTCTCAACAATACTTCGCGGGCAGCGCGACCCTGGACAATCACAGATACATATGGTGAGGGCTGACATCCCCTTTGAACGGACTCATTGTGCTATGGGATATAGCTGACGAGAAATTATGTAGGATTTATAGCGACATATCTCTCGATTTCGCCCGGACATGGGCACCCGTCACGATTACTTCGTAGCCGATTGCCAACTTTTTCACGATCTTACAGGAATGCATCATATATACCCATACTTGCGAATCAATTACTCGACAACTCTCCCCAGGCGAAACTGCGAGATGGCATACCAGGCCGCTCTCTGCAGATAAGCCAGCGCGACTGCCTTCTCCCTCGCTCCCAGCGCCGTCACTTCCACAACTACTTCGTCACACACCTTCCCTCCAGTTCTCTGCACCCGGACTCCCGCTCTCCCCACCACAAACTCCCCCGCGCGGCCTCAATCCCACACACGGGTGCTAGCCCACCCCCAACAGCCGTCCCGCCCTTAGCTAGCTCGTCACGCGACCTCACGGTTGTACGCATCCCAATCCAGAGCGCGAAGCACCACTTCGGTGCGAAGACATCTCGTGGCACGCGCCCCTATAATGAGGACCGCTTCGAGGCTGGCACGATTGAGATTCCGGCCTTCGCGAACCGCGCACCGATCAGTTTGACCCGCAGCGATACCGGGTCTGGGCAAGGACCCGAGGCGACATCGGCGGACAGCGCGAGCGGGGACCCGCAGGTGTTTTACTTTGGGGTGTTTGATGGGCATGGCGGGTCGGAGTGCTCGGAGTTTTTGAAGCAGGATTTGCATCATTATGTGGAGGATGCGGCGAAGCAGTTTGGGCTGCAGTCGAGCTTGAAGAGGAGCCCGGATTCCATGGAGGATCCGGCGATGGGGATCGCGGTGCCCGAGGTGAAAGTTGCGACTGAGGGGGAGCTGTCGAAGGAGGGGAGGAAGAGCTTGAATGCCGTGGCTATGAAGACGAAGGAGGAGACGAAGCCAGCTGATACGAGGAGCCCCAAGGAACAGGTAGCGCAGCGTCCGCCGGATGCTGAGCGCCTCAAGTCTGAGGACCCGCTGAAGCAGCGGATGGATAAGCCGAAAGCTCTCGAGCTAGAGGCATCTCTGCTTGATCAGTGGAAGAGCACAGTTGGGGGATATTTCCGGCGATTCAAACCGGACTACTTCGATGTTAAGGTCAAGTACCAGCACCGGAACCATAAGACAACCAACGAGCCCGCCAGCCCGGAAACACCACCCTCTATCGAGACAGTGCTCATGTATGCATTCCTCCGCTGCGACCTTGACTTCGTCATTGCGCAGGCCTCCAAGCCTGACAAAGAATCAATCTCCGACCTCCCCCTCAATCATGACGAGATCCTCGGCCGCCCCTCCCAAGCCGCCCACAACATCGGTGGCCCAACCCGCTTCAAAGGCGGCTCAACTGCCTCTATTGCCATGGTCTCAACCCCAAGCCCAACACCCTTCTGGCACCCGAGCTCGCCCTCCACTCTCCTCGTCGCCCACGTCGGGGACACGCGCATTCTCCTCTGCGACACGGCGACAGGTCTTGCCATCCCCACGACAACTAACCACCACCCTAGCTCACCTATCGAGAGTACGCGCCTGCACCGCTACGCTGCGACATTTGTGACCGACTCCTTCGGCGAGGAGCGCATGTCTGGGCTGGCTAACACGCGCGCCTTTGGCGACATGAAGTCGAAACGCATCGGCGTCAGCGCCGAGCCAGAGATCGTGCGCGTTGCGCTCGCGCCGGCGCAGTACAGCTTCGTCGTGCTGGTGTCGGATGGGGTGTCTGGGACACTGACGGACCAGGAGATTGTGGATATAGTGAAAGAGGCGAAGACGCCGGAGCAGGGCGCGCAGGATGTCGTGACATTCGCAACCGAGACGACCAAGGACGGCGATAATGCGACGTGCCTTGTTGTGCGTCTTGGGGGGTGGGAGAGAAGGGCCGAGGGCGGCTCAGGGAGTTTGGGAACGAAGGAAATGAGGGATTTCAGGAGGCAGGAGGCCACCGATCCCAGGCGCAATAGGAGATAAGGGTAACATGGTTGTGATATAGGGGACGTGGCGTTTGCACACGATGATTTTTTGGAAACTGGCGGCATTATACACAACGCTTGATTTCTAGGTGAGCAGATACGCTTCAATATACATAAACCGTACACGACATATACTCTGTATTCGGCAGTGGTGATTTCCCATGCTCTCCCCAAAAGTGACGACACCCAATGTTATGCCATCTGGACAATCCAAAATATACACTCCGAACACCACATACTTATCATACAACCCGTATCTCACCCCTATACCGTCCCCCCATTCCTTCCCTCCCTCCTCTTCCTCTCCCTAACATTCCACTCCTCATCACTCTCGCCCGGCAACAACTCCTCCACCCCCTCCGAAAACGCCTCCCCCCACTCCATCTTCTTCTCCCTCCCCTCCCACACATCCTCGCTACTCGGCCCAACCTTATACTTCAACGCTTTCTTCCGATAATGCTCCTTAATCATATCCTCCCGCTGCCCCGCATAGCTCTTCGACCTCATGCAGAACCAGAAACTCTTCCAGTGGTCGCTGCATGACTGCATCCCGCCGTACCGGTACACGGCGTTGAATTGGCCGCCTAGCGATTGGCAGTAGAATGCTGCGTCGAAGGCGTCGCGGCAGGACATGGTCGTTGGGTATAGCGAGTCTTCGACGTTGAGCTCACCGTCGGGAGCTGTGGCGGGAGTGCCCTCCGTGGGGGCTCGGGGGGTGCGTCTGAATATGGGTTTTTTGGGCGCGGAGGCCTTATTCTCGGCATCGAACTCGGCCAGTGCGGCTTGTAGGTCTTGCTCGGCGAGCTGGGCGGGTGTGAGTGGTTGAGAGGGGGTGGTTGCGGGAGGCGGCGCTTGTTTTGTTGAGGTGGTTTGAGGTTGGGAAGTCGGCGCTGCAGCATCAGCTGGCGTGGCCGCGGAACTCCATAACCAGCCCATTGTTGCGGTTATAGGATGGATTGGTGAGAGGTTATTGCGGTTGATATTGGGATGAGGCTGAAGCTATCTCGGAAATTCTTGGGTTTTATGAGATATCACGTGATCCACGAGTATGAGCTTCAGCCTTGCGGTGGAGATATGACCTCATGTGGTAAATAGTACCTTGGGTAAACCTGTGCTGGCTTGCTGTAGACCCTGAATCCCACGAATCTCATATCAAAAGAGAAACATATTCTTTCTGTGGCTACCTGTTCTTTCGCGCCATGCGATCTGAGCTGTAAAGGCACATCAGATCGCGGCTGTCAGCAAGATGAGCGTCCCCGCCAGGCGCGCGGTGTTCAATCCCACCAGCATCCCGGAATTGAGACCGCGACGAGCCTATATCCAGCCGGCGAGGACGATACCAGGACGACCGCCTGCAGGGAGGCCGAAGAATTGGTCATGGAGGGTTGTGAGGAAGGAGAGTACGGAGGTGGGGGAGAATCACTCGGGGCACATTGAGGCGCATACCAACGAGGGCATTCTCTTCTTCGATAGTAAGCCCCAAACCCATCCCTGCGCCTATGATAACAGACTAACAGCCTCTAGGTATATTTCCGCTGCGATTTAACTTTGGGATGCACATGAGACTGCCATTTTTTAGGCATCGAAACTTACCAGAGCTCCTCGAGCGCTTCAACTCCGCGTCGCTCCAGGCATTGGATCCTATGGTTATGGTTAAGCGTGCTATACCAGCCAATGTACCCATAACAGTGACGGAGATCCTGCCCCGTATCAAAGACGGCGGCGCGTTCGTCAAGTTCTCACACCCGGATGGCGTCTCGTCGCAAGAAGTCGAGAGTCTCATCATCGGGTACTTGAAGGAGAAGTACGTCCGGCCGTGGTTCAACCCGATGCGGCCTATGAAGGCGAATCTCGTCCGCGGTGTACCCTGGCTGGAAGATCTCCACCGCTTCCCGAGCTCAAGAATCAAAGTTGAGTTCGCACCCACGAAGCCGGGAGGTGAGGCGGCAGAGCTATCGCAGGAGACCCTGTACAGTCTATTCCGTCGCTACGGGATGCTTGCCGAGATCTCCTCGCAGCCTGCAGACTCGAAGGTCCTGCCTAGGTTTGCGACCTTGGACTTTGCGCGTCTGCGCAATGCGGTCATGGCGAGGAACTGCATGCATGGGTTTAAAGTCTTGGAAGAGGCTGGAGGAGGGGTCGGCGGGACACAGCTGCGGTTGTCGTATGAGCAGAAGATTAAGGCACATATGATACGCGACTGGGTTGTGGGACACCCCAGGATTTTCATTCCCCTTATGGCGGCGCTCCTGGGTACGCTCGCTGTTGCCGTATTTGATCCGATCCGCACCTTCTTCATCAAAGCTCGTGTCACGCATTCTCTAAAGATCAGGGATTCGAGGATATACAAGTGGTTCAGCAGCCAAGCAAAGGACATGTTCACGTTTAAGAAGCGCAATGTTGAAGAGGCAGGGCTGGGCGCTATCTGGGATGACCGCAGGAAACTCATTGACCAGCTCCAGACTTGGATGATGGAGACCACGGATACATTCATTATTGTGCAGGGCCCGCGTGGTTCCGGAAAGAGGGAATTGGTGCTCGATCAGGCATTGAAGGACCGCAGGAACGTCCTACTCATCGACTGCAAGCCTATCCAGGAAGCTCGTGGCGATTCTGCGACGATCAACTCTATTGCACAACAAGTTGGCTATCGACCCGTGTTTTCTTGGATGAACAGCTTCAGCAGCTTGATCGATTTGGCTGCACAAGGCACAATCGGTGTGAAGTCTGGCTTCTCGGAGACGCTGGATACACAGCTGGGCAAGATCTTATCAAACACTGCTACGGCACTGAAGCAAATCGGCCTCGAAGACCGGGATAAGCACGACAAGGATGCCTCAATGACCGATGACGATTACCTCGAATCCCACCCAGAACGTAGACCAACAATTGTCATCGACAACTTCCTGCACAAGAACGAAGATTCATCGGTCGTCTACGACAAAATCGCTGAGTGGGCAGCAGGTCTAACCACGGCAAACATTGCGCATGTTATCTTCCTTACCAACAACATCTCATACTCCAAGTCCCTCGGCCGTGCCCTCCCAGACCGTGTCTTCCGCCAAATCGCCCTGGGAGACATCACCCCAGCTGCTGCAAAGCGCTTCGTTATCACTCACCTCGACAGCGAAGAAGATCCCACCGGCACGGACTCCAAGCTCTCCGAGGGCCAACGTCGCCGAGACCTTTCCGAGCTGGATGCCTGCATAGACGTCCTCGGCGGCCGACTAACAGACCTCGAATTCCTTGCCCGCAGACTTAAGACAGGACAATCGCCACAGAAAGCCGTGGAGGAGATCATCGAGCAGTCCGCTAGCGAAATCATGAAGATCTTCCTACTGGCCGCGCGTACCAACGACCGCGAAGACCGCACCTGGAGTCCCGAGCAGGCCTGGTTCCTGATCGAGCAGCTGGCCAAGGCCGAGGCGCTGCGCTACAACGAGGTGCTCCTCTCGAATACATTCGCGTCATCGCTGACGCCGTCGGCGAGCAATGGGGAGGCTGTCCTAAACGCGCTGGCCCAGGCGGAGCTCATCTCTATCAAGACTGCCAAGGGACGCCCTGAGAGCATCAGGCCGGGGAAACCAGTGTACCAAGCTGCATTTAAGATACTGACCGAGGACAAGGTGCTAAAGGCGCGGATGAACCTGGCGGTATTGACGGAGCTGTCGAAGATTGAGGGGAAGAGTATTGATAAGTGTGAGGCGGAGCTGGCGCTGATTGCGGGGATGCCGAGGGTACCGCCGCAGGTGGCGCCGAGGGTGGAATATCTGCTTGGGAAGGTGGAAGCGAGCCAGAGGAAGGTGGAGCAGTGGGATAGGGAGATGGGGGGGTTGAAGAGGGTGCTTATGCGGGAATACTAGAGTGGAGTTGGGTCGTGGGATGAGGGGAATGATAATCCCCACTCGGTTCTTTGAGATAAGTATTTGTATATATGTACAGTATAGTACAGGAGATATGTATTTGGGGACAAATTTAACATTGTGATTATACCCCTAGAAAGTGGGTTTACGAAGTGAACCGGGCAAAATGAGGAAGCCATAATAGGAACGCCCATCAAGGAGGGAACCCAACCCAGACTACTCTGTGCTTATTTTCGACGAAAGTGTATATTTTCTAGACATTGTCCAGATTGCGATAGAGAAAATGGATGACCCCATCGAATGTCTCCGATACGATGGCCGGGAAACACTAGACTGGTGAATAGCTATTTGGCGGTGAGAGGGCAGATGTGAGAAGGCAGATGTGAGAAGGCAGAGGTGAGAAGGCAGAGGTGAGGAGAAGACAGAGGTGAGGAGAAGTCAGAGGTGAGTAGAAGACAGAGGTGAGAAGAAGACGGAGGTGAGAAGTCACAGGAGAGAAAACTACGTGGGCGAGAATTCTGCACTGGCGAACTTGTTGGAGGTCACCCAAAGTTAGTTCTGCGAATATCCCGAGTGCGGCTGTGCTGTTGAACTTGAATATCAACTCTGTGGGACCACCAGCGCGAGAATTTATTCCGTAAGCTCGGCCACTCTCAGAGTCTCCCCCGTGAACATCGTACTCCTGCTACTATCGTTGATCGTAGACTTTTTCAGTTCTGCCGTTCAGGGGATGCACCAATAATACCCCAGATAGATATTAGCACCACTAACTAATATTGAAGCTTCCACTTATCATATCACAGAGCAAGGAATCAGATCCGTTCTCACTGTGAGCGAGACTTAGGATTGAGTTGTATCGTTTGATATCTCAGATTTAGTACCTAGGAAAGCAGTCCGTAGTCTTCGCGAGCAAAGACATGAATGACATAACTTACGAAGTACTTTTCATCTCCGCTTGCATAAAATTATATATGGTTTGAGCTGAACCAACTTGAAAGGGAAGGGGGCCCCAACCACAACCAGTATCATCGTTATGTCTCCTAATTGGGGTTTGGCATGAGTTGATTAACTCGGGGCGCCAGCACATTAGGCGTTGGGCCTAAATCTTTCAATTATTCGACGGTTTGGGCAGACCCCTACGTGGGCTTCCCGTATTCGGCAATATCCTCAAACAACCTCGCTGGCACCGACAACATATCGCCTGTTGCCAGCATTGACTACTCCGCTTATCGTCTAGATCTGGTTAGGTTAGGACTACCCGCCCGCCGTTATATTAGCCCGCACAGGAGTTACCTCCGCACAGACTGATAACTCGGCAATTTCCTCTCCTAATCCACACTGCGTCCTTTGTCTCATCCTATCAACACATGGCAACACATGGCAACACGCGGCCACAAATAGATCTTGGATCATCATTCCCTTGTTTAGATGAACTTGTCACTGTGGAAACGCCTTAGTACCCTTGGCACCTTCCCGAGGGACTTCTATGGGTTGATCTAGACCTGGGGGTTTGTTTGCGGATCATGGTTCTGCCGTCCTGGATCCCTTGCTGACGGTTTCATAGTCTATACATAGTAAAACGCCAAATTTTTGACTATTTTACTCTTCTCTCCTTCTCTCCTTCTCTCCTTCTCTTCTTTCTCTTAATTTCAATCTCCTCTGTCTTGTGTTTCCTGTGTTTCTTATTCCTTGCGATGGTAACGTAATAACTACTAATTCTAGTCTGGTGTCATCCTTTTTTCCAATCATACTTTAGACAAACTAGGACATTCACCTAAATCAAAATGGCCGATGACGCGCCAGCCCCACCAGGAGGAGCACCAGCTCAAGGGGAAGGAGGAGGAGGAGGCGGAGGCGGAGGCGGAGGAGGAGCACCAACTCAGGGAGGAGGAGAAGGAGGAGTAGGAGCACCAGCTCAAGGAGGAGGAGGAGGAGGAGGAGCCCAAATTAACTCACATGCCCATCTGCACGAGAGCGTCCGACAGATGAAGGAGAGCACACACACGCGCACTATAACCAAGGATGCCCTTGACGCTCATGTCAGTGGCATTGCCACCCCCATGAGTCGCCCACTTTCCCACCACAGTTTGGATTTAGATGATTACTTTGTGAGTTACCTTCTCTCGAGATACAGTCAAGGATATCTTGGACATGAGACAGCGCACCTACTAATACCACACGTAGGTTGGCCCACGCGATCTCGATGGACATTCGAAGCTTCCATATTTCATGCGTATGCATGGCAGTGTTTTGCCGCGAATGATTATACCTCTTTTCTGCATTGGAGCATGGGCCACCTTCATTACCTGCATCTGTGAATTTGTCACAAAGCGTACGACCCCCAAACGATACTTCCAGGTCAAGCTAACCTTTAAACCTTTGCAGTCGGCGTTGACACTGTCCTTCTCACTGTTCTCGGTTTCGTTGTCGGACTTTCTCTCTCTTTCCGAAGTTCGACAGCTTACGAACGGTATACTACTCACTATACTTACAATCCAAACAAAGCTGATAGTCGCCTAGTTATTCGGAAGGCCGCAAAACATGGTGTACACTCATGATCCAATGCCGAAACATCGCCCGCTATGTCTGGGTTCACGTCGAAGAGCGTGAAGGCGACCAGAGCAAGGAAGATCTCCTCCAAAAAATCACTGCGATGAACCTGGTCCTTGGTTTCGCCGTCGCAGTCAAGCATCGTCTTCGATTCGAACCGTACGCTCATTATGATGATATCGCAGGGCTCGTTTCCCACCTCGATACCTATGCCAAGGCTGCGTTCAAAGAAGAGCACTTGGAGAAGAAGAGAACGAGTACTTGGAAAGCGTTGGGTGAGAAGCTCGGCTTACCATTCGCGCTCTCAAACCCCAGAAAGGAAATGAAGCGATCGGATCGGCCTTTGGGTAATCTTCCTCTTGAAATTTTAGCCTACTTGAGCGCATACTTCGAGGAAGTTTCCACGAATGGTCAAATGAAGTCAGCCGTGATGGGGGGTCAATTCCGTAAGTAGCAATCTTCTTTACTCGCCATCGAATACTCACCCCCACAGTGACCGCCCTTGCTGGCATGACAGACACCGCCGGCAACGCGGAACGTGTCCTTACAACCCCCCTCCCTGTCGGATACAACATCCTGATCTCCCAAATCGTTCTCCTCTACATTTTTCTGCTCCCATTCCAGCTGTACGACAAGCTTAAATGGATCACAATCCCCGGCACCATTGCGGCCGCCTACATCATCCTCGGCATCGCGACGATTGGCGACGAGCTGGAGAATCCCTTCGGCAATGACGTCAATGACCTCCCACTCGACCAGTACTGTGCCGAGTTGGGCCGGGAGCTAGATACCCTGATGAGCACGCCATGTCCGAAGTTCACTGACCACGTCGATCTCAACAAGCATCTCAACCAGCCGCTATGGCCTTTGAGCGCGAGCAGGTATCAGGAGTGGAGGGAGAGGAGCGAGACGGATATTCGCAGTGCGTTGAGGACTAAAGTTGTTGCGGGAAAGGGATCTGTGGGTAGTGTGTCTATGTGAGCTTGTTGTCCTTGATCTTATTGATATGCCCTTCGTATTCTTTTAGCGGCCCAACTCCTGGTGAGTTCTCAAACATTTAGATAATGCGTACCACGATGCCTCACTAGCTTAACGTTCCTATTATATTGCAGGCTAGGTCCTCATTTAATGACATGCGCCTGCTGCTGCTGTTGGGGCTCTTCCATGGGTCGCTGGAAGTGTGGAGGGACCAGCGGATGTTGTTAGGGAGAGGTGGGAGTGGCGCAGGTCGCGAGTCATGCAGGTGCGGGACAGGAGCGGGCCGTCCGGAAGCGGAGCTGAAGAAGAGGTTTAAGGGTAAAATCAATGGTCGAGGGTTTGAGTGCTCGGTTTGCGCCTGCTGCCAGGAATTAGTTTCATATCATTGTAGCTGCCTACCCATTAACTCGCTGAACTGAAATAATGTCAAAATACAAGGTAAATGATGCATACCACAAGTTATATGGCGCTCGTGACAAGCTAAGCAAGCTTTTATAGTCTCCGTCCGTCTAGGTCTTAAAGTGTCCTTAATGTCTTAGTGTTCTTAATGTCTTAGCCCCCAACTTCAGTCTAGTCATGTCATCGTGTGAAGTACTCTCACTAACCATCGATTAGGTCAAAGAAGGAAGAGGTGAACGAAGGAAGGGAGGAAGAGGACAAGGAATGAAATGGAGAAAATAAGAGGGGAAGGAAAGAATAAGGAAAGGTAAGACAACGCCACAAACAAGTTACGAGCTGAGCTTCCTAGAGCTCAGCTGTGACTGAGTATGGTGGCTGCCAATAGGGAAAGCCACCAGCCAACCCGAGCCAACCGGGGGGATCTGGACAGTCCGTTAGAGAAATCCGGAATTTTTGGTGTGAAACACCACGGTATTCTCCAGGGAAAGTCCCGTTCATGATTGGACGCATTCCTGACGATAAGCTACGGCAGGACTGAATTACACAGGAAAGGTTGTGAAACATATGCAGAATGAGAACCCAACCAGAACTCCCGCATTACAAAAGCAACAACGTTTGCGATTAGTCGAGATCTAACATCCGTGGGGCTTCAAATTTTAGTAACTTATCAACTGCGGGGTAATCAAAACCTCGCTGCCGCAAGCCGAGCAGTGCTAGATGCACAGGAAGGTATAACGACGGGCGAGGAGGTGAAATAAGACAAAGACAACTTATCTTGCTATAAATTAAACCAGAATTTGCAAACCAACGATGGAGCTTTATGCCCCTTGTGAGGGAATGTCCTTAGGACTGTACCTCGAACGTTAAATAATCACACATGCACACAACCCAATCTATCAATTAGATTCCGCAGATCTCTCCACTCATTCTCACCAATGAAAACGGAAAGGCCAACTAGGTGGACAGCTTTTCCAGCGATTCTAGTATGTATTGCATTATTTTTCTAATCTGTGTCCATTTTGTACTTGCTGCCGCTGCAAGCAGACCAGATTAGCTTTTAAAGTATGTGTTACGGCCCAACCACCAAGTAGGCTCCTTGGTGGCTGGGTCAGACCATATATCGCCAGGGAGACAGGCAAATCAGACAGAAATGGTGTGCAGTACAGATCGGCCTTCAAGGAACCTCACTAAGAGGCGGGCAAATCAGATGGAAAATGGTGCGACACACATGTTTGGAGGCGCTATTTGTGGAGGTCATTTGATGCTCGATAGTTACCCACACTATCAGTACAAGTGACGAAGAGGAGGTGATACATAAAGCTATACTGATACCAGCCTCTTCTAACTCCTCGTCCGCTTCTTTTGATTTTGCTTTATTGCTCCCTATTACAACACGAAGCCGAGGCTACTAACAATGTTCTCTTTAGGTGTTTACCTCCAAGTCGCTGCGTCCCTAGCTGTGACCTTCGTCTCTTATTTTATTTGGACATATCTAACCTCCCCAAGTAAGCTTCAATTTGCTATGTTATTCCGTCAATACACTACCTACTCTCTTAGAGTGACTTGGTTATCTTTGGTTGTCGTCAGTGCCTTCCGAGGCTCCCCCAGAGCATTGCGTTTAAAAAAAATTCACTAACTTTCATCGAGTCAAAAACATACCTGGACCTTTCCTTGCAAAATGCACAAACTGGTGGCGATTTTTTAGCATATATAACAATCACTCGGTACAAACCCAACTCTCCCTCCACGATAAATACGGTTCCGCAGTGCAATTGGGTCCGAACCTTGTAAGTCTGAGCGACCCTAAGCTCCTTCGAACCCTTTACAATACCCGGGGCGATTATCTCAAGGTGAGAACCCTTGCTAACCAAATTTCAAATTCGGTGTCTTACAAATTAGAGCAAATTCTATGATGTCAACTCCTCCAAAGTTGGCCACGAAATCATATACAACGTCTTTTCAACAAGGAGCAATAAAGCACATGCTCACGCCATCAGACCTGTTCGGAAGCTCTTCAATCTCTCCTCCCTTCTAAAAACAGAACCACTTATTGACACAACCATTCAAACGCTCCTCTCCAAACTTGACTCCAACTTCGTTCTTGGCGAAAATTCCGGGAAGACGTGCAAGATGGACGACTGGCTTCCATTTTTCGCCTGGGATGTCATTGGCCGTTTGACATTTGGCGCGCCCATGGGCTACCTGGATAACGGTTGGGATTTCGATGGCTCTCAACGATCTGGAACAGAAACTTTCTTCTATTTCGCATGTGTTGGACAGATCCCTGAGCTGGACTACTTCCTGGCGAAGAACCCTGTGTGTCGCATTGGGCCACCCGCTTTCAATGGGCCGGCGATATTGTGTGCACAGCGAGTTGCTGAAAGACAGAAAGAGTTTGAAATTGAAGGAAAGGCCGATCATCAAGACATGCTTGAGGATTTCATGAGGATCAACAGAGAGGACCCCAGCATAATGGATGACAACGCTGTTGTAGGAGCACTCATTGTGAATGTTCTTGCCGGAGGAGATACAACTGGTATCCTACTCTGTGCTATCATCTATTACGTACTCAAGGACCAAGTTGTGTACAGGAAATTGATGGAAGAGCTCGATGCGGCGAATTTGACATGCCCTGTCAGCTATGCGTCTACTGAAAAGTTGCCTTACTTTGATGCTGTGGTTAAGGAAGCTGCTCGTATGCATCCCGGTGTCGGCTTGATACTTGAGCGGGTTGTCCCTGCCGAGGGCCTCACGCTCTCAGATGGCAGGGTTCTTTCTCCAGGGACTGTCGTCGGTATGAATGCATGGGTGATCCATCAAAACAAGGAAATCTTTGGCGACGACGCGGCGTCTTTTAACCCTGAACGCTGGCTGCGTGGTGAGGCAGAGACAGAGGAGGTTTGTGAATTTTCGTCATTGGTTTCCTGCTATCTCTTGAGAGCTGAGAATGCATTAAGAGTGCATCTATTGAAGACATCCTTACAGCTGTACACTCAATGCACTCCCGACATTCTCTCAGATCTTTAGAATTTTGTGAGAAAATTATGCTAATTACTTAACCAGGGGTATCAGGCTCGGCTTAGCATGATGAAGAGTCATGATTTGACGTTTGGAGCTGGCAAGCGGGTCTGTATGGGCAGAAGCGTGAGTATTCTGGAGACATATAAGGTTATGACTACCTTGTTTTTGACGTATGAGGTGAGTCGTAAATTACTTGAATACTCTAGTTTTAAGGATTGAATTAATGTTTATTAGATGAGTCTTGTGGATCCCAGCAAAGAATGGCACATTCTGTACTCTTGGTTTACGAAGCAGACTGGGATAGATGTGAAGCTTCGGAGAAGGAAAAGGATGGAGGTCTAGGTACGCTTTGTCAAATAGCACCACTACTCTAGTTAATACTGCCCTTCAATCGCTATGAATCTGCCTAGATTTGCCTTACTTATGTTGGCCTCTACCAGCTACGATAATCCCCTTTTGCCCTGTAGTCATAATAGTATGGCGTTTTTATATTGGTTAGGATTAGTATTTATTCTACAGTGTGATAGTAACAAACACATACGACCATAGACTCAAGAGAGAAGGGAACCCCGTCCGCTCTGCCATACACAAGCTTGCGTAGCACCTAGACAATGGTCTCAATTGTGCCAATGGGCATAGCGTATAATCTGAGCCCCTTGCCGCCGTAACGTCTATCACGGAGTCTTGAGCAAAAATTCGAGTCTCTTCCTACTATTTATACTGGAATCATCGCCAGGAATATTGAAACTTTCAGTAAGACCAACGAGTTGCAGTCGATTGGCTTTCGCAGTGGTGTTTGGAACCCAGCTGTAATGCACGATTGATTTTTTTTCTAGATAACTTATAGGAATAGCTTTGAGGCATGCCCTTTATTCATAACTACTTACACTCCTTCTGCTAACTTCCACAGGGCCCATATCATCTAGCAGCATGCGCTCTGCTCGTATGTGATCTTCTGCTGCGATGGCAGGGTATTCTGCGTGTACGGTCCATTGCTGTTGTTTCCAGTAGTGCGGATAGACAGGATCTGCTTCCGAATGAATAAACGCGAACGCCGGGAGGCAATTCACAATAATGGCTGCATAGCGATGATTAGGCAAGTGATTGCAACGGATACTAGAAATCCAATGAATGATTTGACGTACCAACAAGACCTTCAATAGACGCATTACATGTATAATGTCAGGTGGGTGGTTACACTATTAACTACCAGCGATCAACGCAAGAGCAGTCCGAGCCTACTGTTGTATAACGCAAGCATTGGAAATTTCTAACAGCAGATGTACTATATAGTGTCGAATGGCCACATGGTCTTTTAATTGCTAGATTTCCTTCAAAGCTCCGGATTGCGCCGCAATAACCCCGGTATGGTAAGCTTTTTTTATATCTGTCGGAATTACGCAGCATTGTCAGATTCTAACTGGCTGGGTAAAGAGCGTGGCTGAATCGAAAGATCAAATTAATTCAAATGTAGTCGTGAGAGACAGGCACTTTGCTTGACCTATACTCGACCTTGCCACATCAATAGCCCCCTGCTACGCTACGCTACGTCTCGTAGTCATTTTGAAAACAAGGTGTATTTGTATGACCAATTTCATGGAGTAGGGGAGGCCGTGCTGTGTGGGGATGAAACACCTTGTATGTACTATTACCCCAGCCCCTGTGATGATTATATACTTATCGACTATTTTAACTATAAGTTAATGCTAGCTATGTCATCTTATTTATAACATTTCACATAAGTTGGGAGCTGGATGTGGATTTCAATGAACTTCACGGAAGTGCCGATAATTTATCTCCTCCTAAACGAGGCATTTTTTGGTTCGCATAGCTCCAACCAACAGGGCTAATATATATATATATATTAGCCTGTATGCAAGCCAATTCCTTCGCGTACGTTGCCTTGCACTGTTTGACTGCTGTGTCTACTATGTGGTCTCCGCGGCCGTGAACTAGACCACTTGCGACCACCTTAACCTAAATAAGACCTTACGACATCTCCATACGCATTCCGTCGCTGTTGATTATTTAGAGTACCTCTCTGGAATACCTTGCTAGTGGGTTATTGCTTATTCTTAAGAGCTATACATACCCACATTTTTGACATTCGTGTTTGTTAATTGTGTCAATTGCTTTTCTTGTGTTAGATTTGCGCCATCGAAGTTATGAAGTGGACTATCACAGCGTCGCTGCTCCTGGCAGCCTTCAGCCAGACTGTTGTATCTTACCAGCTCGATGCTGCTTCATTTAGCAGATGTACAATAGCGGTATGTAAATCCGCTTCATTTCGTACATTATAGCCCCAGAGTATTAACAGATCAAATTAAATAGTGCCGAGAGTTAGATCTGCTCCTAAGGGGCCGAGTCGCGCTACCTCAGAGCTCAACATACCTGCTCGAAGATTTCCAACACTGGTCCGCCCAGCAGTCCAGCCAACGACCAGCCTGTCGTGTAACCCCCAAATCTGCACTAGACGTCTCTATAACCTTGAAAACACTCAAGGGTAACAAGTGCAACTTTGCAGTCAAGAGCGGTGGACATGCTTCATTCGCCGGTGCATCTAATATCGACGGCAGCGGTGTGGCTATCGACCTGAGAGATCTTAACAAGTTGATTGTCTCACCCGATAGGAAGCAAACGTCCGTGGGCGCAGGAATGGTCTGGTCTTCCGTTTACATGGAGTTAGATGCTCATAATCTAAGTACAGTCGGAGGAAGATCAGGCGGAATTGGTGTAGGGGGATTGACCCTTGGAGGTGGGATTTCATTCTTCTCTGGTCGATATGGATTTGCTTGTGATAATGTCAACAATTACCAAGTAAGATACATTAAATATCCCTCTTAGGAGTTTTGGCTGTGCGTCTAACAACTGTCGTACAGGTTGTTTTCGCTGATGGATCTATCAACGACGTTAATAAGAAGTCCCACCCAGATCTCTTTTTTGCCCTTCGAGGAGGTGGCAATAACTTTGGCATTGTCACTCGATTTGATCTCGCTTCCTTTGAGCAGGGCAAGATGTGGGGTGGCCAGCTTGCTTATACACCCGACAACATGCTCGCACTGAATACAGCACTCTATAATTTCAATATCAACCACTACAAGGACCCGTACGGTGCTGTTATCCTCGCCTACGTTTATATTCCAGCCCAAGATTTTTTCATTAGTAGCCTTGATCTCGAGTATGGCAAGCCCATTGCTGATGCGGCAATCCTGGCAAACTTCACGAAAATCCCCAGCATCCAGAGTTCGGCCCGTATCACCAACCTGACAGATCTTACGATTGAATTAAACGCAACACAACCATCTGGCTTAAGAGAGACATTTTGGACGTTCACGGTTCGTAATGATATTCAAATCATGACGGATATCCAAGCCCTGTTTGCATCTCAAGTTCCCGTTATTGCAAACGCAAGTGGCCTCCTACCAGCTTTAGTCTTCCAACCTATCTCCACGGCCATAACATCACATTTCACCGCAAACGGTGGTAACGCTCTCGGAATAACTGACAAGGATGGTCCTCTTATCCGTATGTTCTCCTATCTCCATTTGACGGCAATCTAACAACAGCTCTTTCAGTAATCAACATCTCCATCGCATGGGCAGATATTAAGGATGATAACCGCATCATGAAATTCGCAGCCAATTTTATCGACAGCGGCGTCGCGCTCGCAAAAAGCCGAAAGCTGGATCACAGATATATCTATCAGAACTACGCTGCTGCACAACAGGACGTTTTCCCTGGTTATGGTCCAACCAACAAGGCGCGACTGAACGCCATTCAAAAAAAATATGACCCAACGAACGTATTCACAAAGCTGCAGCCGGGGTACTTTAAGCTTCGTTAAATAATACATGAATATACAAGACGATAGAATACATAGAGCAGTTATGGTTTTGCTATATGGATCACAAGCTTCGGCGTGTGCTGGGACTAGGTTTGAACCACCAAACTTTAATTGGCGTTGCCCACCCACTGTGAAGGGTGATCTATTTAGTTTTGGCTCTACAATTTATACGATAATCACTAGCCAATACCCGTTTCAAGAGGTCTCAAGCGACGAGGTCATAGAACGTTATAAGGCCCACGAGTTTCCTGATGTGACAGGAATAATGTGTGGAGAGATAATCAGCCGGTGCTGGCGCTGCGAAGTTGATTCTGCTCAAGAGATATATGATTCTATTCAAGCAGAAATAGAGCTACCCTATAAGTCCTACTATTCAGAGATATCGCCAATACTGACGACTGCTTTCCCAAGTCGAAAAGTAGATATCTAATGATATGCCCAACCTAAGTCGCGCTTGCATTAAGAGTAGATTTGACTTTCCTCTCGGAGATGTGAGATGATAAGCAGAGACTTGTATATTCATCAGTTGTTACTGATGCCTATGTAGGGATAAGTAAGTCATCTCTCTGTTCATTAGGGTCATCTTTTTGCATACAGCAGGATAAAGGAGTCAAGGGCGCTCCTAGAGATCAATGGGAACATTTATCACATGGTTCTGGTATATAGAACTTCAATACCTGGATTGACCAACATTTATAAACTGCAGTGCTTTGTACAGCAACTACCTCGACCCGCTTATAAGATATACAAACTATACACACTCACTCACAGCATCTCATCTTCAAGCATACTCCCATCCTCCCACACCCCCCTAACCTTCCCTCCTCCTCCTCCCCTCCCCCCTCTCACCTCCTCACCCATCCCCTCCGTCCAAATCCCCCACACCCACCCCCCAGCCCTCTCTCCCAGCCTCAAAAGCGACCACCCAAACGCCGGGCCATTAATATCATAATCCCACCCCGACGCAAACTCCGGCTTTCCAATCCAAGCATACGCCACGCACTCCGCTATATACACCATCATTCCCACCAGCACCAGCAACCCAAACCACGTCAGCCTTACCCCTGACATCCGCGACCGGTCCCGGAACCACAGCCGCGGAAGCGGGATCGTGAGGTGGTACACGCTACTCTGCGACGCGCAGTGTGCGCATACCGCTGTCCCCCCTGGCACAGCGACAACCTCTTTAGCCACCGCAAGCGGCGCAGACGAGACAACTTGCTCCAGCTTCTCGATCCCCCGCTTCGCGTCCCTAATACTCTCAAGCCCATGACTAAGCCCCCTCTCCATCTTAACAAGCTGCTGCTCGCTAAGCCTCCTCTCTCGCGCACCAGCGCTGAGAGGCCGACCCTTTTCATCGCGGTCTGGGACCGGGACAGGTGGTTCAGTGGGGAGAGGAGAGGAGGAGAGCAGATCCGTGAGGTCGTCGAGAGTGCTATCTTCTATGGCGGCCTCGTGCTGGATGCGGAGGAGGTCTGCGGCTGCGGACGGTGGAGGGGCGGAGTTAGTGAGGCGTGGGCGGGGAGCGCGAGGGGCGGGTTTGAGGCGCTCGATTTGTGGGTTTGGAGCGGAGGGTTCGGAGGCGGGAGGGTTTCGTGAGCGGGAGGTGGAGCGAGAGGAGGTGGATGAGGAGCGGCGAGGGGGTGAGGGTGCTTTGGATTGGGGTTTGGCGGGTTGTATGGGTTGTGAGGGTTTGGTGTCGGGTTTTGGATTTGCTGTCTCTGGCGCGGGGGAAGGGGGTCGGATCCTGGAGTGCCGGACTGTGGGGGCAGGCGTCTCGATGAAGGCTCCCGTTACGACGGGTGTAGCCATAGTAAGGGGGTTCTGTTTCTGCCTCGGCCGCGGCGTCTCCTGTTCTGGTAGCTCATCCTCATCCGCAGGCGACGGTTCGCGCATAGAGTTCCTCTCCGACTTGTTATCCGGGATCTCAAAGAGGTCTTTCTCCGCCGCGATGCGCTCCTCGGGGTCAATATCGGATTTCGGCAGACTGCTTGAGCGGCTATGTCGCTTCTCCTCTGGTGCTTGGGAAATGGGTCGCCGTCGTCGCGTGTCCTCTGGCGGTTGGTTTTCTTTTTCTTCGGATTTTAAGGGTATGGGGCTTGGGTTGGGGCTGCTAATTGCGGCGAGACGGCGGAGGGTGTCGTAGGAGTCTTCGCGTTTGTGGCCATCTTGTGGCCTCTCCGTGTTCCGGAATATGGTGATGGGGGTCCCGGGGATTTGTTCGCCTTCTTCCTCGAGGATTGTCTTCTCGTGGAACTGGTCGGGGTCATCCTGGGTGGTCCTTGACGGCGATGCTCTGGATACCCCAGGTCGTTCCCGAGACCGCGATCTCCTGCCCCGTTGGATTTCTTTCGGCTCCGTCTTCGTGCCTTTGATCTCTCCAAACAAGCGCTCTGTTGCCGGGCCGGCCTCCAATGACTTCCCGCTTTCCACAATTTCAAACGACTCAGTCGACGTCCTCCTATATGCTGGATTCCTCACAACCGGCGACGGGATCCTCGTAGGCTCCCTCACAGCAGCTTTCTCCACCTGCGGCGACATCGACCTCTCCTCCGAAAGCCTCTCCCTTATCTCTTCCAACCGCGCCGTCGCAACCGCATGCCTACTCATCCCCTCCCTCTCCCTCGCCCTCACCTCATCAAGCTTCGTATTCCGTATCCTCAACTGCGGGCTCTCGCCCCCCATCAAAGACGTAGCCGTGAAATCCAAGTCCGCATCCCACACCGCTGATTTCTCAGGCTGTGCTGACGCAGGCCTGGACCGCGGCGGCGTCAACTGTTGCTGTCCAGCCTCCCCCTCCACAGTCGGCAGTGGTGTATCCGCGGCCGCCTCTGCCCAGTTAATCGTACCCCCCCCCTCCTTCTTCAGCGGCTCATCAACCTCCCCCGACGACTCCGGCGACACAATCCTCTGCATCCACTTATCCGATTTCCTCGCCCTCCTCCCCCACTGCGCCGGTATCCTCACCCCCGGCTCCTTCTCCTCCACCACCCCCTTCACCCCCCCGCCCACACTATTACCCCTCCTCGCAAAAATCCCCCCCCCCCCAACCAACCGTCTCGCCCTCTCCTCATCCCTCGCAAACCTCCCCATCTTCCTATCAAACTCATCTCCCTCATCCGTCCCCGTCAGACTCCCGCTCTCGCTCCCCGTCGTGCTCCCCCCTCCCACAGCCGGACTCCCCGCGCTCCGCCGCCAGAGATCCAGACCCCGCCCGTCATTATCCCTATCGCGTCGACTCTCCGCTGTGGCTCTGGGTATGGCAGTTGGACCACTCCGCCGCCTCGCAGCAGGACTCGGACTCCCCTCCCCCACACCATCTTCGAGGGCAGCGCGCTCCCATGCGCCTCGTAGCGTCGTCGCGGGCTCGGCATAGCTCTGGGCGCGCGCGTGTGTATTCGTGTTTGGATTCGTAGCTGTAGTCGTAGTCGTGGGCGCACCGGGCGCGCCAGCCGCCGTGGAAGCACCAGCAGTGCCGAGAGCAAAGTATTTCGGCTCGCGCTTCCTCGCCGCAAAAAGAGGTTGGTCTGCGCGCCGCAGCGGGGCATCGGGCCGCGTCGTCATTATCTATCTCGCGCCTCTGGTGGTGGGATTACGGGGGGCGCATGCTTTGTCGGGCGCGGTTGCTATGCCTGGGGGTGTTGGGCGAGACGCGCGCGGGGTGCTGGTGGGTCGAGGATGGGGTTTAAGAATAGGGTGAGGTAGATTGGTTGAGGTATTCGGAGGTCGTGGAGTAAGCAAGATGCGGCGGGAGCGAAATGCGGTGTGTGGTGAGGCGTTGTGGTGGGATAGGCGCGTGGGTGAAGCGGTGGGGATGTTTGTTTGGATTGGAGATCGAGGGTGTCCAAGCTCCCGTGCTGGCGATGCGGTCACCACGTCGCGGCCCACACGAGAACGGCGCATCGGTGAAGGACGTGCGCGATGATTTTCATACTGTAGCAATGATATACTTAAATCTGGATATAAGGGTGCTTGTTGGACTAGGTATGTAATAATAATAATAGAGTCTTTCTTATGGCGGTCTCATCTCTCAATAAAAAAAATATGCAGAACTCATCCTAATATCCAGGTTTGGCGGTGAAGCGGTAGAGTATAGTGTATGTAAATGATCTATTGCGTCTTTAAAGCTAAAAAGAACCAAAATATATCTCCCTCCATATTTGCGATCGCGAGCTTTGCTTCGTCTATTGTTTTGTTACTACCCCAAGCAAATGGGTGCCTCGCCCACCAGCACATCGCCGAGTCGGAAAGGCCAAAATGCTCCCTATAAAATGCCAACGAAAGCAACAAATTACTATGACTATCAATATATCCCCCTCAAGATGGCCCTCCCTTCCACGCATCTAATTCTTCTTCCCCGCCTCCGCCGTCGCCTTCTTCTCATCAAACCTCCAAATCCCTCCCGTCTTATCATCCTCCACCAGCAGCCCAATCTTCGGCGCCAGCGCCTCGAGCAACTTATCGCTCTCAACACGCGTGAAGTACCTCCGCGTCCACTCCGACCCATCCTCCTTCTCCTTCGCCCTCAGCGCGCGCTGCTCATTCTCAATCTTGCTCTTCTCCACACCCGTAGCGTCCATGTCGCCCGCTGCAATGCCAGCCGCAACCTTGGACCACGCGCGCCGCGACTCCATCGGGTCTTGCTGCTCGAGGGGGGCGATGGTGAGCGGGGTGGGCGCGGAGGCCTCGGCGTCGTAGTCGTCGATCACGGCGCCCTTCTTGCCCTCGCGGACTTCAAAGGTCTTGTTCCACTGCCCCGTGATGGTGTAGAGGATGGAGCTCTCCTTGCCGGTCGGGTAGAGCGTGGCGGTGAAGCTGTTCTTCTTGCCTGAGACCCAGCCGCGGCCGGAGTAGTCGATCTTGGCGGTGAAACCTGAGGAGCTGGTGATGTAGGTCTTGTCGTTGAGCTCGACGAAGGGGGCGCCGAAGACGAGGCCCTCGATGTGTAGGTTGGGTAGCGTGATTAGGTAGGTCTCGTCGAAGGCGGGGATGGAGTAGACGGCGTGCCCGATCTGCTTGACGTTGATGGTGCGTGCGAATGAGGCCTTTTGCGCATTGTAACCTTGGAGTTGGACGCCCTTTTCCTTGTTATAGATCGAGTAGGCCGTAACTGGCGGGTGATGGCTGCCAGCAGAGTTAGTCTTGCAACCCCCATTCCAGAAAGCGGACCACAGTATACCTGACTTGCTCCGACACGAGCTCCGTCGTGCCAGCGGCATCGACCCACTTCCCCAGAAACAGCTCTCCGAGGAACGGGTTGAGCGGCTTCTTCTCATTGCCGTACTTGTCGCTGCGGCTGGCGTATTGCTGCTTGAGGGTGCTGAGGAACCACTTGAGCACAAGCAGCGCGCGCTTCTGGGGGTCCTTCTCCGCGGCCGGTGCAACGAAGATGGAAGGGTGCTCAGCCCAGTAGGACGAGAACTCCGTGAGCGAGGTCGAGGAGAGGATGAACGGCGGTGCTGTCAGCGAGGACAGGTCGCCCGAGAAGTTCGCAATCGACTATGCAACCCGCCAAGTCAGCACGCGACCATGGGGATTGAGTGTGCGGGGTGAAATGAGGGGGACCGGGGGTTGGTGAGAGCATACCTTGATAAAAGAGGACCATCCTTGCTTTTGGCCCTGCGGGACTCCTCCTCCTTCAGATTCGGCCATGGCGATGCGCTGGTGAACTGCTTCGCTGCTCTGCGTTCTGTTCTATTCCCAAAGACTCGTCGTGGGGTGCGATCGGATCAGCTAATGCAAGTCGCAGTTCGTCGCACAACCGACAATCTCTCTCAGAATCACAAAAAAATAAAAAGCCCCCTTTCTTCTGTCACAGCAGCAACTCGTAACAAAGATGCAAAATATCCTGAACCGACGGTGTTTTGCTTGCAATGAATAGTGATGAGCTGTAAGAGTACAAAAAAAGGGTGTTGTCCAAGTTTAGGAGTAACGGAGTGGCTGTCGTTGTAGTCGTCGGGTCTGTCGTGTGCCATTTCCGGTAATAGCCCACTTTCCCACCTCCCACCACTCAAGACGTCATTTCGTGGTCTAACAATCCAGTGAGTCGTGCGCCGGTACCCCGCTACCGTTTTTCCGCCGCCCGCCATCGCGGCACCGGGCTGACTACGTAAATTCGGTCCGTAGTAGCATGACGCCGCGTAGAACAATTCTTTTGGTGAGGCTAAGGTTTGATTTGTTAGTGAATCCATGGGGAAAGAAGGGGCGATTGGGCTTGCGTGGCGTACGTGGCTTGTGGTTTAATGCATCTCCCCTTTGCCACTGCACCCCAGTGACCATTTCTGGAAATTTTACGAATACGAAAAAGGAAGCTGGGCTATCGGATATTGGAATGTCAGTAGCACAGCATAGTTCTAGACCCAGTAGCTACAGTAAGCAAAGCCTGGACATTTATTCACTCTCACATCACGGGTATAAACGTAAAAGAGTCTGAGAAGCATTGATACATTGCGCCCACTGGCCTGTTTCAATCTTTTAAATCTGCCACGCCATCATGCTCCATAATCACTCCCCCACAGCCACTTAAACACATACCCAAAAACCTTGTAAATCGACATTGCGACTAGACGCTTACAACTGGTTGCTGGTGTTGAAGTCCTTGAGGCCCTCAGTCAGGCGCGCGGACATGGTCTTCTCGCCCTCGCGAACCCAGACTACATTGTGTTAGTGACCTGCAACCTGCAACGTGTTTCTGGGAAGGGGAAATCATACCTCTTGGGTCGAAGTACTTCTTGTTTGGCTTATCCTCTCCGTCTGGGTTGCCGACCTGCTGCATGATGTAGTCCTTCTTGGCGAGGACGTAGTCTCTGATACCGGTGAGGTAAGCGTACTGGAGGTCAGTGTCGAGGTTGACCTTGACGACACCGTAGCTGATAGCGTCGGTGAACTCCTTCTTGGCGGATCCGGATCCACCGTGGAAGACGAGGAAGACGGGCTTGTCCTCCTTGGCTCCGATGGCGTCCTTGACGTACTTCTGGTGCTTGCCGAGGAGCTCTGGGTGGAGCTTGACGTTGCCGGGCTTGTAGACACCGTGGACGTTACCGAAGCCGGCGGCGATGGAGAAGAATGGGGAGATGGGGGAGAGGGCCTGGTAGATGGCAAGGATGTCCTCGGGCTGGGTGTACAGGGAGTTGTTGTCAACATCCTCGTTGTTGACTCCGTCCTCCTCACCACCGGTGATACCGATTTCCTGAAGTGACGTTAGAATCTCTGATGAAGAAAGCGGGCTCGGGATAACTCACCATCTCGAGCCACTGCTTCATTGGGGCAGCGCGCTTCAGGTACTCGGCGGTGGTCTTGATGTTGTAATCAACCTCCTCCTCGGAAAGATCGATCATGTGAGAAGAGAAAAGCGGCTCGCCCTTCTCCTTGAAGTAGGCCTCATCAGCATCGAGAAGACCATCCAACCACGGCAGGAGCTTCTTGGCGCAGTGATCGGTGTGCAGGATGACTGGGATACCGTATGCTGGGGCAACGGCGCGGATGTAGTGGGCACCAGCAATGCCACCGGCGATGGAGGCCTCCTGCTTGCCATTGGCAACGCCCTGTTGGAGTATCAGTCAGAATGGTTCATGCGAGATCTGATTCTGGGGTATTTTTACCTTTCCGGCGAAGTATGCGGCACCGCCCTGGGACATCTGGAGGATGATCGGGGCCTTCTGGTCGCGGGCAGCCTCGAGGGCGGCGACGACGGTGGAGGAGGAGGTGACGTTCTGTCTGTGTCAGCATGTTTGTCTCCAGATAACGGGAATAGCAGTGAATACTCACGATGGCGGGGATGGCAAAGTTGTGCTCCTGAGCGTAGTTGAAAAGCTTCAGGACATCATCGCCAACGATGACACCGGTCTTGCGGGTGAGGACGTCTTGGCAACCCATGTTTGCGAAATTGTTTGTTGTAAATTGAGGCTTTACGACTATAAAATCTTTGTAGGAGACAGAAAAAAGTCAGCTTCTTGAGAAAGTGTTGAGCTGCAGGAAACTTTTGTTTTGTATGATGGAGCAAGGGAGGGGGAGGAGGAGGTTGTGTGCAGACAACTTGTTGATTATTGCCCCGCTAATGGTGGGGGTTATGACGACCCTATCGCGCAGAGCGGGCGACAGTTCTGGTCATTGGCCATAGTCACCGAAACCGAAAGAGCGCGAAAGATAGATAGGGGACAAGACTCACTTTTACAGCTGTATAGGACGATATTTTTGAACGATAATTGAGGTTTTTTGTTAAACTATTAAGGATTATATTTCTAGAGCGCAGAATATGGGAGGGGAGGCACTGCATGAGGTAATGGCGGGGTTAGTGAAACTACTTGGGCAGTATTGGGGTGTACCAGCCAGTACCATAACCGTCTATGATGCTTCGTTTCCGTGTCATTCCGTCACAACGACCAATATCCGCGGCTTAGCTAGGAACGACGGCGGGGAAAGGCATAATTCGGGACATACAGTCCCGTAAGTGTGTAATCCGTACCTGCTGTGGGTGTCAGACATAGAATCAAGGGGTTCATGAGGCATTTACAACTATTTACAACTATTTTTACGGGGTATCTTTGACCATTTGATAGCTGTTGTGATCTGCCCTCTATCATCGTCTTGCTTTCGGCCCTTTCGATCTCTGCTCTGATACCCTTCAAGCCGGGCGGCGCATCGACGGCCGAAACCGGACCGCCGTATTGGTAGACACATAATATGGCTTGATGACTGGCACGACGGCATGGACTGGTCTCGTTGCCTATGGAATCACTGGGCCAAGATGGCCTCAGCCAATTTCAGGCCTAATGCCAAGCCGTTGAGAGCAAACATTTTATACGCTGACAATTCTATGACATACCCGCGGTCATTGGCGGATAAGACTAAGGAATATCAATCAATGTCTTTGATACCAGATATAAACTGCAGAATATAAATACCTCAACTGCTTGTGTCGATCATAGTGCTACAGATGTACTGCAGCGCTTGACCTACAGCAAATAAGAGATGTGGCATATCACGTAGGACACCAAAGTCGACAACACAGACAAACACGACAGGCGCATATTGGCGTTAGCACTTTCTAACTACTACGCGACTAACGAATATCCAATCCATCTCTCATAGAACCGTCCTACTTATCCCATTCTCCAAGCAACTATTTAACTGTGCTTCCTAGAGCCGGGTTGAACCTAGATTTCTATATAAGAGGCGGGATGGGCTACAAACGATACAAAATGTAGCCCGATGCCCCATAAAAACTACCTCTATACCGAACAAAAGTTTGTTGCTATTATTATAAGCTTGAAGATCTCATCGACCCATATCTCTAGAAAGCACTAGATACTATAATTAAGCTCAAGCTAGCACTTCTCACTTACCAAAAACCTAACTGTGTTGTGAATCACGACGTCCTCAGAGATGCCATGCTTGACACACCTTAGTGTCTCCCTAGCAGCTGAACGAGCGTGTTGGAGTCACCACTCACCTCATAAGCAAGCCAGACACTCAGTAGCTACATCATGCTTTCTCTAGTAGAACGAGGTTGAAAAAATGAGGTTGTTAACCTCGGTTTGAAAGACGCTGGTTATGATACTTGGCCGCTCTCGAGGCTGGCCGCTGCTCTCGAGGCTCTAGCGACCAGAAGACTTTAATTATCTTGCAAATGACCTAGGGTGGCATTGCATACTTCGCTAGGAAGGTATAGAGATCCATAACCAGGCCTTGTATGAGCCATTCTAGCTGGTGCTGGCTGCAGCAAGGCAGGCCAGGCTCATTCTCACTCAAAAATAGGTGCTATAGTTGGGCCTTCCTGCCCACTCCTAATAGAAAGGCACAGAATAGGGCACTACAAGGCGAAGTGCAGTGCCACGAATCTATTGGAACGCTAAACCTACTTACAACGGTTGCACAAATAACACCTGCGAAGATAGAGTTACAACATAATCCAAAAGCATGCTTGGGGACATCGCCACGCCTGTCACACAAGAAAGGGGTCCCGCCCAACGCCCCCAATCGCTGTCTGTAGTCATACTGCATTCCCAGGCCCCGCGCTATGCCACGTATCTGTATCCGTATCTGTACACCGTGCTCTCATATCTATACAAGTATAAAAACATCTCAACCCCTCTCCCAAATCTACTCCTGCGGCTTAACCGTGACCGTCCTGCGCACCGCCTGTTCCCCGCCCTTGATCTTGATATGCACCTCATACGTCCCCAAGTTCTTGACGCGACCCTTCTCCTCCGTCTCAACCGCGAACGTGATATCCTCCGGGCCCAACACAAGGCGGGAGCCCTCCTTATCTTCAGCCAGGATGGCGCGGATGCTGGACGCAATGTCGGATGTCGAGACGGATCCGAAGATACTCGCGTTTGGATCCAGCGGCGCTGGCTCTGGTTTGACTCCTATGGCCTCTTCGGATAGCACTGAGCTTGCTGGTAGCGATGGGGAGCGTTTCGGGGCTGGGGCAGCGGGCACGATGGCGGAGCGGTAGAAGTCGATGTTCTTCGGGATGAGCTTCGCGATCGTAGCTGCGGCTTGCTCGCCCTGGGTGCTGTTAGTCCACTGCACTCGCTCGGGCATGGATTGGAAAGTTAGAGGGAACTTACACTCAAGAGGTCGAGATCAACTGCTACCACCTTTTTTGCTGGCGCAGCCTTGACCTCTGGCTCAGCGGCCTTCAGACTCTCGGCGTCTACGATGCCAAAGGTGAAATCCCTCTCCAATATCACGTTCTCTAATCCAGCTTCCTTAATCTGAGCTTGCGTCATATACTCTGCCATCTTCCTCGGGAAAAACTGGTTCCGCATACGTCCCGGCGGTAGGGGAATGACGGATCCTGAGGACAAGTCCGTTAGCACTCGCCCTGTAATTGCCATCCATTGCAGCAGAATTGGAGCGCGACTCACCCTCCTTTCCATAGCGGGTAACATCCTTCAGCAGGCGGACATTGACAGTCGACACCTTCGCCAACCGCTTCTTCCCCCTGACCTGCTGCTTCGTCGACGCGAGCCACGCATCGCCGACGCTCGTCGTAACGCGGCGCATGCAGGACATGCATTGGGGAGCCCGTAAGGAGCCCACGAGGGAAGACATTGCACTTCCCGAGTCGACAGGCGGGTAATTGGCTGTCTGGTGGGGTTGCGGGCGCGGAGTGAGATGCGCGTTTGGATGGTAGCTGGCGGTCCTGTTTGAGCTTCAAATCTACGATTTTTGTGATCGTCCCAAGGTATCTCGAGAGTATGTACCCATGTACCTCTACAGGTACGTTGCGGAGATCTCCGCGTCCATGACAAGACAGACCCTTTCTCTCCATTATCGGCATAAAATTAGGACCCCGAGAAATTCATATATTCATATATTTTCAACTGTTTGTTTGTGAATATGAATGAGTATTTAACATACTTCTGATTCCGAAACGGTTATTAAACCTCATAATACAGTAGCATTCATCGTGGTGGCCGTTCCCGTATACTTTTTATACTAAAGTAAGCCGTTCCTCACTGGTCAATTACTTCTCTTTATCCCTTCCTTTCATAAAGTAATCCATCCATGCAAACGCACCCCCAACTACCCCCAATTACACGAACAACTTCTACCGCGACTTCTACCGGAGCCTCGTAACTAAATCCACAAAACCCGGCTGACCCGCATTTGCACAAAGTACCCCATAAACCGAGCCCTACGAGCCCTCCAGCACGAACTCACCCAAGCGCCGCGCCTCCGGAGCCAGACCAGGGCCGCCTCGGACTGCGATGGAAGCAGCTCAACAGCACCACAGCCCCCGCCCCTAAGCACCCCGTCTCTCAACCGGCGCCATGCCCGACAAGCAGCTGCAGATGGCGACGTACGCCGCGGGCGCCTCGCTCGCGGCTATAACGCTGGTCTACGTCTTCGCCCCTACCTTCTTCATCGACGGCGAGGCGGAGTCGTCGTCCAGCTCGCGGAAGCGCGGCGTTGTGGGTCTGCATAACCAGGCCAACGACTGCTTTATCAACTCGACGGTGCAGGCGCTCGCGGGTCTGGGAGACCTGAGGTTATACCTGATCCGCGAGACGCACCGGCGGGCGCTTGACGGGCCGGCGGTGTATAGGAATCTCGTTGAGGATCCGACGAGGAAGAATCTGGCGCCGTGGAAGATAGAGGGGCTGCAAGAGGGGCTGATTACGCAGGGATTGAAGGAGCTGCTGGATACGTTGAATGAGCGGCCTATATACAAGAAGACGGCCAGTGCGTCGGGGTTTGTGAAGTGCCTTGAGGGCGCTTTCAGGCAGCGGATAAGCAGGCAGCAGCAGGATGCACAGGAGTTCTTGCAGATTGTTGCAGAGAGACTCTGTGATGAGTATCATGCTGGGAGACGGGCGAGAAAGCGGGCAGCAGAACTGGGCACAATTATTGTGGACGACGAAACACTCCAAAAACGGTTGACTACCCTTACACTTGAAGCTGCAGACGAGGAGGCATCGACAGTGGAGATATTGGATTCCGGCAAACAGCCAGAAATGGAGAAGCCGGAAATTACAAATTCGGAAAGTGTGGAATCTCCAACAAAGACGGAGTCTCCAACAACAAAAGCGGAAGTGGCACCGTCAGCTGGTGAAGGAGAGCCGGAGGAGGAATCCTTCCCCCTTGAAGGCGGATACGAGTCACAAATCGAATGCCTCACATGCGGCTTCAAGCCGAAACCCAACATCTCGACCTTCTGCACCCTCACCCTGAATGTCCCCGAACTACCCTCCACAACCCTCTCATCCTGCTTCGACGGGATCTTCAAAGTCGAATACATCGACGACTTCAAGTGCGAAAAGTGCCGCCTAATCCACGCCGTCGAGACCCTCCAAAAAGACCTCCAAAAATGCAAAGACGAAACCCTCGCCACCGAAACCACCAACATGATCGCCCGCATCAACGAAGCCATCGCCACCGACCCCGAAAACCCCGCCACGGACCTCACCCTCCCCGACCCCCGACACGCCCCAAAGCGCAAAATCAAGCGCCACATCCGCATCACCTCCTTCCCCAAAGTCCTCGCCCTCCACCTCTCGCGCTCCATCTTCGAGGCGCGCGCCTCCACCAAAAACGCCGCAAAGGTCTCCTTCCCCGAGACCCTCCCCTTAGGCTCTATCATCGATCAGAGGCGCTATAAGCTCCTCGCCCTCGTGACTCACAAGGGCAGCCACAGTAGCGGACACTACGAGACTTTCCGTCGCCAGACCGTCGCTCCACCTTTTGCCAACCAAGGGCCATTTGGTCGCTCCGATGTATACAGTCGCACTGCCACGCCCGCGGCGTCCACGCCCCAACTCCGCGCTACCCCGATTCGACCACTCACGCCCGACGTCCCCTCGCCGCACCCAGCAGCTAGCTCAAGCTCCCTTACGGACTCGAATTCGCAGCCCACGACTGACCATCTCACGACTGCGTCGGCGGAGACGGTAGCGAGCAGCGAGCCGAGTTCGTCGTCGTCGGCGCCGTCGCCGAGGGGGAGGGAGAAGGATGGTGAGGGGTCGTCGTTGAGGTCTGCGACGAGGGCGTCGCTGAGTAAGTTGTCTAAGAACATCTCGTCGTCGATGTCGAGGCCGGGGACGAGGGATGGGACGCCGGCGGGGGGGAAGGAGAATGAGAAGGTGGGGAGGGTGCAGGCGAGGAGGCAGAGGAAGGCGGCGGAGAGGTGGTGGAGGATTAGTGATGAGAGGGTTAAGGAGAGTAAGACGTCTGAGGTGTTGGGGATGCAGAAGGAGGTGTATTTGTTGTTTTATGAGTTGATTAGGTGAGGTGGGTGTGGGGGTTGTGGAGTTGGGGGGGGGGGGATGGGGGGATTGTATATATGACAGGGGTTTGAGTCGGAGAGTTAGAAGTTAGATGGGCAGATGGGGAGGTTGAACGAAGGATAGATGCATCTTCAGACGGCGCACGCAGGGCGGCACACGGAGGTATAGGGAGCTAGAAGATGGCGGTTGGCGTTTATTCTATTCCGAACCGCTCGCTTAAACGACATTTATATACTACTATAGCCCCTTATAACATCCAAGTCTAATATCATCAAAAAGCTGAAGGCAACAATTGTGTTTCCCATGTTCCACTGGACAGCCTGATGCAGCAGTGGCCGTTTGCGTAGAGCGCACCGAGAAGGGGGTGCAGAGCCTTCACTAACAAAATATGTTGTAATAAACTTATTTACGTAGCAGCACCGACTATGAGAAGAGAAGGCGACATAGGAAGAAAGCTCATAAGTGAGTCGGCGAGTTGACATTCCACATCATTCCTTGGTCGCTAAGAACGGGCAAGACTCTGCGCCTCCTTCAGGAGCCACATTCGTCTTGCCTGGTATGCCGTTCGGTGCAATCTGTCGAAACATCTCGAGCGGATCAAAGAAAGTTTCTATACTCTGGATTTGCATCGATGCGTTGACACGGGCTATGGTGACACCCTGGATATCGATAGTTGCTCCATGTGCCGGGACCGTTACTTTTTCGCCCTTGCTATAATATTCGCATGTCAGAAGATGTCTCAAACAGGGATAGGAGATATCAATGGGTAAGAAACAACCCCCAGGGGAAATCGGAGTTCATACTCATTCAACGAAACATAATCCCTCTTCATCTCCCCCCAATGGCGCCACTTAAACGCCACCAGCGGCGGTCCACTATAAACCTCCAAAACCTCCCACGCAAACGCCGGCATCATGCGCTTGAACGTCTTATGCGAAGACGAGAAGTCGGCGTGTTCCGGGCTGTAGAACTCGTTCGGTGCGATGATGGCGTTGTAGGTGCCGACGCTTAGCATGTGCTCGGCGGACTGGGGCGGGCCGCCGTTGACGGAGAAGGTGTAGTTGGATTGGTCGATGGTGCGCCAGTCGGAGATGGAGGTCTTGAAGCTGGCTTCGATTTCCCAGTTTTTTACGAGGTTCTCGACGAGGAAGGGGAGGCTGCCTGGTTCGTGGGTTTTGGTTTTGGCTAGAGAGGTGTTAGTTGTGCATAGCTTTATGTTGGTCTGGGTGGAGAGTTATGATTGGGAGTAAATGATATATTCGAGAAAGCGGTTTCTAGACTTACTCTCGCCATATACCTTCCTGGTACCAGAGTAATCGGGAGGTTGACCATATCGCCAGTTGGCGCCAGTGTCGTTTAGAACCGCATTTGGATCCAAGAGATAGTCTGGCAACTCGGGGGCAGCAGCAGGAGGAGCTTCGACGTCGGTGGTAGCCATAGCTCAGTCTTGAGTGCAATGCTAAGAAATATTCACAAAAACGAATCACGAAGAAGAGGCAATGATAGACAAGAGAAATGGAGGAAAGAAGAGAAAACGAATGCCACCCACCCGAGAGCGAAATCAACCAACATCAGAAGCAACTGAAGCCCGCTCGGGGCTCCCGGATGATAAGCTGCAGCAGCAAGTAATCCCTGAACCATTACGCATCCTCATTTGAGGGTACTATCATTGGTCCCATATGTAAACGTGCCTCACCAGCTATATCCCGCACAATCATCCATAGTACAGAGCCAAGATCCTCACCGAGATTCTCAGGCTCAACTCAAGCTCAAGCAAGGGATTTTGCTCCACTCGATTCAATATTAGCACCTGAGCCTACCGATAGGTAAGAAGGACTGAGTGAAGGTTGTCCTGCTCGACACTGATCCCAGTGAGTCCTAAATCTATATGTGTATGCTCGGTTCGCCGACATATTCCCTAGTTTCTCAGCCCCCAACACAATCCATGCTCGGAGAATATACCTCGGACAATAACCCGCTATCCCTCCAGGATACCTCATCACCACACCTCACCACATCTACAAGACCCATCGACGACCTTCTCAAAGCACGCTCATCCCCTCAGGATCCCTACTATTCTTCCCTGACATACAATCTTACATGAAACACCACAGCAGCTCGCAGCGGCAGACATCGCTACTGCCTTGAATCTGGCGAATGTTCTGGATTCTCCATTGCCCTCCCCCCTGCCTTGCTCCACGGTGGTAATGAGAAGCGCTGGAGTGAGTGGCCCGCTAGATCTTCGTCGCTAAGGATGATCCTCTTAGGCGCATGGTTTAGGACGCTACTGCACGTGTTTTTCTGGCGCTACTGCAGGGCGAGCGTTCGTACGGCGATAAGCGGAGGGTTTGGAAATGTTATGCCTGGGCGCTTGACTGAGGGGTTGTTGTTGAAGCGTCGGGAAGGTTGTTGGGTTATGTTGATGGAGTTGGCAGTGCTTTATATGTAGTCTTCCCACTGACATTGCAAAGCTTGATTAGTTAATGGCTCATTCATGTGATGCCGACAGGCCTGATTTGTGTGTGTGATGCAAGTGAGGAACACAGCTTAGTTAGTTGACTTCCAGTACGACGTTACAAAGGACCGTATACCTCTTCAGCTTCATTGCATTGTGCAACATTACCGATAGCATTCAATTACAACAAACCATAGAAACTCTGCAGTCCTTTACAGTCACATACTCAGTCACAGTCACGTAGTAAAAAAGCCAAAAGTCAAAATCCATCAGATCACTCAGTCCATTGCTCATAACCCCCCAACTAAATATCTCAAGCCCCCCCTCACTCCCTCCCCGAAAAAAAGACAATTTCAACTCCCCCCAAAAACCACAGAAAAAAACTATGGTCTCTCCTCCCGCCATTGCCCCTGCCCTTTCCCCAAAAGCAAAACGCAGATTTTAACCGCCTCCCCCCCCCTTCCCTTCCCTTTCCCGGAATTCCCATCCAGCATCCAGCGAAACAAAATTACCGGTGTGCGCGAGACACAAATTTCGTTGTCTGAAGGACAAAGTGCGCGAGAGCAAAATAACATCCGAAGAAGAAGTCGAAAAAAACCGCAAAACCCGTGCGGGGAGGAGCAAAAAATCGAGGTCCCTAGAGGAGGGAGGGCGGGAGGAAGAGCGAGCGCGAAAGATTCCTTTTCAGGCGGGAGCCGAACCGGGCGGGACTGGAGCGAAGCAGAAGAGGTTCCAGCGCAAATTATCTTCAAAGAAAACAAATTCTCCTGATGGAGGGGAAGTTCCTTCTGGGAGCTGGCAATTTTGTGATGGACGTTGGTACTAGTAGTGACAAAATTACAGATTTTTGGATGGTTTGCTTCGTAGGCTGTGCGTCCTTTCTTGCGCGTGCGCGCGCGCGACGTTGGAAAACAAAAAGCGGAGGTGGTTTGGGGTACGTCCCCTTTATTGCGATAAAAACCCGGAACGATTGGGGAACAAAATAACTTCTTTGGAAAAAAGGCGGAAAACAGATAACATTGATGGTAATACACACAGATCTGGAGTGGGCCGTTGAAATCAGGAACACGGGTTCCAACGCAAATGTGTTGCGTTGGAAGCCGCGCCTGAAATATTCAATGGCTTCCTAGATCGAAGGTAGGTGATGGTCACCTAATGTTGGTAGTTGTTGCCCCAGCCGCCGCGCTGCTGCTGGTTGTTGCCGTAGTAGCTACCGGTGAAGCCTTGGCCCTGGCCGTAGCCGCCGGCGCCGCCGTACTGGCTGCTCTGGTGGCCCTGGCCTGCAGCCTGGTGAGCGCCGAGCCCACCAAGAGCACCGTACTGGCTGCCGGTCTGGGCGCCGTGAGCGGTGTGCTGCTGCTGCTGCAAGTGGCTAGGGTATCCACCGTAGCTCTGCTGCGAGGACTGCGGGGGTGGCAGAGTGGACTGGCCCGGTGCAGTGTTTGCTGCTGATCCGGGGCGAGCGGCCTGCGCGGTCGAAGGAGCGGGACCATTGGCCGACTTCGCATCTCCGAACGACTTCAGGTCGTCACCGGCGCCCTGCTGGCTGCCCTGTCCGTATTGCTGACCCTGGCCCTGGTAAGAGGAGTTTCTTCCGAAGGCATCAAAGCCGCCGCTGGCCCCGAGGGGCTGGGCTGCCTGGGACTGCTGGGAGCCACCACGGCCATATTCGTTAAGTCCACCTCCGACAGCGCTCTCACGGCCGTGAAGCGATGACTGGGAGAAGGCTCCGGCAGCGGCAGGAGACGACGCGTGGTCGTACGGGGCCTGAGGAGACATGCCATACTGGTGGGGCTGGTTGTACATGCCACCCTTTCCGCCGTATGGGCCAGCACCGTAGCTACCCTGACCGTAGCCTTGCTGGTAGTTGGTCATGTACGCAGCGTAATAGGGGCTGGAGTAGTATGGGTTTCCATATGGGTACTGAGCACCTGGCTGTCCCTGCGGCTGGGAAGGATGAGCTTGCTGAGCTTGAGTAGTCTGAGCAGCCTGCTGGGCCTGCGCGACTGGGTTGGGGGTAGTGTGTCCGCTGGTCTGGGCCTCACCAGCCGTGGCGTATCTGGACTGTGTCTGCTGGGCAGAAGATTGGGGGAAAGGAGAGGCGGTGTCGGTTGGCGGGGCGTTGTATCCGCTGAAAGCGCGCTGCTGAGTGGATGGACCTTCCTGGGTCTGGGCACTCTGCTGCTGGCCGTACTGCTGGCCGTAGTAGTTTTGATACGCATGGCGTTGCTGGTCTGCGGTGTAATATTGCGAGTATTCGCTAGGGGCAGATGAGAAGGCACCAGCCTGGGCCTGGGTTTGTGCCTGGTTTGGCTGGTTGGGGTAGCCTTCGTACTGGCTTGCAGTGGCTGGGGCTTGCTGGCTGAATGGGTCGTATGGCTTCTGGCCAAAGGCGGATTGCTCCTGTCCGGCAGGTTGCCCGTAACGGCCATACTGCGAGTATTGGCCACCTTGGGAGCCCTGCTGAGACATGGACTGTGCGCCCGGGAGGGGCGTAGGGAGACCAGGGGCGGCAACTGGGTGTGGTGCAGAAGGGAGGCCTTGGGGTTCCTTTGCGGTAGGAAGGCCCTCGGCGGCCGCCTGTGCGGGTGCCGGTGGCAGAGAAGCCCTTGGGTGGGCAATTGGGGAGTGCTGGGGAGGCTGGGCACGTGTCTCTGGCTCCTCACGGTCGCCATCAACATCTTCCTCGCCTGCACCTCCCAAGCTGAAAGCGCCGAATTGAACCGCAGCACGGTCAACCTCGCGGTTGCCTGGCATACGGACGGCTTCTTCCTGGTCGAGAACGCGACGCTGGTAGCTTGCAACGCGTGGTGCTGGGCCGGTAGCCTTCATAGCCGAAGCCGCAAAGCCACTGGTTGTCGGGCGTGCAGCAGCGGGTTGTCCCTGGAGACCCGAGTATGGTGTTCCGCTTGTGGCTCCGCTGCGAGGATCCCATGAGCTCGCAGCGGTACTCGCAACCGTTGCAGATGGTGGAGGTCCCGACTCGTCCAAGACTTGCTCCAAGTTTGTCTCCGTAAGTTCGTCCTTAGATGGTGGAAGTGCAGCATCCGCCTCGACCGGTGGAGCCTCAGCTGCTGGTGCCTCCTCTTGAACGGGCTCTTTGGCCGCAACCACTGGTTCGGCAACTTCAGCCTTGGGTGTTTCTTCGGTAGCTTCAGGCTCAACTGGTGCTTCGGGTGCAACCTTCTCTGGAACCCTGTGCAATTAAGTTAGCAGTATTCAATGTATAGCTGTGAGAATGTAGCCTACTTCTCTACTGGAGCCTTCTTCTCCACTGGCTTTGGCGCGGGCTCAGCCTTGAACATGCTCGCCCAGGTCCTCTTTCCATCTGGGACTACGGTCGATACAACGGCCTTCGCGATGTCAGCTGCACCTCCCCACGACTCCTCAGGCTTAGTATCGTCCGATGGAGCCTCCTTGGCCGAAGCGTTCCAGACAACCGACTGGTCAGTTGGAACCGAAAGAGGAGCGGCTGGCTTTGTGTGTGTGCCATTTGTCTGGACGGTTGCCGCACCGCGACCTCTACCACCACGAGCACGCTCGCTGCTGCCACGTCCACGGCCACCGCGTCCACTATCCGCGCCGCTTCGTGCAGCGCGTGGCGCATTACCGGAGTCGGTGTGGATGTTCGCGGCAGTCTCCTTGACCTTGGACTTCGATCGGTCCTTCTTGGCCTTCGATACCTCTCCCCACTGTGTGATCGTGCCTAACCAACACGTCAGCATCTCCATTCTCAACACCCTCAACCGCAGCACGAAAATATCATCGCCGGGTGAAGTCGATGGACACGAAGTCACTTACCATCAGTAATCCTCTCTACTGCAAGCTCTAGATCGCCTCCGGTCTCTTGCAGAGCAAACACGACATCCTCATCTGTCCAGTCTGGGTACATCTCCTTGATGGTGGCGACCTTGGTACCGTACTGCTTCTTCAACAGACCGACGCCTGCATCACCTTCAATTGATGGCGCTGATGCGCTGTCTAGCCTGTCGCCGTTGGTTGCGTGACTTCTTCCACCACGACCGGCGCCGCCTCTCGAGCCAAAACCGGCCCTGCCACCGCGCGAAGCGCCTCTGCCTCGCGGCGCAGATGGTCTTGATTGTACCTCAGACATGGTATGAGGTTGTGTGTATTGACAGGCAAAGTGGGTTTTTGGTTTACACTGTCAGGAAGGTTGTTGTATTTCGGGAGAAGGATGTTGGTTGTGGAATAAAGAGGTTACGAAGATGTTCGCGTAGGGGTTGATGAAAGAATCAGGTAAGTACTGTGTAAAGTTAGGTAGAGAGAGGGAAGAGCTAAGGATCCCGTCTCGCCTGAGCCTCAGAAACAGCCCCCAGCAGCCAGCAAACGTGATAGATCGCATGTGGAAAGAACGCGAAAAAACGCGAAAGGGAGAGGGGATTCGGGAATTAAAGAATAGCCAGTTTTGAAGGCAGAGTTTATATCTATATTACAGTATACTACATAGTAAAAGAAGTGAAAAATGAAGCCATGGAGAGTACCTCTTCATTCCACCGAGGGCGAATTTCTGTTACTGTGCACTGTTGTACTCTACATCACTGTACAGCCCAAAGTTGACGCTAAGCCTAAAAAGAACAAAGACTCAGAAATATTTCTGCTCTAAGCCTCCTGACGCACTAAATGCGGATGTAGCACGTGACTGGCCGAGGTGAGTGGCTGTTGTGGTCCAGTGAGGTAATGGGGATAATGGGGATAATGGGCATAGAATGTACGGATGCAGCTGCTTTCTCAGGGGTGCAATATATCTGGTGTTAGGTATAATCGACCTATCGGAATATTATCATCTATTACTGTGCCTTGCTGGGTCTCAGTTGTCAAAAAATGTAAGAACCTAAGGTTATCGGATTGTTACACCTCAGCTTCATTCTTCATATGCTTATATGGTGGTGGTAGTGGTGGTGGGTGGGTGGGGCGAAAGGATAATCCGGATACCACCACACTACTACTGTGTTACTCCGCTTCATACGCTTCACACGCTTCATAATCACCCTCTTCTGCCTGGACAATACTCGAATACTCCAACAACAGCCAGCCAATTCCTCCTCTCTCGAAGCGTTTATATACGGACACATTCCCAACAACCTCGACACTTTGGAAGCGAGGCAATAGAAAGACGTGGCAGCCTCAACTGGGTTGCTGGCTCCATCTACCCTCCGCGGGCATCGCCCAACTTGAACACACTCAACCCACTATACACCGCAATCCAGCATACACCACCAGCGTAAACCACAATGGTTCAACCCTCACCCCATCTCCTGCTACGCCCAGCAGCAACACTGGCGGCAAACTTCAACATCTTCGCACATCCCAAGGTCCCGTTGACCCCGAATGAATCGAGGCAACTGCTCAAGGCCCTGACGACTTCCTTTCGGAGACAACTCGCCGAAGAGCACGATACCAGAACACCGAATCCTGTACACACCGTCTCGGCATCAACAGCCACTACTACTCTGAGCTCGAGTTCTCCGAAGAAGCGCCCGGCACGGCCAAATGTGACTCCCACCGACCGCCATTTACATGATGTGCTCAGCAACCCTCTCCTCTCGTTCCAGCCACCCCCGACGCGGACGGGTCAGAGAGACCCTATGGACGTGTTTGAGGAAGCGTGCGCGAGAGGCTATATGAATATTGCCCGGGCAAGAGCCTGTCTACAGGGTAAAAGGACTTCATTTGGAGAATCGCTAGAAGAGCAGCGGGCAGGGATGAAGACCTCAGGTGCGGGGTCGAAGGTTTTACAGTGGCTATTGTCGACCGGGGCAGAGAGTGATGCCGCATGGCTACAGCCAAATAGTGGAGGATCTGCATGGAAGAAGGATATCATCATTGACTTCCTTGTTCTCGAGGGCAAGCATGAGGCCCTCTGGGAGCTTTTCGGGCGTTATGCGGCTCTAAATGCTCGCGACGGGCAGAATTTCTTGTTCCAACTAAGCAGGAGCATGGCCCAGAATATATCCGTGGATGCCGGGCTTGAAAGCGTGGTCAGAGCCAACGAGATTCTTATCAAAGCAGAAACACCATTGGCAGACCGCTTAAGAATATTGAACCCCGCTATTTCTCTCTTGGTCAACTATGTCAAGAACACCACGTCAGAGAATGTTCAACAATCACCAGCACTTTTCGATGCATTCATAGGCGCCGTCCAGACATTACCTAGCCGAAGCACAGTCTCAAAGTCAAATCTATTCATACCACAACTCTACCTACGCCATCCAACAAACCCCGACGCAAAGCCCGCCCTCCGCTACCTCGAGAGCCTCAACGAGGCCTCATCCGAGCACCTCCTCCAAGCGACGAAAGTGCTTTCAAACTCGTTAGCCTCACTAGCTCTCGACACAGCCAAGCAACTAATAGTAACCGAACAATTCGACGACGCTCGTTGGGTGCTGGGTTTTGTCCAGAAGACATACCCAGAGCTCAACCAAGGCGATTCCCAGCCTGAAACCAAACCCAGCCAGAGCGCGAAGGCAATGGAGTTACTGGGTTTCGTGAAGCAGAGGTACGCGGAGCTCAAGGTGCCGCCGGTGAAGATGAAGAAGGTTGGGAAGACCACGTCTGTGCAGGAGGAGGATGATATCGCGAGCGTGGAAGAGCTGGATAGATTGGACTTGGGCCTGTCGAGCTCATGAGAGCGAGCGTCCTCTTCAGATTTACGAAAGTCACGCTTATGTCCTGTTCCCAATTGCGCTCCATACCTACCTACCTACCATTTCCTCTAGAGATACCCCATACCATAACTTAGCCAATACAACCCCACAAATTCCAAGTACTACTGTACCTACTTACTATGCATGCTTTAGACCAACTTTCAAGATTCGGAATGGGGGAGGCTGATCCCCTTCCGCATCAGGAATCGCTGTGATCGTGCCTGGCACGGCAATCGGATCATACGCCCATCTACTGGCTATGGGCGACCACAACGAGCGCGTCAGACCCTGACGTCACACCCCGGACTCGCACCCTCTCTGTTCTCACAATCGCACACACACCCATCCCATCCCCAGCCCATCTCTTTCTCTCTACATAATATATTAAAAACGAACCACACACACACGGTCAATTGAACAACCTTGCATATCTCCAACCTACGATCATCGTTCAAAAATCAACATCAGTTCTCAAGAAAGCTCAGCTACCACCGCAGCTTTTATACCGTTATTCAATTGCTTCCATTGCGAATCGCTGGAGGTTTATAAGGGACTGTAATTACGTCATATCAATCCAAGATGTCGGAATCGAATCAGCAGCAGCAGGTCAGCAATGGGACTGAGAGTGAGTTTTCCTTTCTTTATGAGTGTTATTCTCCGTTTTATACTCGGTCTTGGCGTTTGAAGCGCGTGGATTGGGTGTTGGGAGGTCCAATTGACCCTTTTCTCTGGGCTCAATTGGGAGGGTGATCGTGTGAGCGCGGAGGTGGAGAGGAGTGGTGCTTGATGGGCATTATGCGATTGCCATTTCCCGCTGCATTCTCACCTTCTTGCTCATCCCCCCCCCCTTCCTCCTCTCCCAGCTACACACCCCATCCAGCATACCCCCTCCACCTTATCAAACTCCGAACCTCCAACTAACATCCCCCTCCCAAGACAACGTCCAATGGGCCGCCACCCACGTCGCCCCCGCCCCGGGCGTCGTAACCCAAGTCCGCTCCGAAACCACCACCTACGCCACGGACGGTGACCGCTTCGTCGAGCGGCACGAGGTCCTCGCCGGCCCCCTGGGCGAGGAAGAGGGCTACGTCGAGAAGCGGGAGGGACACCTGGGGGTCCCCAGCGGGGGGGTCGTGGAGGAGGTCGAAGAGGAGAGGGAGATTGGGTTGTTGGAGCCGGAGGGGAAGGGGGGTGATGGTATTGAGGAGGAGGGGGAGGAAGAGGAGGATGAGGGGGGGGAGAAGGAGATTGGTGCTGTTAATGGGGATGCGGGCGGTGTGGTGGGGGAGGAGGATCTTACTGCTGCTGCTGCTGGTATTATAGGGAAGGAGGATGAGGGGGAGGGAACGAAGGAGCCTGAGCCTTCTAAGGCCGGGACACCGGACCAAGGCGCTACTACCTCCACCAAAAAAGCCGAGGGCGGACCAGCTGCAGCTGCAGTTGCCGACGAAACCGATAAGAAAGCCGAGAAGAAAGCGGAAACCGGTCCAGCTGCGACAGTAGCTGCTGAGGCGGCGGGCGAGGCGCCGGTGCGCGCGGCAAGGGAGAAGGAGGCGGAGGTGACGTCGACTAGTCTCCCCTCTGGTGCTTCTGGGGGGGAGGTGGAGGAGGCCGGTGGTGGGGAGGATAGGAAGAGGAAGGCGGAGGGGGGGCATGGGGAGGGAGAGAAGAGGGGGAGGGGGAGGCCGGCGAAGGGGGAGGGGAATGCGGGGAAGGGGAAGGAGCCGGTGGAGGGGACGAGGAGGAGTACGAGGGCTAAGGGGAGGAGTGAGTAGGTTGGGGGAGTTGGAGGGTGGGATCGGGGGGTGAAATAAAAAGTCTGTTTGTGCCTTTTTTTTTGGTTGGTAATATTGGATGGATGGTTGGTTGGTTGGTTGGTTTAGTTGGCTGGTGGTGTTTGTATATATAGATGCAGGCATACACTGTGTATTGTAAATTGTACGACTTTTTTTTGGAGTGGTTTGGTCTGGTCTGGTCTGGTCTCTGTTTTCTGATTGAGGGTTGGTTTTGTTTGGTACGGTCTCTGTTTTCTGATTGAGGGGTGGTTGTGACAGTTGTCTGTGATTGATGTACTGTATGATAGATGTCTGTATGGTTGCTGTATTGTACGATTGCCATGCTGAGTGATTCCGTAGATGTGACTGTGGTCGGTTTGTATATGTAGGCGCATACAACACAGTCTATTATCTAGTAGTTAGGCCTGCGAGCTTCTACAAACTTACCTTCCTGTATAATACCAAAGCAAAGTCAGTATCCAACCCTCGTGACGCGTACTACACTCACAACTGAAACACACCTCAGCTACTCGTCACCGAACCAAACTTCTCAGTCAAACCCATATCCATCAGTACCGTACCGTACAATAAATACAACTCTCTCAAACCACCTCATCTCTCTATTCCACCTCCGCCTCCATCTCCGTCTCTAAACGCTGTCTGCAGAAGAGCTGTCTGCAAAAGAGCTATCTCCCCTCCAGCTCTGTAAACTTGCTTGGAGTCGAACTACCGGCCCGGAGCCGCCCGTGCCCAGCCGCCCAGCTTGCACTTAAACGCACTTACTGGTGTACTACTGTACTGTTCCACCTCCAACGCCACTTCAGCTTCAGCGCCACGCACCGCCACGCTGGGATCACAGGGCCTGGCCGCGTTGAGACTATTGGCGGGGGGTTTTTTTTTCTGATATATCGTGCGGGTGGTGGTAGTATTGTTTTGGCGTGGAAGACGGGAAGACGTACTGGAAGTGTCCGTGGAGTCGCCCGTGGAGGCGTCCGTAGAGGCGTCCGTGGAGGCGTCCGTGGAGGCAGAGTATGTATAACTTGCTCGCTGAAGGCGTCCTAGAAGCGTCCTCGTTGCTGGTTCTGGCTTGTTCCCTCTCCTCCTCGTCCATGCAAGAATGTGGGGTTGTGGGTGTGCTATGGAGTGGTTTGTGGGTGATATTGTGGGTTTTTGGTGGAGGGGGACGAGACCGGGCTGTGGATGCTGAGGGAGTTACTCGTCTCCTCCCTTCCCCTCCTCCACTGGGTTGAGCCAGCCGCGGGTGAGGAAATACTCAGCCAGTCTTATCCATAATAGGAGATAGATGCCCTGGGATGATGTTAGCAAAACTTTGTCTTTCTTTTGCTTGCTTGTTTGTTCTGTGTATACTCCCTGATTGACACAACACGTTCCATCATCTACAATACTGTAAAACACAGTAAGCAGTAAACCCATCAACCTTCCTCCATCCATCCAGTCCCTCCGAAATAACCATCTCGTATCCCTCCAGCTCCCTCCCCTCCAGCCACAGTAAACAGTAAATCCCCTCGCCGATCGCTGTACCTCCCCGCGGTGAATACCGTATAAACGGTACTTCTCTCGTGTCCACTACTCCTGGCTATAGTGGACCACCACTGACTGAACCACCAACCAACCAACCAACCAACGACGGCGGCCCCGATTCTAGAAGACTGTAACTGGCCGTGGGTGTGCCTGCCGTTCCTTTTTTCTAACAATAGATTCCGGCCAATGGCGATCGGGGACTTGAACCTTGCACTGGGACCACTGGACCACCCTATCATGCCTCTATCCCACCACCTAAAACTCTCTGCTGGGTAGAAAAAGTTTATATGGGAATGGGAATTTTTATGGGTGAGGAGTGGGTGAAAGTAAGGTGGGTGCATGGGGATGGGGATATGGATACGAATGTACCTTTCCTGCTATGGGAGGCTGGTGTGGTACCTTTGTGTTGTGGTACCCGTGTGGGTTTTCGCTCACGAGATGCTGGTGGATGGTCAATACTGCAACTCTTGTCCATGTATGTAACCTTAACACACTTTCCTGCTTTATTGCTTGTCCATATCCTCCCTCAACATCCCCATCCCCCCCCCCCATCTTCTTCAGGGAAATCCTGTCCTCTCGTTCATTTGTATTTTATACCACTCCGATCTCTACATATATTTCTCCTCCTCACCCTCACTGTCGCTTCCTCCAGCATCTTGATATACCCATCATCCCCCTCGATAGTGCATGAATCGACTCAGCAGTAGTGAGGTTTCAGATACGAGCTCCTGCTGCCACCACCCGCATCACCCGACGTCTACGAAAATTGTACTGTACGATACGATCGAAACGACATTTCTTTGTTCCCTTGAAACGCTGCGTCATTTGGCCTGCCATTGCCATTGCCATTATTCACGAACATACACACACATCTCGACTTTGCCTGCTGAAGGAAGGAAGGAAGAGAGATAGAAAGAGACGAAGGAAGCGTCAGCTTACAACTTTTGCTTTCAGGCAGAGTCAGCAACCACCGATATATCTAGGACTCGAACCACGACCTCCTGGCAAGGCCTCTGGCCACACATACACTCGTTACCATGCGCGCGGCGTTTGAGGAGCTTCTCCGGCGGACGGAGGGCTCAGACGAACTGCTCGAGCTCTTAAAAAAACCATTCAGCTCTAATGTAAGGAATCCCGAGACCTTACCCCAAAAATTTATAGCCCAGGTGCTAACCGCGGGCACAGTTCCAACAAAACTCGATATGGGCGTCCTTCGGCACCTCCATCGGCTTCACAGTCCTCATCGCAGTCGCCTTCTCCCTCCTGCGACCCTACAACTCCGTCGTCTACGCCCCGAAGCTTAAACATGCGGACGAAGCACATGCACCCCCGCCGATGGGGAAGGGCATTCTGGCATGGCTGGGGCCGGTGATAAAGACGCAGGAGCAGGATCTGATCAGACACATGGGCCTGGACGCTGCGGTCTTCCTGCGCTTCACCCGCATGTGCCGCAACATCTTCCTCAGTATATCCGTCATCGGCTGTGCGATCCTCATCCCGATCAACCTGCGCAAAGGCACTGGCTCATCCTTCGTCGAGAAGCTGACCCCGCTCAGTACGTCCGGTTCGCCCACCTGGGCACAAGTCGTGTGCGCCTACCTCTTCAACGTCGTTGTGTCAGGCTTCCTGTGGTTCAACTACCGAAAGATCGTGCAGCTGCGCAGGCAGTACTATGATAGCCCGGAGTACCTGGCAAGTCTGCACGCGCGGACGCTGATGATCAACGATATTCCGAAGGCGTATTGCACAGATGAGGGTATTGGCCGTCTTATTGACGAGGTGGTGCCGACGTCGTCGTTCTCGCGCACGGCTATTGCCCGTAACGTCAAGGACCTGCCCGATCTGATCGCACAGCACGAGGGCACCGTCCGAAAGCTCGAGAAGCACCTCGCCAAGTACCTGAAGAACCCGGATCAGCTTCCTCCTGCGCGACCAACCTGCGATCCCTCGAAGAAGGACCCCTCGTATGGCTCTTATGCTAAGGGCCAGAAGGTCGATGCGATTGAGTACCTCACGGGCCGCATCCGCGATCTAGAGATGGAGATCAAGGACGTGAGGCTAGGTGTTGATAAGAGGAACGCTATGCCTTATGGTTTTGCCAGTTACGAGGATATCGGAGAGGCCCACACCATTGCGTATGCAGCTCGCAAGAAGCATCCTCATGGCACCACGATTGTGCTTGCGCCCCGCCCTAATGACATTATTTGGCAGAACATGCACCTAGACCAGAAGACGAGACGTTGGAGACGCATTGTCAACAACTTGTGGGTTATCCTCTTGACTCTCCTGTGGATCGGGCCCAACGCCATGATATCCATCTTCCTCGTCAATTTGGCGAACCTGGGCCGCGTGTGGAAGAATTTCCAGGCCTCCCTGGATGCAAACACGACCATCTGGTCCATCGTACAGGGTGTAGCTTCCCCAGCTGTAACGTCGCTCATTTACCTCGTCCTACCCATCATTTTCCGCCGACTATCGATGCGTGCGGGTGACCGCACCAAGTCCGCCCGCGAGCGCAACGTCACGGGCAAGCTGTACACGTTCTTCGTGTTCAACAATCTGATCATCTTCTCGGCGTTCAGCACGGTGTGGACATTCGTCAGCGCTGTGGTTGAGAAGACGGGTAAAGGCCAGGACGCATGGAAGGTCATCCAGGAGGAGGACATTGCGCGTGTGCTGTTCACTTCGCTATGCAACATCTCGCCCTTCTGGGTGACCTGGTTGCTGCAGCGTAACCTCGGTGCCGCCATTGATCTCGCCCAGCTGTGGACGCTGTTCTGGAGCTCTTGCGTGCGCAAGTTCTCGAGCCCGACGCCCCGCGAGCTGATCGAGCTTACTGCACCACCAGCATTTGACTACGCCGCCTACTACAACTACTTCCTCTTCTACTCAACCGTCACACTCACCTTTGCGACGATTCAGCCCCTTGTCCTCCCAGCCGCCGCCCTCTACTTTACCATCGACGTCTACTTGAAGAAATACCTCCTCCTCTACATCTTCGTAACCAAAACCGAATCCGGCGGCATGTTCTGGCGCGTCCTCTTCAACCGCATGGTCTTCGCCTCCATCCTCGCCAACCTCGTCGTCTTCCTCGCCGTCTGGGTGCAGGGCGACCACACTCACATCCAAGCCTTCGCCGTGGTCCCCCTCCCCTTCCTCATGGTCGCCTTCAAGATCTACTGCAGGCGAGCCTTCGACAAGAAAACACACTACTACTCCCTCCGCGCCGTCGGCCGCCACGGCGACGACACCGCCGCCGCACCGCTCAAGAACTCGCGCAAGGCTGACCGCCTCGCTTCCCGCTTCGGTCACCCGGCGTTGTATAAACCACTCACCACACCTATGGTGCACGCGCGCGCACAGAGCATATTGGCATCCATATACAGCGGCCGCCTTTCCAACCCCAACAACCCCGACGCACACGACATCGCCTCCGTCAGCGGCTACAGCGACACCTTCACGCTATCCACCATGAAGTCCCCCCACGGCGGTGCTCCCGGTAAACTCCAACAAAACATCATCCCAGGCTTCGAAGTCGTGCCCGAATCCCAGCTCGACTTCTCGTTCTACAAGAACCGCGCTGAGTTCGGAGACGATCACGGCGCAGGGGATATCTTCACCAGGACACCCAATCCGTATGACCGCCCCGGGACCGCGGATACGTATCGCTACACCGCTTCCTCCCCAGGTAGCTCCCGCGCAGGTAGCCCCGCCCCGCCGATGCCGGGGGTGCCGAGTCAGTATTCTCGCACCCCCCTCGGTGGTGGGGATTCGCGGTATAACACCTCCAGTCCGCCGCCGCCGTTCTCAAGCCGCTACAACACCTCCTCCCCTCCCCCTCCCTTCTCAGCTGGGGGGGTGGGACGCGAGAGTCCGTATAGTGCACCCATCCACCCTGCTTTCCGCAATGATGACCGCAGACGGGGGAGCGGGAGTCAGACGCGGGAGAGTCTCGTTAGAGCGGCGGCGGGGATGCCGGATAGTGCGCCTGTGAGTGTTGCTGTTCCCCCTGGGTTCTTGGGGGGTGGGCCGCAGGGGTATGGAGGGTTGCCGCAGGAGGATGCGGATGTGGCGGATGGGAGGGGGGATTATGATTATTATCGGGGGAGGAGGGGTGCGCGGTGATTTGGGGGTTTTTGAGGTAGTGGTGAGGTGAGAGGGGGGAAGGGGTGATTTAATGGCTGTATATAGATAGCAAGCGTTGTTGGGATAGGAATTTTTTCAATGGAGTTTTGGGGATAGACTGACTGGCTGGCAGGCTGGCTGGATGAGAGATAGGAAGAACAGGATACAGATTTTTTGTAATGAGATGACTAGCAGTGATAGATAAACGTGCGGGTGTATATGTTTCGACCTTATGATTTAAACCTTTCTACTTCGTGTGTGTGTGTTTGTGTATTGGTGTTTTCTATGGACTTCTTTTGTGGGTTATGGGGTGTTTCGACAAGGAGGGGGGTTGTTATGGTGGCTGGGAGAGAGGGTTAGAGGGTGAGAGGGTGAGAGGGTGAGAGGGTGTTATATTGTGCTGTGGTTCTTTGGGATTCGATGGAGTCTTGCCTTTGTCGATGGACTCAGGTTCGCCTCAAGGTAGTGAGGGGTTTAACAACCAGCCTTGTGGAGTATTCTAGAATCGGAATCGAGTCTCAAACGACGCCCAGCTACAGTGCCTTTGTCTTCTATGGGGACCCGGTTCAATCCTCGACTCAACAGCCCCGACTCAATGGCTCTCATGGCACTTTTGGATTCTTTTGGCGTCTATACCGAGTCTTAGACTGGGAAATGTGTTAGGACCAGACTGCTATGAGCGGCGATGGTGTGGAAGCGCAAGACACCTGTAACGACCACAACGCCGACAGCACGGCTAGACTGAGAAACGAAAGCCGTGCAGATAGCACCCCTTGGCTTTGAAATGAATGACTACAATCAATCCCTCTGTTTAAAGAGGTATATTTGTCACCCCGACCGAGTTCACCATGGGGGTGTTAGGAGAACAAAGATGTCTCGCACAATAAAGGCGTCTCACATCCCCCCGACACCAGTTTTCCTGGCAACCGTCAACAGCAGGGGGACTCGTAGTGCGACACTCGATGGGCCATGGACAATGGGTTTTTGAGAACACGGGTGCTGTTCATGTCGCAGACTCGAGTTGATCAAAGAAAGCTATTCACGAATGTCTCCCGCACAGCGACCACCTCATGGACCAGAGCCCCTGAGCGGTCCTTAGGACTGTTCAGGACGGGAGTATAAATATCTCTCAATCCCCGGATTCTGTTTTCTTTTCTTCTCCAGAAATCTCAAGCCTCGAGATCCTGCAATACCAGTTACCACAACAGCACAATCAAAAGCACCCTCTACACACATGAGCAAACACATACACTTCCAACCACAACCACCACCACCACCACAACAACAACAACCATGCCTCCACCACCACCACCACCACCACCTCCTCCTCCCCCCATTCCTCCTCCCCCTCCCCCACCACCCCCCCATCCCCAAACCCCCAACCTCCTCCCCACCCGCTCAAACGCCCAACCCCTCTGCTCCGGCCCAAATCGCCACAACGGCGGCGGCAGCTGCGACATCACCTCCCACCCCACCATCCGCAGCGGCAAAATATGCGCTACACACCAGATAGTCTCCATGATATGCCCTGGGAACCCGAGGCATCTGATTACGCAGAGGTGTACGAGTTGTATGGGGAGGGAGAGGGCGGAGGAGAGGGCTGCGAGGGAGGCTGAGAGGGTGGCTAGGGCGGCGGCGGCGGCTGCTGAGAGGGCAGCTGGGGAGGCGGCTGAGGCTGGGAGAGCGGCGCAGACGGCGAGGAGATCGAGGTCGGTGACGCCGGAGGTGAGGCCGGTGAGGAGGAGGAGGGGAATGAATAGGAGAGGGGGGAGGGGGAGGAAGCTTTGAGTTGAGAGATGGCGGGAGAGAGATGGATGAGGGGAAGGGGCTGCTGGATGGCTCTGTTTTCCTACCACTGTTGAAGATCCACTGTTGGGTCCTAGGGTATTGAGACATGGGAGAAGGAAGGCGAAGGATATAGAGTGAGGGGATCAGCAACGCCTGAGTGGCCTTGTCTATCCTCGGGGTTTCTTTCTTTTTTTTTTGGGGGGGGGGGGGATTTTTAGAAATATTTATTGGGATATTATTGGAGTTAGGATAGAAGGGGGGGGGGGAATGCAGTTTATCGCAACCAAATCTCACAGAATTACGATGCCGGCTTAACTCCGAGTTACTCCTACTGGTCATGATATATGGAGACCTAGTCGCAACGTGGCTTATGGGGCGTGAAATGTAGTCCGGGACATCGAGTATCAACTACTCCCGTAAACCCTATTTCAGATTTAAAATCAATCTCCCTCTTCGCGGAAGAGAACAACTTGACCTCAGCACTAATGTTAGTGGGACCCCACTCAATAATTTGACAGACTATTGTGAGGTCTTCTTGCACTCATATTGGCCGTGGACTTCACTAGGTAAGGGAAGTGAAGAACATACAGACTTTCATGTTAGTACAAAAACAGTAGGATGTGTTAATTTTAGTACATTTCATTACGTCCGGATCTGGCTTAACTAAAATTTAGTCAGGGCACACGTGGAGGATAAACCATCGGGATCTTGTTGGAGGATTTAGGTGGGCTCAGACGCAAGCTGGCCGCGATTTACTCAGTTCGGGGATTGCCACTCAAATTAGCTGGCGATCCTAGAGGCGAACGGAATTATCACGTAGAGCACTAGGTGATTCTGGATGCGGGTATAACCAACGGCACAGTATATAGATACGGTATATAGATCATATAAATTCTACTATTCAACTGTCTAATGGGTCTATGTATTATTTGTAGACTGGCCGTAAGCATTGTGCTATAGAACGTATAGTACGTTTTCAATAACATTGACTTTATTATGCTCTACAGTCCTTACAAGCCTCCTCCATTGTCGTTGAAAGTCAACTTTCATATTCTAACCGCTGCAAACCCGGTGCATCTAGCTAGACCTATCAAATGGCTGCTTCAAAGCTTGAAGTTCAATTCCGTCTTCCGTCTTCCGTCTTCCGTCTCTTCCTAATATCTAGTGTCGTGTTTATTTGTACTAGCTGCGTGAAGCAATCCTTAAGCGCAACATGTAGTCTATGGGAAGTCGAGGGCTAGGTGTTGTCTGGCCTTTGGAGCAGCCTCTTTACTGATCGAAGCAAATCGGTAACGCTATTGGCAGCCCGTTGAAGGCGTTCGATATCGTCTTTAGCATGCTTGACAGCGCGGGAGTTCTGGATGCACATTGATGTAACTTCAATTATTATTCGCTGCAGTTTATCACTAGGCCCTTACAGCTGGAATATAATTTAAGCACTAAGAAATGGGACAAAGACTTGGTGACTTTTAAAGACCTAACGAGATTGAGACACATCTCTAGTGCTCGCACGACCATGAATACCTCCATAAAAGCTATAGTGTTACAGCTCACCCTACTATTAGCGCTAGACAAGTGATTGGCTAGGAAACTGTAGGAAGAAGGTCTACGATTATTAGTTAGGAGAAGCAGAACTACGTGACCTGATCCTAAGAGGATCTAGGATCGTATAAGTATCACCTAGGGATCGTCTAAGTAGTAGATAGGGTCCATTTAGCATAACGCTACTATATAAGTAGATAGTTAGTTCTTAGATAGGAGCTTTATGCTTAATTTAATATTGTATATATTATATACTAGTAATGTGTTTTATAAAAGCCTTTATGTCTAATCCCCTACCTCCCCTATTAAGTAAACTACATAATGAAACCTCTATAATATCCTAGCCCTAGGACCTTAGCGTTACACTCTTACTTTATTAATGTAAGACTTTAGAATTAATTCTTTAGTTTTAAAACACAAAGCTTCCTAAACGTTGCTAGGCTCATAACCTGTTAGAGGAAGGACTAGAATACGGGGACTATACACGAATGTCTCTAGTAGCCGGAACTCTTCACTTTTAGCACAACAGAACAGAAGGCTTCAAACAGTAAACACGGTATATAGAGTATATAGATCAATTGAATTACTACCTAGTCTACGGGCCTACGTACGCTATTTGTAACCCTAGGGGAAACCCCTAAAACCCTAATAAGCTAGGCTTTCTAGGCTCAGCTAGGCTTTAGATTAGTGGCTTCTAATAGTATGGCGCCGCTACTGTCTCACTGGCAAACCAACTGGGAGCTGGACGGTCCCACGGGGATAACCTGTCATTTTAGGCGTAAAAACCGACCATATCCCACAAGAATGTCCGTTTCCCCCAACAGAAGCCCTGTAACTCAATACCACGTGACTCAGCTGCATGAAACCTCAGTACAGCCATAAAATAAGACCTAAATAGTGTGAACTGCTCAAGCAGATTTGGTGTCGAATCCATCCCTCGTACTTCGTATACTCGATACTCGATAGTTGGAGTCTAAATTTACGAAATTCGGTGAGCGGGTAATAACGAACTCCGACGTAGATATTATGGCGCGGGATCTTACACCCCGAAACCCGGTGGCTGACAGGCAGGTCATCATTAATGCAACTTTGATTACAGGATGTGAGATTTTCCGAGGAAGAGGACAGGTTACACTGCATGTCAACTTCGCATGCATGTCAAATCCTTACTGGCAGTTGGATGCACAAAAGACCGCGTGTCACAACCACCGACGGCAGCTTATAAATTTCCACGACTCTTGTTGCACCTTAAATGCATCCTACCGTGTAATAATCTACGGGATTCACTTACTCTCAAATCCGCCGAGACACAACCTTGGTGGTGAGTAAGTTGTGATGGACACCATCCAGCCATCTCAAGCACAGTCCGCCCCTTACGGTCAGGCCTGTCGAGATTGCTCGAGAGCAAAGTGCAAGTGTATATCTCGTGCACGAAATGAACCTTGTGATAGGTAGGAGCTTCCGGGCGCTTCAATTGTATGTCACTTTGCCTGGTATTTAGTTCTGATAGCATATGCTTGAACAGGTGCCGTCGTCTCGACAAGGCCTGTGTCCCCCGAGAACGAGTCAGAACCCGCAATGGGAAAACGATGGGGTCGTTGAGAGCCGCGCAAGAAAATCAGCTCGTGTCGAAAATCGATAGCTTGGTGTCACTGCTGACCTTTGTCCCCGAATCCTCACCTGCAGCGGCACTACCCAATTCAAACAGGCTCTCCAACCTGGACACCTTGGTTGAAGCCGTGACGAACCAAATATCCGCAGGGAACTCCCGATCCCCCCCGTTGCAGCATGCATACCCATCTCGAGAGCTGTCGAGCTCATCTCCTCTTGCCCTTCCCTCGGGATCCAGTGCTCGTGCGAGCTCTCACCCGTCCCTTTGGTCGAGAACATTCCTCTCGCCTGCTCTGGAACTCAGTCCCGTTGATGCCGCTATCTCTAATTCGCCTTGTTTTTCGGGCTTCCAGCCATCTCCTAGCGAAGCAGAAGAGTACTTTCAGTTATTCCGTACACAGTCACTGCCCTATTTGCCATTTATCCATATTGCACAATGCACATCCGCTCAAGAATTCCAGCAAGAAAAGCCCTTCCTGTTCAAGGTCATTATGGCCATTGGCTCGCCCTCGACTTCTCAGAAACTGGCCCTCGGTACAGAAATTAGAGACGCACTGGCTAGACGCATTATAGTTGAGAATGAAGATAGCGTAGATGTCTTACTTGGACTACTTGCTTTCGTCACGTGGGGCCATGACCAATTCATGGTCCCGCTCAATTTATCTCGTTTTACTCAATTAGCCATGTCACTTGTCTTCGATCTGCGTCTTAATAAACCACTTCCGATTGATCTATATATGATATCAGCTATCGATACTGGGGCCTCTGATCCATCTCCACGGCTCCAACCAACACGAAGTTTAGATGAGAGACGAGCAGTATTGGCTTGTTTTCTACTGAGCTCCAAGTAAGTCCCCATGATCGGTTACTGAGTTGCAAGCTGATCATTCTAGTGTGTCCTTATACTTTGGGAAGATAGATGCCCTCCGATGGACTACATACATGGATGAATGTCTGCAAGTATTGACTGGCAGTCAAGATTATCCCGGAGACGAGATGCTGGTGACACAAGTTCGACTACAGCTTCTCACAGACATCGTCACTCGGGCTGCCGAGGGCGTCAGCTATGGTGGCCAGTCTAGCCAGCGAAGTGGAACCCCATCTCTTTATCTCAAAGCCTTGCACTCTGATTTGGCCACAATCAAACGTAGTATTCCTCCTAACCTTCAACAAAACGGTTTGTCGCCTGGTCTGAAATTTTCCTCTCTAGGACTAATGTCGTGATAGATCTTTTGCTCGCGCACATATTCAACACTGAGCTCAGTATCAATGAGATGGGGATTTCAAAGACCCCTACCTCATCCAGCAGTACAGACTTTCAGCGACTGGAACCATTATATGCATGTCTCAACTCAATTAAGTCTTGGTTTGATATTTTCTTTGAGCTACCATTAATGGCATACATCGGTATTTCCTTTCCCTTCTTCGCACAGCTTGGACATTGTGTTGTAGCTTTATATAGACTGTCAACATTGGAAGATCCAGCATTAGACAAAGAGCTGCTTAGACAGACTGCAGATCTTCTTGAGATATTGGATCGAATAATACATAACATACAGAGGGTGAGGGATATGGATGACGAGCATCATAAGGGAGATATGTTTACCCGAACGATCAAGATATTCGAATCAATCCGTATACGTTGTGGTTTAAAGCTGGGTGATATCACAAGCTTGTCTAATGCCGGAGAATATCGTTTTGGTGGTATGATGGAAGATAGCTCGTTCATGGATGTCTCAGGTGATGCATGGTTAGGAGATATGCTGGGCTCGTGGGACTATTGAATATTACCATCTTTGCAATCAAACTTGAAATCAAGCGTAAATCGAAGTACACCATGATAATAATAATATCAAAGACTCTGTGCATGTTTTTGATATCTTGAAGATAAAATCTCACGTCACACCGTTCCTCATGTGGAGAGTTTGTGAAGCTGGGTTTCCGTCTAGGCCAACATCGAAAACCGACCAAGGACTCAATTGATGCCAACGAACTATCTCAGATTTCACAGCAGAGAAAATCATAAAAGAAAATGAACTCTTACCACTTGTCCAAAAAAGCGACATAGCCATTAGTTCTCATCCCATCAGCCGGGATTTAGAATGCAGGGAAATGAGACCGGATTTCGGAAATATGAATCCCGTTCTTAATATCAATACCAGAACTCCGTATCTCATGAAGCACGACAATTTGATTTCATGCCAAGATCCGCTCGAATTCTTTATTTAAGTTCCAATCATTATTTCTCGACACTTGCACACATACACCGATTTTAAGCCGTGCTGCATTCGACATGTCTTCTCCAGAGCAGGAGAACCAAAGCGCAGACAACACGATACTCGAAAAGAACAAAGACGAGGAGCAAATATCAGATGGCGGTAACAAAGAAGGTATACTACAGGAGGAAGATGCTCACGAATACGTTACCGGCATAGAGCTCTTCATTATCTTGGCTGTCGTTACCTTGGTCTTTTTCCTATTGATGCTAGACATGTCCATTGTCACAAATGTATGTCCCACTGCACTCCAAGATACTACATCTCGACTAACCATTGAAAGGCTATACCAGCTATCACAAATTATTTCCATTCGCTTGAGGATCTTGGGTGGTATGGAAGCGTGTATCCTCTCGCAAGGTGTGTACCAGCTCTATTTCACTATGACTACGACGCTGATGCCTAATTCCAGTGCGGCACTTCAGCCATTGACCGGCAAGATATACACATATTACAGCTCCAAGGTACACAAGTTGTTGGGAATCTTTTATCTAGGTCTGACATTTGACAGTGGACCTTCTTCACATTTTTCGTCATATTTGAGATCGGCTCGGCGATCTGCGGTGCAGCGGTCACATCAGCCATGTTGATAATCGGAAGAACAATTGCTGGACTTGCAGCTTCTGGGTTGATGACAGGTGCGCTGACAATTCTCTCGAGTTGCGTGCCAAAAGAGAGACAACCTGGTGAGCCACTGCTTATCTCGACAATTGCCATGGACTATGTACTCACCGATTTTCCACAGGTCTGATGGGTATCATGATGGGGAGTACGTATTAAATTTATATCTGTTTCAGTGAAACCTCACTAAATACTCGTTGTTTCTAGTTGGACAGCTTGGAGTAGCTTCGGGACCATTGATCGGAGGAGCTCTAACTCAGCATGTATCGTGGAGATGGTGTAAGTCGAGGCCCCTCTGCTTCTTTCTCCTGCTTTTCCAATTAACTCTTTCCCAGGCTTCTACATCAACCTCCCTGTTGGTGGTGTTGTTGCAGGTCTTCTTTTCATGGTCAGCATCCCAGAACAAGTAGCCAAGCCGACAGGCGCCAAGCTACGTACCGTATTGAGTAAGATGGATCTTGTCGGATTCGCCATATTTGCCCCAGCTTCAGTGATGTTCTTTCTGGCTCTCCAATTTGGCGGAGAACAATTCGCTTGGAATAGCAGTACTATCATTGGACTTTTCTGTGGTGCAGGAGTGACGTTTATTGTTTTCTTCCTCTGGGAATGGAGACAAGGTAATGAAGCAATGATACCCTTCCCCATGCTTCAGATCAGAACCGTATGGGCTGCCGCTGTCTCTAATTTCTTCTTTATGGGGTTGGTTTATATTGCGTCATTTTATCTGCCAGTTTATTTTCAAGCAGTGAGAGGTGCATCTCCAACTGCAAGTGGTGTAAATCTCCTGCCAAGTATCTTGTCTCAGATCTTGTTTGCAGTGATGTCGGGGATTTTGGGTAATTCGAGCAACTGTTTTCAAAGAATCGCACGCTAACTTTTGTCTAGTTCAGAGATTGGGCTACTACTTGCCTTGGTTCTTGGCAGCAGCAACAATTGGATCAGTTGGATTTGGTCTTCTCTCTACGTTAAATGCACAAACTTCAACTGGCAGGTGGATTGGGTATCTAATCTTGAACGGCATTGCCCGTGGGACGGGAACAGCAATGGTAAGCTTTGCAACTCGCGGATTCTCTTTGGAAGTCACACTGAAAACTTACGTGCCAGCCAATCATAGCCATTCAAAACACACTTCCGCTTGCTCAAATCTCTGTCGCCATGTCAATTCTCGTAATCGCCCAGAATTACGGTGGCGCTGTCTTCATTGCCATTTGCCAAGCCCTTCTCACAAGCGCCTTGAAAACCAGTATTCCAAAATACGCACCATCTGTAAATGCGCAAAATATCATCAACGCAGGTGCCACAGGATTCCGAGCAATTGTTTCAGCAGATGATCTTCCAGGCGTCTTAGCAGCATACAGCAAGAGCATCAGTCATACATTCTATCTAGGGATTGCCGCTAGTATAATTTGCTTCATTACAGGGTGGGGTATGGGGTTGAAGGATGTCAGAAAGAAGAAAGCGGAAGAAGTAGTGGAAAAGGCGGCAGAGGGTGGTGTCGAAGGCAATGTTGTAAGACTGTAGTAGAGGAACAGGACTCTGTGAGAGTATCGCTAAATAGGTAATCGTGGGTGGAAGCGGTTGCGTTCGCGACCGCCAAAATTTGTAGGTACCTTTGTATAGTAAATTATATGGAAAGGTACATAGAGAATTTATCCTACGAAACTATCACTTTCACCACTCTTGCTCTCCCTCCCATTCTCACCCTTATACTCAAGCTCAAAGCCTGGCTTAGAACCAGCTTCTGGGTCGAGTATTGGGTCCTGATCCTCTAGAGGAACTGGGTTGCCAGCTCGAATAAGAGCTCTTACCCTCTTCTTCCGGAGGCGTTCCTGTTTCCGAGCTTTAACCCCTACCCTCCGAAGCTGCTTACGGGCCTAATTATCAGCCTACTAGGCTACTCGGGCTTCCTTCGCCTGGGCTTTCTGAGCTAAAAGCTTAGCTTTAGCAGCCTGAAGCTTATAAGCCCGTTCGCCAGTAAGCTGGCCTCTAATTTGAAGCCTAACATCCAGAACTAGGCCTATCCATAGACGGGCCGGCCCACCCATGGATATTAACATCCACAACTGGGCTGGCCAATCCATGGACGGGCCGGCCCATGCATGAACAGACCAGCCCACCTATGGATAATACATTTAATACGTAGTAAGAATAGCTAGCTACGGATAATATGAATAGTAGTATATTAGTCTACTACTATATTTTCAGCTGTGTCTGCCCTAGCTCGCTTCCTCCTTGGCCTTTCAACAAGAGCTATTTCCGTCTGAATAGCTAGACTTAATAGGTTTCCACAGTAAGATGGGGCTACATTCATCCGGCGGATATTGAGTAACGTAACACGAGTTATCGACAGCTCAAGACGGCAATCGGAATCTCTAAACCCGATCTGACGTTCTTCACTGAACTTCGGGCTTTAGTCTCAGGAATGCGACCGAGGGTTTTCGTTCTATCCTGCGTCTGTGCCGCAAGATTGCGTTATCAGTTTCCGGGGGTCGCATCCTTCTCATCCTTCAACACGACTGCCTCAATTTGATTTATGTGAGGCACAATGGTAGAGTGCAGTACTAATCATGGCACAGCAACCAATTACATTCCAGGAATAGTACAAAACTAATCTCTGCTAAACTACAATCAAAGTTGGCTGCAGGTGGAGGGCGAAGTCTCAGCGTTGTGTTGGACGTTGTGTTGGACATCTTTGAGCCCGGTCGAAGAGTCCAATCAGCTAAGAGACGCTACCCTACCGCTCCTCTCGTTTCTCTCTCCCACCGTAGATAAATATTAGCCGTGTCGTGCCACAGTATCAGGATACCATTCCCTCATCATTCAATCTTCGGAAATTTTCCAGTGAACATACCATGTCTCATTGGCGAAGACAGCAGCCTGGGGTTGCGTGTGAGGACTGCCGCAAGAGAAAACTCAGATGTGACAGACAGAGGCCAAAATGTGGGGCATGTTCCAACTCGGGGCTTGTATGTGAAGTCAATACAGACCGTCTGCCCAGGGGCCCTAAGAAAGGGAGTCTCAAAGCTATGAGAAATCGGATCAGTAAGCGAGAATATCCCAGATGTGGTGTACCTGAATGAACATGACTGAATGATTTTTGTTGCGTCAGTGTCACTTGAGGAACAGCTCCATGAGGTTGATAGGAGAGCACCGCAAAGAGACCAATTTGCTGGCCTGAACCATGATACACAAGGCAAAAGAGCGATGCGAGACGGGGAACAGAGCCAATACTCTGATAGCAATAATTCCGAGGAAGAATGCGATCAAACCTCCCCCAGAGGAGTCAAAACATTGGCGGCGGTCCGAGGAGAAGAGCTGTTGAGTGACTTGATGCAGGCAGACCTGTTAGTACCAGGCTGAACTCTGATTGACTTGATCGCTTGGCTGACGACCCCCTAGAGATCAACTGTATTTTGATCGCGTCCATGCCACTGTACCAATCATTCATAAGTATCATTACTACGTGTGGTCGAGAAACCCAGGCCTCAAACATTCGCAGGTATGTTTACGAAATGCCATGTGGATTTTAGCCATGTCACACTCGTCACAATTCGAGAACGTGAGAGAAGCCATATACAATGAGACCCGCCAAAAGTTGGAAGAGAACGACTTGAGCGAGAACAACATGAATGTGGTCCAAATCGAGCAAGTACAAGCTTGGATTTTGATAACATCTTACGAGTTTCTTCGGTCTAGCTACCAGCGAGCTTGGTTCAGTGCTGGCCGAGTGTTCCGTCTTGTTCAACTGCTGAGACTCCATGAGCTTGACAACCATTCAGAATTACTGCAGATGCTTTCTGCCAGTAGTAGCCAGGAGGAGGAAATTGGAAGAGAGGAGAGGCGAAGAGCGTTCTGGGTAGCATACTGCCTCGACCGGTTTATCAGCGTGCAAAATGGACTTCCCTTGACCCTGAATGAAGAAGTGGTAAGTATATGTACGCCGGCCCTTAAACCGTGTCCCTTTACTGACCAGGAAAGATTTGCACCCGTCTCCCTTGTCTGGAATCAGAGTTTGAAACTGGCAAGATCATGAGAGTGTCATCTCTCTCGGAAGCCATCGCTGCCTGCAATGTCCAGACCCCACTCTCGCCTTTGGCAGAATGTGCAATCCTCGTGACTCTTTACGGCCGCGCACTCTCACATTCTCACGTCTCTACCGTTGAGCAGTACTACGGTAACACGACACAGGACTTCTGGTTCCGACACGAGTGGATTGACTTTAAACTACGGGAGAAGGCCGACACTTTCGCTTTGAAATACCCCACCACGACGATATTTGCGGAACCAATGTTGCTGATGAGTTTCATGATACTACAAGCAACGACGCTATATCTTTACAAGATCATGGAGTCGATGTCTGTCGATGATAGCTGTGGTGAGAAGGTGCTTGAATATCAAATCCAGGCAATCACAGCTGCGAAGAAAATCGCAAATCTGACGAAGGAACATGCCCGTATTGGATACTTCAATGTCAGTTGGCCCCGTTCCGCGTAAATGAGTTTCGTTGTGAGCTATGCACATGTAACACACTACGCCGTGGACCGCTTCCATTTCCAAAAACATTCTGACAAGCTCCTACAGGGCCACGTTTTCATACCCGCGGCGATATATCTAGGTATTGAACGCCTAATGATTCAACGCGACGCTCACATGTTAGACATGCAATTTCTAGAAGAATCATCAATTGGAGAAGGACTAGACGGATGCCTCGAGATTTTGCGGAAAATCCAGAGCGTGAACAACCTTGCCAAGTACTACTTGAACTTGCTAGACTCGGGGCAGTTGGGAGATAGTCGACCTTTACAGCCTTAGACAGACACGACTATATATAGATAGTTTGAATTACGAGTTTCTTTGCCCCCCAGACTGCCTTCGAAGTGTTGTGCTATGTATGCCCAAGGAGGGGTAGGTAAGTCACCACTCGGAAGCATAACGAGTAAGACCTACAAAGTAGGGTACGGGGGGGCCGTCAAGATCACCTACTGAGTGGAGCCACAGGGTATTAAGCGCTGTAACGACAGCGTATGACACCCTAAACAATGACGTGACTTAAAACTTAGGCGATTTTGGTGCTTAAAGAAATGCAAAAGAGTGAGTTTTAGCTGAGAAATAGCAGCCCCTTCTCACATACCTATTGTGTTGTATGGCACAACCAAAAATGGCACCACAATTAGCTGGAGCTAATTGTGGATTGTATATTGTTTTTGCCATGCGAGATTCTATGATACCGTAGATTTCGGGCTTCTTACATTTTACTCGAAAGAACTCAATATTACCTACATGGCTGTGAAAAGCTTGGGTTGCAGTGGACACAACTTTATCCTCGGCTTGCCCCTGACGCACAGGCAACCTTTTATAGAGCATTCAGAATGTCGGCGAAATTAACGTAACAGAGCTTGCTTAAACTATCATCAGAAACATAGAAACAATATGCCTTCATAATCTCTTACTACAGAACATATGACTAGTCAACTAGGGAAGTGTTGGTACGTACTTTGCCATTACGACTGATTTAGTGATAGCATAATTGCGTTTAGAAAATGAAATCCTAAAGGTGAAATGTGTTAGAAACAGAAGTGCAAGGTCCAAATCTCGACGAAAAAAGACAGAAAAAAGTTACTGGCTTTCATGCACCGGTGTATGTGACTTCATTGGAGTATATTCTAATATATAATCCTATACCTGGCCTCGACACTCCCAAAAAGAGAAACATACGGCAGCTAACTTAAGACAAGCAAGGGGTCAGTGTGGCTACTCTTCAATGCAACTGTGGCTGCAAGAGCAGTGATCGAGCTGCTCTGCATGATGTCGAAGATCGAAACTTCAGCACCCGCGCGCAACGCCAACATGTTTCGCAATTCGACGGCAACAAGGGAATCAACTCCATAACTTGCAAGAGATTTTGAGGGGTCCACGTCAGACTCCAAGATCATGAAGCTGTCCATCAGCTTCTTCGTCAGTCCACCAACGACAGCTTCAACTGCCTCGTCGAGTGTCGAGGCAGCTGCGATTCTGCTTCCCAAGTCGCCCGCTGCGGATTTGTTGACATTCGACGAGGTTTGCTTACGGTAACGGAGGAGAGAGAATCTCAAGTCTCGGGTGTATACGCTGTCTTCCCAGTGAGGCCCAGACCCGGTATTGAAGCCGATGCTCAACTGTGTTGAAAAGGGGTGAAGTATGGCATATTCGATAGTGCTGAGAACAACATCTTCGCTCAGCATGGTCAAGCCTTTTCTCGAAAGTTGTTGAGCCATGCCAACTGATTCTGCAACAACTCCTACCGATTTTGTCTGTCCCAGATCGATCGCCACACATGGTAGACCTTTAGATGTACGATATTTTGCGAGAGCGTCTTGGAAGGTTCCACCTGCAGCGTAGGCACTCTGGCTTGCATTACCGGTGACACCCACAATAGAAGAAAGCATTATGAAAAAATCGATTTCTAGTCCAGACATTTGGTTATGGAGATTCCAGGTTCCCTGGACCTTTGGTCGAATCCCAGCATTGAAGTTTCCGAGACTCATGCGTTCAAGAATGGAGTCCTATCAACTTTTAGCAATTAAGATTATAGATCGCAGTTGGTGTGCTTACCTCGAGAACCATAGCAGCTTGTATTACACCACATATTGGAGGCATTTCAAATGAACATGCTTTCAACACTTCTGCGAGCTGATACTCGTCTGTGATATCACATGCTGTAACTTTGACTTTGCAGCCATTCTTTCCAATCTCAGCTAAGAAAGGCGCAGCCTTTTCCTGCGAGCTTGCACTTCTCGAGATGACAACAATGTTCTTTGCTCCATGGCTTACCATCCAATGACACACAGAACGGCCGATGCCGCCAAGACCACCCACAACCAAATACGAGCTGTCAGGTCGCAATTTTACCGATGGAGTCTTTGGAAGTACCTAATTCAGTTAGCATCGTAAGATATAGACGCGAGGAGGTGTAGTCTGGGAGAATCTCAAATCTGGGAATGTACGAAAGACTACTTACAGGAACGATGTCCTCGGGGTTCATTGCAATTACAATCTTTCCCATATGTTTTCCAACCTGCATCAGACGGTATGTTCTCTCAAGCTCGGAAACAGGATAAACCGTAATCGGATCAACAGGAACAATGACCTTTTGTTCGAAAAGGCGGATAACGTCCTTCAATACGTCCTGTATCTCGGGATACCTCGTGTCCGAGAATGCCAGCAGATCAAAAGACGAGAAGGATATCGAGCGTGTAAACGCACCCATATCCAGGAGACTGTTTGCCTCAAAATCACGTTTGCCAACCTCCACAAAACGGCCAAATGGAGCAAGGCAGTTCACACTTTCCTGAAGCAATATACCTGAAAGCGAATTTAGCACAACATCAACGCCTTTTCCTTCTGTCATCGCTAGAATACCAGGAGCAAATGAGGTATCTCTGCTGGAAAATATGTGGTCAGGTTGGATGCCGTAGGTCTTTATTACAAATTGCCGTTTCGCCTCCGTTCCAACGGTGACGAAAATCTCAGCACCGACATGTTTTGCCAATACAATGGCCGCCTGAGCAAAAGCTCCAGTAGCTGCATGAATCAGGATTTTCTCTCCCCTCCGGAGTCTTGCTATGTCAAAGACCGAGATATAAGCTGTGCAGAAGGAGACCGGCAGGCTCGCAGCAACCTCGAAGGTCATGTCATCTGGGATTTTGACGACGCTGCTGTGATGAACTCGAGCGAAGGTGCCCCAGTGACCCCGGAGAAGCATTGCCACTCGATCACCAGGTTTGTAGCCTTGCAGTTTCGCATTTGAGCCGACTCTGCTGATATACCCGGAGCATTCAAATCCCATAATGTCCCGATTCAGCTGGCCCATTGCTACCATAACATCGCGGAAGTTCAGACCAAATGCCTTTGCTTGGACCTCAACGATGTCGGGCTCGAGCTCCTTTCCAGCATCAGGATCATCGCCCCATGCCAGACTATCTAAGAGACCAGGAGAACCAATGAACAAGCGTAAGGGGCGTCCGAGTTGAGCAAATGGTTCCATTTTTGCCATGGTGAGTTCTGCTGCATTTGGAAATGCGGCTGAATCAGTAGAAATGTCTTTGTGATACCGTAGGACAGAAATGAGACCGTCACGGTCAGCAAACTCGAAGTCAATATCTTCAGCCGTAGACCATTCGCAGAAGACTTTGCTAAACACATCCGTGATGGTAGGAATGGATTCAAAGCTCCATGGAGATTGATTTGGGTCCAAATCAACAGAAGCCAGGCGTTTGCCACTATATTCCCACCTGAGACAGCGAAAGAACCCAACATGCATGCTGGAATCAACTTGCTCACAACCGACTGTACCACCGCGACTCACCCAAAGCACGCCTTTTGATGTGGAACAAAGTGCTTTGATGGCTTCAAACTGTGCTGAATCGAGATTTTTGAGAAAAGGGCCTTCAGTATCCCCCAAGAAGACATAGATGGATTTACTGTTCCCCCTGACGCCCTCAAGAGGCTCTATGGAGGGCGCAACACCTGTGGCTTCTGCAATCGATGTTGACAGCGCATCCATCCACGAGATCGGGGTCAGGTTTCGGGTGACAAGCACAATATCAGAGTTCAATTTGGTCGACTGGGAGTTTGCAGTGGACATGATGACACTGTACGAGTAGAGATCTGGTTCATCGCAGTCGGGAACTTCAATATCTACACCACTGAAGCCCGTTTCGCGAAGACAACGATCCCACATTCCAACAGTGAGAGATGGGCTAAATTTCCGTTCTTCCTCTTCGCCTGTTCGCGGGGTCAGTAAATGAATAGCGCTGGATAGATTAAAGAGTCAGAGACTTACTGAGCCACCAGCTTGGAAGCAACGAGAACGAGAATTGGGTGTCTAGCTGATCCTGTGTTGTCTCCACCATGAGGAGTTTTCCGCTAGGCTTTAGTAGCTTCCGCACGTTGGACATGGTATTTTGCATAGACTTTGTTGCACTCAGGACTCGACATGCGATGATGACATCGTACGAGCCCTCATCGAATCCTTGCTTCAACGGATCCTGTTCGACATCGAGTTTCTTATATCGGACTAAATTCTTCCAATTCTTGAACTTCTCCTTGGCTGATTCAAAAACGCCAGAGGAAATATCGGTGAAGTCGTAAGACAGAGCAAGCGGGCCATCGTCAGAGTTATCCTCCCCCAGAGTCGCCAGGATGGGGGCTGTAAAACTTCCACTTCCTGCACCGATCTCGAGTATTTTCGCACGCGGATTTTTGTGGACAATGTGCTTGAGAACTCCGCACACTTGGTGCAAGGACCTGTCCAGCTTGAGACTGTTTTCGTAGAACTTGTTGAGCATCCCATCTTCAACTAGCAAGTCTTGAGGGGTCCTCTCTTGTCTCAGAATTGAGACCAGCTCTGACCCAAGCTTGCAGAGCAACTCCCCATTCACACTTGCAGCATAGACCTTGTCTTTGAGAACGGTGATTTGGTCGGGCGCAGCTTTGTGCCAGTACGTACTCCCTGGTGCTAGTTCGTCACGACCGGCTAGCTCGACTTGTAGCTTCATCCAAACATAAAACTTTTTAAGATGAGAATCCAGTCGCTTGACATCCTCTGCAGTCAGTCTTTCCAAAGCATCGCTGATGAAATGAATGCAAAGTTGCCTCAAATCAAGTAGGTTTTCGGCCTCGATGGAGGAAATGTGACAGCTGAGTTGTTGCTTGAAGAAAGCTGGTTTAAGAAATGAGATATCTGGGACCCATTTCTCCGCGATGAAGAGTTGGTCTTCTAGGGAATCAGCTTGAATGGGTGCGTTGCCAATTGACTGGCAGACAAAGCCGTTTACTGTAATCAAGGGTGCTCCAAGTTCGCCATCGTTGACCACAGACATATCAGCTTCGAATGTCTGTGGAGTAGCGCGGTTCACATTGGTATATGCATTGAACGTGTGTCCAGGGGCGCTCGAAATACTATGGGCGATCCAGAGGTGTTTGATGGATTTAGGGATTTGCGAGCTCTGCGATTTGGAGCCAGCCCCAGGAAGAGCTGTATAGGCTGCCTGAAACACGGTATCCAGCGTGGTTGGATGGATAATGTGTGGGCTCTGGTGCTGATAGGGCATCGTCGACGCTGTATCAGCTACGACAAAGACAGAAAGTGACTGCTTATCACGGCCTCTGATGCCCCTTAAGTTTTGGAAGATGGGACCGTGGTAGATTCCGGCAGAACGTAAACTAGCATAGACATCCATCGGATCAATACGGCGCCTGTAATGATCCTTGGTGATCAGAGCTCCGTGCTGGACCTGCGCCTTTTGCTGGATATCTACTTTGATCAGTCCTTTGCAGTGCTCCAGCCAGTGGCTGGCCGACGACACCGAAGAGACGGAGAATTCTTGCCAGCCCGTGGCGTATAGGTCTTTGACATTGCATGGCCGCAGGGTGAGTTGGACCTCCACGCCTTCTGCAGATTCGGGAATAACCAAGGCCTGGAGGATATCAACATCACGAAGCTGATAGCCTTGGATAGCTGTCTGGGGTTGCTGGACACGGGCTTGGGCGCTGGCTCCCTCGATTGCCATGCACAGATAGCCCGCGCCGGGGTAGATGACATTGCCCTGGACGAGATGATCATTCACCCACGGTACGTCTGTGGCCCGAATAACATGGCGCCCTTTGGATGGGTCAGTATGCTGTGTGGAGAAGGGAGAAAGGAGAAGGGTAGGTGAAGATATAAACGCAGATGAATATCAATATCAATACGAACATAGCACTTACATGACGGCGTCAGAATATTGCAGCCCAAAGCCAGACTGCCGAGGAGGTCGTGAGGTTTTCCACCCCTCTCTCGCCAGGCCCGGTTCAATCGCGGTTCGCTCCAGTGCCGGGTCGAGTGGGTCCAGGGGTAGCTCGGTAGCGAGTGCAGCACCTCGACCTTCACCTTCAACGTCCCCTCCCCCTCCCCCTCCCCCTCAGTCTTAAACTTGCCTCCATTCCCATTTTCATGTACATCCGCATTCTTATTGCCACTCCTACTCCTACCCCCACTCCCTCTCCCTCTCCCACCTCCAATTCTCCCATGCGGAAAGTTCACGGCCTCCATATTAACAGGATACCCTTTCCGCACCAGCTCACACGCCAACGCCTGCATGGTAGCGACGGCATTGCTCTTGCGGACGAGACACGTGTGATAGGAGATCTCGCTTCTATTGCGGAACTGTGGCAGCGTCGATTTGATCTCGTGGATCGGCCCTGAGAGCGCAGCGTGCGGACCGACCTCAATCACGGCATCGACCTCGCAGGCAGCGTCGTCACTCTCGTCCCCAAAACACATATTGCGGAATGCTTGAACGAACTGAACAGGGCTGGTCAAGCTGTCTACCCAATGCTGGGGACGATTGATGGTGGCCAACGACCCGATGCGGGTGCCGGTGGTGGGCGACGAATACACAATATCGGTGAGCTCTCCGTTCACAGGTGGCACGTACTTCTCCAGATAGGCACGGTACGGCTTCGCGATGGGCTGGACGTGGTGGGAGTGCCATGCGGCGTCGACCTTCAGTCGCCGTGCAAAGATGTGCTCGTCGTGGAGCATCCGCTCCAGCTCCTCGATCGCGGAGGCATCGCCGGATACGGTGGTCGAGGTGGGCGAATTCATACAGGCGGCGACGAGCTGACCAGAGGAAACACGTTCGAGATATGGCTCTGTATCTTCAGGACTCAGCCCGACCGCAATCATGCCTCCCTTGCGCTCAGCAAACTGGGTGACTTCCCCGACGAGCTCCCCCCGAGACAACACACTCGCCATGGTGGAGTCGAGACTCAGGGCACCGACGGCGCATGCAGCGGCCATTTCACCACTAGAATGGCTAGTCACAGCGCTGGGCGTGATGCCCCACGACTGGAGGAGTCGAGCCAAGGCAATCTGGAGCGCTACACTGAGCGGGGTGCTCAAGGCCACATCACTAACCCGGCTCGATTTCTCGTCTCGCTTGAGTTCTTCTGTTCTGAAGTCAGTCTATGCCCCGGGCACATCTTTTACTCCTACGCTAGAGAATTGGTAGTTTACCTGTCAAAGACCATGTTGCGCCTAGCGCCTTCAAGTACCCCTCGGCCTCCAACAGGCACCCCTTGAAAACTGGATAGGCGTCGAACAATTCTCTTCCCATCGCAAACCACTGTGCGCCTTGTCCGGTGAAGACGAAGCCGAGCCGTGGGGGACGATCCATCCTCCGGCCTGGCTTCATCTTGCCAGAGTCAATCAAGCCTATTAATTCCGATACATTTTGGGCCGGTTGTGCACTCACCCATGGGAAGATCGATCGACGTTGGCTGAGGGTGTATGCAAGACTGGCGAAGAAGCTTTCATCATTTGCCTGTTCTGATTTCAAGAGATAGTCTCTCAAATTTGATGCTACAGCCTCACACGCAGTCTCATCCTTTCCGCTCAGTATGATGATACGGGGAGTATGTGACGTATGGTGGCCATTGATGCCGTTGGTACTGTTGACACCCTTGATTCCATTCGTGCCATTAATTCCATCCGTGTTATTAATCCTACTGACAGCACTTTTGTTGTTGCTTCCATTTGCATCGGTTCCATTTGCATGGGTTCCATTTGTCTTATGTGCAATATGCTTCGCTTCAGCACTCTTTGGGTCGATGAATGATTGACAATCTTGCATTACAACATGGCAATTGGCTCCTCTGCGTGCACAAAGTTAACACTGCATTTCGAAGATTCTCAAAAAATTTAAAGCCTAGGGGTTTAGATCACTTACCCGTATCCGAAGTTATTAACAGAAGCACGTCGAATGGTTCCCTTCGGCCACTCTTCAAGCTTCGTGGGAATCTACATGCAAAATATTGGTCACCAAGTCCGGACCGCGTAGACAGAAAGGAAGGGGATGCCCAGTTGACATCAGAAAACGATACATGTCCGTGAAAAGAACGGATCTAAATGATGAAAGGGATAGGGATCACGAACCTTCATGTGCCAATCATCCAAGTCTATTTCCTCATTCGGTTTCTCAAAATTGGCGCTGGGGGGTATTTGGCCTTTTTCAAGTGCCAATGCCACTTTGATAATGCTTGCAAGTCCGCTCGTCGTTTCAGTGTGGCCAACGTTCGTCTTCACAGATCCAACTAGCAAAGGCTCAGTTCGTGATTTATGCTCGCGAAAAACCGAAGCTATTGCTCTCGCCTCTATCGGATCACCCGTTCGAGTACCCGTTCCATGGGCCTCGAAATATGCAGTCTGTGCCGGATCAAGTCCAGCCTTCTCATAGCAGGCTCGTATAAGCTCTTCTTGGGCTCTCTGGCTCGGAGTGGTTACTGTCTCAGTTTTGCCGTCTTGATTGGTACCACTGGTTCGAATAATTGATCGGATTGGGTCGCCATCGCGCAGAGCGTCGTCTAAACGCTTGAGAATGACAGTTGCAGATCCTTCTCCGCGACCATATCCTTCAGCACGATTGTCGAAAGCATATGATTTTCCTGTTTTCCCGAGAAGGCTGCACGGAATTAGTTCTGAGACAATTTCCAGTACCCTAGTCCACTCACGAGATGTTTGACATCACCACAAAATTGTCGGGGTTCAGCATCACATTCGCACCTCCCACGATCGACATGTCGGATTCCCCAGTACGAAGACTCTGACAGCCTTGATGTAGCGCTATCAAAGTCGTACTGCAGCCGGTATCGATTGTCATACTCGCCCCTCTCAAGTCATAAAAATGAGATATCCGATTCGACGCCATTGCAGAACCTACCCCTAGGAGGAAAAGTCGTGGTAGTGTTTCTCCGTCTCTCGTCTGGGCTTCGCTATAATCTCGAAAGAATGTGCCCGCAAAAACAGATGTGTTCGAGCCAGCAACGTGCTCCATAGTAAGACCAGCTGTGGTGCTCATCAGTTGATTGTTCGTAAAAATGCGTTGCATTTCATATCTTACCACTTTCCAGGGCCTCATAAGTAGATTCTAACTGCAGTCTGTATTGAGGATCAAGAGACTGCCAAACTTCAGCACATTGGCTTAAACACCTCGCCAAGTTTCGGGACATCAACATACTGAAGCAACTTCAGAGGAGAGATTGAAAAATCCCGCATCGAACAAAGCCAAATCTTCCTCCAAGAAATGACCACCAATAACATTTGTCTAAAGAAACTCATGTCAGCGCCAAATTTTTCTGTCATATAGGTAATAAATGCTACATACGGTGTTTGTCTTTGCTGCGTTGGGATGATATACTCCATCTAAATTAAACCTTGAGGCGGGTATTTTACTCCATCCTGTCCTACCCTCGGCGCAAAGCTTCCAAAGATCCTCTGGGACCTTGACATTTCCAGGGAATCTACAGCTCATGCCAATAATGGCAATTGGCACGTTTGGATCCATGATGGGCCGCATTCCGCAACAACTCTGTTGTGTCTGATAAGTATGAATATCCTTATATCGCAAGCGGGTGTAGATACGGCAAGCCCTCAATTACTTCAATTCACTTTATGCCGAATGATCATATAGGTAGGTCTACCGCTACAAGAATTTCGCATGGGCTTTCCGCAGCGTTTTTGAGGCTCGATATATGCAGCGGAGTATTTCCAGCCGGTAGCTTCCACGTCACGATCGAGAGCTTGATACCTGAGCAACCCTCATTTAGCAATTATGTCCCGGAGTGACTTTGATTGGATGGAGTAATTGGGCTATGAAAACAGGATGGCCTAAAAGCAAGTGGCATCTCGTTCTTACTTTGGCTCGCCGGAAACTCCGCTGGGAAAGTCCGCTCGGACATTGAGCAAAACTCGTTCAGTAAAATCACTTCAATGCTTGTCAACGGTCAAGTCCTGAATGGACTTTCTTTCCGGAGCTTCTAGCACAAGTAAAGAGATTCTGCGTTGCCCTCTGAAAGCACTTCGTATTGGCATGAAGTCGGATGAATATTCCGAAGTTTCCCAGGCATGTACTCATGTTTCCTGGCGCTGGAGCTGTACGATTTTGCTGCAATATTGTCCTCCTCACAGTAAGTGTGTTCCTGGCCAAACACAAAATTAAAGCGTAAACACTCCTGTGAGTGTTCATATTACACTCCCAGCCTTCAAACCTAGACCCTTGACTCTTGAGACCCGTGATTTCAAGTGAGTTGTGAAGATCAACGTTTTCTCGGACTTCTGTCGTAATTTTCGGTTGGGTGAGATGGATATGTCCCTAGCTTTACATCAATTTCTTGGAATTAATTCCTCGGCGCTCTCACTTTGACAGGCCCGACCTAGACATTGTATCACACAAGAGAAAATCACTGAAAAAGAGTGGAATTTAGGGCCCGCACGAGAGTTCTCTGGGCATTTCAATGAATTTGAAGTTTTGGATTCAAAGCTAAAACATCGGTATTCATGAAAAGTACGCAGCAACTATTGACCATATACCCTAGCCGAATCATCTGAACTTCAAAGTCTTTCCTGAGCCCGCCCAGTAACACTTTTTGAATCCTATTGAATTAAAGCTCCTCCGCTGGTGCTGACTGTGCTTCCAGTGTTGTTAAAGTCTCTCATCAAGTAGATGTACGCCTCGCCAACCTCCTCGGCAGTACCAGCCTTGCCCAGCAGAGCAATTTTGGTGTACATTTGTAGCCGTTGAGCGCGCTGCTCATCATTGCCCCACATCTCTGTATCTGTAGCACCAGGAGACACACAGTTGACGCGAATAGGAGCCAAATCCAGCGCCAGCGAGCGAGTGATGCCAAAGAGCAAAGCTCCAAAGGCGGCTCCCATAGTGTAGCCCTTGACTGGCTTCTCGGCAACGCGACCACTGGTGAAAATGAGTGAGGACTTGTAGCTGGGGTTCAGAAAGCGAGACGCAAGTTTGGCCAAGAGCATGGGAACCACCAGACCGAACTGGCCGCTATTGCTCAAGTAATCGGCTGTAACTTGGTCAAGTGGCTTGAGATTGAGTGAGTTGGCTGTGTACACAATGTGGTCGAGCTTGGTGCCATTGGAAGTGATTTCGGTGAGGAACTTGACCAAATCTTCCTCAATTCGGGGTGTGTCGAGGTTAATTGTGAAGCCACTGACTTTGGCAATAGGAGCTGCATTTTGGAGGGTCTCGACAGCCTTGGCGACCTTGGTACTGTTTGAGGAGGCAATGAATACGTGCACTCCTTGCTCTAATGCCAGCTTTGCAACAGCTGCTCCAATACCGGATGAGCCCCCAAGGACGAGAATTGATTGGCCTGAGATTGAAGGCATGATGCAAGAAGTTAAGATGCAGGATGCAGGATGAGATGATTTAGATGTTATCGTGCAACGAGTTGATTGTTATCGCAGAATGCTCTCAAACTAAGAGGATTTAGCTGCCAAACTGGGAGATAGAGTAAGAAGCTTGCGAGGTTCTGGTGATTATTTGATTTCTTAGTGAGAGTGAGGGCGATGGTGAGGTTGTTGTTGATTTGATGAACGGCAGTTACGGTTAAATCAAGCCTCGCCATGCAAAACAAATACATCCGGGCGGCATTCGGAATTCCTACGCAGTTGAAAGCCGATCGTTAAAACACAACAGCTGGCTTTACGGAGTTTGTCTTTATCCCTCACAGGGTGGCTCAGCTGTCGGTTAGCGGCGCAAAACGTGCACGCCGCAGGGAAGCCTTACGAGTTACACCACCTGCACATTGTCGGCGCCAAGGCCCTGTGTCTCATGGGAGCTTACCCCCTCTCTTCTCAAAGCGGCCCAGTCATATGTGGACGGTATTTCTCACCAACTCCACACGGCCATCGGTATGACTTTTGTTCCGAAGGCTCATATCAGGCGGAAGACAACATCACCTCACTCTACTCGCCAAATTGTTCAAACAAGGGTCAAGTGAAAACGAGTGAGAGCAAGGGAATAAAATACGTCTAGTGATCGATGCTTGACTCTAATTTCTAGACAATATTGCATTGATTTGACACTATCTAGCCCTCCAAATGCATAAAGATATCCCGTGTATTATCCTCTTCAACTTCAAAGCTTAGCAACGATCTCCGGAATCAATGTTGAGGTATAGTTCCACAACGCTACAGAGCCCAACACAATTTCCATCCCCGCATACCAGGTATTTCGGTAACCCTGGAGCTTATAAAGTTCATGCCAGGTTCCGTTCTTGATAGCCTCAGATGGGAATTTTGAATACCAGGGAGTATGGCTTGCAAACTCGATCAACTCCGGTTCGGTCGATACCCCAGTCACTGCATCAGCAAATGCCTTTATTGATGCCAGAGTTTTGGCCCTAGCCTGTGCGTAAGGCATAGGCTCGGCGTTGAACATATAGAATCTGTAAAAGCCTTCTATGGCCGTGGGAGTTAGGCTGTTGATTGCTGGTGCTGTGGGGAGGTTGTAGAGGGTCTCTGGTGCTGCATTCTTGTATGTCACGCCTGCGGGTAGACCAGAGATTTTGACAATACCGGGCCAAAGACCCTCAGCTACGAAGTGCGAAAGGATGGAGTTTTCTTTAGTATCGAGTACAAATGGAGCCAGGTTCTTGGCAGTGGGTGGAATGGTAATAAGAAGTTGTTTCGCGTTGATTAGTTTCTTCCCAGTGGGGGTCGAAACGACGAGTTGACTCCCATAACTATTGCGCCGTGCTGATGTCACGGTAGAGCTCAGGAGAACACTTTTCTGAAGCACTTTGAGGGCATTGATGTAGATGATGTGGTTGCCCTTTTCACTGACAACCCCGATGGCAGTAGTGTGTACTCCTAACTCCTTTAGTCCAACATTGCTGATCACGTTCAGTGTGGGTAATTGGAGCATCGCTGTGCTGGAGAACATGTAGATGCTGTAAGCAACATCTTGCAGCGAGTACTTGACGAGAAAGTCTCCAAAAGAAGAGTAGAGGTCGGGATCTACTGGGGCGGCAAGATCTTTTGTCCATTCCAGGAAAGGATATCGCTCGAGCTGGGTAATATACGGCCCAAAGTTGAAGCTTGGAGTGAAGTTTGTCAGAGGCTTTCCGGTGGTAAAGTCCGTATAGACAGTAGCATTGGTGTACGAGGGCATTGGAGACCCATTGTAGGTGACACCAAGGCGATCGAAGTATTTTGTTGCGACAGACGTGTTTTCATACCGCTGGACTCCATAATCAATTGCGGTGCCTGTTGCTGGGTCGATGTACGTTTCCGTATGGCCTCCCAATTCTCCCTGTTTCTCCACGACAATCACGCTCTTTCCCAGGTCACGCAGCGTAATCGCTGCATACGTTCCAGTTGCACCACCTCCAATGATGGCCACATCTACATTGACAACATCTGCCTTTGCATAAGTGCTGGCATCAAACTCAGTTGTGTAGCCATTGACCGCTGAAACAACGTTTAAGCCCAACAGAGATACTTTGAATAAATGCATAGTGAGATGAAAGAACTAGCAAAGATGTCTAGATGAAATTGAATGAAGATGCGATGATCGGATGAGCATACGGGGATCAGAGCATTGTATACAGGTCTGAAGAACCCAGGACTCGTGGGTGTCCGCAGCAGAAGGAGAGGAAGGACGGGATACTCAGCTCTCTCCAGCTGTCAGATCTGCCACCAATCAGCTGAATGTTATGGTAAGCTGATCGAGTTGTCCACGAAAATTAGCCATCGTTCAGCATCATATCACTAGGTTACCCAATTAAGATCTGGATCCTGGCGGACTTTTCGCCCGACTTTCCGGCCCCTTGAAGGTTGCTTAACTTGCATGACATGATATTCAAATCAGCCTCAAGTCAGCCCCCGGAAAAAAAAGGGTTTGTGGCTTTCCAAACACTCTTATTACTCCACGGGGTTACAAGGTCAGGCCAACAAGGACACAGTGGAACAGTCCAATTTAGCCGAGGGTGCCTCTATTCATCCACCGCCCTACTTCTAGTATCGTTCTGGACTCGAATTACATCGACTTACACTCACACTACTCCTTCCATAGCATCAACCAATCAAACATCTAGTATCTTTTCGTTAGAAACTCCGGAAATTATTAGCTAGCCTAATACTGCGATTGGGTCTAAGAACATCATTGAGAGGAGTAAAGATGAGCATCGTATTTGATAGTTCAAAGTGGAATGACTCTGAGAAAAGTGATATGATAGATACCATCAGCCAATTAATTCCTGGCCGTATAATTCTCAGACAGTGGTTACTTTAGAAGTCAATTAGACCCAACGATCTACTTTCATTACAGACAGACATAGTCATAATGACGGTGCTATCGGACCTTGCAGGTGCTTCCCCCAGCGCCCTAGTGGCACTGGCGATCTCTCTGTCTCTGTACACATGTTATAGTGTGTTTATATCATACTGGAGACTCCGCGATGTACCGGGACCATTCTGGGCGAAATTTACTGATTTCCAACGAATGTTCTGGGTCAAGACGATGCGTGCTCAGGAGATCCATCGAGAAGCACATGAGAAGTATGGAGACTGCGTCCGATTTGGACCAAACACCGTATCCCTGTGTGATCCAGCAATGATTCCTATCCTCTATCCCATGAGGAGTGGCTTCCCCAAGGTATACTTCCAGTATCTATTTCACACCCAGACACCAATGCTGATAAGACCATAGAGTTTGTTCTACCGAGGAATTATGCCTTACGCAAAAGGCGGTGCTTTCCCTGCAGTTTTCACTACTCAAGACGAACAAATGCACAAGACTCTGAAAACACCAGTGGCATCTCTTTACTCTCTGACTAACGTGATTAATTTCGAACCCTTCATCGATGAAGTGCTTGAGGTTATGTTTAACCAGCTGGATGCCCGTTTTGTTGAAACATTTGCGGTCTTTGATCTCGGAGATTGGATCCAGTACTTTGCTTTTGATGTCATGGGTACAATGACCTTTTCGAAGCGATACGGATTTCTGGAAAATGGAAATGATGCAAACGGCCTTCTCCGTGCTATATGGGACTTCATGTTGACTATTGGCCCGGTATGTTTTTTCTCATACGGAACGCATTTTAAGCTGTGAAAAACCTGTCTAAAATCATTTAAGATGACGCAGTTTCCGAAATTGGACAGAATTCTCTACAAAAGTTTTATTGCCGATATATTGAAGAATCAAGTTGCTGTCCCAATTCTGAGAATTGCATCAGAAGCTGTCGAAGCGCGGCAGAAAGATGCGCAGAAATTTTCCGTCGATGAAAAGAAGACTCCTGGGAAGGGCGACTTCCTGTCTCATTTCATCAGGATCCAGGAAACCAACAATTCCATTCCGGCTTGGTAGGTTAAGCTCCTCACTCCTTCTGGTGAAAGACTAACAAGTAATAAGGGCATCGAAGACATGGACATTTTCAAATGTTATTGCTGGCTCAGATTCCACAACTGTAGTCATGCGTACTGCTGTATACCACCTTCTCGCCAATAAAGACTCTCTTGCAAAATTGGTTCGAGAGTTCTGCGAAGTAGATGCAAAGTCTGGTCTCACTCGCCCATTTCCAAAATGGAATGAGGTGAAAAATCTCCCGTATTTGGATGCCTGCGTGAATGAAGCTGTTCGTCTGCATCCTCCATTTGCACTTCCTCTAGAGCGTGTTGCACCAAGGGGTGGAGTGACCATTAGTGGACATCATTTTCCAGAGGGTACATGCATTGGGAGTAAGCCTATTTTAATCTTACTTTATTATCCGATTTTCTTAAACCTTGCCCTTGGAGAGGATTTCGTTCTGATTCCATTCTGATTTCATTCATTCCCAGAGAAGTTACGCTAACTTTTCAAGTGAATCCCTATGTTGTCAACAGACATCGCCCGACATTTGGTGAGGATGTTGATGCGTGGAGACCAGAGCGGTGGCTTGTAGATGACCCGGCTTTGAGAAAGAAGCTCGAAGGGAGTGTTATGACTGTATGTCTCGTTTCGGTCATGTTTCAATTACGAGGAGTACTAGAAGACTTTGCTGACTGTCATTGTTAGTTTGGTGCCGGTAGACGCACATGCATCGGCAGATATATTGCTTTCTTGGAAATTAAGAAGCTTTTGCCTGCCCTTTTTTTGAATTACGACGTAAGTCCCCTCTTGCAAGCTCGGAATTTGTACCCACTCTAAATTTCACACAGATCGAGCTTATTGACCCAAAATCATATTTTGTAGAGAGCTCTTACTTCTTTAGACAGGAAGGCATCGATGTGCGGATCCAGAGGAAGGTGTTCTAGTTCAAGGCAAACCGTCGGGGACCACACAGTGACCGCAATCAAAGGGAGGTAGTTAAGCCTATTTCAACTCATTACCCATGTATCTAGCTACAAGTATTTCAGGAGCATGAATGAAAATAATATGAAGCTGGACATAGAATTGCCCAGTCTAGTGCCCGCTAGACTTTCCTGTTACTACTCATGAGCTTCTTGAGTGTGTTTTTCTAAACTCCACAGATTAGTCTTTTCTGAGTATAATTCATTCCTAGTACAGTCAAATAGGTCGCTGATCTGCTATGGATGCCACTAAGATAGTTTTATAAGCCTTTATCTAGTTCTTTGGCTATCATGGTGAGATTACTACTAATTGTCTGGACACTGGAGGCTTAGAAGTTTTTCACGCCTATGGCTGACAACAATATGAATCTTTAGGAAGGCCAAATCATTGATATCTCAAAAAGGGAACACACTGAAAAAAAAATATATATATATATGAAGAAACACCGCGATATCAAGAGAGCAGGTCAAGGCGTTGTTCTTATTACGAGTCTACAAAACGATCCCTACAGTATCCACCAGCACGATTTCTCCCCGGCTCAATCCTTTGTGGTAGTATATGTCCCACTCAATAAAACAGCCCTGCCCTTCGAGTGGATTGGAACTCCCAGCTTTCCTTCCATGGTCTTTCTCGCCTCGGGAACCTCAATCTTCGCCATGAATCTCTTTGCTGCAGCTTCATCTTCAAATTCAATTATAGAGATGCCGTCAAAAGGGAAGTCCTCCTGTTCCCCCACAATAATGTCGGCAGGGTAGCCAGGCTCTTCAGAGCGCTTGACGTACATTCGGGTGTGTGATGTGGGAAATGTATCACCGGCATTGTTTTTGATGATGTTGATGATGTCTTGTTCGAAGTGTTTCTCGAAAACGGCAGGACTTTCATCGGGTTTGCGTGTGAAGACAACGAGTGCTCTGTACGGCATTGTGGCGGGGGCTATTAAACGGAATGGGCTGAGCTAGGACGCGAAATTTATGCTTTTGCTATCTTTCAGCGTGGTCCATATCAAGTTCTGGAATGAAGGCTTGCTTACTTTTTAGAGTTAAAGGGTATGGGAGCTCTGGTACCACTGTTCGTTCAAACCCGATTAGCGATATGTCCACACAGTAATGTCACTTATAGTTCAATAGCATGGAACAGCCTCCATTGTGCCATTCCAGGCTGGACAGAGACAGAGCCGTGTAATAACTCCGCATAGGGGCTGACAATCTAAATAAAGCGGGGGTCTGTAGATGGAGTATTTCGTGGCATGAAATTCTCCGATGCGATTACATTATGGAGTTTTTTTGGAGACGACATTGCCGATTGCGGAGTTAATGTTTCGTAGAAGCCAACTGTTTGGTGGGGGGGCACAGCGTCCGATGTTCAGCGGTCATAGCCCGCAATTCCACAGCTGACACGGCAGACTTTACCGACTCTGACTCTCTAGAGTCGGCTGGCACCAGAGTAGAAATGGATAGGGAATGAATACGAAATAGAGCTTTATTGTTCGCCACTATGGCAATTAGAAAGTCCGATTTGTTAATCTCTGGAAAGTATAACATATTTCACAAGCGAATGAGGCACACAAGCGAGTGAGGCACAAAAACACAAAAATCTGACTATTACTACTACTACTACACCACCACCCTATAACAGAGCTCTTGCCTTATTCAGAGAGTAGAAGGTTAGCTATTTCTTGTACAGCTTGCAGCTAGGGCAGAAATCTATATAAATCTTTGTTAAGGATATACTAAACAAGAGCTAACTCTTTGTACAGAGTCAACTTATATAAGTTAGAGGTATAGTTGCATTACAAAGGCATACTGTGAATTTGTTAGCAGAGGGTTTCTAGGTCTATATTATATAATACTGCAGCACCCTAGACACTTTGAATCTAGCCCTGCTTAATTGCTTAGATAGTATTCTACCCTCTTTATTAGAGTATTAGGCTTGTGTTAGTAGTGGCATAGTTGACTGTAGTTAAGTTTACATGTTCTAATGTTTTTGTAGCTTACTTGCTTATATGCCTCACTTACTTTAATTAGCTACTTTATAAGTGTAAAATCATAAGATAATAGATTGTTAGTTAATAATCATAGAGTCAAAAGGAGGACTTTGGTTTTCGTCACTTGATATAGCCTGAAATCAGCCCTAATCGTATAGACTTAACCTATATTTTCTTTTAATAAGCACAGCTACAAAAACGCACAGGAACTGGCAAAAAAACAACGAAAATCAAATAGAGAAACATACATCTGCATAAGTAGTCTTATTCCACACTCCCCAGAAGCTTCTGAAACGCACTCTGTGCCTCCTGCAACATGGCCTGCTGGTCCCAATGCCAGATTCGGTGAGATCGCCAAGTAAGCTCAGCTTGACATTTTTCCCAATCCCGCATTGTCTCTGGATACCTCCATTCTAGCACCTGTCCGATCACCCGGCTACTCTCCGCCACCCATTGTGAACGCTCTTTCCGCACATGGGAGTATGCGTTGAGAGCCGCTCTCACAGCAGCAGCTCGGTTGAGCTTCGAAAACAAAGCAACATTAGCCAGCAGTGTCGACAAGACTAAACCGTCCTCAATTCCCATACCAGCGCCGGCTCCACTATACGCAAATTAGTATGGGAATCAAATAATAAATGAACTGGTGAACAGCTGCCCAACGGCTTGGAAGCTGCACGCTTTTCTGACTTTGGGAAATGCAGGCAACAATTCGACGTACTGATGAGGAGAAGTGGCATGTGCTGCATCTCCAGCAATGCACACCCGGCCCTTTGCAAAGGTTGGTGTGGGGTTGTCGACGCTGTCAAAAATTCCCCATAGATCGGGTGTAGGATTCCTCTCAATCATGGCCTTTATGAGGTTCCGGACGGGGGCGCCAAAATCTTTGTAGGCCTCGATAGCTTTCTGCCCACCTCCCTTCCTAGTTAGCTGTGTTGGGTCAGGCCAATCACTTGGATCCTCGATCAAAGCGACCACATTGATCATCTTGCCGTGAGCGATTGGGACAGTGACAACATGGCCACCTGGTCCGAGATGCATGTGCCGATTGCGAGCTTTGAAGTCTCCCAGAATCTCTATAGCTTGGTCCATGGGAACCACATCACGCAAGGCGTACTGGTGATTGTAGGAAGGCTCTGCTGCTGGATGGCTCTCACCCAAAATCAACTTTCGTACCCGGCTCTTGATACCATCACAGCCAATAACTGAAACCATGAAGTAATTAGAGTACGGATCAAGTCGAGAGCAGGCACAAACTTACCAACATCCGCTTGAGCCGTGCTGCCATCTTTGAAGTGCATCTGAACCTTTGCACCGTCGCCTGGATCCACAATGTCTACGATTGACTTATTGAACTGGATAATCTCCGGGGGTATGAGTTTGAGCATTTCATCGAGAAAGTCCGCCCGCACACAGCCTTCAAAACCTCGATAGCCAGCATGTAACTTAAATATGAGCTCCTCAACATCACTACTGTACCCATCCAGATATAATAGCCAGTCATTTGGATTTTTTGGGTCACCGTTTGCGGTCGTTACTTTCTGCTGGGCAGCAAAAGCACCTGGGTTCAGCAACTGCAGGGCCTGTTGAGTGTTTGGAGTGAAACCGATCCCTGCCCCAATAGGGCGGAAAGCAGATGTTTTTTCGTAGAGCTTCACTCTTATCCCACGATGAAGTAGTCCAGTGACGAGAGCTAACCCCACAATTCCTCCGCCAACGACTGCAACTCCGAAATGATCGTCATCATGGCATCCATTCTCCTCCGCCGTTGTCATCTTGTCTGATAGCCGCCCAGGTAGCTCTGTAATTGTTTGGTGAATACCTTCTTAAACAAACTGGTTGCCTCTACAGCGACATCTTAAAATCTGAAAGTTAACGTCAACAATAAGAAATTTCGGAAAGTTTTCAGTGATGATCCTTACCTAGAATATACTATGCATATTGTTACTAAATATGGCAATAGTCTTCAGGTATCAGGGTTGTTAGACATACTCGGAGTATGTATACTCCAGTCACAGAAACCCGAGACTCAAACAATCTATATACTTACTCTCTCCGCAGATGAACTAATCATGGAGTGAAATCAAATACAGCCAAAACTTCATTCCACGCAATACTTCAGATTCTGTTTTTTCTTCTTCTTCGGGAATTGTTCAATACACACCGGCGAAAATGGGATCCATTGCAGAAGACTACAACAATTTTGCTCGATACCAAGATATCTTTGGCCAGCTTCGTCTCTTGAAGAGCTACACCCATTTCCTCCTCTGTTTTCCCATTCCAGAAGGCACATCGCACGACACGATTGTTGAAGGGCTCAGATCGGCAACCCTCAAGGTCACTTCAACATTCCCATGGCTCACGGGCAAAGTTATCAACGAGGGCAGCGGGAAGGGGAGCTCAGGCCTCTTCAAAGTAGCCCACTGTCCACAATGGGAGCCTCCAAACTCAATTCTGCGGGTGAAAGATTGTTCGCATATCTGCCCGTCTTTCGCTGAGATTATGAGAGAAAAGGGGCCCATCAAATTCTTTAATCCAAAGGATCTTGCTCCCACCGTTGCATTTCCCCAGAGCTATCAAGAGACAGATGATGATCCAGCTTGTGTTTTTGCGCTGCAGGCAAACATTGTTGAGGGAGGTCTACTGCTGGACATTGCCGCACAGCATAATATCATGCCCGGCGGAGGAATCCTCCAATTTTTGTCACTTCTATCGAAGGTGATGAATGGAGGCGAGATCACTACCTTTGAGATTGAGCAGGGAAATCGAGACCGCCGAAACATGGTGAAGCTGCTGGGGCCGGACGAACCTATCATTGATCTCGGTCGTTACCGTCGGCCATCACTTCTCGAGGCTTCCATCCCCGCTGTGCCCGCGCCTCATGGAAAATGGTGCATGTTCAGGTTCTCAGCCGCCAGTATCAACGCCCTGAAGAAAATGGCCAGTGACACATCAAAGTTCGTTGAAGGTATCACCTTTGTCTCGAGCAACGACACTCTCACCAGCTTCATCTGGAAACGCATTGCGGCCATCCGCCTTCGTCGCATGGTAGACCCAAATGCCTCCTCCAAGTTTGTCAGGGCGGTTGATGTCCGACCAACAATGGGCGTGCCGAATGAATACATGGGCCACATGGTCTACAACACTTTCACGACGCTCACCATGCGCGAGGTTGACGAGCTGCCCTTCCCAACGCTGGTGTCGTTGATGCGGAAGAATCTCCAGGAGGATGTGAACGAGTATGCCGTGCGAAGCTTTGTCACACTTCTCGATCGCACCCCAGACAAAACCACAATAATGTACGGTGGCGAGATGCAACCAGACACCGATGTCGCCTTCACATCTCTTGCTCAGTCAGACCTGTACAATGTTAGCTTTGGTGCCTTAGGAAAGCCTGCTTTACTCAGAAGACCAAACTTCATCCCTCGTACCACGACTTCCATGATCTTCCCCAAGGCACCGGATGGTTCTTTAGATGTGATGGTGTGCTTGTCAGAGGATGACCTGGACCAATTAAAAGCTGATCCTGTGTGGAGCTCTCATACTGAACTCATTGATAAAGACTAGATGGCAAAGTGATTCGTAGTATGAGATTGAGGTATTTTTTTTTGGATGTCGAGCACATTTTATTTCCTACCTTATGTAGAGAGCTGCAATAAAGTTAACACTTTGACGTACCTTCTTCACTCTCTTACTACAAGTAAGCTCTGTGTAATCGTAAAGACTGACTGGATACGGTCTCAATGCAGTTTTATTACGTTGGGGATCGACTTTCTGATCACCTCTAACATCTCTGGTCTGCGTTTACATCTCACGCAAGGCTGAACCCCAGTTAAATAAATAACATCTTTCTCGAGACATAGTAAAACCTGATGTTCCAGTATCACTCTAAAACTAAAAACTAGCATACCCAGCTAAACGCATTGAGGTCCTCAAAGACACCCGTCTGTTCACTGAGGTCCAAAATCTGATCAACAACGGCAGAAACATCGCCACTCCTCAACGGCACGCGATGATCACCATCCCAGGATACTAGCCGTACGCTTTCCTTCTCGAAGAACTCCTCCATGAACCGCTGATGCATTTTCAGTCCTGGATCAAACTTCCCATGGACATGAATGGTAGGAATACGAAGAACGTAGTGAACAAAACATTTTCGGTTCAAAGATCCAGCGTCATAACTGCTGAGAGATGGCGTAGCTGCGTCGTGAAAGGCGGACGTCATGACCAATTCTGGATCCATGGACACCAACGGCCCTCTTCCCGCCATTATTACAGCAAAGCGGAAGTTCAACTTTCTTTTGTAGCCACCCCAAGGGAGTCGAGCCCCTAATTTATCCGCCAGAATTTGCTGGTGGAAGAGCAGCGAGGCACACATCTTCGCCCCTTGACTGAAACCCAACAATGCAACCCACTCCCCTGTCCCCCCTTTCCGGTCGTCCTCATTGATAGCTCGCTGAAGCGAGTCCTCAATATCCATCACAGCCTCATCTGCGGTGATCTCAGGGTGATCCAGCGTCCATCTGAGCCAGCGGCGGAATGGAGCCCAGTCGGCGTAGACTGACATAACATCGGGCCCTGCCTGGGAAGAATAAGGGGCATCGGCGAAAACGAGGCGGAAGTGAGCCTTAAGCTGGGCATTGAGTTTCCGACATTGCGCTTGAAATATCTTGGCATTAGAACCTCCGCCATGAAGACATAGAATTCGAGGCAGGTGAAGACTCGGGTTATCTTGTGCTTCTTGGGTGAAAGCAAGTGGCATGTTGTATGACAGTCGATGTTCCGGGAGTGTTAAAAAGAGGAATCTTTTCGTCGGTGGGAATTGACATTGTCTGTACGAAATAACGATAAACAGATCATAGTAGGAAGTCAAGTTGAATTTGCTGTTAAGCCCACTTCATCGTCCATACAGAGTAAAATAATCGACCACGGCGACCCAAAGCCTGAGTTCTCAGGTGCCGGTAAACGCAGTGCTGTACACGCCCATGCCGGTCTAGTAAGAATATTGATCTCTGAATATTCAGCTAGATACTGCAGAATCGATCGAGCGAGACGTCACTTGTAGAGGCTGGAGTTAAAATAACTTAATCTCGGGGTATTTGACAGGAATGGGAGTTATAAATAGTCCGGGACAGTATTACACAGACAGCCGTCAGCATCTACCGATCCGAGCCACATCAAAAGTCCGATTGGTGACATAGTAATCAACACAAGAGAGTAGAGTATTAGCGACACGTTGGTACGAAAGGAGTTTCTTGGGGGTTTTGGGGCCGGACTTTTTTCATTTTTCGCCGAATCTCGCATGTAAAGTAGTGAATTTGAGGAAGCTGCAGACATCTACATGCCGTTTTCTTCTCTGGATTCTCCATTGGTGTTGTAAGCATTACTGGGGTATGCATGCTTGGGAGAATCCTGGTGCTCTGGAGGAAGCTACTTCCAGCCAGACTAGTATCGTAGGAGAGGGATGAATCAGATGGGCACTTCAATTTGTCCGCAAATTTCCTAAAGAGACACGGGCTTGCTGGAAACAAAACGCACGCAAGACTCTATGAATTAAAACTCCGTGGGAGAGAATACGGCTGTGAATACTGTACAGTCAACCGGTGATATCTGTCGCTTCTCTACAGGTCATCGAGTGCCTTCAGTTTTATTTCTCTCCCTGGAATTATTGTGTGCAAAATAAATGATCATCGCTACTGCGGAATATTGTCCAATCGCAACGTAACAGATACCTTGTCACTGACACAGGTCTTCAGACGAGGCTCCCATCCTTTTTGGCGACTCCAACATACGCAAAAATATAGAGCAAAATGGTCTCATACTCGTCACTCCCTGGGGAAGCCGGCACTATCCTGATTTTTGGATCTCAAATTCTCGACTTCGATGGAGAGTCGGCTATTCAGCTCAGATCTCGCATCTTAGAAACTCCCAAACTTCATTGGTGTCTGGAGACCATTCTTGAGTTACCGGAGCATTGGAAAACGATCGCAAAAGCGGTTCCGGGTCTAGAAGGATTCCCAGGCCTGAAGTACTTGGAGGGATTCGGCCACTGGCTCAAGGAAGGGAGATTTCCCGGAGAATCCTTCCCTCTACCCAATATTCTGCTCACCCCTCTTGTTGTTATAACCCACCTTGCGCAGTATTCGGCATTTATCGAGACTCTTCTGTCTCAAAGCGAAGATGGAGGAAACTGGGCAGCGCTGCTGAATCACAAATTTGAGACTCTGGGATTATGCACTGGCCTTCTGAGTGCAGCAGCTGTTTCAAGCTCTGTAAATCAAGCGCAGCTCCAGAAGCATGGAGCGGTGGCAATACGGATGGCGATGGCAATCGGGGCATTTGTGGATATGAAAGATGCCGAGGAAGGTCCCAAAGGGAGATGGAAATCATTCTCCGTTAGATGGGCCTCAATGGAGGCAGGCGAGCAGATGTCGAGAATATTGAAAGAATACTTTCCAGAGGTACGGCGGCACACAAACTAAATTGGCTCGGCCGCGTTCTGGCTCAACTGATGTGATCCAGGCATATATCTCAGTAGTTGTGGAAGACAAAAGAGCGACCATATCAACCCCAAGCACCACTGTCGCTCCACTCCTCGAGCATCTGAAAGATGCCGGCCTGGCTGTAGCTGAAATTTCTCTCTCTGGCGGCTTTCACTTCGAAGGAAATCGCGAAGATGCCGAAGCACTTGGTCGAATGTTCGATTCGAGTCCCGCATTTACACTTCCCGCCGCTCTGGAGATGGTATTACCTTCTTTTTCAAACACGGGTGGAGGTCACATCAACACTGGAAAGCTGCACCAAGTTTTGACCCGATCCATGCTCGTGGAGCAATCCGACTGGCAGCAAGCATTCGCATCGCTCCAGTCTCACACTTTAACGCATAAGAACCTTGTAGTATGTTTTGGAAGTGAGCGTTGTGTCCCGGCAGGTCTAGCACGAAAACTTGGCCCTCGTCTGATTCACATCGCTGACCTTGATTTGCATCATGAATCAGCCCAGCTGTCTGCATCCTCATTCGACTGGAGAAAGATTTTGAGTGATAAGGACAGTCTGGGATCAGACGAGGCAGTTGCTGTAGTTGGGATGTCTTGCCAGTTGCCTGGGGCTGCAGACCTGGAAGAATTCTGGGCTGCCCTTTGTGCGGCAAAGTCGCAACACACGGAAGTCCCAGCAGATCGATTTGATTTCCAGACTACCTGGCGAGATCTGGACACCAAGAGAAAGTGGTACGGCAACTTCATCGACGACCACGATGCATTCGATCACAAGTTCTTCAAGAGGAGCCCGAGAGAAATGTCGTCCACGGATCCCCAGCATCGGCTGATGCTCCAGGCGGCATATCAGGCGGTCGAGCAGTCCGGGTACTTCAATATGAGGTCCAAGGACCAAGACAGGCACGTTGGGTGCTATATCGGGGTCGGCCTGGTGGACTACGAGAACAACATTGCGTGTTATCCGCCAACGGCGTATGCGGCGACAGGCAATCTGAAGAGTTTTGCAGCGGGCAAGATCAGCCATTATTTCGGATGGACGGGGCCAGGGTTGAGTAAGCAGATCTTCTCTTTTCTTGACGTTGTTGCGTTGCGTTTCGTTGCATTACGACTCATTTCATTCTCATCGATTCCATGCTCCGTGGTAGGAAATTTCTAGGAGGGAGGAGGAGAGGAGAGGAGAGGAGTTCCCTTGGCAAGCCGTGGTATGTGATCGCTTGCTTAGGTAATCATCGTGACCCCTCCCTGTTTCTCACATCTCATCTCATCTCATCTCATCTCATCTTCTCTTCTCTTCTTTCTCGCCTCACTCTAGTCCAGCTCCCACGTCGTTGTCTCTGTTATTGTCTCTAACGCCCTACCTCTTCTCCTGCTCCTCTCTACCTCTTCTCCTGCCCCTCTCTACCTCTTCTCCTGCCCCTCTCTACCTCTTCTCTCATCTGTCGTCTATCAATTCTCCCAAACGCATGTCTTGACTCGTTGTCTCTGTCTCTTCTCCTGTCTCTTCACTATCGATCAACTTGCTAATCGCATCGCATCGTAGCTATCGACACCGCATGCTCGTCGTCAGCCGTGGCTATTCATCAAGCATGCAGAGCCATTTTGACGGGCGAGTGCTCTGCGGCCCTGGCTGGCGGGGTCAACGTGATGACAAGCCCGGAATGGTTTCAGAACCTCGCGGGAGCCTCATTTCTCAGCCCGACGGGCCAATGCAAGCCGTTCGACGCCGAGGCTGATGGGTATTGTAAGTTGCTATTCTGATTTGAGGAGGTCTAATGTTCCTGTGTGTTTTTCCTATCCTAGTGTGATTTCGTACGGCGTGCTGGCGCAGGAATCCTTCGATCATGTTATACGACTACAGTACATTATGGCCATAATACCCATCGATACAATGCAGCCAGCTGTCGAACGAGATACATCGCTAACCTTGTGCTTCATAGGCCGCGGTGAGGCTGTTGGTGCCGTCTTCTTGAAGAAATTGTCAGATGCTATCGCGGACGGCAACCAGGTGCTGGGCGTCATTGGCGCCACGGGCGTTTATCAGAACCAAAACTGTACGGCCATTACAGTACCCAACGCCATCTCTCTCTCACAGCTGTTTCGCAATGTGACGGGCCGGGCAGGGCTTCAGCCGCAGCAGATCTCCCTTGTGGAATGCCACGGCACCGGAACCCAAGTGGGAGACCCAGCCGAGTATGACAGTGTTCGCCAGGTATTTGGTGGTGCAGCTACAGGTCGCACCGACACCCTTTCACTGGGCTCAGTCAAGGGTCTTTTGGGCCACTCGGAGTCCGCCTCTGGAGTAGTGGCATTGATCAAGACGCTCTTGGTCATCGCCAAAGGAGCCATCCCACCGCAAGCCAGTTTCCACAACATCAATCCCGCAGTAAACCCGCTCCTAACAGACAAAATTGACATTGCAACAGAGCTGAAACCATGGGAACCACCGTTTCGAGCAGCCCTAATCAACAACTATGGCGCATCGGGTTCCAATGCCTCACTGGTAGTAACTCAGGCGCCTTCCTCTATGGAATTCTCTAGGGTGGCTGTACAGTCCTCCGCTGCCGAATATCCATTCTGGCTCTGCGGGTTCGATGATCAAAGCCTACGGCGATATGCTACGAGATTTCTGGAGCTTCTCGAGTCAAAAACAATATGCGGCAATGAACTCAGCCTTGCCAATCTGTCTTTCCAGGTGTATCGACAGTCCAATCGATCCCTTGGTCAAGCCTTGCTGTTCAGCAGCCGCTCCATACAGGACTTAAAGGACAAATTGAGGGAGATTGGGACAGGAGACAGAGGCGTATCCACAATGTCGCGCCCATTATCAACTAGTCCTGTCATCCTTTGCTTTGGGGGCCAAATATCCAGATCAGTTGGCCTCGACCAAGAGGTTTATGGTCACGTTAAGATCCTTCAAAAGCATCTCGATCACTGTAATGAAATCTGCATCTCATTAGGACAGGAAAGTATCTATCCAGATATTTTTCAGAAAGCTCCAATCACGGACATCGTCAAACTGCAAACCATGCTATTCGCTCTTCAGTATTCTTGCGCAAATGCTTGGATCGACAGCGGAGTGCAGGTTGCAGCCGTCGTCGGACACAGCTTTGGCGAGCTTACTGCCATGTGTGTTTCAGGTGTTTTGACCCTAAAAGACACGGTGAAGATGATTGCTGGTCGAGCACGCCTCATCCAAGACCAATGGGGCACTGATAAAGGAGCAATGATGGCAGTCGAGGCCAATCTTGAAGAAGTGGAAAAGCTTCTATCTGATACAAAAGAGGCATACCCAGAAGAGTCTGTTGCAACCATTGCATGTAAGTGCAGATTTTTCTGGAAAGTCATTCGGAATTTTATTTTCTTCCCTGAGCCTAAGACAATTTGCCTCGGAAAGCTGTACTCTTTGGTATCGCTCAGATGCTCAGAAAAGTAGTAAACTGACTCTAAATGTCTGATCAACAGGTTTCAACAGTCCTCGAAGCTTCACACTTGCAGGTTCATCCAAGTCGATTGGCAATGTCCTAGACATCGGGAAGGGGAAAAAATTCTCGGTTATTAAGATGAAACGGCTCAATGTCACTAACGCCTTCCATTGTCGACTCGTCGATCCTTTGCTATCAGATTTGCAGAAGTTAGCGGAGCATATCGTTTTTCATGAACCCAAGATTCCACTTGAGCGGGCGACGAAAGATGATGCACCTCCTAATTTGAGCTCTACATTCGTAGCATCGCACCTGCGCGATCCCGTCTACTTCAATCATGCCATTCAAAGACTATCGACTAAGTATCCTTCAGCGATTTTTCTTGAAGCTGGTTCCAACTCGACCATCACGAATATGGCAAATCGAGCTTTGTCATCTTTGAAAGGATTCCACTTTCAGCCCGTCAACATCACCACCGACGGCGCGGTTCAGTTGCTATCAGATGCCACCCTGGCACTATGGAAAGAAGGGCTGGATATATCATTCTGTAAGTTTCATGTTCTAGGAAGAATACTTGCTCTTTTAGCGTCCTCCTGGATTGCTTGCTCCGACGTGCACGTCAAATTCCACATGTAGTCCTTGAATGCTTCAAATCAGTGAACTAACTTCAATTTTTTTTCTCCGATAGGGGCACATCACTCTATCCAAATGCCAGATTACCCACCTATTTTCCTTCCACCCTATCAATTTGAGAAGTCGAGGCACTGGATGGAATTGAAGAAACCAAGGAAAGTGATGAGTGAATTGCTGCCAGGACTTGCTGAAGCCAACAAAGCGCCACCTGCCCTCTGGACATACATGGGATATCAGGGTTCAACGCAAAATAGGGTCCGGTTTCGAATAAACACGACCAACGACAAATATCAGCGCTACGTCTCCGCCCATGTGATTGCACAGACTGCCCCGATATGCCCCAGCACATTTCAGCTTGTCATTGCCATAGATGCACTGATGAGCTTGGTGGTAGACGATGCGAAGACTTCCAAATTGTCGCCAGAACTCCACGGAATGGATAGCCATACGCCTATGGTCATAAACGACAGCAAATTCGTCTGGCTTGATGCAGAAAGGCATCATAGTGATCCTCTCATCTGGGACTGGAAAATTGCCACTTCCGACTCAGCTGTGGGCTCATCAGATGAAACTCTTCACGTCTCTGGAAGAATCGCCTTCCGGAATGTGGCCGATGCTGATTTTAAGGCCGATTTTGCCCGGTATGAACGCCTCATTGGCAGAAGGCGGTGTCTCGACCTCTTGGACGGCCATCAAGCAAATGGGGTGATTCAAGGGCCCCGAAACATCTACAAGGCATTTTCAGACATTGTGCAATACAATCATGAAGTTTACAAAGGGCTTGAGAAGATTTCTGGGACAGAGTCAGAGTCGGCGGGCCGTATTAGGAAGCAACACCTAGGAGAAACATGGCTGGACTTAGGCCTAGCCGACTCGTTTTGTCAAGTTGCTGGCATATTCTTGAACAGCATGACTGATCATTCAGACAACGAAATGTACATCTCGGACAGGATCGATCACTGGACGCGATCTCCACTAGTGACCACTCTTTCACAGCCAAAAATGTGGGAAGTTTTTGCCTGTCATCAACGCCCCTCGGAGAAAGAGTACATCAGTGATGTTTTTGCCTTCGATCCAAGCAATGGTCAATTGGTAGAAGTGATTCTTGGAATTCACTATGTGCGTGTCTCCAAGGCCGGAATGGGAAAGCTCTTGTCAAGATTATCTCTTGAATCGAAAGATAACCATACACCATATTTACCGGCGCAGGTAGAGATTCCAAAAGTAAACGGCATAGTAAATGGATTTCATCAGAAACAGCCAGATCTTGCCTTTCAGCCCGCCCCAACGGAGTACAAGTTATCCCAAACAACCCCGCCAGTCCAGGATATAGAGGGTCCTACACGAAACATGCTATGCAATCTTTCAGGCCTTGAGCCAGAGGCAGTCAAGATCGACTCAGACCTCGTGGACCTTGGAATTGATTCTCTGATGGGCATGGAACTGGCTCGAGAAGTCGAGGGCATGTTTAAAATCACTTTGGAAATATCCGATCTCCTGGACCTAACCGACTTTCAAAGTCTGATTGACTGCATCAAATCCACCCTTGGCATGCCAGTCGGCGGGGTGTCAGATAATTGTGAGGAAATACTGATGGCCGAGACAAAATCCGAAGCCACTTTAGTAACACCAAAAGTCAACGGTGCGAAAATGGGGCCAGCAGCTAATGGGGCTCATTCCTACACAAACGGGGACACGCCTTCTTCGGAATCACGAATTCCTGCAACAGTGGTCCTGGACATATTCTCAGAAACGAAACAAGCGACGGACGATTTCATTGAAGAAAATGGATTTTCTAGCTATGTACATCACGTACTGCCCAAGTCGACTGAAATGTGCGTTGTTTACATTCTAGATGCCTTCGAAATATTAGGGTGCTCTCTGCGTACTGCCCAGCCAGGCCAGATCGTTGACCGGATTCAGCATCTCCCGTTTCATGAGCAATGCGTCGATACGTTCTACGATATTTTGGAAACCGCACGACTCGTTGACTTGGATGGCCCCAACATAGTCCGAACAGCTATTGCAACCCCAAAGAAATCCGCACAAACATTGTTGGAAGAGCTTCTCCGCGACTCACCCATTCACGGTTATGACCACAAGCTCACCGCTATAGCTGGCAGAAAGCTTGCAGAAACCTTGACCGGGAAAGTCGATGGGGTGCAGCTCATTTTCGGTGATCCAGACACAAAAGAGGTGGTCTCCGGAATGTATGGCAAATCTCCTATCAACGTGACATGGATCAAACTAATGGAAGATTTCCTAACTCGATTCCTGCTCCGTGTTCCGAAGCAAGAAGGCCCGATCAAGATATTAGAGATGGGGGCAGGCACTGGAGGCACCACGGCAAGACTCGTTCCACTCCTTGCCAGTTTAGGCGTGCCCTTCGAGTATACAATAACCGACTTATCTGCATCTCTTGTTGCTGCTGCTCGAAAGCGCTTTAAGCAATACCCATTCGTGAAATTCAAGGTACTCGACATTGAGCAGCAACCAACGGGAGACTTTGTACACAGTCAGCATCTTGTGATTGCTACAAACTGTGTTCACGCCACGCATAGCTTAGCGACATCTACAAAGAACATCCATACTCTTTTGCGTCCGGATGGTCTACTCATGATGCTTGAGATGACCAAGACGCTGCCATGGATTGACTTGGTGTTTGGCTTGCTCGAGGGATGGTGGCTATTTGATGATGGCCGTAAGCATGCTCTTGCGCCTCCAGAGATCTGGGAAGAGACTTTGCAATCGGTTGGGTATGGTTATGTCGATTGGACTGATGGGCATCTCCCTGAGACCGCAATTCAGCGTATCATCATTGCCCTTGCGTCTGGGCCAAGATATGAACGGGTACTTACGCCCCCCAAACTCCTTCCAAGCAATACAACTGACTGTGATGCCCGTCAAGTTGTAGTCGATTCATTCGTCGAGAAGTATAGCCAAGAGTTCATCTCGCAAGGCGCTTTGAATACAATCGAGGGCAGGAACGACAGGGTTGATACATGTGTACTTGTTACTGGAGCGACAGGAAGTTTGGGTTCCCACCTTGTTGCATATTTTGCCAGCCAGCCCAATATCAAAACAGTAATCTGTCTGAACCGGCCGAAGGGAATTGGGCGTGTACCCCGGCAGCAGCTGGCTCTAGAGTCAAGAGGCCTCTTCCTCAACTCGAGTGAATTATTAAAGCTCAAAGTACTTGAATGCGATACATCCAAATCAAGACTGGGCCTTGCCAACGACGAATACACGGACCTGGTGAACTCAGTGACGAATATTGTCCATAATGCATGGCCGATGAGTATCACGCGCCCGGTCAAAGCATTTGAATCCCAGTTCAAAGCCATGCGGAACCTACTCAATCTTGCCCAAGAATGCTCTGATAAGCATCTTCCTAAGGGACACAGGTTTGGGTTCCAGTTCATCTCATCGATTGCGACAGTTGGTTGCCATCCTTTCGTCAGCGGGGAGACACTCGTACCAGAGGAGAGAATGACAGTGGAATCAGCGATGCCAACAGGATATGGGGACGCCAAACTGATCTGTGAGAGGTTGCTGGATGAAACTTTGCACAAATGCCCTTCAAGATTTCGGCCTATGGTTGTACGAATTGCGCAGATTGCTGGATCAAAGACAAGCGGCCACTGGAATCCAGTAGAGCATCTTGCTTTCGTCATTAAATCGTGTAAGACTCTAAAAGCTATTCCTGACTTGAGTGGGGTTTGTATTTCTTCTGGGCTTTTGAGGTCTATCCTAATAGGGCTATAGGATCTATCATGGTATCCTGTGAACGACGTTGCAGCCACCTTAGGAGAACTTCTCCTCGGGGATGTGACACCCTATCCAATCTACCACATTGAGAATCCAGAGCGCCAGTCGTGGAGTGAGATGATTGAGGTGCTAGTTGAACTTCTGAATATCCCACGCGCCAACATTATCACATTCGAAGCATGGCTCGACCGGGTTCGGCAATTCCCTCCAAGCTCCGCAGATACTGAAAATCCAGCTGCCAGATTGGTTGAGTTCCTCGAAGCACATTTTGTGCGCATGTCTTGTGGTCACTTGATTCTTGATACAGCTCATAGCAGGCAGCATTCGGAGACGCTTAGGAATTCAGCGCTAGTAGGGAGAGAGCTAGTAGCAAAGTATGTGCAGGCTTGGAAGGAGATAGGGTTCTTGCATGATTGAAATGGGATATCAGGTTTGAATAGAAGAACGTCATCTTACGGAAAGCCAATTTCAATTACATGTGAAATAACATGACGCTTCTCAATCTGATAGAATATCAAGAAGCCCCTTTTCACCCTGAAGTTGAGCCGCCTGTGCGGGTGTCAGCTACCCTCTATCTTACTAGGCCCTTATAAAATTTCTATAATCTAAGCCTATAATAGGAATAGAGGTTAATATAAAGATAAGATATATAGTTGCATATTAGCCTAATATTCACTTCTTTAGGTAAGATATATAAGGTTAATTCCCTAAACTTACATTATATATATATACCTAATTTCCTATCTAGTAATCTTATAGTTTAAAGATAACAGCCTTACTACCTATAAGTTGTCCTTTTCTATAGATAAATAGACATTAGATATAGTGTAAAGAACTAACTTTATTAATCTCTATATAGATCACTTTAGCTATAGCTAGGCCTTAGTATAATTTATAAAATTCTTAGATAAATAGCACTCTCCCTAAGTTAACCTACTATTATAGACAGATCCTACTACTAAAATAGATTAGAAGTTAGTTATAGAAAACATAGATGCACCTAACTGTCTTAGAGTACTTCATTACTAACAAACTATAGGCCTTAGAGCTAGTAAAGACATCTTACTTCCCTAGTAGTATCATTTAGGTCCTACTACTTAAGCTACTTAATTAGAATGCATTAAGGAATCTATTTTAGACAAGACTACATACATAGCTTACTTCCTAGCGTTAGGGAAGTTGTAGCGTGTGTAATCTTCTATAAGTCCTTAGATGCCTTTAATACTTGTTCTTAAAGTATGTATAATAACATTAGTAGAATCTCCTATACTTCTTTAAGTTCCTAGATCCGCTTTACTTCTTCTTCATAAAGGGCTTTTATCTTAGTTAGCAGTTCTATATTCTCTCCTTTAATTCCTATCATCTTAATCTCTTAAGCCTCTCTTATAGCCACTTCTACGTTAAATCTCCTATACTACTCTTTAGAGCTAAGTTAAAAGGCAATTATATTACTAGAAGGACGTTCTCTACTCTTCTCTAGTGCGTTAAAAGCTATGCTTGTTATAACAAGTGGCATTTCCTATTTGTAATTTACGGCGCCTTCTACTAGCACAGCCTTAAAATATACTCCTACTCTACTACATAGGTCGATATAGGCCTTAGTTAAGTGCTTGCTTGGTTGTTGATTAAACAGTGCCGCCTTTCTAGCTGTTAAGATACTCTATTAATACAGGTCCTCTGGTTTTGTTATGAGCTTGACATTAGTTAGGAGAATAGCAAGCCTAAGTTAGGAGTCTGTTAAACAAGATAACGTTACGAGCTTAATATATTCCAAGTACACCCACGGATGTGATTGGCCAACTTCTCCCTCCACTCAGTTCGCCACTTAGCCCTTTCCTAGTTGCTCGTTTCACCTGCTAGCATAAGTTAGTGCCATTTTATATTTGCATAGCCGTAGGTGGCTTCCCCACGCGTGGTGGCACTTTGTAGCAGAAAATTGAGGTGGGACCATCGTTATCACCAGTACCATCAGGTGGTAGCTAGCAGATCGCTGCTATCCTCGTTATCTCAAGATAGCGGGTATACTAGCGCTAGAGATTAAGACTACAGAAAGCTAAATAAAAAATTATACTGCAAGGCACAAGAACAAAACTCCTAAACTCAACAGCCTTTAGTTATGGAGATGCATCATACTATCTCTAAGACTCTGGGCTAGTTCGGAAAGTGTAGCCCGCTTTTTCTTTTGCCTCTGCGACTCTGCTGCAATACAAAGCAGGCCCTGATTCGAGAGTTCCAAACAGTCGTCGGGGAAAATAAGTCCGACACGTCAGAGACAATATGAGATCCTCGAATATTTCTTTTTGTCCAGCGGGTCGTGAGGCGGAAGGCGTTCGCAGCAGGTCACCAAGCCCTAACCAAGTGACGGAGCGGCTAAGGCGCTAAATGAAAGTCGTAAGTGTTGTTCTGAGAACTTCAACTTTGCCAGGACATATCACATGGAAGGATACATGACTAAGGCCAAATTTAAGGTCTAAAGCTGTGCTCTAGCTAGCATAGTGTGAATCCAGCCTCCCTTTCAGAGAAGATACTTGAAATGTAATCCTCTGTCCCCTTCTTTGCCATTTTCCGTCGCTCCATCTGCAATAAGTTTCTCCTTCTTCATATTGCGGCTTCGCAGCACTAAATAGATGGCTCCTACTCCAAGCAGAGCAATACACTCACAGGCCAGCGATATAGAGTTTCCGATAATGTATCTAGGTGCATCCGTAGCAGGATAAATGTTTGATGATAGGACACCGGAGACATTGGCAACAGACACGAAGATTGGGATACTGACGGATCGCTTATAGTCCGGGGCCAAATTGATAGAGATCCAAGTCAAAACAAGGCAATTGAAGACGTAGATACCTTATACATGGTTTATGTCAGTAGCTATTATAATGGAAAATCGCGTCCAAGAGTATCGACAAACGTACCAGAAGCAACAAGGAACATGGCAAAGTAGCCGGCAGCAATATTAGCAGTTCCAATTACTATAGCGTACCCTATTATGACTGGAATTGGAACGACTGCCAACAAGGTCACCCGTGTGTTCAGACGATCTGAGAGGAATGACAAGACACCGACGGCAATGGTCGCCACAGCATATACCGGAATGGTAAGGTAGTTGGCCTGAATAGAGGTGTACCTGAGGGCCGCCATGTTAGCGGATATCTCAACCACTGTAAACGAGAATGTAATCACCCGAGGCCCTTAATAATGGTGGGCAAGAATGTGCCAAAGCCGAGTAGACAGATTGAGTTGGCGAAGAGGGTAATACCGGCCAAATAGACTAATGGGTCAGTCACAGCCATTGTAACATAGCTCCATGAAAAGGTGTCGCTGCCCTTATACATGAAGTCGCGCTGTTTCCTTGCGCGCATGACCTCCTTCTCTTCAGCTGTGAGAAACCATGCCTCCTCAGCGTTTTTAGGCATGCTCGCCCAGCTGGCTGTGCAGATCACAATGGAAACGATACCCTCAATAATAAAGAGCCATCGCCAAGCAGACAGACCAAGGCGGGCGCCCATTGACTGGATTCCATGAGCAATCAGGCCTCCAAATGCTCCGGAGACGGTGGTTGCAATGTAAAGAATGGCAACTCGCTTTGCTTGATGTTCTTGGGACCAGATGGTCGAGATGACAAAAATCAAGGATGGGAGGAGACCAGCTTCAAAGATTCCGAGGAGGAGCCGAACTGCGACTGCTTGTGCGTATCTTTGGATGAATCCGGTACCAAGGGTAGTGACACCCCATCCGGTGAGAGCAACAGCAAGGGTTTTGTCTGCGCCGAACCGCTTGGTGGCAACAACCCAGAATACGTCAAAGACGATATACGTAGGGTAGAATACAGTGGATACGATGTTGAACTGGTTTCCAGACAGGCCAGCACCAGCTTCGAATCCAAAGACCTTTGCATTTCCTGTGAATGAATGAGCCTTACACTCTGCACCTTGTACCATGTATAAGGAGTCACTTACCAATGTTGGAACGATCAAGGTATGCGATCATAACAAGGATGGCAATCTGGGGGAGCAGGAACTTGTCAAACTTGGCCAAGGCCCGCTTCTCGATGACAGGATCCACAAAGATGGTAATATCGACATCCGAATTCTTGATATTAGAAACCTGTGAAGATATCTCGGTACGAGAGGAAGCTTTCTCCATGTTGGTGTTTAGGAATACAATTTGTAAGCATGTCTTGAAGGAATAGACTTTATTCTAAATCTTTACCTGGGATTATGAAGTACGACACAGGGCAGAGGGACACTTTATGTGAGTAGATCCCACGCGAATGGGGCCAAAGGTAATATTTTGATATCGGCCTGTTCAGTCGGAACGCGGGAGTTGCTTATCTGTGGAGTTGAAGACTTTCCCGAGACCCACTACCCCGGATTTCTCATACGGGAAATGAACTGCACGTGTCCGAAACGATATCTCCTGATTCTAGCCGATTGAGGGGTATACGGGCAGGCCATGCAGACACTCTTACTGGAAGAGGTCAGTATCTTATCTTTTGATTCGTCGTGTTGTGCGAGCTTTGACTGGTTCGACTGACAGATGATCCACGATTCTGGGGAAAGTACGCCCCGCCCGCCATTGCCATCCCAGCAAGTCCGAGCCGCATCTCCGAAAGTCCGCATCTGTGCCACAACTCCGAGACGCCAACCAGGATCTCCATGCAACCTTATAGAATGAGGCAGCGGAGACGAGGTTTCTTGAAAACTAACATTGCTCGTTGGCACAGCAATAATAGGTGACCTTCTGCGGTTACAATGCCAGCTCACAGTGTTCCAGGTATCAACCTCGCAGTCTGTTTGAGCGTTCACAACCTAAGGACTTTACCCAGAGACTGTCAATCCAGCAACATAGACAGGTAGGACGACAGTCCCTGGTGCGTGAGATCGCGAGCAAAAGCTGATCATGGAGAACCTTTGTAAAATTTCATCGTGGATCTACTAAAATAAAGGTCGTGATTATTACTGCATAGTATTCTGGAGGCGTGTCACCATTGTAGGCAATCATTAACAAAGAATATCTGTGCGAAATGGGCATCCAAACCAAACTTGATCTAATTATTACGACTTACTACTTCTTGAAGATGCTCACTGAATGTTAAATCTACATACACAACTCCTTGACCCACGGACTCCGTTCACTGAAATGTCTCCTTAAACAGCGAGTCGTACTTCACTTCCACTGCAGCCTCATCCTCCCAACCTTTGCTGAGGACCTTATCCCTCTCCTCACATGCGGCTATGCCGCCAGATATCACTCGCATACTGCCTTGAGCTCTTGCTCCTTTCACCAGTGCTGCAGTCCGGGGTTGTCTCAAGGTTGAGAATTGGTTGAAGACCCGCTGCAGATCCTCAACAGAGATGTCGGCATCGCTTTCATGATCGAAGGTGGGGAGCATTTGGCTCAAGTGGTAGCAGTCCTCCCTGTAGGAACGGATCTTCAGTAAGCGAGTTCAGTGATGATTATAAACGGTACTCACAATGCTTGGTTGGCACCTTGTCCGAGATGTGGGCTAGTTGGGTGCGCAGCATCGCCAATCAGAACACAACGTCCTGGTTTGGGGCTATACCACAGCTTTGGTTCAAGATGAGGTCGATCGTACAACCCGTATTTGATGATTCTTTCAGCTCCACGAATCAGTTCCAATGCTGGACTGCTCCAATCCTTGAAGTCCTCTAATAATGAATCTCGCTCCAGAATCATTTCAGCTGGGGAGCATATTTTCCATGTTTCCTGTGCTTCGGTCAAGTCTCTTTTTGTAATAGCCCACGATGTTGTGGTAGCAGTAACTGGATAGCAGATGAGATGTGCCCTAGGGCCGTACAGGTTGAGAAGACCAGGGCGCTTCTGCAACGATAGTGGTGTAGGGGACATTCCGGCAGTCTGTCTTAATATTAGCCCCTCTCAACAAAAACCGCAGTAACGGTGGTCCTACCTGCATCAGACCTGTGTAAGTAGCCTCCTCCGGTTGTATTTGGTGCTCTTTCAGTAGTAAGGCTCTAGACATAGCCTTGATACCATCACACCCAATAAGTATTGATCCTTCCATACGTTTGCCGTCCTCTGAGATCGCTACAACGCTATCTTCCTTCTCCAAGATGGTTTTTAGTTTCCATCCTTCGTGAACTTCGATGTCTGCGTCGATTAAAGCGTTCTTCAAAGTCAAGTTGAGTGTCGTCCGCTTAATTCCGCAAGCCGGCTGGCTGTATTTGCTCTGCCACTTAGCAGGAATATATGATACTCCAATGGTCTTTCCGGTATAAGTTTGATCGCGAAGTTCACCAAGATGAGGCACTTGCTGGGTGACCACGTCTGCGAGGCCCACGAGCGCCAAAATTTTCAATCTGAGTTATGGTAAGTCACTGTTGGGTGAATTGAAGACAGGTGAGGTAACATACCCATTGGGCATCATCATCAGCGATGCTCCAGCATCTCCCAACTCTCTCACTTTCTCCAATACGACTGGGGTGTAGCCTTTCTTTTTCAGCAACAAAGCAATAACCGGCCCAGCAACTCCACAGCCAATAATCAGGACTTTTGGCTCCATATCAACGTTCATGTACTGTTCTACAATTGAATCTTTGAGGGCATGGTCTTCCACAGAAGTGATGTTAATTGAATGGGTAGGATAATTATGTATAGACGGTTGAAAGCGATTCTTGACAATAAGTAGACACGACACAATCCAATTGCTCAAATATTTTCAACACGATCTCGCGGCAATTGACGTCACAATCCTCTGGAGGCGGAGTGAGTCAGGATTGCATGGTACTAGGGAGATGAATGAATCTCCTTCAAAATCCGTACCGCGGTCGCTCGGATGTCCCTCGGACTTGTGAAGTACGGACATCGGAGATGCTTATCGCTGGAAGCGGGAAATCCAAACCCACCAAAGTTATCAGCTGCCGAAGTTGATGATGGCCTCAGTAAACAGCGTCATGTGCGACGTACCTAGGTAAGGATCTGGGCCGTCAACTAAGCAGTCATCTTTAAGTCTTCTAAAGCAGTAGTGATTATGGCTTCTAATGTCGAGCTGCTCAACTTTTTTCTACAAAGGTCAAGCACCATTCTGGTTTTTCTTGCGCCAGATCAACAAACCTCGCACTTTTCCCACGAAGAGCCTTACATAGCTGTGCAATATCGAAATGGGAAGTATTCTTCCTTTGTACCGGATAGGCGTTGATGTTGGCGGAACAAACACAGACGCTGTCATTCTCGACCCCAATGGTGCGCTTTGGGAAAACCGAGGAGTTGTTGCATTCCACAAGACCTCGACAACCAGCCCCAATGTCACAAACGGCATTGAGTCCGCCGTAAGAGCTGTGATTGAGCAATCAGGGATTAGTTTAGGACAAATATCTTCTATCTGCATTGGAACAACGCATTTCATCAATGCTGTCGTTGAGCATGATGCGAAACAGCTATCCAAGGTCGCCGTCATTCGCCTTTCGAAAAGCTACACGCGCGATATACCACCTTTCTCTGACTTCCCGCCTGCCCTAGCCAAGCTTATGAACGGTTACTATGGATATGTGAATGGTGGCCTTCATATCGATGGCTCTCAAGAAAGTCCAGTACTCAAAGACCAGGTGATCCAGCAGTGCAATATCATTAAAGAAAAGGGACTTAACACGATCGTCATCTGCGGGGTGTTTTCCCCAATCGACACACACTTTCGTCAGGAACACCAAGTTCGGAATATAGTGCTTGAGCAACTGCCCGGTGCGGATGTGGTTTGCTCGTCTGAAGTCGCGAACATGGGGTTCTTGGAGCGAGAAAATGCGTCTATCCTCAACGCATCCATATTGAAATTTGCACGAAGAACGATTGCAAGCTTCAAAGCGGCTATGCGGAGGCTCCAACTAGACTGCCCTCTATATCTGACACAAAACGATGGGACACTGATTGATGCTGCGGCCGCTGCCAGGCTCCCTATTCGGACCTTCTCCTCAGGGGCTACCAATTCCATGAGAGGTGCAGCTTACCTAGGATTATCTTCTTCTCAGGGTACAAAAAACACATCTGCGATAGTCATTGACATTGGCGGGACTACCAGCGACGTTGGAGTTCTGTTGCCTTCTGGTTACCCAAGACAGGCATCGGCATTCGTCACTGTTGCGGGAATCAGGATCAACTATAACATGCCTCATGTCGAATCAATCGGTTTAGGTGGTGGCTCTATTATCAAAGTTAACGTACATGGCGATGTTACCGTTGGGCCCACATCAGTCGGGTATCAATTGACTACAAAGGCGAAGATATTCCACGGCGATGTTCTTACTGCTACAGACATCGCTGTAGCCCACGACCCAAGTATCAAGATTGGGAATCCAGCCCTTGTCAAAGACGTTTCAACAGAAAATATTACGCAGGCACGGAGGAAGATGAAAGTCATGTTGGAGCGCGTCATTGATATTATGAAGACGTCTCCGGACCCCCTCCCAGTTCTCTTGGTGGGAGGTGGCTCGGCCATCGCCCCCAACGAACTAGATGGCGTCTCTACTATTATCCGACCACCCTTTCACCAAGTTGCAAACGCTGTTGGTGCTGCTATCTCGAAGGCTGGCAGTACAGTAGATATCATCCAAAGCACAGCTAATCAGACTGTGGCAGATGCGTTGGAGCATGCGAAATTGGCTGCCATCGAGGCGGCTGTTGCGATTGGCGCGATTCGTGGAACAATTTCGATAACGGAGATGGGATCAATTCCATTGCAGTATGTTGAGCATCAGATTCGAACTTTGGTCCGGGTTGCAGGTGATCTGTCCACAGATTTTGCAGCCGTTGATGACATTACGTCCGACCACCTTCATGATGAGGAACATGAAGACGAAGCAATTTCAGTCGAATCAAAGCACAAAAGATGCATCGAGGATGCCCCGAAACCTTTAGATATTGAAACATACCGTCCAAAAATCATTACGAACTCAGAAACAGGGATTTCAGAGTGGATCATCTCTGAGACTGATCTTATCTGGCTTGCGGATGGTTGCTATGTGCTTGGTTGTGCTGGGGGAGGGACGCCACTCCCTGAGTTCTTGAAGCTACGCGATCAGGTTCGAGCTGGTCATATTATCCGAGTTGTTGATGCATCTTCACTAGCCAAAGACGCAAGAATATACTGGGGTGGAAACATGGGGTCTCCAGCGGTATCCGCAGAACGTCTGTCAGCAGGAGAACTGCTTGAGTGTATTGATGAGATGATGTATTATCTTCGCCACGACTCGTTCGATGCCGTAATGAGCGTCGAAATTGGAGGTGCAAATGGACTTCAACCACTATTGTGGGGCTCCTCTAAAAACTACAATCGTGTCTGCGTGGATGCAGATTTAATGGGTAAGAACTCTTCCTGAACTCGTGAAAGTATTATATTCATGTGACTAATTTCTCGCAGGACGAGCATATCCAAACTACTGGCAGAACACCCTAACAGCACACGAATCGGGCCAGTTAGTTCCCTGCGCTATTGCATCTGGAAATGGAAAGGCAATGATAATGACGAGAACCGACGAAGACTTGGACGTCGACCGAGTCCTGCGAGCACCTGCTATCGAGATGGGAAGCTACGTCGGAATGATTGGGAAGCCCACAACCGCAGATCATGTAGAAAGATATGGCGTGCTGAATACCATGTCTTCTGCATGGAGAATCGGTCGATGCATCAATCGCGCTAAACTGAGCAACACAATCGGAACCGTGACGGATCAAATCATTGACGAGCTTGGGGGCTCATCTGCAGCCAAGTTATTGTTTACAGGAAAGATCATCGGGGTCGAACGTAAACTCCTCAAGGGCCATTCATACGGTGAGGTGATTGTGGAAGAGATGCCCGCAAGCGAAGAAGACAAGCGCAAACTCGCGTACGCGCCTACTGCGCAAGGGGGCCAGCTGAGAGTGCCGTTTAAAAACGAGAACATCTACGCAAAGCACATCGCTGAAGATGGCACTGAGACATTCGTCGCTATGGTGCCTGATTTGATAGCCATTCTTGACGCGCAAACTGGCAAGGCTCTCGGAGTTCCGGAGTTCAGATACGGTGTGATTGTGCACGTTCTAGGCATTGCTGCTTCGCCGAGATGGACTGATAGTCCTAGAGGTCTGGAAATTGGTGGCCTAGGCGCGTTTGGTTATGATATTCCTTACAAGCCATTGGGTACATATGTTAAGCCAAAGAGCGTAGTACTGGAGTTTGCATAGGCATTTTAAACGTTCATTTTCTGGTTTCGGACGTAGAATGGAAGGGTTATATGCCGTGGTCTTTCAGCATAGCTCAGACTCACTGTTGGTTGGGAACTGAGAGCTAGATCGTTTATGAATTCAGAAGTCCTTTAATAGTCCAACTGAATGCTGGGATCATTGGAAGTGACGCAGGAAATATACGTAACGTAGGTTTCATTGTTATCTGAAGGAGGAAATTTCTTTTAGTGTCCGGTATAATTTAACCATGTTGATCTATCAACTCCCGCAATTCAATTTTCCAGAAACTACAGACACAGGTGTTCAAGTCCTACTATCAACTCTACCACCACTGCCATCCAATCCGCAACCCGGTCATGAATGCCCCCAACCAACCGAATAAAATGTTATGCTACACTACACTTGCTCTCTCGACTAAAATCGACGACGATGCTGCGGAAATCAGAACGGCGAGCGAAGCCTGCACAACATCAACATTCTTTAGAGCCTAATTGGGCTTGATTTGGTGGAGCCATGGTGGTTCAAGAATGTTGAGAAGTAAAAAATGGGGGGCGCGTGGCCCGCTCGCTTGTATGGCCCGCTTACCTATCAAGTACGTTAAGTTAACAACGTTCAGTTAACTTACTGGTGGTAGTACAGTACGGTAACACAACTGTCACTGACTCGCATTCAACGACCAACCGTGACTCTGTTTGACTCTGTCCCTTATCTTGCCTACGAGTATCTCTTACCTTGGGACTCGCAATACCGTATATGCGTCCATCGACCATCGACCATCGACCATCGCGACTCACGATTTCCATGTCCTCTGATCCAGCCGGGGGTCTGTCACAGCACGTCACCGGCGGTTAAGGACCCGGCTTCATCACCTAAGCGAGGAACTTTTGACCAACGCAGCTTGTGCAGCTCATGTCCACGGGCCCGTGACATTATCAGATATGTCGCCGCAACCCACGCCACAGATCACAGACCATGGTAACAACACTGGTGAGGGCTCGGATGAAGGACTACGACAGGACATCCAGCCGCAACATCATCAACAGGAGCATCAGCAACAGGTGAAGAGTCGCGCGCTCAGCTGCCTTCCATGTCGCGAACACAAGCTCAAGTGTGATCGCCAGGTACCTTGCAAGAGCTGTGTACGGTCGAACCGTGTGGATCACTGTCGCAAGCATCCTGCCCCTATCGGAAGGAATGGGGCGCGTAGGCTCACTGCACAAAGAGCAGCTGCCATCCGTCGCTCTAACAGCGCGCAGTTACCTCAATGTCAGGATCAGAATCAGGATCAGAATCAGGATCAGGGCCAAACTCAGAGCCAAAATCAGGACCAGAATATAGACCAGCGCATCGCTCGGAACCAGACTCTGCGATCTCCAACTTCCAGCTACCAAGAAAATTCCTTGGACGCCGCAAGAAGCAGCGCCTCAAGCAGCCATGGCCAGCAACCTGTCGATGCCAGATATCAGAATACCTCTTTACCTGGAACTACGCTCAATCAGACCTCACGGTATCCCGTCAAGAGAGTCAGCACTGTCCACATGACCAACGTCTATGATTTACTCGAGTGTCAAAACCCCCCTCCTCATTTTCGCTCAAGTACCGGAGCAAGCATTCCCGTTCTAACACATTTCAATTCGGCCCATCCGACATCGCTGCCGGGTGTTTTAGACTCTACAAGTCGTGGAATATCGGATGAAGATGACCAAGAATCGATCTGGAAACGCCATCTTTGTAGTTTACTACCTACACAGAGCCAGTGCGATTTATTGACTTGTTACTACTATGAAAATATTAATTGGATTTTTCAGTCCATTCACATCCCATCCTTTCGTAAGGACTATGCTCAATTTTGGAACAGCGATGTGGACGACGTGGACCTTATTTGGATGTCTCTACTGTACACTATTCTGTCTATAAGTGGGCTGTATATTCCCCTCGAGACAGCTAAGGTTGTAGGTTTTGAGTCGTCCAAAGTGCGGTCTCTTGCGCATAAGTGGCATTCCGCCTCAAGACAAGCCTTACACGCTGGTGGGTTTGAGGCAAGACCATGCATTACACAACTACAAACTTTCTCGATAACCCAATTGTATTGGTATGCGACGAATAAAATTGAAGTTTTGAACTCGTAAGTCTCCGACCCACGGCTCAGCTGTTTTGCTTCCCGATATAAACTCTGAATGACTATTAGTGCTATGGCGCAAGCTGTCCGGAACGCTCAAGCCATAGGACTTGACAAAGATATTGCAGTCTCCACCTCCTTGGAAAGGGAAATGCGGCACCGTGCTTGGTGGGACTTATGTGATTCGGACACGTAAGTTCATAAGTTTGCTCTCTTGTTCCAAATTGAGTCCCTCTTAACCTTGCATAGATTTCAATCTATGTGTCTCAACAGACCGCCTCTAATACAAGCACGACTATCTAAAGTTCCATTTCCTCTCAACTGCAATGATCTCGATATTACGGAAACATCAATTCTTGCTCGACCGATTGATCAGCCAACAGAAATGAGTATGCATTACTTTAGAGCCAAGGTGTTCAAGATCTTGAACCGACTCTATCTTGATGATAGTGCCCACGTCCTATCATATGATTTCGTGAGCGGCATCGACGCTGAGATCATGGCTGTTGTTGATGAGTTTCCATGGTACATGAAGATTGAAGATGGATCATGTGCCAACTTACCCCCGTCCCTTGAGTTTATCCTGTGGCAATTTCATATTCTTCATACTTGTATTTGTACTCAGCGGATTCGTATGTATCGATCATTCCTTCACCCGCGTGTGGGCGACTCTTGGCCAAAGTGCACCAGAGCAGCAGAGGATTCATTCATCGTGTATCGCAACATCCGAGATGGAGCCGGTGACGAATTTACAAAGTCTCAAAAATTCCTCGGACAAGCCTACCAAGTCTTCTCTGTCGCTGTCGCTATAGCTGCACTGTTGATTGTGGAACGATCTGCACAGAACCCGAATTTACGCAGCGATATAGAGATGGCTATCGTCGATCTTGGAACTCTAGACAGTAGCGAGACTACAGTTTCTCTCGCCTCGGATGGAAGAAAGGTCCTCATACGAATGCTGGCCATCTATGACCAGCGGGGTGCGGCATCTCCAGCAGAATCAGAAGATCTCGTGACTGGGATCTCTACAGTTTTCGGCGGCGAGCAGACAGCTCGATCATATTTGAGGAGGTGCAAGATACGAACACTCCAGAAAAACAACTCTGGAGCATCTTCTCAGCCCACAAACCTTATCCATCGACAGGTCGGCAGGGAGTTCATATATTCGCAGGAGACTGCCGTAGGAATAGATGTGACGAGCCAAGATGGATTTTTTAGTAATGCTGAAATGGCACTGCAACAACTGCCAGCGGAAGATGGCGCTAATGCGTATAATTTCCAACAGATGGATTTGGATATTCCCCTGGAGTTTTTCAACTGTTGGCCTGCTGAGTCTCTTGTACCTTATTTGGAGTATCCTCCATAAGCGCTGTTAGGAATGTGAATATGAATAAAATAATTATTACTCAGAGGGAAAGTCCGAGACGCGTAAGAATTGGCTTTCGAGCGTACGTATCATTACTCCGAGAGTGCACGGACCATGGTATTTAACCAAGACGCCAAATACTATATAATATCTATTTCGGAATCCCGCATGTTTTTCTATCTCAAACTCCGAGTAACTCCGAACGCAAATGGAAATGGCGTCCGCAGTTCAAATAGCGGATTATGGAAAATGGGAAAGTCCCATTACAGCTGAACTATTGTCTGGGTATTCTATCACTCTGAACGAAGTGCAGACTAATGTGCGTTTTTTTGGTGATGTTGCGTATTCCATTGCTGGACCTTCGCTGGCGAGATGATTCTGCTGATATAAGAAAAAGCCCAAGACAGGTGCCATCTATGTGATTGAAGGACGACCTGCAGAAAATGGTCGCTGTTGCATCGTTGAGTACCTTGGCTCAGAGACCAGAGATATACTACCGGAAGGCTACAATGCCAGAAGCAGAATTCATGAATACGGAGGAGGGGCTTTTGCAATAGGTCCCAATGGAACCTTGATCTTCACTGACTGGGAGACCAACGGCATCTTTGCGCTTTCGCCTTCCTCGGGGGATCCCAAACCTCTTATACACGCCAAATCCCACCTCTGCTTCGCAGATTTCAGCGTACACCCCATTCACGAGCAATGGATTCTAGCAGTCCAAGAAGATCGCTCTCTTTCCCCCATTCAAAACTCAATCGTTGCAATTGAGGCAACTACCAAGGAAACATTCATCGTTACACAGGGCGCTGATTTCTACTCGCACCCTCGTTTCAATCACGACGGGACAGAAATATGCTGGACTCAATGGAGTCACCCTGACATGGCATGGAACGGCACGGAACTGTTCAGAGCCACATGGCATCCAGGGACTGTAGCATCGGGCACAAAGATTGCTGGAGCAGCCGGTACTGAGAGTATTTGCCAACCAAGGTGGGGTCCAGATGGAACGCTCTTCTTTGTCAGTGATCGGTCAGGTTATTGGCAACTTTACCGCATAAATCCAGGCGCCGAGACTTCAGAACATGTATGCTTGAAGGGATTGGAGACTTCTGATTTTGGCGAGCGGGAATTTTGGTTGGGCAAGTAAGTTGATGGTTAATACAAGCATAACCTATGGTGTCTTATACTAACGATAAAATAAGCTGTACTTACGTCTCATTGACTAGCAGTACGATTCTTTCAAGCTACACTAAGGACGCAACAAGTGCTCTTGTGGTTATCAACTTAGACACGAACAAGTACACTGACCTGCCACTTGGTTTGGTTGACATTCAGCACAGTGCAATTAAAAGACTCTCCGATTCATCTTTCGTGGTGATAGGTGCATCTGAAAAAGCCCCAAGATCACTGTATCTCGTCGAGATAACAGAGCCTGCATTTAAGAAGCTCATCAAGTCATCTATAGAAGTGGAACTACCAGAAGTACTATATTCCACACCACAGATGATTGAATTTCCGAGGGTGTATGGCGAATTTCGTTCAGGCTCTGGTCATGCCATTTATCTACCTCCCAATAATCCAGCATATCAGGCGCCTGCAGGGGAGCAGCCGCCACTCATCGTGTCCCTTCACGGTGGGCCCACATCGCATGTCTCTCCTGGTCTGCTATTAGAAACACAATATTGGACCTCGCGAGGCTACGCATATGTGCACGTGAACTATGCTGGGTCTACGGGGTACGGCCGAGCTTACCGGGATCTGTTAAAGCAACGATGGGGAGTCATAGATGATGCCGATGCCGCAAGCTGTGTTGCACACTTGATATCGCTTTCATACGTTAATCCAGCGAAAATCGGTATCGTTGGAGCCAGCGCCGGCGGATACACTGTCCTTCAAGCACTCTGTGGCTATCCCGATGTTTGGGCTGGTGGTGTGAGCTATTTTGGAATTGGCAATTTGAAACCTCTTGCTGTAATGATGCATAAGTTCGAAAGCTACTATATCGATCAGCTTCTCTTCTCGATAGGAACGCCTCTGGAAGATCAAGCTCGGATTTTTGAAGAAAGAAGCCCTTATTACAAGGCTGGTAATATCGCTTCCCCAATCTTACTCTTGCAAGGCACGGAAGACACGGTGGTTCCGCCAAGTCAGGCAATTGATATGGAACGGATGATTAAAGAGACGGGCGGGACAGTGAAGCTTGTCCTTTTTGAAGGAGAAGGACACGGATTTCGACAGATGCATAGCTTGAAGACAGCTATTGTACTGGAGGAAGAATGGTGGAGGAAGACTTTGTTGTAACTGAGCTTCAATATTGACTGGAGGTTTGCAAGGTTTACCAAATAGAAACGAGAATACAGTCATTAATTACGGTTATGCATCATAAACCCATAACAATAGGTTCATTGTCTGGGTATATTCGAAGTCGAGCTCTCTTAGTCCCAACAGCAACCGTAAATCGGGAGTGTTAAATAGACCTGAAGACCCAGTCTCTTACGGTGATGTTTCTATCACTCACCAGCCAGCATAATACAAGTACTATTAAACTAAGGATCCTCTATCTCAGTATGACTGAGTAGAGGCACAGTATAGTGGGAAGCAAGCAGGGTAGAATCAGTAGTATTGAGTTGACTAAAGAGCAAAGATCTGTGTGATGCGCTCAAGTATGTATCTGCTCTTGTATCCACGTGACAGCCTAGCCCTATGCGGCGTAGTCTGTCCGGACCTCTGCATCTGCACTGAACTACCTGTTTCCTTAACAAGTACAGCAATTTCTTCATCCTTATTTGCTCCAAATATAATGCTGAACCACCTACGTGACCGAGTACCCACCGTCGACAATAATATCCGTGCCGGTTGCGAAGCTAGAGGCATCAGACGCGAGATAGAGGTAAGCACCTTTCATCTCTCCCGGAAGAGCCAACCGACTGAGAAAATGCCACCATCAGCATGAGACAACAGCATAAATGGCAAGGGAATCTCGAGCTGGGGGAGCAATGAGGAAAACAAGAGGATACATACCCCATGGGAGTCTTGTTTTTGAAATGGGTCAAGAGTTCTTCTGGAACTTGATGCATGACCTCTGAGGCCACATAACCCGGAGAGACTATATTACAGCGCGCAAACCCAACCCATTCTACTGCGAGAGATTTGCCTGTACAGTGAAGGTCAGATGTCTGCTCAAGGAGTGCTCAGCCCCGTGGGCATGATCTCGACTCACAAAGATGTATGACAGCCGCCTTGGAAGCATTGTAAGGCGCCTGCTTCAATGGGATATTTACGACATGTCCACACATGCTCGCTGTAGCGATGAAACTGCCCTGCTTAAAGCCTGCGAGATTGTTGCCATCCATTGTCGTGCCTTCTGCTGCCTGTCTTCGCCAGTGCTTTCCTGCGGCCCGGGCGCAGAAGAAGACGCCGTCGAGATTCGTGGCCATTACTTTGCGGTAGTGCGAAGTGTCGCCGTCAACCGCATCGCCTTGAAGCCATGGCACGCCGCTATTGGCAACAAATACGTCGAGACGGCCGTTGAATTCCCGAACGATTTGATTGATTGTTTCTTCGATATCCAGCTCCGCTGTCACGTCTAGCTTGTATGCTCGACCTAGAAATATCAGATGAACTGATAACAATGGCGGTCTTTCACCAGTTTGAGAAGAAAACAAAACGCAGGCGAGGGGAATAGAGGACTCTGACACTCAAATAAACTCACATTGCACATTGTATGTTTTCTCAATCGCCTTTGCGCCCTCGATGGCTTTGTCCTTGTTACTATTATAGGTAAACGCGACGTTAGCACCTGATTCCGCGAGTGCTTGAACGACTGCATGGCCAATTCCTGAAGCGGCTCCTGTTACGATGGCCGTCCTTCCTTTAAGCGAAAATAAGGGCAAGATTCGATCGGCCGCCTGTGCTACTGTATTATTATGCACAAAGTCGCCTCCATTGAATATTGGGCGTGACATGGTTATTCACTGGGGACGTGAAGAGCAGCAACTCAAATGCAGGTAGAGGCAACGAGTTGACGGTTGTAAGAGGAACAACAAGGATGATATTAAAAACCTGCGGTTAACAGAGTCGTAGCTTGTCCTTCCAAATCCAAAAGTAAGCACTATTAGAAAATTCAGGTACTTAGCTAGCAACCAAGCTTCGGAGTTATGTCATGGCTATAAACCCTCGTTCTACTTAATCCGATATTAGAAAACAGGTGACTAGATCATGTCAAGTGCAGAGGTTGAAGGCTAATGACCCAGACCAAATATCTCGGAGCTTTGTGATAAGGTGTGTCAATTGCATCCTCAAGGGCATGTGAGAATAAGCTAGCTGTAGGTATCGTAATCTGTAATCGAAGAGCTATGTCCGCCGCCTCTTACCCTACGGAATGGCTAGTATCCATTCGTGGAGATTGTTTCTGTCCCAATTCCGGACCTTCAAACATCGGTGGACATAGATTGTGGGTTGACGAATAGCCGGCTTTCCGTGATGCCAAACTCCGGGCTTTGGTAGCTCCGCGTATTCACTCTGTTTTACGCCTTAGATTCCACCTTAATCAACTACAAAGTATGCACAAACTCCACTTAAGCTTATTAATTATTCTTCCAGCTTTGCTTATATCTGGCGACAGCTTTCTGTCCGGTTTACGAAGGCTTTCATTAAAACTGAGATATTACCGAACTTTGCATATCAACCTCAGAATCAACCAGACACCCACAAGATATCTTGAACCATGACTTCCACGACAGAATCAACGATATACAAACTTATTTTCTCTGTACCGGTCTCGCATTTTGCCGCTGTCAAAGCTGCTGTCCACACTTCTGGTGCCGGCAATTTCCCAGGCTACACCGGCGTGAGCTTTCAGACTCAAGGCATGAGTGTTTTCTTGCCGAGTGGTGCGACAGAGCCAAACGAAATGGCTGAAACGAAGGTAGAGGTCTTTTGTTCCGGAAGAGTTCAAGCGGTTGCAGCCGTGGGGGCAATGAAGAAGTAAGTGATATTTTGCTCAACGACTGGAGTTTGGGGGGATGGTATGGAAAATGGTGACTAACGTTCTATGAAGGTCACATCCGTACAAGGCCGTCTCTTATGCTGTCTTCAAGGCGGAGAATATCTAGGGACTTAGAGAAGGAAGCAGCGATACTTTGAAACCATATTCGCCTGTGGCTATGGCTTATGAGGAGGATACACTCATCTAAATTATGGACGCACTTTTCTATACTTGAGAAAGAGAAAATTTGGTTTCGACTTCAGGAAACCAACTGAACTTCCTTTTTCATTTAATGCATCATAACATACCTTTCTCACATTGTCAAGTTTACGAAGGTCATGCAGACGGGTTTAAATAAGATAGATGAGACCTAATCTTAAAGTTTATTTCGACAGCCTACATACACACTGTCTTATAGTTCTTAATACATTCATTGAGTAATATTTATTTTAAAAAGTCCCCTCCGGTCTCTTTCAGGAGTAGATTATACTCCGGCCAGAATTGTGCGTACATGACCTCCGAATTACTTGTAGTCTTGCTTGTATATTTTGCAGCTTCGTCGGACACGTACCTCTTCTGTATTCCACTTGCCGCAGCAGCATCCGTGACAAGTTGTGTGTGGCAGGCACGTTCCAGTGCAATGAAAAAGGCAGCCGCCTCGGCAACAGTACCTCCAGCAGTCAGGACGCCATGATTCTGTAAGATAATGTTCTTCTTGGTTGGGCCTAGGGCATCTGCAAGTCTCTTGCCTTCATCTGCAGCAAGGACTGGACCAGCGAATCCTTCATATATGGCAAGACTGTCGTAAAACATACAGGAGTCTAGATTGCTGGAATTAACGACAGAATACAGATTGGTTGTAGATTATCACACACCTTGATTCAGCATTTCTAGTGGCTTTCCGAAAGTCGACCATGCCCTACCATAGGGGCTATGACAGTGGCATGCTGCATTTATATCAGGTCGAGCCTTGTGAATCTCCGAATGAATGACAAAGCCGGCTGTGTTGACTTTGTGTGATGTCTCAGACAAGCAGTTCCCGTCCTCATCGACATGTATAAGATCAGAAACGTTAATCGCACCGAAGTGAACTGCGTATGGATTGATCCAAAACGTTTCTGGATCGGTAGGATCTAGAAAAGTAAGTAATGTGAAACAGGGGGAATGAAGCTTGCCTGCAGGATCAAATACCTCGAAGGCTGATATGACCACTTGCACCATCTGCAAACCCCATCTTTGCGAATATCCGAAACGCCGCCGCCATATGCTCTTTCTCACGCCTCAAGAGCTCTTCAACGCTTGATACTTTTGAAATGTCATTGAGTCGCACCATCGTGCCATCGACAGTGGTCTTCTGTGTTTCTGAAGGCATTGTCGCTTCAGTTTCTTTGTTGAGTTGAATGTTTCAGTGTTTTGTAAACTGTTTATTAACTTCCCTGAATCTCCTGCGCTGCTATGTGTCTCTTTTATGCTACTGATATGCAAGGCCAACTTTGGCCTCAGAACCAAAATGTCAGATGCCGCATATCCGCAGCAACATGTGTCCGACTTTCCCTCGTTCTCCTGTGCAATCGGAGCTTCCTCCCCATTGCGGACATCGTGCTGGACTCACTTCACGACCACCAGCAAGTAATAGTCCGTCTAAGAGCTCGGCCCAGCGCCCTGTTGGCCTTTGTTACCCAATCGTTAATTGGAACATCCAGCTTGCCGTCTGACCAAGAGCGAGTTCATAAGGATGAACCACGGGCGGCTCTTGATAGCCGTAACCCCGACATAAGCACGGTTGATCATACCTGTCCATAGCATCTGATATTATTTTTAAGCCCACAATTACACCTCGAAATTCGTTAGATGAGATGGGTGACTGCAACTCCGAGCCACCAGATTCGGACTTTTCATCTGCTATCTGTAACTCCGAGATACCATATCCGGATTTCTTACCTATAGGCGGGCGTCTACAACTCCGGGTCTATGTTTGAGACCCACAGTACCTTGTTGGAGTCGTCCCTAACCCGAAAGCTGAAACGTGATGCTAAATTGCCAACTGTCTAGTTTCGATTAAACTGGACTCAAGATAGGACAACAAAATGTTATTCGCCTGTGGCGTGCCGACGTAGGCTAACCCCCAGTTTGCGATACATCTAACTAAAAAGGAGTGTAAACTTCCTTTGGCCCTTACTCTCCTGGATATTGTCAGCACACACTGTCAACGCATACAAGATGGAGCCTATTCCCGTCTAGCGCTTTATACGTCACAACCATTCCAGAATCAGAAAATCCAAGCAACAACAGCACACTTAAAATCAATTTTTCGTCTTCATTATGCATTTCCCTAACTTTGTTGTTATGGTTTCTGTTTTCTTTGCTGCAATGGCGTTCGCAGCCCCAGGTACAGAAGGAGTGGTTACTGAAGCAATTGAGGAGAGAGTAAGTGTTAAATAGATGCATCGCTTCAGATTTGTTGTTACTGACGAGTGTTTGGCGGAAAAGCGTAAGTAGCACATTTACCTGGCTGTGAACCGCTAATTAGATGGAATGGTTACTGAGAGGACTGTTTGGTGGAATAGAGTAAGTGGCACCTTTACCTGGCTCTCAGGAAGACTGAAGTAAAATGATTTCGTTTTGAAAGGTTAGATATTAACAAGAGGACTTATCCTAGTATGGGCTTCGCATTCCAACACCGCCCATCACAGCAAATATGAGAAGCAAATAGCCACATTACAACTTACTCACGCCCCCCAGTCTCCACGTAGTCCGTCACAGATCCTCCCGTCGTTGCTTCGTCCCTATTCTTCACAGCGTAATCCCCGCTCCCGGTTCCCTCATCATAAGCAGAATATCGACCTTCCCCTCAGCTCCAAACTCTGTAAAATCAAGACTAATTGTATCTCCCGTCTCCACCCAGCCAAGTCGTCGATATAGCTTCTCGCCCGCCTCCGATGCCTCAATATACGTCTTCTTTCCCTCTCTATCGGCGAGCCTTAGCACAGGCGCCAGTAGCGCCGCGCCGAGGCCGAGACGTTGGTACGTGGGAAGGACAGCAAGAATATTCATCACTGAACTGCCCGTTAGTTGCTATCCCGTTTATCCGGTAAGTGCCAGGCGCGGTCCTTGTTAAGGAAACCGAAGTAAGGGAATGAGAACGCACAATACATATCATCCTTCTTCAACCACTTGTCCCGCATCTCGAACAGCTGCGTCTTAAACGCCTCCTGTGCCTTACTATTAGTCCCCTGAATCGGTTCTGGCTTTGGCGCTTTCTTGGCTTCCTCCGCTGCGGCCTCCTCTTCAGGCGTCAAGACATGCGGGAACCACCAATGGGAAATAGCTGCGATTTTGCTGATCACGCGTCAGATATAGTTTCCTCCCTCTCGTATCACGTCATCTTTAGCGTAGCAGAGCGAACCGATTAATGAAATTAAAACTGCCGAAAGGGGGACAGCAGAACAAGGGAATGTGAAAAAAAAGAGAGTGAGCGGAATAAAAAAAACGCACCCAGTCCCCTCATCAACAACCTTAAAATGTCTGCGCCCACTTATAACCCCCTGCTTCTTCCAGAACACGATATTCTCTTCTCTCAGCGCAGCGCGGTCACCTGTCCCGCTCATGGTATTGAAGAGCAGATTACCAGTGAAGGCACTGTCGAAGACATCACAGAATTCGGGGATGTCACTCTCCCCGGCTTCAGAGATTGTGAATGTATAAGTCCCGACGCTCAGGATTTGTGGTGGAAGGTCGGATGTCGCCATGGTAGGTGGGGTGTCGCGGGCAGAGGAGTAAAAGCTACAGTTCACAGAGGTCTGAAATGCTCAAATAAATCACCCAGCTCAAAGCTTAAACAGCAATAAAATAGCAATAAAAGCAATTTAAAAGGCAGAACCCTAAATATATATATGCCCTCTAGATCCGCCATCCGGTCCAGCCGCCTGGTCGCTAAGAGGATCTTGCCACCCGCACTAAAGTATGACTCCCGGCCGACGCGCCAAGGCCTTCCCCACCTTCCTTTTTGGCATCACTTCGCCCGTTGTCCCGATACGTTCGCAGCGATAAGCTTCAAAACTTTACCTTCAACACCTGAAGTTCACTTTTCAACCTCGCCTTTCTTCTCCTTCTCTTCTGAATACCCGATCCGCTTCAGTAGTGTCTGCCCTCGAACCCTTCGCGATCCCTAGTGCCTAATTGGGCATATTCTTCGCATGCATCAGTTTCTCTTCAAATCTCGGTTACCATGTTTGATAGGCTAGCGGCTTTGGCATTTCGGGCCACCGCTTCTCAGAGCACACGTAAAAGACCCTTAGAGTCCTATTCTTTCCCCTATATCATATGCCCTATACAAAGAACTGCCGATGAGCAAGTGAAGCAAGCTACCTAGAAAGAACTGCAAGAGACATCGGCAATTGGTCTGTGCCTAATCTCCCATCTCTCTGTAATAATTTTATAAATGTAGCATACAGCGCAGGTGCGTTAGCAATAAAACAAGCACACTATTAGAAGTATATTATAATAAAGTATAGTATAGTATTTAAGTATAGTATTTAATAAAGTTTTTATATAAAGTGCTATTATGTTATAGTAATAAGTCTATTTATATACCCTTTATAGTAAGAAACCTACTATGTCTATTAGTAGTACTATTTATAATGTTAAGTCTTATATACTATTAGAATACCTCCCCTATGTCTATGTGCTTAACTTTAGTAGTACTAGAGAGAGAACGTTATTTAATTTAACTTAGTGTATTCTATTATTTAGATGTTGTCTACTTAAAGTAGCCTTATAACTATACTAGGGTATTACATGCTTCTTTAGAGAGGGTTTTCCATCCTATAGTACTAGGTAAGTCCTTAAAAGTGAATGAAGAGTGTTATAGATAGTAGATTGCAAAATCTAGACATAGTAGGAGCGTGCCTTTTATACCATTTTCAAGCTCGCCCTCGCTTACCCTTGCTCACCCTCGCTCACCCTCACCTTACTCACCTTCGCTAACCTAGGTACTAGATTATCTATGGCCATCTAAAGTCGCGGTGCATCACGTTTATCGCGTCTTAATACAAGACCCACTCCGTGCGTGTCGACGTAGCCGCCATTAGGTAGTTAAGGGGGACAACCAGATTATCGTGAGGCATCAAAAACTTGAGGGCAGCAACGCTCACCTGCTAGTCCAAATGGCACCGTCCTAAGTATTAATCCACTTCAAGCTTGAGATCGGTGGATTAGTAGTTGGGTGGGTGACCACCAGCGAATACCTACTGTTGTAGGTTTTTGCCTTTTTGTCGTCCTCCCCCTCATAGCTAGTTATTCATCCCTATATTCTGTCGTAGGAGAGAGACGTTTAAAGGGGGTATGGTTTGTATTTTGCAGTTTGTATTTTGTAAAGGAACACCTAAGTCAGTGAATATCTAGCTGCACTCCTCTCATAGCTATGTTTGATTATCCCCCTACTCATAGCAATTGTCCGACTACCCATCTCTCATAGCAACAGTCCTCCTACCCTCCTCTCTTAGCACCTATTTAGCCATTATCCTCTCACACAAGTTGTCCACTTACCCCCATCTCACGGCATATACAACCAAAACGGACCGGGACTACCTCTCAGGGGGGGGTTAGCACTTCTCACCCACCAAATATCCGATAGTGTCGTGGCTCACGACGTCCTTGGAGATGCCCTCCTTGACACATCCCAGCTTCGCCCCCGACCAGATATCCTCAACCTGATACGAGGTTCCGTCAAGCTGCGGCACCTCACTCCACTTGATCTCCCTCATCGCCGTCGCGGCCAGAGAATTAAATGCAAGTACCAACACCCCATTGCTGCCCACGCCACTCCAGTACTCCGCCGGGTTCGTAGCGTTGAACGTCCAGTCCACATTGACGCCCCATTTATATGGCATCGCAGGTTTTCCGTAGATGTCATCCTGATTGAAGGCAAGAAGATATTTATTCTTCAAGACCGCCACATTCGCCGCACTCAACTTGTCCAGCGCAGTCCCGATAACAAGCGGACTCTTCATCGCCGCCCACAGTGCAAAGTGACTGCGATTCTCCTCATCCGTCAAGACGCCGTTGCCGACCTCGAGCATGTCAGGGTCGCTGTGGCTCCAGTGATCGTTGTAGTTCATCAGGAACGAGTTCATATTGAGCAGCTGCGTGATGCGCGACCATTGGGGCGTGATGTCGGCGCTCATGCGCCATGTTGGAGCAATTGATGAACCCCAGTTTTGCACACTTGCCCGACCCCACTCACACAGACTGTAGAGAATTGTTCGGTTCTGCGCTTTCAAAGCGTCGCCCATGATGCGGTAGCGCTGGGTGGTGTTGGAAGTGCTCCAGTCATAGCCCTCGGGGGCAGTACGGCTGGTAACGGGGCAGGTCCCGTTGGTTAGGAGGGGAGAACTTCCATCAGGGATACAGCTGGCATATGTGTCTGTCCAGTTAGATGGATAGAAACAGTTGTCATATTTGAGGTAGTCGATGCCCCATTCGGCAAAAGTGGCTGCATCCACTTCCTCGTAGCCGATGGAGGCAGGGTAGCCCTCGCATGTATTGGTGCCCGCCGAGGAGTAGATTCCTATTTTGAGACCGAGGGCATGGATCTTGTCTGCGATGCCACTGATACCATCAGGAAACTTGGTGAGGTCGGGACGAATCCGGTGAGTAGTTTCGTCGCGGCCGTCTTTGATCGACCAGCAATCGTCGACTATGAGGTGTTAGAACTTTCCTGAAGCAAGAATATGAGAATTACTGTTAATATATTCATAACCGGCGTCTTTTAGACCGAGATTAACAACCTCGTTCGCTGCAGTCATGACCTTCGTCGCATCGATATTACACCCAAAGGCGTTCCAGGAGTTCCATCCTAACGTTGGGAGTTTGCCCTGAACACTATTAGCACTCGCCCTCACGGTAAAAGTTACAAGCATTGTTGCATATTGTCCGAACTTATGGCTCGTTCAGCTTGCACAGTTGCTAGAGCAGTAGGCACGTCTGCCAAGAAACCCAGTGTTGCGGGTAAAAGCATGATGTTCTATATACTGCGTGTCTGGATTGCTACTGAGGTGAGTGCTGACTCCAACACGCGCCAACAGTAGCGTAGCCCATCTCTTACATAGAAAACTAGACCCACCACGTCCACGTCGGCGCTCTTGACTGGAACGATGCAGTAGCTCGACCATTGTCATGCATTCAACCCCGGGCATCAAAAGAGGGAAAAACGGAGTATAACACGAGATTTCACAGAAGATCAGCATATCAGCAAGGTTATCCAGCATTGAGTTGGAAGCTCCATTCTCCACTTAAACGCGCCGATCTCAAGATGCGCCTTGAGGGTACGTTGCATGCCACTCAAGGAGCTACCCCACATGCCACATGCCACTTCTTGTTCCGAAGCAGCGGGCGCGCATAAAACTGCGGAGATCTTGCTTAACATAGGAAGGTTGCAGCCACGGCATTTAGTGTTATCAGGAGCCGTGGGTGCCATGACAGAAGGAGAGCGCGTAGCTGGAAGCTAAAGCATGTGTGGGGTATTGAGGTGCCATATGACGCGTTGAGCACAGACTTGAGGTTACTTACGATGGGGTCTTGGATTAGGGACGTGGCAAGGCTTGTTTTGAGCACAACTTGAGCATCGAGATGCATGCTCGCGATCTACGTAGTCGCGGCTGCTCCAGTCGTGGAGAGCCAGCAATGAAGTCCTTGGTTTTCGGGTAGAGAGACGAGAGAGAGAGACGGGGTTTCGGTGCAGAAATTTATTGACGAGTCAAACTATAAACTTGTTATTGCTCTTATATATATTGCTGTATCTGCGAGGGTAAAGTGACCAGATCAGGCTGTGTTTTGGTAAGGAATAGAGTTAGTCAAGACATACGTCGTCGTTCCTTCCTTGTTCGCGGGGTCCGGAGATCCATTTTAGGTTTAGTGCCACATTGAGGAGGGCGGCCGCTCTCATTTTGGAGAGAGACACATTAAGCAAAATCATGATATTCTTCATAGAAAGTGTTTAAATATTGAGAGAGTACGACATGAAAAAAGGGTATCTACATGTGAAGTGAAAATAAAAAACATATTGCGGCGAAGCCGTGTGTTTCATATCAGTCATAATCGTACTCAAATGTCCACCCATCTCCCCCAAACACAAACGCATTGGCGGTCATCCCCCAGATTACACAGACCAACCCGTCCCCTTTCTCCCTCGAGCGCCTCCCGCCTATCCATTACTCCTCATTACCCCCCATTACTCCCATTACTCCCCATTATCCCCCCCTACTCTCCGTTACCCCTATAGTGCCCTACATCGCCGCCTGCATTGAAGTCGGTGTTCGGTAGGTACTGCACATGTTCCAGAATCTGCGACAAATCGGTATCGATATTGCTCAAATCCACATCCCGCGTCGTGAAGGTCATATCGCCCGCCCCCAGTCCCTCCATGCCCAGACCATAGTAGCCAGTTACGCCCCAGCCCTGGTAGGGCATTTCGGTGATGGCGCCAAAGGGCGCCCCATAATCGTACCGCACAGGGCCGTCGTACAGCCCATGCGCCAAGTGCTGCGAGGGCCCTGTAGAAGCCTGGCTGTTCATCGTGTCGTAGGGGTTGGGAGCCATGCTTCTTCCATAGGGATTAGGCGACTGCTTTAGCTCAATGAGCATTGCAGCGTCTCTGTGACTATCGTCGATCATGTTATACTTTTGTGATGGTGGTGCCATGTTTTGCTGCATTGGTATATGCTGCTGCTGCTGTGGTGGAGAATAACCAATATTGTAGGGCGGATACGTAGCGGCTATATTAGTTGGTCTCGTGGATTCTGGGACGCTTGGGCGAATAGGATCATAAAACTTATGATGGGTCTGTCCTGTTGCGGGCGGCGGAGCTGGTGATGCAATGTCGCCAGGTGCTTGCGGAAACATCAAAGTTACGTTCGAGTTGGGAGAGTTCGTCGTTCCTGTCAATGCCCACCAGATAGGCTGATTTGTCCCACCATCCACCGTTGGCGACGCAGACCTTTCGGTCTTTGGGGACATACTCGGAGCCACGGATTTCATACTAGGAGACGGTTGTGCAAACGGAGGCGGAAGAGTTCGTTTCCAATCCTGTACGGGACCTGGGCGAACTTTCGTGCTTTCCATTTCCTCTGACGTGAAGGCCTCTGGGTCTGCAATGCCTATGGCTTTCTGGTCAAGGGCAGTCAATATGTATTTTGTTCCCGCCCAGTATGTTTCCAGTTGCTGAAGGGCTTTATAACAGCATTGGTAATCCTGGCTGGGGTTAGACTGAGGCTTCGCTTTGGTCTGTTTCGTATTGTGGTGCGAAGGTTCGCATTTTATATTAACATTTACAGGTGCTTTGCTGGAAGCTTTCGTATCCCTATGTGGGGTTCCTTCTCTAGAAGCAGGAGATGACGCCTTTTGGATGTTCGTTTCCATGAGGAATGCAGAAGCGGCAAAGTACATGGGCTGACTCGTAAAGGGGTTACCGACGAAGCACTTTGACTCGTTCGTATTTGCGAATGCTAGTATGTCTGCTATTGTCTTCGCCGATGACATACTTAACTTGCGATTGTCATTGGGTAGTAGCTGGGCGATTGCGCTACTCCATAGCTGAGGGCAGTACACAACCATGATGAGTGTATGGTACCAGAAGTGAAGTAGGATAAAGTTGGTTCCTTCGCCGGCCTTGTCATAATGTGAAAAATTTCCCAAATTGAACGCGAGTTTTTTGCCCAGTGATTCTTGCCATGCCGTCACCTCCATTGATATGTCTTCGAGGCCTTGCAATCTCCCTTCTGTCATGTCCTCCGTTCCTTTGATGCCATTCAAAAGATCCGATACTCTACCGTAGAGGTGTATAATCTGGATCAGAGCTGGCAGAGGTGCGGGCCAATCGCTCTTCGGCAGCATCGTGATGACAGGTAGCCCTAACTCAAAGTCTTCTCTCCGCATCGTCGCTGGTCTTCCTAGTCCAGATGAGATGAACCTGTCAAGTGTGAAAATGGCCCAAAGAGTGTCAATGCGTTCCTGCTCGGATGCCTTTTGCTCGATATCTGCGTCTGGGTGACCATCAGACTGGCGCTGGTTGAAGTCATTGTGGATTGGAGAATAATTAGGCAGTCGGCTGCCTTGGATGCGGATCCCATCTAATTTTTCTAGTCCAAGGTCAGATGCCATACGTATTGCACATCCAGTGTACATCCACAAGGCGCTATCCTTGTTGTCGCCAAAAGCCTCGTACGCGAGCAGTAGACACGCTTGCAAAGCTTCCACTGTGGGGCATAAGAAGGTGTCTGTGACGACGGCTTTAGCACGCTGCGCAAATGCTTGGCCATATTCTGACTTGAGGCGTTTTGGGCCAAAAGAGCCAACTAGCTGTGAGTCTTCCGAGAACCGTGCAGATAGAGAGCATATCGCATCAACGAGTATTGGCGCTAAGTGCTTATCATCCATCATTCGTAGCACCTTATCTTTGCGTAGAAATGGAAAGTTGCATCCGAGATGTACAAAAAAGATCTTGACGAGGTGCTTTATCAATGATGGAACTGGCTCTGAATTGCTAATGTCATATAATGGCAGCCCAAGATCGTTCCGTGGCTCTCCAATAGACATTGAGGAGCGACGTGGATTTGGGAATTTTTGGTCTCCTCCAGGGCTATAAGAGTTTGATAGTGGCGAAGCTATTATGATTAGTATATACGAGGTTGGTAATGGGCAAGGTACTAACCAGACGACAGCGACGTAGGACCTATTTTACGGCCAGGATGACCAACAGACACTACCATCTGTTTAAATCCCCGCACGATGGCCGTTGGGCCGAACCAACGGAAATATGGGACTCGGCGATTCAGGGTCTGGGAGCTTTGGCCATCGTCAGTGTATGCTGTATTGTCACCAGCGGCACCTGGTGACTGGCCGCCATAGCCAACTGATTCCTCGGAAATCCGATGTTCTTCGGAGAGGACTCTATGAAGCTTCGTATCAACTCGCCGGGCCGTGGGGGAAGGAAGCTTCGGCTTGATGTCTTCGTGTATGATGTCCTCTTCGTCGTCGTCGGCATCGTCGACAGCGAATTTTTTGCTATCCGGGTTCTTTCCTCCACCCGGGTTCAATGGAGCTTCATATCCCAAGCATGCGTGCCGGTTTTCTTTGCACGTCGAGCATTCTGGGCGCTTTCCGTCGCATCGTATCTTTCGCTTGCGACACGTCTGGCATCTACGTGTAACATATACATTAGCACAGTTCCTTTCCAAAGCACGAAAGACGTCGAGGGTTGTACGATGTAAGAAGGCGAATGAAGAAGACCAAGTGAAGGCAACATACGCGGCATCGACCCTCCTCCTCTTCGCCGGTGGGCGACCCTCGTTGTTCACGAATCGAATCTGCTTCGGAGTTGGGAGCACCACGGTCGACATCTTACCGGCGCCTCTGCCAGCGGACCACAAGCTCATTCTTCATGAGGAGCCAGGGAGAGAGCTGGATAAACTTGCAGGGCTGAGCGTGAGCGGGGCAGAGTCGCATCTCATCTCCAGTTGCACGTTTCTATGGTCATGTTATGCTGACACGACAGATCCGGCGGCTGTCCGTGTCGAATCTGAGGGTGGTTGGAAGGTGGAAGGGAAGCCTGGAAAGGCTGGGATAAGATCGCTTGTCGCAAGCAAGAGCAAGTGTAAAGTCAGCAGCAGTCTGGAGCTGTGTTGGCGCAGTGCATGGTAGATTTGGGGTAGATTGGGTAGATTGGTAGATTAGAAAGCCACAGTGTGGTAGCGTTACTTTGGTAGTGGGCGGGCGGACAGACGGGAGCGGAGCGGGGGGAACTAACACTGAGCTCCAAGTGGGGATCAGTGGACACGACAAGTCCCCTCCCCCATAAGCGCTAGGGGACTACGGAGACGAGCTTAAATACATTGTCTCGAGAGCCACGTCTTCAAAACATTCCGTCCACTAAAACTTTCTCAACTTAGCGCCACGACTCCTACCACATCAACACAACAACAACAAGGTGAGGCTTCGGAAACTCAGAGAGGTCCGAAGGGAAGTACTGTACAGTTCTATCTGTACCTTCATCGCCCCGGAGATCCCATCCATCTGTGCCTCCTCCAACCAAATTCACGGCCCTTTAAATAGTGCAGCGCATATCGTGCTATTCCCTCCAGGATCATTATATGAGGGATGCAGCCACGTCCCAGAATGGACTCTCTCCTAGTGGGCCAGACGACGTTTGTTTGCCATGGTCATGATGTTTTAACTGCCGAACAAAACTGCCTGTGTTCCTTTGGATCTGATCACCGTGGCGTCCTTCGATGATTGACAGTGACTTTGACGGGTGACTAGCTAGTACTCTAGCCGCTGCTTGACTGTGATAGTGGACAGTAGTGGATGATCACAGTTGGGGGAATTGTTTGTCTCAGATATCAAGCCACGAACCCTGCATCTCTGGCGGAGACTAAGGAGAGATGTGCGAGGGAGGGTAAGCTCGATGATTGAAAATAGCGCTCTTTCCTCAACTATGGGCCTATTAAATGAATTTGCACAACCGGGACCAACATCACACCCCTGTCCTTGGGAAGCCTCATCACTGTGTGCAGTCCAGTATTGCACAAGTACAGTACCGAATACCTCTCTTGTCGTGCCTTGATTCCTTCAGTTTTCATAGATATTCGCGTCAAACTCGCGGAACCTGTCTCGTCCTTCGGCGTCTTTGTTAACCCAGACGCTAACACTGGTACCCGGGCAAACAAAGTTGCCACAGCCGTCATCCTCAATGACCACTTCTCTGTCTGACCATCCAAGCACATCGGTCCAGACTTCGCCTGCATGCATTTCTCCAACATGCATCCGCTTCTCACCGGGCCCCGCATTGCTGAGGACCGTCGCGCAGCCGAACCGCCTATCCCATGTACCATATCGTACCCATCCTATGCATGTTGGGAAGTCGAAGTAGTCCTGTTGCAACCCGTAGGCATACAGCTTGCGGGCCAACGTGAGGGCCGATAGAGCCCCCCCGCAGGACGGCGGAAATGTTTGCTTGTCCCCGGCCGGGTCCATGCCGTAGAGATCGCCCCAGAAGACGCAAGGGTACCCGTCGTATCGAAGCAAGATGAGGGAGTACGCAAGGGGCTTAAAGAATGGCTCGATGGCGGCTTCTAAGGCTTGATAAGGTTGGGTGTCGTGATTCATCACAAGCGTCTACTCGAGTAAGTAGCTGTTTGTTTTGTCATAGTTCGTGATGATTGGAGTACTTACCACAGCGTTGATTGGCTCTTTTTGCACCAATGATCCGTCGAACACTTTTCTCAAGTCGGCTTCTGGAGTCTTGCTCATCTCCGAGAAATTGTGTACGAGGGGCGCATCAAACAGCGAGAATTTCGTCCCCATTCGCAGAAGATATTCACTCATATCATCCAAGCTGTCCTTCCAGAACTCCCCCACAAAAAACCAACCATCTCCTCTAACCTCGTCCATCTTTATAATAAACTCTCGTAGAAAGTCTTCACTGAAGTGCTTCACAGCGTCGAAGCGAATACCGGAGATATCGACTTCCTTGCTCAACCACTTACCCCAGTTTATCACGTCTTCTCTCACTTCCGGGTGGTCGTAGTCGAGGTCAGCGAACATTAGGTAGTCATAGTTTCCCCTCTCATCATCGACGCTCTCCGCCCAATCCTTGGTGTCGTCGCCGAGAATCTTATAAATGGCCGTCTTCTTGGTCTTCGCGTCATAATCAATTCCGCTAAAGTGATACCAATGATACTTCTGGGCGCTGTACTTTTCGCCACGGCCAAGAAAATCAAACCCAACCCAAGCGTCGATTTCATAGGGCTCTGAGACTTTTTGGGTGCGGTCCTCGTTATCGACCTCCTCTGCACGGCACATCTCCTTATGATCGGCAGCTGCCTTATGGTTGAGCACCGCATCCCAATAAATGCCAGCGCCTACCTCCTTGGCCTTAGCCGTCAGGGATAGTAGCTCTTCTTTTGTGCCCCACTTTGTGCTTTTGCCTCCCTTCTGGTCGAATTCGCCTAGGTCATACAGGTCGTAGATGTCGTAGCCATTTCCACTCGGAGAGGACGCCTTGCATCCGGGAGGGATCCAGAAGTTGTCGATGCCAAAAGCCTTAAGCTGGGGCAACTGGGACTCGATGCGCTTCCAGTGCTTCTGGTCATCGGGGACGTACCACTCGAAGGCTTGCATCATGGTCATGTTCTCAGGTGTGGGCGCCTGTTCGCCATTGTCTCCTCCCATCTGTATGGGTTGTTTGTTAGCTATTGTGAGGTGTAATTGCAGCTGTCTCTACTATACAAGAACAGCAGGGGAATTTGCATACCGTGAATATGTGAGGCTCAGAAACTGAGTGGTGGCGAGGTGACGGGTAGGTTAGATGCCAGGAATGATTTTCAAGGAGGACAGAAACAGAAATAGGAAAAAAACTGTAGATAAATATAGCAAAAAACCCCTGGGAAGAACGTGATCTGTTCTGAATGCTTATAGGGCCTCTCCTGCCTTGATTTATCTCAAAATTACTATTCCCCTGGTGGAAGGGACTTCTAGACCGCAACCAAGTATGGCAAATGACGTATTGCTAGAAAAGCACTCGTAGGACACCAGGCACAGGATTAGATAAGGCAATTAATGCCCCTTATTTGTAGTCATAGAAGGTGCGTGAATAACTGCATGATATATTCCCATCCAAATGTCTACTATTCACAAATTCCGATCTTAAAAATGAGATATCTCTGTTCAGAGGCTCATAGGCATTTTTTGGAAATGCAGGTTCTGGACCCTTGGACTGGAATAACGCACGGACCTATCGAGAACCCTGTTTGATAACCAGAACGTGGTGACAGTCCAATGGGGTGCACGGACAATTTTGGTTGCTGTGCCATCCTGTCGGCATGTCAACAAATGTCCCCCATCCCCGGATGCAATCTTCGTTGACATGGAGGCCACATTTATTGAATCTCTGATCACAATTTTTCCTCCCTTTGACACGAATACACGATTATATATGATTGCAATATCCTGAAATCTTTCTCGCGAACTCCATATTGTATTTGCCATCTGCAAGTGGGGTTGCTACACCCTCAGAGACTCACATTCCAACGGTTGTTCCACCAGCAATTTTGCTGTAACCATCAGCAATGGCAAAGCCTACACCTTCCGACGACGACTTTGGAATCCATGTCGACGGCTCCTGTCTCACCGATTCGACAGACCTGCACGCATCTCCAAAGAGGAATGTCTCCGACCAAACAGTTATCCACCACGACGAAGTCCACGAGAAGACCGAACAGGACGAGCATACAGAAGCACTCATCCATGCCGCTGCACGAGCAATTATTACGAGCATCGAGCAAGATGCATATGACAAACATGCTGGTTCTGTCATAAGCGACCTGAGCTACAGTGGCGTCGATGGATCGGATAACTGCTATACTGAAGGATCGAATTTAACATATGGAGAGGAGGCGGAGATGAGCTACGGAGAGGGAACCGAGATGAGCTATGAGGGCGACCAGGAAAATTCATACAATGAAGACATTCATGGCGACCCCTACGATGGCTCTGGTAGCTCACACCATGAAGACGACGTCTTCAGCCACGGCAGGAGAAGCTCCGGCGGGAGTCTCAATTCAAGTGACGAACAAAACACAGATGAAGAGAGGCGGTACCAGCTTACAAAGTCCGACAACAAAGCCGCACAAGCGGAGAACAGATTCGTGCAGCATGATGAACAGGAGAAGGAGTTGGACAATGAAATGAACAACATACCTGAAACAATATCTCGAATTCCCAGCATGGCCTCAAACGCCTACTCTATGCTACCGGAGCCGCTATCTTTCTCCTCCGTAACTTCGCCTCACACGCCCAGCAAAGTCCTCAACCGCCCTCCTTTCAGGACCCCAAGCTCAGTACGGGCAATGCAAATGTCCAGCCCGACACCCTCAGTCTTTTCCGGCTCACCGACGTCACGCAAGAGGGTGAATAGCTCGCGCATATCCACGCCAAACAGACTCCAGTCTTCGCTCACGAAGCACAGGACTCCCACCAAATTTAAAGCAAAGGAAGAGCATCCCTTAGTTCTCTTACACGTCACTGTCCTCCCATTACACTGGCAGCATGCCCAGATAATGGACACAGCGCCACCAGACGTGCTATCGAAAGACCTTCTAGCTGTGCGAGAGAGCTGGAAGCTGCTCCAAGACAAACTTGGCGATACCGTGTTTGAACGGGGCGTCCTACTTCCCCACCCTCAAGATTCATATGAGACTCTCGAAGAGAGACTCTGCGCTGCACTGGAGCTTCCCATGCGTCCCCGTGCCAAGATCCTCGCTTGCGGACACTACGTCGGGCCCTCCACATCCTTCTCTGACAGCGAGCTGTCCTCGTCTGACTCTTCTGATTCCGAGGATCTGGACTCGGAAGTGTCCACCAAGTCTCTGTGGTGCGACATCTGCTGCCGCGATGTCCGTTTCGGGAAGTTCGATTCAATGCCAGGGAGGCAGAAGAAGAGCTTCAAGGTCAAGCTGTTTGCGTCGAATGGGCTTATGGGAGCTGGTGCCTGGGCAGCGTGTTGGAGGGAAATGGAGAGGGTGGATGTGGAGATTACGCCGTGGGTTGAGGCCGCTGCCGCGAAGGAGATCAATGAGTTGACAGAAACGGTCATGGCGCATCAAGCCTCTGACGAGGGACATTTTGAAGAGGTTCACCACAGTATTATGGAGGAGCCGGTGCCTTCTGTTAAGATTGAAGCTCCAGAGGAGGAAAGCCATGCCGACTTTGCCGACATTGCGAGGAGTGAAAGGGACGCGATGCGATTGAGAGAAATATATGGTGAACAACCATCTCAAGCACCAGAGCAAGGTCCCCACCCTCAACAACATGATCCTCACCCGCAGCACGATCCCCATCCTCAGCACGAAAGTCCTTCAAGCAGACGCCCAACTGCTCGACATCAGCAGGACGAATCCTTCGTCACTCTCCTTGTGGCTGCCGCCAAAGTGCTCGTGCAAGACAAGAAGAACGTCATGATTTTCCTTCTCAGTCTAGTCGTCCTGCTGCTTGCCGTTAGGCCTGGAGGAGCACCACCGGTAAACAGCTTTCAGATGCAGGAGCTGGCAATGCAGAGGTTTGAGCAGGAGGCGGCGGCTCGCATGGCTGCTAATGTTGTGCAGCCGGTCGTGCAGATGGTTGCAAAGGTGGAACAACAGGAAATACACGCCCTAGAGCAGGCTCCGGTGCAAGTCGTGGCTCGGGCTGAAGTTGTGGAGGAGAAGAGGCAGGTTCCTGTTCAGGTTCCCGTTCAGGTCCCCGTTCAGGTCCCTGTGCAGGAGGCGGCATACATTGAGGTTGAAGAAGCGGAGCCTGAGGTCCCTGCCCCAGCAGCTGTTCCAGAACAACAAGCTGTCGACGCGGTGCCGGAAATCGAGGAAGAAGCGGTCGTTGAAGTGGCAGAACCGGTACAGGAGGAGCCTTTGGCCTCTTCAATTGCTGAAGAAACTGAAGAATCCGGCCCTACCCCTCAGGTAGAGGCAACTGAGGAAGCTTCTACTTCTACAGAAGCTTTGGAGGACGCAGTGGACTCTGAGCCTGCTATCGAAGCTGAGGCTGTCGAGGCAGTTGAAGAAGCCGAGCCTTCCTCAGCTGCCTCAGTGGAAGCTGTGGAGTCCATCGAGCCTGTCGTCGAGGTCGAAGCAGTTGAGACTGAGCCAGCTGAGGTCGAACCAGCCGAGTCGGAACCTGTACTATCAGAAACTGAGACTGTCCAGCCCGTTGCCGAAGCTGTCGAGGAGCCTCAAGAATGAGTGCTAGGAGACGAAATGGGGATTAAAGTTTATTATTTGTGTTGAAACTGGGTATCATTTGATAGTGAGCGAGCTAGCGAGCGGGCGATTTGAAGGATTGGATTTGGCTTTTATGTTTACGATGTTAAGAAGGCAGCGAGTTTGGGTACTAGGTTGTTGTCTCGTTCCCGCAAAGGTCGGGGGTGAAAGTCAGTATAAGGAGGGAGGAGTGGATGGGATGAAGATATATGTGAAGGGGATTGGACTTGAGATGCCTGTTAGGGCTTTAGTAGAATAGTCATATTCGAATCTATACTCTAACATGAGACCATACTGTGCCACTTATTTGATTGACATGTCTTTAATTTTCAGCTCTATATATGGCAGGAACGTTTATCAAGCAACGGCTCAGTCGCAGCTTCCTTAGGAATTTGAAGCCTTAAATATGGAATGAACGATTATCAAGCAGATCCAGACGCAGCTTCCCAGCACTCTCAAGTCTTATATATGGCAAGAACGATTACCAAGCAAAGACTCAGCCGTAGCTTCCTTGAAACTTTCAGACTTTATATGATGTTATATATAGCAAGAACGACTACCAAGCAAACTCAGTCGCGGCTTCCTTGAGACTTTTAGGCCTTATATAGGGAAAGAACGATTACCAAATAGACTCAATCGCAGCTTCCTCAGGACTTTAAAGCTTCATATATGGAAGGAACGATTACCAAGCAAACCCAGTCGCAGCTTCCCTAAAAATTATATCTTTATATATGGAAGGAACGATTGTCAAGCAGACTCAATCGCAGCTTCCTCAGAACTTCCGAGTCTTATATACGGAAGGAATGATTATCAAGCAAACTCAGTCGCAGCTTCCCCAGGTCTTATATTTTAATATACGGAAGGAACCATTACCAAGCAAAACCTCAATCGCAGCTTCCTTAGAACGTTGAAGCCTACTATAGGGAAGGAACGACTATTAAGCAAGACCACAGTCGCACCTTGCTTGGAGAATGGGCTTCAATTCGTTAAATTCGCAAACCGATCGCTTCAGGTCACATGATGCTAATGATACACAGTGTGAAGTCCATGGTATATGTATTGACTTGTATATTGTGATTGTCATGTAGTTCTGGGTTCAGTCGGACTTCCTACTCTATGGCCAACCGGCTTTCTGCCTCCAGATAGTCTAGCAGTAGCCAAAGCCTTGAAATTTCAACCACAGAAACCATTCAGCCAGTAGCCTAGGTTCCAAATGCCCTTCCTCTAGCCCCGTTGTTGGTGACTGGGCCTCATCACCAAGGCAGATCGCGTCGTCCTTGGATCGACTCTGTACGTTCTGAACGTACACACAACAGCAGCGGTACCACTGTCGATAGAATTGCGTTTGTAACATCTCCTCGTACGCCATTCACCTCACACCACGAGCCCTGCCTCTCGTACTCGCAACACCTCCCCTCCCAATACCCGACCCCCTTTGCGACGCCGTCCTCCCAAGCCCGGACGCCGGCCTCTGACCCCCCACCGACGACCCCGTCACACTCCCTCTCAACCCCCTCCCCCTCCCCCTCGTAACTCTCCCCCTCGTCGTCCCCCCCGCCAACCTAACCCTCTCCTCCTCCTCCGCCTTCGCCCTGGCCTCCTCCCTCCGTCTCGCCTCCTCCGCCGCCCTCCTCTCCGCCGCCTGCGCCCTCATCACAACCTCATTCTCCGCATCCACCAGATCCTGACTCGCGCCCTTCCAATTCGGATCCAGCAGCAGCCGTTGATTATGTTCCGTCTGTCCCAGCATGCGCGTCCATGTATTCAGCAGCGTCGACGCAGATGTCACGGTCGTGGACACGGTGCCCATGCTCCCCCGCGCACTCTCGAGCGACGCGATCACACCCTCGATCGCGGCATTTGTGTCTTGTAACGAGGCGAGCTCGCGCTGCAAGGTCGCTGTGCGTGCGGCTTCGGCGTCGTAGCGGGATTCGCGGGGGGCTTCTGTTGTAGCTGCTGCCGCGGCGGCGGGTTTGGAGTAGGAGGAGGCGCGGGGGGAGCGTGAGGGCGACGCGAAGAGGTCTTCCTCTGTGTCGGAGATGTCGAGCTTCTCGGGGGCGGGAGGTGCCATTGTGTTTTTTCGTCGATTGATGTGGGTTGGAGGGGTAATGATGGTACTTGTATACAACTTTGACGCGTGTATTTATGGAATCTGATCTGTTTGACGCGTCGTGGGGATTGGGGAACTGGACCCGTCTTCAGCCCTGTTGACCGTTGTGTACCGCTGTGGTGGAGAGGGGGGGCGTACTTTAGGTGTACGCACGGGCCTTGTTCAGCCTCCTCTATTTGGTCGCTTAGTGGGGAATTTCAATGTCCCAGCCTCCTCATTGTGTGTAGTTGGGACAACCACATCCCCAAACCCCCATCCCCCCCATTTATACACAACATCACCACATAACTTTTGCGCAAATCCACCATAATACATAAACAATGCTAAGGACTCTTTATTGTTCGACTATTATTGGAAGTTATTGAATCTATTCTTCTGATATCCTATTGCGCCAGCTCAATTATTGGGTTCTGCGTAATTAGCGACACACTACTACCAACCAAAACAACACACGACCAAAGCTCAATTCTCTGTAACTCTGTTTGAGGCTTCAACTTTGCGACCACAACAAACCCCCAACCACAACTCCTACAACTAAGAAATCAATTGCAACCCTCTTATATATACAGCTGCTTTGTTTCTGCTGGACAGATTGGCTATTTACTCAGTCTCCGTGCTGGCCACAGAATTGCCAGAAGGCGAACGCGAACAAACCTACAAACCACAAACGAAGCCTTTGTTTGTCAACATGGCAGGCGCGGCGGCTACAACTCCTCCTCCCACTTCGCGGGTTAGGATTCCTCCAACACCGCGACTCGGATTAGAAGACGACTACCAACCTTACGCGCGAAGGAAGTCAACTCGCGTCGCATCGCAACGTGAGAGCTCGGCACAGACACCGCCTCCAGCTTCCAACCACAACCTTCGTTCCGCAAACTCCTCTCCTCAGTCATCATCTAAGCGCACCGCTTCTGGGTCTTCCAACATTACACCTCCCTCCACCATTTCACGCAAGCGAGCAAACAAACCCACACTTCTGGGCGAAGACCAAGTTTCCTCCCAAACAACAAGAGGTGCCAGTTCTCCCCAGGGCTTCTACTCCTCCATCGGCACAAGGAACGGGATGCTTCCAACTCCAGCAAAGACGCCGCAGAAGCGCGCAGAAACCAAAACCTCAACGATCACATCGATCGCCAGAAACCTCTTCCCAGTCCGCCACGAAACTGTTGAGCAAGCGATGCCATCTCCCAAGAGGCGCGGCAAGAAGTACAAAGGGTTTTCCCTTGACGGATATGGCGAAGATGAGGATGAATCGATTGCCATCTTTACGGATTCCAAGGAACGCCTTCCAGAGGTTGACGAGAGCCTGGGCAACCCTTTCTATGGACCGGAAGTGGTCAGAGCTGATGACCTATCGAAACGTGGAAGCAAGCGCAGAAGAAACCCACCACGCGAGTCCAACGGCGCTGAGGAAGAGGCTCAAGACGAAGAGCGCAAAGATGGCCTCGTATATGTATTGTGAGTAGATCGATCTAAAATTCACTGAAGTCCCACTAACACACCTTTAGCCGTGGCAAGAAAATCTTCCGCAGATTCAGCGACCTGGATGAGACAGGATCGCGTCCTTCTGCTGCCGATGAAGTTGAGGATGAGATTGATGTTACCGTTCCCTCCAGACTTCGTGGTCCTCTTACTCGATCTTCCATGAAGCCTCGTCTTCTGTTCCCCACCCAAAAGCAACTCGATGAGAGGAACAGCCAGTACAGCGAAGCTGATGAGGAAGCCGACACCGACATCGAGGAGGACAACGAAGTCACTACTCCATCCCTTCACACAGAGAAGGTCGCAACTCCACGTGCTCCAAGATTTGCACCTGTCTCGCCGCCAAGCACCGTGGCTCGAACGACTCGCTCCAAGAAGTTGTCCTCAGACGATGACATGGCCGGGGCAAGCTTTTCCAGCTTGGGATCTGCATCTCCATTTGAGAGCTGGCAGCGCACCAAACCCAAGGGCCAAAAGAGGGGCAGTGACGCCGTGTCCGCTTTCGACACCGGAAATCACAAGCGTGTCCGTGGCTAAATCTTTCTTTGCAAGGCCTGGATCTATCTGCATGCAATAAGGCAGCTTTTTTTGTATCCAGGTTCAAGCCTTGGCCGCATTTCCGAGCCGGCTCTTCTTTTATCGCGCAGTCATCACTGGCGCTTGGACATGATGTCCTTTTTTTCCTGTTTGTATAACGACGATGCATTGACCGCGACTCTCTTTTTCAACTAATACCAACCTGATACATCACGGCACGACACTCATGGCTTTACACACAATGGCGCAACGAAATCTTTTCTGGTCTGGGATGCATTAGGCAGGGCACATGGGGTGGGAATACATGGGGGTGAGAATATGAAGTAGGACGAGTCAATAGGGGTTCAATGTAGCATGGACTGGGGGGAAAGAAGCCAGATGATGGTTACTGGTTGATGGATAATGTAGACTAGAATGACTGCGCCAATAAAAGAGCGAATTCATATATGAGTGGTCCTTGAATATCCCTTAGTGATGATACCCGCCACTAAAATTACCCTCCTGATATTGTCGTACGTGTGTTTCTTACTACTAAGATCGAGGTTGGAACATACAAAAGATTCGAAATCGACCTCAAATTCACATTCATCTCGTACGGTCATGATATTCCAGCATAGTTCACGCAGGATATGAACCGGGTCGTCACATGCTGTGATATGTCAGTCTGGTCGGCATCCTTGGTCTGGGTACTGCTGGGCTGCTTGGTGCTTGGCTACCGCAACAACTGCCCAATGTCAGCGCTGCGATGTCAGTAATCCAAGCCCTATTCCAATGAGGAAAAGCAAGATATTTTGCCCTTACCGGAAGCTATGGCTTGGTTTCTTTCCCAGCGGCTTTTGAGACGCCAGTTGAATGATGGCATCTCCCACGTGATTGTTGGCGCCAAGCAGTTTTGAGAAAAAGGTTCCGACAAGGGTCTTTCGCTAGTCTATACCCGCCACTGGTCCCTGGATGCCGTGATAGAGCGACTCAGGAACTCAACCATCCGTACAAAATTTGCAACACAAAATATACTCGAAAGCTTCTCTATTTTGCCGGACCAAATAGCTTATCCTCAAGGAACCCAGAATCCGCAAATATGCATATCCTAGTAGGTTTCCCCCCCTTCCAATTCTTCTCATCCATTACCGAGTGAGGGGTCGCTGATAACCCCGCCAGGTAGTCAACGACGACGGACCCCCCAGCAACCAAAGCTCCCCCTACGTCCACTCCCTCGTCAACAACCTCGTCGAAGCCGGCCATGTCGTCTCCGTCATCCTCCCCCGCGAACAGCGCAGCTGGATCGGCAAAGCGCACATCATCGGCCAGACCGTGAAGCCGACGTATTTCCGCCCCGGCACCCTCCACGAAGACGACGGCGTGACTTCGAAGCGCCCCTCGCCCGCAGGCGACGACTGGGTCCTCGTCGATGGCACACCCGCGAGTTGCGTCCAGATCGGTCTGTACTACTTCTTCCAGGAGCGCGGGCCAGTGGACCTCGTTCTCAGCGGGCCGAACTACGGACGTAATACTACAGCGTGCTTTGCGTTGAGCTCGGGGACGCTGGGAGGAGCGCTTGAGGCGGCGGTTTGTAAGCGGAAGGCGATTGCGCTGAGTTATGCGTTCCTGACAAGGGAGCACGACCCGAAGATTATTGCGGGTGCGTCGAGGTTGAGCGTTAAGATCGTGGAGCACCTCGTGGCAAACTGGGATGCGAATACCGATGTGTATACGGTGAATGTGCCGCTTGTGCCGGATGTGGAGAACAAGAAGATCTTCTGGACGGAGATGCTGCAGAATTACTGGGGGCCGGGTAGCTGCTTTGAGGCTGTTGAAGATACCGAGGATGCGGGTGAGGAGGAGCACAGGATTAGGGAAGGAGAGGCCGAGCAGAAGGATGGTGATGCGAAGGCGCCGATACCGCATCAGCATAGGAACTTCAAATGGTCACCGAGGTTTACGGACGTCTACAAGAGTGTGGAGGATGCGCCACCTGGAAATGACGGGTGGGTAGTCAAGGAGGGATTCACGAGGTAAGTCTTAACCCATTCCCCGACCTTTGAATTCTATATCTGACAAAATCACAGCGTGACACCACTGAAAGCAAACTTCATGCACGCGACGGGCAAGCAACAAGGCGAGATTACGTTGTGAGTACGATGGCATTACTTAGCGGGCTGAAATGGGAAAAGGCATAGAGCATTAGACCTCGTGTTAGACCAATATAAGCAGATTTTGATTCCCTTTGCAATTGCTTTCTCCCTCGCGCGCTTTACATTGACTTCTGTTTTTCTCCGCTCAGAACATCCGAAAATCCAGACCCAGTCTCACTACCACAGAGCATGCAAGATCTCTCCCTCGCCGCCCCTGCAGCGGGCATCAAGCATTTCAACGCCCTCATCGACTACGGCGACACCTACGTGCAACCCCTCATTCTTGCGGCTCTCTCGAAACTCCTACCAAAAGACTCATACACCCTCATTACGCCAGACTCCATCCCTACCAACTCCACGTCTCCCACCCTCCACATCCAGCAATACGAAGAACTCCCCTTCGACACCCTCCTCTCCCAACCCACCACCACCCTCGCAAACGCCTACATCATCCGCAAAGCCCTAATCCGGAAACACTACCTCTCCGCCACCGCGCACGCCTGGGGCACCAAGAACCCCTCCACCGCGCTCGCAAAACACATCACCCCCACCGTGCACTTCGAAGTCGACTACGCCGAGTTCCTCGACGACGCGCTCGTCGAATGCTTCGAACTCCACGAGATGTTCGCGCGTAACGCCGACAAAAAAGAGAGCGAGCGGGAATGGTGGATCCTCAAACCCGGCATGTCCGATCGCGGCCAAGGAATCCGCCTCTTCGACTCAGAAGAGACCCTCCAAGGCATCTTCGACGAGTGGGAAGCTGAGCGTCCCGACTCCGATGACGAGGAGGAGGATGATGAGGACGCGAATATGCATGATGGGGGGGATTACATCATGACCTCCCAACTCCGCCACTTCATCACGCAGCCGTACATTCACCCCCCTCTCCTCCTCCAAGACAACCCCCATAAATTCCATATCCGCACTTACGTCCTCGCCGTTGGCGCACTGACAGTCTACGTCTACCGCCCCATGCTCGCTCTCTTCGCCGGAACCCCCTATACCGCCCCCGCCGCCCAGCCCGACCTGCGTGCACACCTGACCAACACCTGTCTCCAAGACGGATCGCGCGACGGGTCCGTAGCCGCGTTCTGGGAGCTTGGTGCTAGTCAGCCCGGGTTGCCTGTTACATGGCAGGAAGATGTCTTCGCGCAGATCTGCGAGGTGACGGGGGAGTTGTTTGAGGGGGCTGCGAGGACGATGGGGACGCATTTTCAGGCGCTGCCGAATGCGTTTGAGGTCTTTGGAGTGGATTTTGTGGTTGATAAGAAGGGGGAAGTGTGGTTGTTGGAGGTTAATGCGTTTCCGGATTTTGGGCAGACGGGGGAGGCGCATGCGGATGTGGTGGAGGGGTTGTGGGAGGGGGTGGTGGATGTGGCGGTTAAGCCGTTTTTTGGGGGGGTGCCGAAGGGGGGGGAGGGGGGAATGGTGGAGGTTAGGAAGATTGATTTGGGAAGGCGGTAGGGGGGGTTGGATCTGTTGAGGCGTTGTGGTATGTTTTTGGATATATTTAAAGCTGGATAGGGCGTAATAATTGGATTTAAGGTGTTGATATCTATTACGAGCTTTACCCCTTTGAACTATATTTATAACAGTCTATTTACATCCTTAGCCACAGATTTAAAGGTATGCTGTGAAGGATTTAAGAAAAGCTCAGAAGGATAGAAGGGCCGACTATAAGTTGAGTCATAACAATATCGAAGGAGTGTTGGCAGGCAGTTTAACAGATTCTGCCCCTTTAATGTCAATGTTTCGTGTAGCTTTAAGTGAACTCACTGAATATCAGAAAGCACAGGCAGCAGCGGCATGGTGAAACACGATTCAATTGACGATATCATGATAAAGATTGGCAACTGTGTCGACAGGACATCTCTGAAGATGTTGGAAGAACGGCCACTTGCAATCCTTCTAGGGCAGTTAGCAATATCGAGCCAACATCGAGCCACCATCTCGCAGCTTCTCGTTGACGCAGCTTGTTGCCGCCGAAGCTTCTTGTTGCCATGAACTTCTTGTCACCGCAGTTTTGTGCCACCTCTCACAACGACCAACCCTCGTTTACGCACCCACAGCCAGCAATACCAGGCTTTCCAGACACAAATATAGCAAGACAGATAGCACAGTCTGTTTCTGAAGACCCCGTTTATTTATAGTCGCCCCCTCCTACACCCCTGATTCCTTGTCATGACCCCTCCCCTCCCGGCCGCCCCCAAACCCCGTCGGCTGAACCAAAGATATTCCGGGAAATATTTTGAGGGAAAATGTGAACTGTGCCTTTACCGCCGTCTCCATGTCATTAATGTTGGGATATCTCGGAGGGGTCTAGTTGACAAGATCTATAGCCAGTTGATGTAGATCCCACGACGTCAAAGGAAGAGTTGTGCCTCCCATAAGATCTGAAAGGAACCGACTAAGGCGAGGATATTCCGTGGTGGGCTGTGCTGTGTCATATCGAGGCGCTTTTCTGTATCGACGACGAAACACTGATACCTTCGGGCTAGTTGTGCAGGAGGTAGAAAAGAAGCAAATACGCCGGGTTCATTTACTCGTTGAAGCTATTAGATATGAGGCGATCGTACAACCCAGAAACTTATAACTACAGGCGAAGCCATCTGTAATTCCTGTCTCCCGCCGCTTCTTGCCGACGCAGCTTCTCATCGCCATCAACTTCTTGTCACCGCAACTTCTCGCCGCCACAGTTTTGTCCCACCTCTCACAGCCACCCAACCATCATTTACCTGCCAACACGCCAGCAACACCCAGGTCCCCCAGAAGCGGTGGCCAGAGCGATCCCATCCCAAGGACAATTCCCATGTCTGGATGGGAAATTCTCGGTCTGGCCCTGAGAAATCAAATGAGCGTTAACTTATATAGTAGCCCCTTCCCACACCCCTAGCCACTCTTGGTAAGAACCCCTCCCGAAACCGCGTCTTCTAATCAAAGATATCTCGAGAGATACTTGGCATCGAAGTCTAGACAGTTCGGACAGGCTTCGGTGATCGAGTTGTAGGACGTGGGAGGTGAGAGCAAGGAGGGAGCTCTCATCCAGAGGTGATGTTTCGGATTGTGTGTATAGTCTGGACATACCTCCACGACATAAGATCTATAGCTAGTTAATGTAAGTTGACAGCAAGACAGGATCATATCTTCACATATAACACCCTCAAGAAGTAATTGGTCACCGAGTCTGCCATTGTCGGAGTCACATCAACCCCACGACATCCACATCTCACTCTCCCATCCTTGAACACATCATAAAAAACAAAACTCAAATAAAATTCTCTCCCCAATGCCAGCTCACCACAGCACTCTATGTGTAAATATGCCTTTCCTCCAATCTCAAACCGCCACCATCGGTCTAATCAAGCCCTATTCATCGACTGCTTACTCGCCCCCGAAGAAATCCAGCAAAAATTCCGTATATACAACGTTTCTCTCTCCATCAACCATCCCTCCCCATCATGTTTTCTTCTCCACCCAATCGTGCAGGGTTTTCGGGCTCAATTCGATAGCTCGCAAGCTCTACTCCTTCGACTCAGGCTCCTTCAAGATCCCCTCAACCTCCAACCGTCTCCTCGCCTCCTCAAGCGCCCAAGTCTGTATCCTATTCTCCGATTAGCCCTCTGTCCTCTCCTCCCCAACAATCCACCGTGTAAAAGAAAAAGGGGTACTCACGACGTATCAGGCTTAAAAGCATACCCCACCGTCAACGCCACCAACCCCCCCCCAAACCCCCAAAACATCACCCCCTCCCACCCCTCCTTCTCATACTTCTCCCCCGGCTTAACGCCCCACAGCCATCCCGTAGGCGGATCATAGTGGCTCTCTCCCTCTGCGGCGGCGCGAGTGCGAGTCGTCGCTGACAGAGCGCGTGTGTTGCCGGTGACGGCCGTGCGGAGAGGCTTCAGCGTGCAGCGGTGCGCGCTGCGGAGAAGCGGTTGCATTGTCACTGTGTGTGTGTGTGGACGAGGAGGTCGTCCGCGTGTGTGTGTGTGTAGGTGTAGTGTGGTGATGGCAGTGGTGGTTGCCAATTGGTGGTTGTGGAAGCTGGTGGTGGTGAAGCTGTGAGGTGCGGGTGAGGAGAGATGTTCGTTTGGGTGTGGTAAGAGGGCCCACTTTAGCGCGCGGTTGGGAGGGCGCTAGTGACACGATTTGTCCCGCGTGATGGTTGACTGGTTTCTTGGTGCTGGTGTCGGGTTGAATATATTCGGGTTGGTTTTACTGGATCGAAGGGGGTGAGGGGATTATTATAATATCTGGAGGTGGCAGTGGGAAGAGGGTGAGGAGGGGGGGGTTTGTGGTGAGGTGTTTGTTTGTTCGGAAGGAAAAGGGCATGACATCGCCAAGACACGAAATTCCCCGAGATCCTGATGGTGTAATGCGGAGGGAAACAAAACATGCATGAAGTCACGTCGCACTGCAGTTATTGACTGTACAGCTTCTGAATGGTGGATATGGATAACTTGAATATATTATTAGGGAAAATGCTTGTGGTGACCCACTAGTTGCATCAATGCATATAGAGAGCTCTCAGACGACGAAACAATGGTTGAAACATTACGAGTACTTGCACGGCCTTAGAGGAGTTATAGAGGCTGTGCTGTAGTATCCTATCAAAGTCCTAGATTCCAGTGTAAACGTATAATTGCCAACATATCTCTCACTGCCACGCCGAGGTCCTACGGAACACTTAAATACCATGCGAGTCACATCATCAAGACCAAAATAATACGTGCTAATGAGAATCTTTCCCATTGCTTGCCTTTACTAGACTAAATCCCCCCTCCAATTCACCCATCTAACCCTTCCTTCAAAACACTTTTTATAGTTCCTCCCTCCTCTCACATATACACGAGACCTCCCTCTCCGTATACTCATACAGTACATACAAAACAGCACAAGCACATCAGGGCCGACCACACGCCTTCAGCGCGCGCGTCCCGTAACACCATTACCCTCTCTCTCCCATTCCTTTCTCCTCCTCGCCCCTCACTCAGGAGGGCACATATGCAGGATCCCCCTCCCTCTCAAAATACAAAAAAACGCCGTGATACCCACGTCTTCTGCCACTCCAAACAAAGTATGAAAAAACAAGTGGTGATGTGAAAATGAAATCGATAGGCTGAGAAGAGCCATGTTTCTTGGTGAGAGAGGCTGAGAAGAGCCATGTCCCTTGACGAGAGAGGCTGAGAAGAGCCATGTCCCTTGATGAGATAGGCTGAGAAAAGCCATGTCTCTTGATGACGGAAAAAAAAGAAATAGTAGCGCCCCAGTGGCGCGGAGGTATGTGTGTATGTTGGTATGCAAGGTATATCGGCCATTCAAGCCACCTCCCAACGCCAATCGCTCAATGATAGTAGTAATCGTACAACCGCCGTAGTCTTGAAGTCCTCAACTCCCCGAAAGAGGATCATCAAGGCTTCGTATCTTTATCCCCCTTATCCTCCTTCGACTCCTCCGACCCCTCCGACGCCGGTCTCGGATGCGGCACATCCTCCCTCTGACTAGGCGGCAGCTCTGCCTCCGTATCTAATGGCTCCTCTACAATCACATTATCGCTCGGCCTCGTCCCCGGGTGCAGCTCCACCCCGGGCGTATTCTCGAGGTCGACGCGTCCCCTTCCCCAGCCCTGCTCGTCATGCGGACGCTCGATAGGCGACCACCCAGCCACGCTACCGGCGATGATACCAGCCATAACAGCCGTAGCGCCCAACGCGGAGTTCGAGCGCGAGCGGCCCGCGCGACCACGCTTGCGGGATTCAGCGGTGGTGGGGGGGTGCTCTGAGCCCTCTTCCGCAGAGCCATCTTGTGGGATTCCAGCGGTTGAGTTTGAGCGTGAGCGGGAACCAGAGCGAGAGCGGGAGATGAAGTTATCCTTTGCCTGCCCGACCTTAAAGCGGAGGTTATTGATTCGGCCTCCCTTCATTTTCTTGAGGAAGCTGAGTTCCTCCTTGACGTCGGCGAGGGGTTGGGGGAGGGGCATTTGCTCTTCTTCGTCTTCGATGGTTAGTTCGGGGGTCTCGGATGAGCGGAGGATGTAGGTGGGTACGAATTTGCGGACGAGCTCGTCTGGGATGCAGCGGATGGCCGCGCCGATGGGGATGGAGAGGAAGCCAAAGGCGATGGAGTAGCCCCAGCCGCGGGCGTCGAGGCGTTCGACAGAGAAGGCTTTGCCGCCGACGAAGATGATGAGGACTTGGAGGGAGACCATGATGATGTTGATGCCGATGAAGAAGTAGTTGTTTAGGACGCCCTCGAAGATGTTGAACTTGTTGTCGAGGCGACGGTTGCTGTGGTTTGTTAGTTTTTTGTATCTGGATTGGGGGTTGTAGGATAACTTACTTCCATTGGTTGAAAATCTGCATCCAAACGAAGGTATTGAAGACGAGTGTGCCAACCAATTGGGTCTCCGCAGGAGGCGCGGACGGGTCAAGGGGATCCGGAGGTGTGTTGTAAGAAAAGATGGTTGCCGCTCCAAAGTAGAGCATGAAGGTAATAACGAGTTGGTAAATAGCCTCTCCGATAATCATCTTCCACATGCGAAGAGAGATGAGCGGCGCGGACTTTGGGTCAGGCTTGCGGTCGAGGATACTGCGGGTTGGTGGATCGGTGGCAAGTGCAAGAGCAGCCATGGTGTCCATGATGAGGTTGACCCACAGCAGCTGGACAGCTGTCAGGGCAGACTTCTCGGTTGCACTGGATACGGCAGTGACGAATGTCACCACGACGGCTGTGATGTTGACAGTGATTTGGAATTGCAAGAACTTCTTGACTGCATCGTTGACAGCACGTCCCCACATCATTGCCTTCACAATAGATGCGAAGTTGTCGTCCATGAGAATGATAGCCGAAGCTTCCTTGGCGACTTCAGTTCCAGCAATACCCATAGAGAAACCAACATCAGCGCCCTTCAGAGCCGGGGCGTCGTTGGTACCATCACCAGTAACAGCGACAGTCTCGCCCATAGCCTTCAGTCTCTTGACGAGGATACGCTTGTCTTCTGGGCTGGAACGAGCAAGAACCTGGAGCGAGGGAATAATCTGATCCATTTGCTTCTTGGTAAGCTTCCTGAATGTTGGTCCTTCCATGACGATGCCGCCAGGGGTGAAAATTCCGCAATCAACAGCAATGGCTTTGGCCGTGGTCAAGTTGTCACCGGTAACCATGCGAACAACGACGCCGGCCTTTTGGCAGACTTCGACAGCCTCACGGACACCTTCACGGAGAGGATCCTGAATACCGACAATAGACAGAAGAGTCATGTCCTTGAAGATATCCTCGAACACGACCTCGTCGTTATCACCCTCGGCGCGGCGGGCATCCTTCGGTGGCCATTGCTCAAAGTCTCTGTAGATGAGACCAATAGTGCGTAGAGATCGTTCGGCGTAGCTGGTAATGAGATTGCTAAGTGTCTTCCGGTTCTCAGTAGTCATCTCCGCATCCTCAACACCCTGAGTGGGGTCGCGGATAACGCGCGAGCACTTATCAAGCAGAATTTCAGAAGCACCCTTGACGAGCAGACGGGCTTTTCCATGTCCAGTAGAGATCACGACACCCATGCACTTGCGGCCAGAATCGAAGGGGACAAACTGGTGAGTAGTGGCGTTTGATCGTTCCTCACTGACGGGGCCGAGACCGAGTTGCTCCTTGGCGAATATCAGTAGAGCAGTCTCCGTCTTGGATCCAATGAATGTCTGCTCGCCGTCTACCAAGCCTTCGAATGCAGTTGAGTTGATAGCAATAGATTCACGGAGTAAGCCCTGGACGTCGCTGCTAAGAGTGGCCGCAACTTCCTTTGCCGAAATGTTGTCTAGGACCACAGGTGGGGGTCTCTCTCTGCTCGAATTGTCGTCGTCGTCGTTGGGCTCGGTGGTACCACCGAATCGAGAGCTAGTTCCAATAGTGCCGGCTACGACCTGCATTTTATTCTGTGTAAGAGTACCAGTTTTGTCGGAGCAAATAGCAGTAGCGTTACCCATGACTTCGCAAGCCTTCAAGTGACGAACCAAGTTATTATCCTTCAACATTCTAGTCGTAGCAAATGCAAGAGCGAGTGTTACAGCCAAAGGCAGACCTTCAGGGACAGCAACGACGATAATGGTGACGGTGACGATGAAAATGCTCAAGAACTGTTGGCCCTTTTCGGAAGCGGTTCCCTCGTTGTGAGGGAGTTGAGCCAGGAATTTAATGAACAAGACGACAAAGAGCAAGAGACCAGCAGCTCCACCGAGTTTCGCAATGTACTCGGCAAGAACGTTGAGCTTGGACTGAAGAGGTGTGACTTCTGGATCTTCTCTGAGAGACATCATAATCTTGCCGTAACTGGAGTTAACGCCGGTAGAGGTAACCATGAATCTTCCAACACCCTCGGTGACGTGGGCTCCGGAAAGAATGAATGGATCGAGCTTCTTGGTGTCTTGGCCGCTCTTGATAGCTTCGTAGACTTCGTTTGCCGGTCTCTTCTTGATGATATCAGATTCACCCGTAGCAGAACTCTCGTCGCATTTAACGTTGTGACCCTCGATGAAAATTCCATCAACGGGCACCATGTCTCCTGGCTCGAGTAGCACGACATCTCCAACGAGGATATCGAAGACAGAGATTTCCCTAGATTTTCCAGATCGAATAACCTTAACATCGCGATCTTGCTTCTTCTTGTTCAACTTGACGAATTGGCGTTCCTTCTGGTAATCGTTGACGGATCCTACCACAACGACGATAACAATGGCGACGATAATAGCTACACCCTCAAGCCACTCAATACGTGGCTCGTCAGTGTCGTGCTTCTGTCCAAACGACTGGTACAGACCAACCGCTAGGGAAACAAGTGCGGCAATAGATAGCAAGATGAGGACCTTGTCGTTGTAAGTAATCCACATGATTTCGAAAATAGATTTGCCCTTCTTCTCTGGCAAGCGATTATCCTGGAACACCCTCTTGCGGTCCGAGAATAATTCGTGGCCTTTCTTCGCGTGGTGCGATCCGCTCGTTCCCGTCCTCGAGGCCTTCTTGAGTCCATCAAGTGCCGGGGTTTGAACATTGTCCACAGTCACCGTTCCCTCCAGGAATGTCTCCTCGACACTTAATCCACTGTCGCGGTTTGTCCGTAGTCCCTTCTCAAGCCCATCGAGTCCTCCCAGGGCATGGAATGCAGCTAAGCTCTTTGGGTTTATAAGTTTGTTCAATTGACCTGGCGTGTAGGCGAACTTATTATCCTCGCGCTTGAAATCCTCCTCCGTTCCCGGGTCGGGGGTCAAGGCATCCGTATCCTTGGTGATGTGGTCGTTGTTCATGTGCTCCCTATCCCTATCACTGGAGCTACCTCCATTCTGAACGTATGTCTCGCCTCCATAAGAGGCCTCATCCGAATCTATGGAACCCTGACGCTCTCGGCCCGGCACCGAAAGGAAGGCGCCCGGCTTGTCGTTACTCTTCGAAGTAGGTGATGAAACATTGTGCGGCGACGTAGGCCTCTCGCTGCCCTCAAAGGAAGGATGGCTCCTGAATTCCGGTGTCGAGCCTTGACTCCTATTGCTGGTTGAGCTAATTCGCGGGGCCGACGCGTTTCCAGCGTCGACGTTGCTCGTGCTCGATGCCTCGGACCCTGATCGTGAGACCATCTGAGGTCGAAGAGCCATTGGCTGCTGCGAGGCTTCGTCGTCCGCGGCAGGAGGAGTACTGACGGCGGATGTATCGATTGTAATCGTGGGGCTGTAAGGTTGAGCACACCGAGTTAGCGAGTGGAAATCGAGAGGCTGCGAATCTTGGAACAGACCGAACAGACGGCAAAGGGGGTATGTATAGATAGAGTTTAACTTACGCGCGCTGGCGGCGAGGTTGATCGCCCGCGGTCGGGGGTGGCTCATCAGGAGTCGTCATGTTTGTCGCAGGTGGCTCGATATAACAAGGCCTCAAGCGCCTTGGGGTTGCGAGAGGAAGCTGAGCTCAGAGGAGGCTGAGTTAGGCAGCCTGTCTCGCGGTACTGGCATATGATCTAGAATCCAACGAGGTGGTCGGAAAGGTAGGTATTTAGTCTATTGCCATGAATGAAATGCCCATCGTTGGAAGGCAAAAAGATTGTTTAGATCGGAGTCTGGGTCTGGGGGAGTGGAAATACGCCAAGAAACGTCCAAGAAGCACTTAATAGTGTTAGATGAGTTGGGATCCGCTTAACGAGGCTGTGCATATTTCTGGGCCTGCACTATTTGAGTTATGCCCAAGGCCGCAAGTGGGGAACTGGGAACTGCCAAAGGGAAAAATGCCCGGAGTTGTCAAGTTCAGGGATAGGCTTATTGGTATGCTAATGTTATGGAGATAGGCGCCATTGTTAGTTGTTCTATGGTTCTACAGTTCTAGTGGCTGTTGGTTGTTGGTTCTTGTGGTTTTAATGGTTGTTATACGGTTGGTTTGGTTCTGCGGTTATAATTCACATCGCTGTGATTTTGGGTGTCGCAACCTCGACGTCAATAAATCCAATAAATCCAACAAATCAATAGGCGACACGCTCTAAACAAGGAAAATCAGATCATGTCCAACCAAGTGAACCACGATGCAAGATAACTTTACATACAACATACAGCACATAACACAAAAATACAGGGCGGGCGAGCGAGCATTCTTGCTAATGGTTAGTACATGTACCGTACATACCAGCCCGATGACGATATCCCGACATCCCGCAAGCAATCAGATCAGAGGAGAAAAGACGGGGCCGAGACAAAGGCGGTGACAAAAGACAGCGACAAAAGACAAACCACAAGGAAATCTCATATCACAAATACAAAATACAGTATAATATCTCCTATCATTTTATTTCCTCATTGGCCCAACCAGCCGCTCTGGGCACTCCCCTTCGAACCTCTCAATGAGACCCCTCGACCGCCCCGGATGCGCTACGACTCTTGTTTCCGGACGATCTATGAAACAAGCACATACCAACCCGCCCCCATGATTCGTTCATCACCCAGCGCCTCCCATCCCGCCCTCTCTGGCCATCAAAGCGACCTCCTCAATAAAGCGTCCGATTCAGGTTAAATTTCAAAGTCGGCGGCTCGCTGGCGGCTGGGCAAAACATGGTGTGGAACACAGTCGACAACTGGTAGATTGCTGCGCCTCCCTCGATAAGCGTACAGGAACCTCGGCGGGAATTGTTGGTGGGTGAGACGAGGATGCGCGCGCGATGCTCTGGGCTGGGTCTGATCGGGAACGGAGGTTTGGGGTAAGTTACTCTCCGTCTGTCTGCCGAGATGGAGATGGAGATGCAAGGTACATTCTTCTGTGCTCCCCTGGGACGAAGGTTGCGATACTATACTCTGCTATGTACTCCCCTATGTCCGCAGCCAGTTGCAGTTGACAGACACTTACCTGCCATTTCCAGCCAGCCGCCAGACAGCCTTCATAATCTCACTCCCGCCGCTCTCACAACTTGGCGAATCACATGATATTATGATATTATGAATGCTGATATAATATGCTCACCCCTCACATTTCAGGGTGCAACGAAAGGGCACATAGGACAGGGTGCGCCATGCGATCAAAGCCCTCTCATTTCTCGTACCACAATGGGAAACTAGCATCGCATCGCAATTTAGTCCAAGCCCTTGGCAAACAACCTTCCATCCACCTGCCGCAATATCTCGCCTCGCAGTAGTATACTTCCGAGGATAATGGTGGTAGATTCCTCACGTGACCCTGCTTTAAACAAAGCGAAAGGGCGATAAGAACCACCAGCAATTTACACATGTTACGCCACCACCGCCACACCACACCCACTGCGCCACACCCACTGCGCCACACCCCCACCACCGCCACAACATCGGCCCTTCCACACCCCGACGCTGACGCAGGAAAAGGGGCATTGCTATCGCCATCCCTCTTGGCCTGCTACTTTAAACCACCTTTGCTTTCACAGATTCCATATCAAGAAAGTAAAAGAAAATCCCGCCAAGGCCGAGCCCGATAGATCAACAGTTCGCCCAGGCCACCCAGCCCCGCGGCGAACGATGTTCCCGTGTGTCTTCCCGTTCATGGATTGCTGGAATGGGCGAGCTGCGTTGCTTAGAGAGACTTCCGTAAGTTGGAGTGCCGATGCTGACCGCGAGGGATGCGAAGGAGCGGGCGTCATCTGGATGGCGATGTGGGTGAGATAAGCTGCACGTGCGGGAGTATGAGCTCGTAAAATTACATCTGATTACACTTCCCGTATCATATCGTATCGTATTGTAACCCCATCCCCCCCCCCCCCCGGCCTCCCATCCGCAGTACGCAGACGGACGCGGACGCGCGCCTCTCCGTTGCGGGGAGCCCCGCCCGCTGGGTCTTGTGCGCAGCGAGTACGCTGAGCTGGAGATAAGATTTACGGACGGCACAGTATGTAGAGACGGCACAGTTTTGTAAAAAAGAGGAGAGGATGCGTAGACAGGAAGACGTGGCGTGTGAGACATAACCGCACGTGCTACGCAACCTACTTCAGTGCGACAGCTGCGCCTCGTGGTGTCAGCGTGGAGGGCGGATCGTGAGGTTGTTGCGGGTGGCGGGGGGTCTGCCTTGGGGGTTGAGGGGAGGGGAGGGGAAGGGGTTTGGGGTAATCAGGCCGAGAGGTGATGATGCGATGGTGCGACTTGGGGTTGAAGGATGAGGGCTGTGAGGGTTCGGGGTTAGGGTTGTTGGGAAGGGGCTTGTGGGAGAGATGATTATATCTTTTCGCTCGAGCACTGGTAAGACGGGAGGAATTTTATAGGATTGAAATCGAAAAAAGGCCCTGTGCCGAAAATAACTAATTCTTCGCACGACCCTGGCAATAAGATGAGAGGAATCTATGGTGAGAGAAATGACAAAGCCCTGTGCTGGAAATAACTAATCCTTCGCACGACCCTGGCAATAAGATGAGAGGAATTTATAGTGAGGGCAATAAAAAAGCCCTGTGCTGTAAATAACTACATCTTGTCTGATGAGCTCTAGTAAGACAGGAGGAATTTCACAGAATCAAAGCACAAAGCAAATTCTCCGTGCCGAAAAAACAACTGTTAACTGTCCTATCTAATGCTACGCTAAGATGAACAACTCCCCGTCTCTTGAAATGTATGCGCCAGCTCAGTATGCAAGCTCATAGTCCCTCAAGTTGAGCCCTTCTCCCCAACGCCAAAGCCAAAGCCGAAGCCATAGCGACGAACGACGAACAACAACAGCTACCCGCTCAAAGCCCTCCAATGCTCAGTTGCTCAGATTTCCCACATCCCCAGCGCCAACGCGCCATATATAACCCCCTCCCACGAACGCCACGCTCAAGCATTCATTCCACGTGATATTCCGTAAGCCATAAGCCATAACTCCCTACTCCAACTCCTTCTCCAGCTCCAGCTCCAGCTCCAGCTCCAACACCTTCTCCTTCTTCACATCCCCCTTCTTCACCTCCACCATCTTCCAACGACTCTCAAACTCCTCCACGAGCTGCACATCAACCACCTGCCCCTTCGGAATCATCTCATGCTCCAACTCCCATCCCGCGCGCCGACACAACTCCGCGATCACCACATCGCAGTCCCCCAACATGTCAACATCGAAATTAACATGTTTCACCGGCTCGCGCGATATGTAGATCTGCGGGATATGCGCTGGGAGGAAAGGAACCACCTCCGACACAGGCGCGACTTTGAGACTCGTCCCGATCACGATCACCAGGTCCACTATGTCCTTATCATGCTGCGTCAGGCGATCATGAAACGTATCCGGGAGCGCTTCCCCGAAGAACGTGATGTCTGGCTTCATCACACCGGCCTCGGGGAGGTCGTATTCATCGTCCCCTCCCTCCTCGGAGCTACTATCCTCATACTCCGCCTTCTTGCGCTTCTTCGGCTCACTGCCATTAGCAGAGCGTTTCCGCTTCATAGCAGCTGGTGCCGCAGCCGCGCGGAGATACTGCACGCAGCGCTTGCAGCGCGGGATCAGGCCAGCGCGGATGTCGGGGAAGATCGCTTCACCCGCGACTTGGGCGCCGCATTTCGTACAAGACGCAGTGGCGAAGGAGCCGTGGCATTGGATTAGCTTCTCTGGCTTTACGCCCGCTACGCCCTCGATGTTGTCGATGTTTTGGGAGTAGTTTGTGAGCAACTTTCCTTTGTCCTGGAGGAGCTTGATGAAGGCGTGGGTCGGGGTGAAGCGAGATGTGGTGGGGAGGATGTCCCGCGCGACGCTGTAGAAGATGGAGGGGTCTTCTTTGAAGAGGGCGATGTCGAAGACTTCTTGTGGGTCGGAGAGGCCGAGGTGTTCCAGCTTGGCGTAGAGCCCGACGTCTTTGGAGCGGAAGTCGGGGATCCCGAGGGAGGTGCTTATTCCGGCTCCTGTGAGGACGATGATGTTGTTGCATTTGTTGAGGAGCTTGACCACGTCGTCGATTGTATTGTAACTCGGTAGCTTTGATCGCTTGGACAGTTCGCGGCTCAGGGCCATCGAAAGAAGACTGTAGTACGCCATGTCGGGCGCGCCCTCGAGGAATGCGGGGGGCTTGATGCCAAACGCCGTTATGAGTTTCTTTGCCGTGACTTTCCCTGCCTCGACAGTAGTCCCGCAGAAGATTGTAGGGCCGCTGTCGCGCAGAAGGCGGCGGTACTCGCGCGCTTCCTCGAGCGTGCAGACATCGTCTCCTATGGGGTGATGTTAGTAACCCCTAGCTTTCTTTGTAAGATCGATCTTGCATAACATACCACCCTGAAGCTCTCCATCTCCAATCTCCTCCAAGGCATCCTCAAACAGCGACTCAGTCTCCCAAACCTCCCCCGAAGTGACGCTTCCACTCTCGTAATCGTTATCGTCGTCCTCGTCCTCATCCGCCTCAAGCGCCTCAGTCGCGGGCTCGGGGCTCACTTCGCGCTCCCCCACCAGCGCTTCATCGTCGGAGACAAGGTCGACCACAGCCTTGAACGAGGTCTCGATGGTGGTCTGGCCAGCGGCGAGCTGACTTAGGTCCATCGCGACTTGTCTTTGTAGTCGACTACCTCGGTCCCTCGAGGCGCATGTGGATGGCGTCTCCGTCTCGGAGTTTAAATATAAGCTAAGATTAACGGTCTTATCGCTTATCGGCGCATCGGCCAAGGGCCGGCCGGTGGGGTAGGGTGAATTTGATGTGAGGCTCCGCTGACAGGGTCCTGGACTGAACGTCAAAATTCGAATTAGTTTGACTTCGGTCAATTAGAATCCGGAAATCTGAATTGAGCAAGATGCACTGTCAAGTGCGATTGCGCAATGGAAGGATCTCAACAGCCGGGGGGCGCAGATCCACCCCAAGGGACCACCACCTCGAAACCTACAATTGAGCGGAGGAGATCGAGGGCCCTCTCTGTTCTCAAGAGCAGTAAACCTAAAGTCAACGATGAAGGACAAAGCAGCGGAGCTGGGGGTGTCTCCAAAGGCATATTACATCGCAGACCAACCCTCGGGCCACGAAAGAAAGAAAAACATATCAAGATAGAGGAGGGCCCGCAACGGCCAAACCCTCTCGTCAATGCCTCGAGTATATACATGGGCTCGTATGGCCCGAGTCCAAGCGCCTCGCGCCCTATTTCGATGCGCTCGATGCGGTCCCCGGGGTCTCCACGGTCACCGAGACCCTCTGCGATGGGGACACCGAGACACTCCGCGATGGCGACGCCGAGGCACAGTTTGAGTGCTGTGGGAATGAATACAGTGCACTTGGAGGAATTGGATCATCTACTACGGGACCTCAATGTGCATTTGGAAACATATGGGATTCAAGAGACGCGTGATGGCTTTTTTGATGCCCCCTTCTTCAAGCCGCCGAAGACGGATAAGGAGGAGCTGATGCGATCGGCGAGGAATACACTCCCAGCGTCTTTCAGGAAGAAGCATCCGCTGTCAGTGTCTCACTTCTTGCCGAAGCAATGGCATGAACTGAAGAGCGTGGTGCGACGTCTGATGACTACAAGAGCTGGCATCAAGCTTACGAAATCGTTTCTTGGATTTTTTATACCATATATCCTGTGTCTGATTCCGGTTGTTGGTAACTGGGTGGGCAGATACCGGTATATCATGGTTTTATCTGCGCTATTTAACCATCCGGGAAGGACAATCGGGGCTCAGATTGATGGCGCATTTCTGACTATCATGGGAACATGTACTGGCCTTGGCTGGGGAGCCTTGGCCCTGTATGTCTCTGACTCTACGAGTGTAGCGGAAGGTGGATATGGAGGCGTGCTCGCCGCTTTCTTGATAATATTCATGGGCGTCATGGCATCGCTAAGATCCTATTTAATAAGGATATATCAGTTTGTCGTACCCGCTGGAATCGCTGCTATGTTCTGTTGTTTGGCCGAGACCGGGCGAAATGTAACCTGGGAGAAACTTCTAGCTTATGGTATACCATGGGCCTTGGGGCAGGGTATCAGTCTCATTGTGTGCTTGGTTATAGCTCCAGATGGTGGCTCTCGCCAGATTGCTCTGGCGGTCCATGACGCGTTTCGAGTCATGCAAGATGGGCTGACACTCCCACGGACGGAGAATCAGAGTATCCATCGCCAGCTGTCGTGGACATTTGTCAACCTTTCTCAAGCTTATCGAGACCTCGCCCTCGACATCTCATATACGAGATTTGCTCCTGGGGATATTGCGGAGGTCAGAAACGCCATGCAGGCAGTGGTTCGATCATTGTTGTCGCTGAAGACAGAGACGGAACTTTTCAATGGTGCGGAATCCAATAGCCAGCAAGCAAATGATTCTAGTGACGGCGATGTGGTTGTGGACATTGAAGAGCCACGCTCACGGCAAGCAAGTACAGGCACTATAGAAGAGCAAGCGGTGAACCTCGTTACCAAGACGCTTGCTGGCCCTACCGAACAGTTACTTGCGGATATGAGGGATGGACTTGACTGTTGCAATGCAGTTCTTTTGGGGATGTCAGGGTATAGGAAGTATATCGGTCCTCCTCCGGAAGTTTCATCAGATGTCCTTGGGAGTCTGGTAAATCTCCGAAAAGCCAAAATCAATTTCGACAAGCTCCATAAGGAGCTCATTAACGATGAGGCCTTCCCAGCTACCTTTTCCAATTACCCCGACGTCGTGGAGTTATTCCTATTTGTGAACCCTGTCAGGCAGACAGCAGATAGCTTGGAATCTCTGTTGGTCCTGGTGATGAAGATGCAACAAAGTCAGAAGAAATGGCGGTTTTACTTACCTCATTATCCCTTTCACAAGAGTCTCCAGAGAACCAATGCGCAGGTACGACATGACCGTGGAGGTATGACTACCGGTCTATTCTTCCGCAGCCAGAGGGAACTTAATGCTCTGATGATCGGCGCTCAGAAGAGCACATTCCAGCCGCTTCCTCGTAACAAAGCCGAAGAGAGCGCTGCGACATCAAGCCAGGAGTCCGATGATGGCGATGAGGATGTCATTATGAATAACGAAACGTCGTCGCCGAAGAAAACTTTTCGATACAAGCTATGGAAAGTGCTTCACAGGGCGCAGGGGTTCGAGATGCGCTATGCCCTTAAAGTTGCAATTGTCGTCTCCATGCTCTCCGTTCCGGCATGGCTGGAACAGAGTAGGGAGTGGTACAACGACTACCAAAGCTGGTGGGCGGTCATAGTTGTCTGGATAATGGTTCACCCTCGAACAGGAGGGAATATCCAGGATTTGTTCACACGCAGCTTCTGCGCAATACTCGGTGCGATATGGGGCGGCGTGGCACACGCAGCACGCGATGGAAACCCTGTCGTTGTGGCTGTTTTCGCTGCTATTTATATGATTCCAATGGTATACCGCTACACGCAGAGTTCTCACACTCGGTCTGGGCTAGTCGGCTGTCTCAGTTTCATCATTGTCTCTCTCGACCTACAAGCTCAGGATAACCGCCAGTCGAACATCAACATCGCCTGGACTTTAGGCGTCGCCTTTGTGGTAGGCGTCATATCCGCGATTCTAGTCAGCTGGCTTCTATGGCCCTTTGTTGCCCGCCACGAGCTGCGCAAATCTCTATCGGGGATGATATACTACTCCGCCCTCATCTACCGCGGTGTCGTCGCGCAGTACATTTACTACGAAGAAGGTGACGAGCCAACCCAAGAAGACATCACCCGCTCCGAGATGCTAGAAGGTCGTCTCCGCGAAGCCTTTGTCCGCATGCGCCATCTCCTGGCATTAACTAGACACGAGATCCGATTACGAGAACCATTTAATCCTTTGCCCTATTCGGCACTGATTGAGAGCTGCGAGGCGTTCTTCGAGAATCTGGTTGAAGTGCGCCAGTTTAGTCTTTACTTCCATCCGAATTATATGAGTCAGAATGAGGCGGTTTCGAGTGAGCTACTCCCGTATCGACGTGATGCGGTGGCTAGTATCCTCATGACTCTGTATATCCTCGCTGGAGCCCTGCGGGGGAAGAGGAGAGTTCCGCGGTATTTGCCTAGTGCGATGGTGGCGAGGAAGAGGTTGTTGGATCGGATGGAGGAGCTGGAAATGGAACAGCAGGAGGAGGAGAGAAGTAAAGACTACAACGATGAGCATGCTGAAGCGCCGCTAGGGAAGAAGAATAATCAAACCCAAGGGAAGCAGAATGCCGAGGAGAGTGGTATGCGGTTTGCACAGGTTTACCAGTTTGCCTACAGTAAAGGTCTGACGCAGTGTGTGGAGCACCTTGAGCAGTTGCAGAAGTATACGAAGGCGATATGTGGAGAGGTTGGATTTGACCCGGACGATTTTGCAGAGGTGGAACATAAGATTGAGGACGAGTGGAATAGGTGAATATTGTGCATATACAAGATATGTTTGAAGCTGTATTTGAACAGTAATTTTGTGTAATACTAGCGATTTTACAGTTGAAGATCTTCAAATGGATATTATATTCTGCCAAGGCTCGACCCAACTTGTATGAGCAAGGGCTCGTTATCTCGAATATCTATGCTCAGATTGTGTAAGCAACGAATGGAGGCGCCGATTTGAGGACCAGGGGGTCACTGTCGCCGTCGCGATTCGGTCTATCTTCTGACCGTCTACAGCTTCATTATATCTTGGCATGTGGTTTGAAATCAACGGCGATTTGAAATCATCTTGGCAGGTTATGATACACGCATATATATACTATTGGTTCTTGGGCTTCTTTTGAGCAGTCAGACTAGATCTATCATTCAAACCACCCACATCAGCCAACAACATTTTTCTCACAACACACCCCTAACAATCACAATGTCTTTCTCCGGCAAAAACGTCCTCATCATCGGCGGCACCCACGGCATCGGCCTCTCCACAGCCCAACTCCTCATCCGCGACAGCGCAACCGTAATCCTCACCGGCCGCAACACCACCAAAGCTGCAGACCTCCTCGGCACCACCGCCCACGGCCTCCCTCTCGACCTCCAAAACCTCTCCGAGATCACCTCCCTCCCTAGCAAGATACAGGCGCACCTAGGTTCAGACGCCAAGATCGACTTACTCTTCCTCAACGCCGGGTTCGCTGCCCTGGAGCCCCTGGCGACGGTCACGGAAGAATCTTTCGACCGCACGTTCAACACGAACGTTAAAGGCACTTTCTTCGCTGCCCAGACGCTCGCACCGCTAGTCCGTGACGGAGGGGCTATCGTCTTCACAACATCCATAGCGAACAAACTCGGCATCCCAGGCATGGGCGCCTACGCAGCGAGCAAAGCAGCCGTTCAATCACTCGTCCAGACCTTCGCAGCAGAGCTAGCTAGTCGGAAAGTCCGCGTTAACGCAGTCAGTCCCGGGTACGTGAAGACTCCCACGATGGGGGTGGTAGGGGCGTCGGGGACGGAGCTGGAGGAGTTCGAGGAGCATGGGAAGAAGACTACGCCGTTGGGGAGGGTGGGGGAGGCGGAGGAGGTGGCGCGGACGGTGAGGTTTTTGGGGTTTGAGGGGACGTTTGTGACGGGGGTGGAGGTGGTGGTTGATGGGGGGTTGGGGTTTTTGAGATAGTTTTGGGACTTCGGTGGTGGTTTTTGAGTGGATACAACAGAGTTTTGATTTAGTATCTGATTCCTTAAGCTGACTAGGATAATGGGAGTCACCATGATTACCTCAACACAAACCGAGTCCTGGTCCTGTTGGCGAGCATGGTGTACACCTTCTACTGTATTGTAATAGTAGCCTTTACCCTCGGCGGGAATCCTTCGACAGAGAAGGCTCAGAGAACGGCGGGAATTGGTATGGATACCTAAAACCTTCGTCGGATATCATGTTCTCCTTGAGTCGCTTCCTAGCCTCCTCAGACAAAACTTTTTTTTTGGGGAGCGGGATAGATGCTGTGTCGTAGTTCGTTCTTATAAAGAGCCCCGGTACAGTATCTTCAGTTGGTTTCTCCCAGTTTGTCGCATTTTCCAAAGCTATCTGGCGGAATCGAGCTCTTCGGGCGGCCTCTGTGCGTGGATCTTTATCTTTCGCTGCCTTTGCGGTATCCCTGCTTTCTGATGCGGTCTCGGTGGGAGGTATCGCCTGTTTCGAGGTTATGTTTGTGGCAACCGTTTCGGAGACGGCGTGAGACTCGTCCCTTGTGGATTCAGCGACTTGCTTCATTTTCTCCTCGGGAGACTGAGTGGCGTGGGTATCCATCTCTCTAGTCTAGTGCCTTCAATTATGGTGTAAAACTGTTCAAATAACTTTATCAGTTATCAGGAAAGGGTATCTTTGTACAAATAATATCTTTAGGGGTGCGGAGGGTACAGGGTGATGGGAAGCTGCTTTATGATCTGATATTTCGAAATGGGCCGACTTAAGTCACATCATGCCATCTGAGATATGAGGTTCTCTGTATCGGTAGCATTATGTTGATATAATATTTTTGTATATAATTTCAAGTAAATATCATAAATAATTACTACCCTAAATAATTAAATGCATTGAATTTCCAAAATCAACATGAGAAACGAAGGGAAATATTATTGTTCCAAATCAACTATACCAGTTGCTATTGTTGCTAAACCAGAAATATATCCACTCCATTGTATGCTTTGTAAAGCGGTGGCTTGTAATGCTGCAAGTGATAATATTTCTTGGTCGCTCCTGTAAGCTGGAGGAATGCAACGCCGACTTTGACTCACACCCACGACTTTGTAAGCTAGAATCAAGCAACTTGCTTAGGCCAAGAGCGCCTAACTGAGGGCTTCATGTGGGTACAGGGTGGGCGGGCCTACTTATCAATCTTGAGGTTTAGTATGGTTTTCCAAGTGATAAATCTGAAGGCCCGGCCTCACTTATTCTCAGTTATGAAATAGGCTTCTTTTATTTCGTCAACCATATATCTATCAAATTATTTTTGCTAATATTATTACCGTGACATGTATAATTGTGTTTGGTAATATAGGCCCATTAACATGCCTATCGACTGTGTCTGCGAAAATAATGCATTGCGAAACGTAGAAATGCGCAACCAACACGCCCAAATAGGAGCTTGTGAGTGTACCATAAACGCTAGTTTAGTTACCGACCTCGTTCCAAACGGTTAAACTAATGCCGCTGTGTAAATCGCGGTGTTCGTTGCAGGTGATGTACTAACGGCTAATAGTTTAAGCGTTGGCACCTTGACCTCTTTACCTGGTTTGGCGGGTAGTTCAACATTTCCGAGCATGTCGATCTAACAAGCTTATTAATTCTCAAGGCTGAACGAAATGATGTACAAGTGCCGACAGTGATTTTTTATGCATCAATAGCAACCATTCTAAAAAACATTACAACGACAATTAAATTATTTGAGAAAAGAAAACAAATTTCTTATCATTAGTACATACAACATGTTCGAGGGATTCACAGAATTCGATATAGAGGTCCAATCCTCCCCTAATGTCACCATTCACGGGGTGCAAGGAGGTTCGGGACCAGCACTGCTCCTCGTCCACGGATTTCCCCAAACCCATCTCATCTGGCACCTTGTCGTGCCGCACCTGGTTTCGCAATTCACCATCGTAGCTGTGGACATCCGGGGGTATGGCGCATCCACCAAGCTTCCCCAGAGCGAGGGACATACACACTATGCAAAGAGCACCATGGCACGCGACCTCAAAGTTGTGATGGAGAAGCTGGGCCATGACAAGTATTACATCTGTGCCCACGATCGAGGGGCCCGCGTCGCCCACAAGCTGTGTGTGGACTTTCCAGCGCTTGTGATAAAGGCTATCTTCCTCGACATCAGCCCCACCCTGCTGATGTATTCAAAGACGGACTTCGAGTTTGCCAAGTCTTACTTTCACTGGTTCTTTCTGATCCAAAAGTACCCACTGCCGGAGACTCTGATTTCGCAGAATCCGAAGATGTTCGCGGAATTGTTTATGGGTGGAAGACACGCGGGACTTGGGGCGTTTACACCGCAGTGTTTCGCCCAGTATTTGTCGGTTCTCGAGCAGCCTGAGGCTGTTCATGCGATGTGCGAAGACTATAGGGCGGCTGCGACGATAGACTTGGAGGAGGCGAGACAAGATATTAAGGCAAATCGCTTTATACAAAATCCTCTAAGGGTCTTGTGGGGGAAAAATGGGACCATTGAGAAGTGTTTCAATGCTGTTGCGGACTGGAGTGAGGTTTCTACGGCGAGTGTAGACGGGGGAAATATTGACTGTGGTCATTATATAGCAGAAGAGGCGCCAGACATACTCGTAAAGAATATCAAGGAGTTCTTTGTCTAGGGAACTTGGAGCACGGCAGGAGCGCCGACTACCAGGTGGTCGGCCGCACTTTCCGAAATACATGGTACAGGTATATACATACGGTTTCTACTCAATTCTCAATTCAACAGAACAGACTTTAACCCATTTCTTCCATCCGCCAGCTCAAAAGAGGCCTGTGTCGTTGAGTTTTAAGCGATCAACTGAGTAAATCGCCTGTACCATGAAGCTGTCTATCTTCGAGACGAACCGACCTATTTGAGACACCGTACCAGGGGTCTCCGGATCTGACGTGCCAGCGCCACAATTCCGCACCAGCATTCTCCACAAAGCCCACCTGTCATGCGGGCGGGACCCTTGTCCCTGGACTAATAATAACACTAGGCACCCTTCAAATCGAAGACAATTCGCTATATCAGCATAGAGTACGACCGGACAACACAGGCGAGAACCCAGTATAGAGTAAATTACCATACCTTCTACACGAGAAAGATCCATAGGCTATCCGGCGAGTTAAGACTCACTTCGTGTTGGTTTTCAGTAACTAAACCTAACCAGATACGACGACGTAAATGTTGCGATCTCGTATTGCGGCGCGTTTAGCCGAAATTGGATTATTGAACACTACTTCGTAATACGATGGGACGCCCAGAGTCAGCCCTTCAGCCCACCCTTCAAATACGAGGGGTCCCCCCATGGATGTGCAACATCCCCCGCAAACGGCTGTCGCACATTTCGCTATCGTTTTGTTTTTTTTGTTCTTGTCACTCGTTTATGATATGCAATATCGCGTTTATGGAGGCATAGGAGAAGCTTTAAGGGGTTTCAAAGTTGCTGCGGGTAGATAGACAGCGATCGACAGCCCGATAAGAGCTCCTCGTCCTAGTGGAGCACGATAGGCCGCGATCGACAACCAGATACCCAGGCTGTCTCACTTGATAGAGGGAATGTTAGACGCAGGGAAGAGCACGGAGAGGTTGCATAGTGGCAACTTGAGCTCCGGCGAGGATGGAGGAGTTGTGCAAAAAAAGAAGGGGGGGATCCGGCCGATTTGTGAGTCGCTTGCTGCCTTTGGCGCGAATGCAAAAAGTCTAACATGATGCAGGGTATTGGATCGCAGGTGTCTTCGTGATACTGGCAATTGCTGGGGCGGTCGTGGGAGCTCTTGTCGCGAAAGATGTGATTCACGTGGGATCTGGAAAATCAGCAGCTGCTGTCGGCGACACAGTTGGCGACACAACGGAGACTGCTGGTTCGCCGAGCGAGACTTCTTCTCCTCCAGTCGAGAGCTCCGATGGCTCCGACTCGTCAGTCGACACTCCCTCCTCTTCCTCCACTTCTGGTACCGGCACTCCGACTTCATCTACAACCTCGGAGAAGTCGACAAGCAAACCAACAGCAACAGCCGCCTGCACAACTTCTGACGAGATTCCTTCAAAGGAGAAAGGCACATGGATGGACACAACGTCGTGGCTGGATATGACTGGCTTCAACTGCACATTTACGGATGCGACTGTGGGTGGCCTTCCCATCGTCGGCTTGAAATCGACGTGGGACGACTCCAAGCAAGCCAACGCAAACGTACCTGCATTGAACAAGCCATGGGGATCCTACGCCAGCAAACCTTTCCGCGGTGTTAGCTTGGGCGGGTGGCTCTCTCTCGAGCCCTTCATTACCCCCTCACTGTTTCCCGACACAAGTCTCGTCGACGAGTACAGCTTGTGCAAGAAGCTTGGCCCAAAGGAAGCTGCCAAGACATTGGAAAAACACTACTCCACCTTCATCACTGAAGACGACTTCAAGGCTATCGCCGCCGCGGGTCTGGATCACGTACGCATCCCATTCTCGTACTGGGCAGTAAAGACCTACGACGACGACCCATACGTGCAGGGTATCTCATGGCGCTACCTCCTCCGCGGCATCGAGTGGGCGCGTGCACACGGCCTACGCGTGAAACTCGACCTACACGGTGCGCCTGGCAGCCAGAACGGGTGGAACCACAGCGGGAGGCAAGGGACGTTGGACTGGCTCGAGGGCCCGCACGGCGCTCTTAACGCCCAGCGGACGCTGGACATCCACGTGCAACTAGCCAAGTTCTTCTCCCAGGACCGCTACAAGAATATCATTGCCTTCTATGGCCTCATCAACGAACCTGCTCTTGCCCTCTCGCAGTCTGATCTCATCCTCTGGACGGAGAAGGCGTTCAAGGTCGTCAAGGACAACGGCTTCAGCGGCACCCAGGTCTTCAGCGAGTCGATGCGCGGCCTCGAGCCCTGGCAGGGCACCCTAACAGGATACGGCGATAAGCTCGCCATCGACGTCCACCAATACACCATCTTCGATAACGCCCTCACCGGCCTCAAGCACACCGAGCGCGTCAACTTCGCCTGCAAAGCCTGGACCCAAGCCTCAATCTCTGGCATGAACCCCGCCAGTGGCTTCGGACCCACCATGGTAGGCGAGTGGTCCCAGGCCGACACAGACTGCACCAAGTACCTCAACGGCGTCGGCAACGGCGCCCGCTGGACCGGAACCTTCTCCGGCACCACCACGCCCTACTGCCCCACTGGGGACAGCAAGTGCAGCTGCGATCTCGCGAACGCGGATGCGTCCTCCTACAGCAAGGAGTACAAGCTCTTCCTGCTGACGTGGGCGCAAGCCCAGATGTCCGCCTTTGAGAAGACGTGGGGATGGTTCTACTGGACCTGGAAGACGGAGAGCGCGCCGCAGTGGAGTTATCAGGCAGGGTTGGCGGGAGGGTTCATGCCGCCGCTGGCGTATCAGCGGAGTTGGGATTGTTCGAAGACGGTGCCTGATTTTGGGAGCCTGCCGGAATTTTACTAGAGCGAGCGAGCGGTGTCATATGAAGCGATATATTAGCGTATATATGAGAGGGATTTAGGTTGGGGGTTTATAAGGGGGGATTTAATACTTTACTTAATGTCTAAAATTTGTAACTTTGTAAATGTCAGTTTGGCAACCCGCAACACTCGTTCTCTATATGAAATAGGCTTCTTTCATTTTTCATACTCGACACGCCATAGTGAGGCTCATCACAAATTCTACATTAAAGCAATACTCATGATACTCATGACCCAAAACCCTTCAGATTGCACTTCGTCGTAAGTTACTAACGGGGCTTTCTGCCCTGGTCATTTGCGCAACCCCTACCCCCACAGCTGATTTCACTTCATCTCCCTCTCATATTTAAGATTCCGAGAAGCTATACCCGCAGCCAGAAGAGCGAAGGTGAAGATAAATTCCGGCAGGAGATCAAGAACTACCTTTTCTGCAATTGTCCCACCAGTCCTTAGATTAAATGACGCTGTTTTTATAAAAGCGCCTAATGTTGTGTAGAGAATCCGGACAACCATCGCCAACATGGCAACAACAACACCTCTAATGAGCTTTGCGATCTGTTAGCCAGAACCAAACCAACTATGTGGTCTAATGGATACGTACTTGTTTCTCTCCACGTAAATCTCGAGGATAAAGAAACGAGACAGCCACAATAACAGCGATACCGAGCCACACAGCAAGGAGGAGTATGCCTCCCGCACGAACCATGTCTAATCTCGTCTTCATATCACTCGTGGTAGAAGCGATCTTCTCAAACTTGGTATACCCTAGAGCTATCATAGCGATTGCTGCTACACAGCCAAAATGAACCACAACGTGAGGGAGAAATCCGAATATGATTCGTCTGTGCGATTTGATAGAGGTGTATCTAGGTCAGCTGTTAGTTTATATAAGCTCAAGTGCTCTAGAGCAAGTTGTTCCATACGATTCATGTGCTATTCCACCGATAGAAATGATCAGAGGAGCAATGGCTACCGAGGCAATAATCAGCCCGGCCTCGCTGAGTGTCTTGTTTGTAGATTCATCGCTGACGATAATGGCGGCACCGACAATTCGTATGATGCAAAAGACACAGAGGAAACCCCAGCCTAAGAGGCCATGCTGTCCGTGCTTGAAGAGGCAGTAGAGCGCGGGGAAAATGGCGATTATAAAGAAGGCCAATTGCGCAATAGCAATTTTTCCTGCTGTGTTGAACATGGTGTGCGTGTGCGTAAAGATAGAAATATGTATAGAGAAAGGAGGCAATTGAATGGATGGTGCAGATGGAAGGGAGTTTGAGGGGGATATCTACCAGATGAGAACTTATAACAAAAATAAAAATAAAGCAGAATGCTTACGACTGCCTAAAAGCCACAGCGGATAACTAACCTTCAGCTGCATCTTCTAAAAATGTAGAAAATCTCCAAATGCGTGGCTGTGAGTGTATGTCAGGTTGGGAATGACCGAGAAGGGAAACCACAAGAGTGAAGATCTGCAACTAGGGTCGTAGGCAAAGGATTCGCTAATGCCGTGCCGATCTGACGCCAATACGCAATACGCAATGCGGAATACGGAATACGGGATACGGGATACGGGATACGCTAACCAACGTATTATCCGTCGGACGTATTCCCTCATCATCATCGCATTTCTTATTATCAAACATTAAACAGGCACTCTGCGGTAGAAATACTCTCCCTATTGTGCTAATAATGCCACGACAAACCCGGAGAACACACACGAAATCTCGAGGAGGGTGTTCGGAGTGTAAGCGAAGGAAAATAAAGGTAGGCGGCACTCCGCTAATGACTTACCTGCTTTGCTTTGGGGCCCTTGCTAAACATGGCATAACAGTGTGACGAAGAGAAGCCCGCCTGTTCAGGCTGCACAAAACGCTGTATACCATGCGAATTTGCTATAGCGAGGTCGCCAAGTGCTGGCAGGCGGCCAGGGTATTCTGGAACATCGCCTATGAGCCCGTCTGTATTATCATCCTGTGACGTGTCTACCCCTGGTTGCAATGGCAGTTCTGAGAAACTTGCATCACCTGGTCTACCTTCAAATGAAGCACCGAGCCCGTCGGCCACTACAAAGACTGTTGGGAATTTTGATATGGACGATATGGAGTTGGTATGCACACGCTTTTGTTATGCTGATAAAGAGAGTCTTCTATTTCTCCTAGTATTCCTATTAACACAAACGCTAATAACCAAACTCCATAGTATCACCAATTTATTACAGAAACAGCTGCAACAATGGGTGGTCCATGGGTGAAAGTAGTTCCTCGGTTGTCTATTTCCTGCGACTATCTGATGCACGGCATGTTATCCACAGCGGCATTACATCTTGCATACCTAAATCCAGGGCAACGAGGCAGGTACGAGTACTTGTCTACTCAACACCGGACACTAGCACTCGGCCCGTTCCAACAGGACTTATTAAATATCACCCCAGAGAACTGTAACCAAGTGTTCGCCTTTTCCGGGTTTATGATAATAGCCCAGTTCGCACCATCTCGCTCTCCCGAGGCTCTCTTCCCATCTCCAACTTCTTCCTTATACAAAGGACCCGCAAATTGGATAGTTTGTCTCCGTGGATGTAGCTCTATCGTGACACAAGCAAGGCGATACATGATATCCGGACCACTTGAGGGTCTCATTTCGCAAGGCATGCAGGCATCAGCTCTCGCCAGAGAAGTTACCGTGTTCCCAGAAAATGAAGATTTTCGGAGCCTACAGCGCGTATCCGGGGAAGTTTTGAAATTACAGTGCATCAAGGAAACAACAACCGTGGATGAAATGGAATCGTACACAGAAGCAATTTCTTGGCTACAGGGATTACTTGCAGCATCTTTAGCTACTACCGATTCGCTCATCTCTCGAATATTCTCTTCTATTTGGCCAACGCAAGTATCAGACACGTTTATTCGAACGCTAGGCGAGGGAAGACCACCAGCGCTTATTATCACTGCGCACTATTGCCTTCTATTGCAACGCTGTTACTCGTGCTGGTATATGGAGCATCGTGCTTACGACTTGTTCAAGGCTATCCAACAGGACTTGCCTGCGGAATGGGGCCCCTACGTGGAGCGGATGGTACAGGTGATTCAAAATAAGTGATTAGAAAACTTCAATAATTAAGTAGAGCTGGAACTCTGAATAGTTAGATATTAGCGTCCGGGGGGTTGGCACTGTTGACGCTTATATGGTATGGTAACAAGTTGATAATATGAGACACACGACACACATCCACAAAAGTCCTACGATAGTCAGCACGCGCGCTCTAAAATTATATCCACTGCTTTATTTTATCTATGCACTATAACGTCATAATAGTCACCCGAAAACAACTGGCCACAACGCTGAAACAACAGGGTAATGATAAGCTCTCTCTTGTTCTGAGCGGGGCTGAACTCATCACGTATCCCGTATCTCGTATCGCGCATTGCCTCCGTTACGCGTGCATCACGGATCCTACCAGGCGCAGCTTATCCCGTTGTCACATTAATGAGCTGTGCAAAAACAATTCTTTGTGGGTATTCAAAGTGAGAGGATTAGATTTAATATATATATGTCTATATCCTTCGAAATATATCTCAGCATCAACACGTCAACCTCACCCACACAAACGCCAACCTGCCCATCTCTCATCCGCAGACTCTCAGATTAAACCCCCTTCCTCGCACACCTAAATCGCACCTACCTATCATTTACTATGGGATTGATCAAGACTGCAATTCTGACCGGCGGTGGCATATATGCCATCAAAAAAGTCACCAAATCCGCCGAGAACCGTCATAACACACAGCAACCCCAACCCGACTACTCTCGTCAGAATCCAAATTATCCTCAAGGATACGAGGGGTTTCAAGGCTCGCCACAAAATGGTTCTTCTCAACAAGGTCCCTACTACGGTGGCAACCAACAGCAATACCCAGGGGGATCCTCCTGCAACCACGAGCAACATGATCAGAGTTTCGCTCGTGGCTATAGTGGCCAAATCACCCCGCCGGCTTATACCCAGCAGCCACAAGGTTACAATGGGGGACCAGTAGGCAATTCCGGTGGTAGCGATCGGAATTACAAGTCTGAAAAGAGATAGATAAGCGCATAGATTATTCTAGAAATGAGGGATGGGCTGTCTACTGTTTCTGTAGCTAGGTTACTATGGTTTGTTCTCTACAGTCTCGGGGGTTATGTTATTGTTGCAATATTAGGTCCGGGGGTATCTTATATGATTAGAGATATCAAAACATTATACTTGATTTAGCAGAACAGATGTGTAGGAACTTGATGTAATAGACTATATAATTTGGTTTGGCCTTAAATAGAGATAAAGGCTAAGACTATATATAGGTAAGTTAGCTATTCTTACTTTAGCTAACCTAACTATAGATTTATGACAGGGGTTATGACAGGGGTAGTCTTATAATTAGATTCGCGTACCTTCTTCAAGATTATCTAGACCGACTCTCCCTCCCAAGATATTAGATAGACTATCTCCTACTGCACCTTAACAATATATTATCACAGGGCCCTTAGATGGCTGCACTCTACCGCGCTCTCGGCCTTGGTCGACGGGAGATCCGCCTATTAAAGCTACTCAAATCGGATTCCTTCGACTCCCCCATCCGCGGTAGGCTCGTGCACACCACGCTCGATGACCACGAGCCTTACGAGACCATATCGTACGTCTGGGGCGTCCCTAAATTTACACAGACCATCGAGCTGGAATCGCAGCCGTTTGGGGTCACGCCGCACCTGGAGAACGGGCTTCGGCATTTGCGCCTCGCCTCTAAGGATAGGACGATCTGGGTCGACGCCGTGTGTATCAACCAGAGCGACGATGTGGAGCGCGGCGAGCAGGTCATGTTGATGAAGCAGATCTACGAGTCTTGTACGGGAAATCTGGTTTGGCTCCATCCTATGGTTCCCACGCCCTCCAATGTATCTGAGGGCGAGAATCAAGGTGAGGAGGTAGATGAAGAGAAGAGACAGCAGCAGATGGCTAAAACGCTCGCGACCATGGAGGAGGGCTTGGATTTGTTTAGTAGTATTTACACGCGTGACATCAAGTCTCTCGAGCCGATGCGTCACAAGAGGGGAGAGGTTAGTTTTTGGGAAACCACGAGCGACAAGCCAGGCGACGACGTGTGGCTCCTAGAGTACGAGCAAATGGACTCCCTGCAGACGCTTTTTACCTACTCCTTGCTATGGTCGCGCATATGGGTGATGCAGGAACTCGCATGCGCGCCGCGGATCACCCTCGTCATCGGGAAGCGGACGCTGGATTGGGATATGCTCGACTCGTTTCTCGGAGACGCGGAGTACTCCGATGCGTTTCATATGGAATGGGGACACGGCACTGTGGGACCCATGGCTGGTCAGACATTCAGCAAGGTCAAGACTATTCAGAACCAGCGCACCATGACGCAGGCGGGGCAACGGTCAAGCTTAATGGATGTCCTGGCGCGCTTCAAGGGTTCCAGGTCCACAGACCCACGGGACAAGATCTATGGCCTCCTCGGCCTCACCTCGCAAAGCCGCGAGATGAAGGTCGATTACCGCAAGTCGGTCGCGGAGGTTTTCACTGAAGCAACCACCAACGAGATCAATGGGAGCGAGAACCTAGACATCATCACCCAGAACCCATTTCAAGGGAACGACTCTACCGAGCGACTGGCCGGCCTCCCGTCCTGGGTCCCTGATTTTTCGTGCAACATGTACGACGACTACTCCAATCAGTACTCTAGCATCCTTTTTGCGCAGCGGGGGATCTACAGTGCTGGGAGTGCAGAATGCAAAGTCCCCTGCGACGACGTCCTACCCGGTCGTGTGTTACGCCTCCACGGAACGGTCATCGGTCGCGTGGGACCCATATTATTTAATGACTGGGAACAATCGTACGACGTGAAGCCTGGATGGCAACTCCAGAATCTCTACGCGTATAAGAAGCTCTATCTCAGCCCCGACGTCTTAGACTCGTCGGCGACGTACGTAAATGGGGAGCCCGAATTACAGGCGTTCTGGAGGACTTTGGCAGGTGACTGCGTCGCGTACCCTATAGAGCGACTAGACCAGACACAAATCGCCGAGGACGGCAAGGCGATTCGAGAGCTTATGCGGCAGCCGTTGACGGAGGAGTCGCGGTGGTATACGTTCTATAAAGATCTGGCCTCGGGGCGGATGATGGATAAGATGTTTATGCGGTGGATGTTCACGAAGGCGGATAATGGGCTCTTTTTGATGGTGAAGGAGGGAGCGAAGGAAGGGGATGTTATTGTGGTTGTGGATGGTGGAAAAGTTCCGCTATTGCTACGTAAAGTGGAGGATGGTGAGGGAGGCGGGTATACTGTTGTCAACGCTGCTTATGTGCATGGTTTCATGGATGGGGAGGCAAGGACCTGGGTGGAGGAGGGGAAACTGACTGAGCAGGATTTCCTAGTCGTGTGAAATGATTGCAATGGTGAATAAAGATATTATAAGTCGAACCTCTAGATTTTTTATGAGAAACAAACACATTTTTAGCAGCTGTAAGAGCCGTCGTCGTCATATGTCGCAGTACTCATATACACACTCATAATAGCCGTAATGCTAACTAAAATTGTCATAACCCACATGAGAACGATCAATTGTACGTCTTCCAGTCTCAGCTATGATAAAACGTGCTCATGCCAATTTGCGGAAGAATTTCTTGTAGGGTGTATGATACCGTAGACCTAAGAGGACCCGGCCCAGATTGACACGCACTTTAGCTGTCGATCGGTGGTCTAAACAGCTCAGTCCTAGTATGTAGGCTCGGTAAGTATGGCTATCTCGAGATTTTCAAATCGATTGATAACCATTCTTAAGCCATCACCGTTTGTCTAAAACTTGCTATGGTATCATCTGCTAAAGGAGCTGGGAGCGAGACTTTAGGTGGATCTACTAGGAACGAACCTCGGTAACACAATTGATATGGCTGACACCGAGACTTCAAGTGACGTTTAATTCCTGCTGGCTATCGTTGTTGTTGATCTGGACCCGATACGTTCTCTCAACTCTAATATCCTCCGCGAGCGACATGTCTTCCCAGTTCTTGTTCCCGTCGTAATTCTCCGTGAGGTTAGCCTTGGAAACGGTGGTTTCACTTGCGACGTTTCGCCTGAAGCCGTCGAGCTGGAATGCATCCTTTGATGGGACCCCAGAGTCCCCAGTGTGTCGCAGATACGAGTTTCGCGAGTCCTTTGAGGTATATCCTAGCTGGCGGCGAAGGAGGCTAATCAAAGGCCTCAGAGTTGGCGTGGAGCCGCAAACGATGACGAGGAAGAACTCTGCCGTAACCCATGCGAATATATCGTAAGTAGCCCAGGTGAAATCTGTACGGTTGCCAAGCTCGGAGAGGTACGAGGTTTTAATGCCAGAGCATATTGAAGTGCTATAATATAGATTAGCGGCCGTCGCCGTGCAGGATTGCAATTGAGTTTGTGCATACAGGATGTTTAGGGCAAACACAATTGTTAACGTCATCTTCTCTTGGAAGCCCATCTGAAGAGTCCAAAAAATAGTTGCAGGAATCAAGGATAAGCTAGCGTCGACGAAAGTGTTGTATGCTATAATCATATTAGCTTTGGGGACCTCTGCCTTTGCATGATAAAACTCGACGCACCTCCAGTGAAGATGCCAAAGCTAGCCATGACGGTAGGCTTTATGCAAGTACCCTCAACCCTAGAATCCCATAAAGCAGCCGCTGGGCGACATTGCGCAAAGGTAAGAATCGAGCATGAAACGCTGACACAAAGGACCAAAACAATGCAGAACGTCCACAGATAGATCTTCTGCCATGCCCGTTGTGTGTCCCTTATGATTGTGAGAATCAAGGCGGAAACAGAAACTTTGCCTGCCCCGATGCCGATGATACCGAAGACTTGCGATGTCCAGTTCAGCAACTGGACCTGCGCAACGATGTCTGGCCCGAGGGCTCCCACATCGGCCATATGTCTCTCCCCGCCTTTCAGACAAAGAAGTGTAAGAGAGATGGTCCACCCGAAGAAACAAATCTGCCTAGGTTAGCAATTGAGACTCCATGGTGAGGGGAGGACGGACCATCGAGATGAACATGAAGAGATCATCATAGCCGATGATAGATTTTTGTGCGCGGAAGATAAACCTCATAACAACCGTAATACTGGCCAAAATTGTCATAACCCACATGAGGACCATCAATTGTACGCCACGATCTGGCACAGATGCGGTCGAAGCTGCCATTTCAGCCATTTATTGTGGCATAGAGTCGAGGCAGAAGAAGCTAACAATGGAACTGAATAGTTGCTCATGTCGCTAGCAACTGACAGTAGCACAGGTGTGACCTTTAAACTCTTATGGGCCGCCCAACTGTTACTATCCACCCCCCCTGTATGATTGTAATGACCCGCAAAGGTATTGCCAGAGCTTGGCAGGATCACTCACTAAACCTGAACGCTATGCCGCCTAACTTGGGTGCGCTGAAGCAGTAAAAACAGTGGATCATTATAATCATATAGGGGGGGGGGGATAGTATTCCGCAGCGGGATTTCCGTAAGGATCCGCGAAACTAGATCTGGTGGATTCGGGATTCGATTTTAATCTCGGTTCGGCCCATCCCTGACATTTCACAACAGAACTGGGGTCTGCGATCAGGGTGGGATTAGGTCTTCCCCTGGCCGGAACACGGAAACGCGTGTCCGCCTGATATAGTGGGTATAGGTGCGATGCCCCCCTCCCCAAAAAGGCGTATTTAGATGCGGGTTGGCCTCAAGTTATCTCCTAGACTTCTGCAAATCATCTTCACTCGTACTCATTACGGAGGAAAGATCTACGACTAAATATTGCCAAAAAACGCGCTATCGAGGCTTGGGCGAATCAAAATGGATCCCATTGCAAACCCAGATCTCCTCATCCAGCAGCTAAAGGCGCTGATTGCGAACCCGGAAGTTTTTTCCACTCAAGGGACGGAGATCATTCAATTGAGCCGCCAAGCTGCTGTTGCGTTGGAGGGCCCCTTTGAGACATTCCAACGACTAGCATACTCAGTTTGTTTCACTGTCCTAGGATCTTGCATTGACTTATCCATTATAGGCCCTTCCCCTCGTGTCAGCTCGCGTCGCACAGGAACACAACATATTCCAAACCCTAGTCGAGAACAAGGATGAGCCAACCAGCGTCGCCGTCCTGGCAGAGAAGACCAACATCAACCCTGTCGTTCTAGATATCCTCCTCGACTATCTGTCAACCCAGTTCATGGTAGAAGAGGTCTCGCCACAGCACTACAAGGCCACCAAGCTCTCTAACATCCTAGTTGCACCCCTTTTCATAGACGGTGTCCTTCACTTGTATCCACGCCCTCCAAACTCCAAAGTTTACGTTTCTGTCTAACCCCTTGCCCTAGCCACGATAATTGCCTCCCTGCTTTCAATGCTCTAAACTATTCTCTCGCCCACCCAACTGATCCACGGACCCCATTCGAGATCGGCCATGATAGCCCCGTCGATTTCTACACCTATCTCGAGTCCCACCCGATCCAGGGTGCCGCGTTCCATAGGTTTATGGAGGCCCAGTTCGCATCTCTCCCCACATGGCTCGATGTCCTCCCGTTCGACTCTGAGTATGCCGCTTCAACTACCCCCGAGACCCCAACCTTCGTTGATGTAGGCGGCGGAAATGGCCAGCAATGCGTGGCGCTCCAGAAGAAGTATCCAGCCCTCCAGGGTCGCATCATCCTCCAGGACCGGCCGGCCATCCTCGAAAAAGCAATCACCCCTGATAGCGTCGAGAGAATGCCTTATGACTATCTGGTTGAGCAACCAGTTAAAGGTGTGTCTTAATTCCCCTTCTACGTTCTTTCCAGGTCGCCAGACTTTTCTCCTGTCTATGTCTTCTTATCCACATAATCCCTTAGTCTCTTCTATCCCTCGTCCCCCCTTTCCCCTTCCCACTCCCCACCCATCTAACCCATCCCTAGGCGCCCGCGCCTACTACTTCCGCCAAATCTTCCACAACAACAACGACGAGACCTGCCACCTCATCCTCGCCGCCCACCTCCCAGCCCTCTCTCCCTCCTCTGTCATCCTCATCGACGACAAGGTTCTCCCCGACGCGAAACCCGCAACGGGGAGCGTAGAGTACACGGCCGGCCTGAGCCTCGCTATGAAGGCCATGTTCAACGCGCTTGAGCGCCGTGAGGGCCAGTGGCGGACGCTACTGGCAGATGCGGGGCTTGAGATTAGGGAGATTAGACGATACACTGATTTTGGGGACTCGATTATTGTGGCGGGGAGGAAGGCATAGAGGGGGTGTGTAGTGCTGCATTGGGAGGTTAGATTTGGGATACCAAACAGGCATTTCAAGTGGGTGATTTGCGTGCTTTCCGTTTTCCCGACGTATCGTAACAACCGTCATGCTAGCCAAAATTGTCATAACCCACATGAGAACTATCTATCAATTGTACGCCACGATCTGGCACAGATCCGCTGAAGCCACCACAGAAGAAGATGAGAATAGAACTGACCAGTTACCCATGTCACCGACAACTAGAGCATTATAGTTGTTTTTGGTATCCATGATAAGAAAAAAAAAATCTGAACAGAGGGGGATTCGAACCCCCGAATCTTTCGATACGTGAATGCACTAGGCGTTGATAATCGACCAGAAGAATTGTAAGTTCTTGAGTCACGCGCCTTAGACCGCTCGGCCATCTGTCCGATTTTATTCCAGCAATAGACTCCACCAGCACAGATGTAGTCCTTAAACGCTTTTTCCTCAGTGGGATTTTTTGTAAGGGTTGGCGAAACTGGATCAAGTGGATCCAATTGTAATCTCGGTTCGGCCCATTCCTGACATCGCAAGGGAACTGGGAACGGCGATTGGCGTGGGATTGGGCTTTCTTTTAGACGTTGGAGACCGATTTTTTGGTTGATATGGGTGGGTAAAGAATATAAGCCCGGGAAATAGTTAGTGCTGTCATATTTTTTGAGTTTGCTCTGCGGCTCTAAGCCGCCCACACGACTTATGTACACGTATTTGAACCCTTTATACAAGTTATATATAAATACAAAACTTCCTATTCCAGTCCCAAGAAAAAAAATGAATGGAGCCAGAACAGAAAAGCAAATGCCGTTCTCTGAGGCCAGCCCCGATGGCTACTATGCGCCCGTAATATTTGAGCCATTTAGCAAACATCCAGCGTGGCGCTGCCCGTGATGTCAAGCACAATGTTGGTACCACAAGGAGACTCGCGGACAGTGGTGCCATCGACTTTAAGATGGAGCTCAATATCATCGGTAAGCGCGAACTCGTCGCGGGCCGAGAGACGGACCTCTCCGCCTCCATTGACGGTGCCACCGCGGATGGTGACGCCGTAGCAGTTCTCAATAAGAATAGCATTGTTTCCGGTGTTAGAAATATCGACAGTACCAATCTCGGCGCCACCAGACTCCGAGACACAGAAGAAGCCACGGCCACCTCCCTTGGCGATGACCTTGTCGACGAAGATGTTGGTCTCATATCCGCCGTTCAGTTTGCCGTTCTGGTTCGCGAAGCGGAGGGCAGCGTAGCCGGTACCGGCGCCGGCATTATCGGCGTCAACGAGGCCAACATGCGAATTGGTCGTCATCTGGAGCAGCAGACCGCACTCGCCGACGTTACGGGCGATGACCTCGTTTATGGTAAGACCATCGATGTTCCAGGTCTCGACGGCGTGGCTGGTAGCGCCAGTCACCTTGATGGAGTCCATCTTCACGTTTTTGTTTGCAGCCTCGTCACGGTCGAAGCGGATTCCAATACCACCGGTGAGGTTCATGACGATCTTGCCGAGCGACAGGTCGGTGGTACCGTAGAAGTGCATGGCGAAGTAGGGGGCGCCGGTCAGGCTCAGGTAAGGGATAGAGGCACCCTTTGTGTTCAGCGACTCGATGCCACCCCTCCCAGCCTTGTAGCCCAGATTAATAGTGCCACAGCCCTCGAAGATCTTGCCGCTGCCGATGGAGATGATGTTGGTGCCAATGGAACCCGACGCCATCACGGCAACGCGCTCGCCGCTGGCAATGGCGCCGAGCGCAGCATTGATTGCGGCGAAGTAGTCTGAGCCGCTGTATACGCTGGAACCACCTTTGGTGGCCACATAGGCACCCGAAGAGCCTGTGACCTTGGCCTCAGGTGTACCAGCACCACAGTCGGCGGCATTGGTCAAGGAGATGAGGGCGAGTGCTGCTGCGAGGATGGATAGTCGGGCCATGGTTGCAAATGAAGAGTCTAGCTTGGTTACCGTCTTGCTTCTCTTTGTGCTCCTCCAAAGGCTATGGCGGACGCCATCTCTTTATACACATAGTTTATGTTTTTCTCGCTCTTGTATGAACCGAAGTGCTTGTTGCAAAGTAATTACGGGATAACAGACCCCGTATACGCTCTCGTATGTTTGACTTGTCCCCGCATTCTCCTCAATCTATGCCTGACTGCCAATTCTGCCAAGAGTATGATCTTGCCGCTGTGTAGATGCAGTGGCCGATCGTCTGCTCTTAAGTGGCGCGATATTGTGAGAACAACTACTCTTGTAATGAACGTGGCTCGGGTGAAAGCATGCACAAGACATATATATTAAAGAAACTCTATATTCGCCAAATGCTGGTGAAGTTCACCGGGGGTGTCTGCCACGATGCAGCGAGGAACTATGAAACATTGGTCTCTTCCAAGGAAATAGTTAAGGGACGGAAACATGGAGGCATCATAGTGCATAAAAGAGTGATATATTAAACGGGGAAACTGTGGAAAATCGATTATCCACGTATGGGTGAAAGTATTTGAAAGATCGCCATCAGACAGCATGACAAAGTAAACGAAATAGGCAAGCGTGTTGTGGGGTAAATAGACTTAACTTGGCGGAACTCCCGCGGGCTGTCACGAAACGCCACCGGCATACAGATTGTGGAGAGCCAGTATTTGGCTTCAGGTCATTTAGAACAATTCTAGGTAGCATGGTAAATTCGGGTAACGAATTATATTTTAATTCTTCTTGCACGGCTGCAATTATCCATTGAAAGAGACTTAAATAGTTCCTTAAAGCCGGAGTCGGAGCGAACATTTCATGATTCGCATGAATATCACTTCTAAAGCGGTCGATCCACACCGCCTTTAACTGCCGGCAGTATATACAGCGACACTCTAACATGGTACCGCCTCGACTCTATGTATGAAACGAGGGTTTATGAAGCTTGGAGCTGTGCTCGAGTCTGTATAGCTTCTAAAATGTCACTTGAGATATAAAAAATAACTACAATATGGCAAGAATTCGTGTAGCAGACGTGTGCCGTGCCATATTTGCTCTAACAGACTCATCACATGATTGCAGGACTAATCAATGAATCATGCAGCATCCTTGTTTACAACCTTAACTTCACCTTCTCCCCTGTACTACACAAATAAACAAACAATCTCAATTCTGATACGGAGACAAATCAGCTACACCCTTCTGCTCAAACTCGCTCCTTGGCCACGCACCTGTGTGCCTGCAGCTCCAAATACGCTACGGCTCTTCGACTAGGACCTGTGAGCCTCCCACTCCAAATACGTTGCGGCCATGTCCTTCAAAGCAGGCTTCGCTCGGCCCCTACTGCCCGCCCTCCCTGAGGGTAAGACATCAGTGCTCGTCCGAGCCCCCGTCCCTACGCCCACCTTCCTCGATGAATCCACCCTATCCTTCACCGTCCATGCGCGCATCCACATCGCTGCTCCACCCATCGTTGTCCTACGCGCCCTTCTCGACACCGGCTCCTGGCCACGCTGGAACAGCTTCATCCCCGCGGCCGCGATCCACCACAGCGGGACGCCTGTTTCCGCTCTCCCCGAATCATCGGAGATCCTCGGGGTCGGCGCCGAATTCACTATGTTTGTGAACATGAGCGGCAAGTCTGAGGAGGAGCGCGGACCAGTGGAGAAGTTGAGGAAGTCGAATGAGTGCTTGTCCCTTGTGGAGGAGCTTGTTCCGGAGCGAGAGCAGGGGAGGAAGGGCTGGCGCTTGGCGTGGGGTGCTGATGGTCAGTTTATGCTGAAGGCGGATCGTGTGCAGGAGATTGTTGAAACGGAGGGGGGATGCGAGTATGTCACTTGGGAGAGCTTTGGGGGGATGATGGCTCCGGTGGTTAGGATTGCGGTGGGAGGACAATTGATTGATAGGTTTGCGGATCAGGCGAGGGATTTGAAGGAGTGGTGTGAAGGAGATAGGGGAGATGACGAGTAATGGGTGATCGAAGGATATGGTAATAGTTGTCTTCATGCGCAGAACCTTTATAAAATTGAGGGAATATGGACTACAGGTGGTAAAGGTCTCGCGAGCTCTGGCATTAATTTCTATCAGGCCATTGCTTTTAGCACTTATGACTTTACGCTATTGAATGAAAACGGTACTTAAATTCAATTCCTCAAATTTGTTGTCCTTCTCATACGGGGCTAGACTACCCTGACAATGCTACTTCTGCTCTGCCTCTATCCCACCTTTGATTGATGTAGGCTGATCCGAGGTGGTGCGTGTAACCTCAAAACTCTTCAAACAAATAGCTCATATCATAAGCCTCCTCGCTTGAGTCTCCATCAACATCCATCGCATCCACCATCTCTGTATCCTCTCCTTCCTCCGACTCTTCAACCTCCTGCTGCTCCCAAACTATCTCGGCCCCCCTCTCCTCCACTTCTTCCTCATCCCCACTCTCCTCCTCTTCATCGTCACCATCATTGTCCTCCTCTTCCTCCTCACTCTCATCCCCGCTCTCTTCCTCCTCCTCCTCCTCCACCACCGCCACCTCCGCCACCTCGGCCCCCCTATCCTCCCTCCCCCTCTCCGCCCACATAACCTTATTAATCGGATACCTCTCCCACAACATCAGCGCCCTCTCCCTCGTCTCCCCACTCTCCCGCTTCCGCTTCGAGATCCGGCAGTCACGCCCGACGAGGTGGTAGATTTGGCTGTCGGCCGCGTTATATGCTTTGAACCAGGCGTCAGGGACCCAGCCGCGGGGGACGGGGAGAGCGTCCATTTGGAGGGGGTATTTTTTGATGGGCGCGCCGGGCATGCCGGGGTAGGCGTACACTGGAAGGTGGTTAGCGGGCTGAGAGAGGGTTGGGGAAGGGGTCAGGGGTGACTCACTGGTGAGGGAAGATGTGTATGTTGTTAATTTGGAAAATTTGAGGGTGGTTCTGATTCTGGTCGACTGACTGACTGATTTTGGTGGTTTTTGCGTTGGCAAGTGAGAATGTGAGGTTTCTCATGTTGAAGCGTTTTGAAGTTTATACTCCGGATGCTAAAGAGTAGTTCAGGGGTTCCATTTGAATCTGAATCTCTGTCCCGCGGATAATGGTGGATATATTCTATAATCTTCCGGTTTTGTTAGATGCTTATTGTGTTCCATTTTGCAAACGGTTATATTCGTCAAGTTTCTTGAGAAAGGGCGGTTTAAAGACGTGCGAGCATAAAGAGGGTTGAAGTTAGAAATATCTCGCAATGAATCTTAGCAACTCAACTGACTGCATTGTCTGGTAGACTTTTTGTCTCTATGGAATACTTTGCAACTTCTATCGCAATGGTGACTATCCTATAGTCTTTCATTTCAGCCCTTCGACTTGCCAAACCTGGCTGAAGTCTGGTATATCGTACCGATCGCCCTGATATGTACCGTATCTTTTGAAACAAACCGGCCCCTCATCAGCCACGTCCAACGAATCACTCATCTCAATCGAACCTAGTCATCTGCCCACTCTACACTCTGTAGCTCCACTCGTGCTCCTCCTCACCGTACTGCCTCCTCTCGATCCACTCCTTCATGCTTTGGGCGATCTCACCAGCCTCTTGGTCTGGCTTCAAGCCACAGTCAACAATCTTGCCCTTCCAGCTGATATTCCTTACTGGGGAAACAACAGCTGCGGTGCCAGATCCGAAAGCCTCAAGGAGTCTCCCCTCCTTTGCAGCGTCATCCAGCTCAAACATAGTGTATTGGCGCTCAACAACCTTCCATCCCTCTGGCACGAGCTTCTCCTTTGCCAAGCTCAGGATAGAGTCTCTGGTAATACCCTCCAGGATGGTACCGTCAATTGGTGCTGTGATGAGCTCCTTCTGTCCAGTCTCCTTGTTCTTCATGGCCACCCACATGTTCATGGTTCCGACCTCAGTAACATACTCCTCCTTGCCGAACAGCCACAGGTTCTGGTGGAAGCCGCGCTTGGCAGCCTCAAGCTGTGGCACGATGCAGGGAGCGTAGTTGGCACCCAGCTTCTTGTCACCAACACCACCTGGCCATGCGCGCACGGCGTAGTCGGTGGCCTCCAGTGAAATAGCCTTGAAACCAGTTGGGTAGTATGGGCCCACTGGGGATGCGATCACAAACATCAATGCGCTGCCTGGTGGGCCGACACCGAGAGTGGCCTGGGTACCGATCATTGTTGGGCGGAGGTATAGCGAGTAGCCCTTTTGGTTGGGAATGAAGCGCTCGTCGAGCTTGACGAGCTTGGCAATGAGGCCAGTGAGAACCTCGGGGTCGAATGTGGGAAGAGCAATTCTGGCAGAGGATGTGTTGAAGCGGGCCATGTTCTTCTCTGGTCGGAACAGGCGGATCTCTCCAGCATCATTCTTGTATGCCTTCATTCCCTCGAAACATTCGAATGCGTAGTGGAAGACGCAGGACGACGGGTCTAGGGAAAGGTTCTGGTATGGGGTAATCTTGGGCGCGTGCCATCCTGTTCCGATTGTTAGCTATGTCTTGTACTCATATTACAACCAGGAGTAGCTACCTTCTTCGGCTGTCCATTCACAGGTGAGCATGTGGTCGGTGAAAGTGTGTCCAAAGACAAGATCCTTGGGTGCGATAAGCTCCTTAGGTGTAGTAGTCTTGGTTATAGTGAGCTTCGATGCATCCATTTCAGCCAGCTTCGAAGTGCTGTATAGCCTAGCCGCCATCGTTGAAGAGCTTGCCCATTGTTGCGCAACGAGCCTCCTGGGCGCGAGCGCCGTCGATAATTGCCTGAGCTTCATTTTGTATGGGAGCCAAGTCGACAGAATCTTGAATCAATGATCTTTGAGTCAACAATTCGCTGAATGGATTCGAGAAATAGGCAATAAAGCGGGTGTTGGCGGCTTTATATAGTCAGTATACCTTTTCACAATTGTCTGTCCGATTTGCGGACCCAAAGGCATTGAGTCAACATGCCGCCTGTGCCGTAAGTAGCCCGCTTGAGCCGCCCTATGCCGAATCGGAGTGATAAGATAGGCACAAAAAGAAAACAATATCATGAAATACACCTACATAACAATGCCAATTTGGTTGGATCTGGAAATACCAAAAGAAAAAAATGCTGAAATACAAGCAAACTGTCTATCTAAATGTCTCCGATGGTCCCCGTACTACCTGCCCATGGGCATGGTCGCCTGGCCGCCTTCCGCCGCCGATTGGCCAATCAGCGTTGCTCGCTAGAAAGAGCTACCTTGGGGAACAGACGAGGCCGCGTTGAAGTTTCTCGAGGCTGAGATTCGCCAAGGGAGTTATTCGCATCTGAACCGTCATATAACCCCCCTTTGCCTTCCCCTCATGGCGCGTACCTTCTGAACGATTTAATATTTAATATCTCAGATGGTTGAATATATTCGTCAATTTGGACGCTATGTTTTCTTCCGCTCTCAAGTCATTCTCCTCCAACATCAACTCTAACTATGTGATCGGTTCGCAACCCTCAGCTGTCTCGGGCCCTTGGAAGATATTCGATGGCAAGAATAAGAAGACTTCGAAAGAGGTCTCTGTCTTCGTCTTTGATCGCAAGGTGTTAGAATCGAATTCAGGTAGCTTGGGAAGATCCGACAGAGCCAGCGCATCGAGTCTCAAACGGTCCGTGGAAGAGGTGGTCGAACGGCTGAAGAAGGAGGCGTCATCGCTTGCGCGGCTACGACACCCCAATATACTCGAACTCGCTGAGCCGGTAGAAGACACACGATATGGGGGCCTGCAGTTTGCGACCGAGCCGGTAACAATTTCGTTGGCTGGGTTGTTACAGGAGAAAGATGAGGAGGAGAGAGCTACGGGCGTAGGCGGGCGCTCAAGCAGATTCGTGAAAGAGGATAGCGAAGGGAATAGGAGAAGACGAGACTTGGAAATAGACGAATTGGAAATACAAAAGGGGTTGCTACAGATCAGCAAGGCTCTTGAGTTTCTGCACGAGAACGCCGGGCTGGTCCACGGCAACTTGACTCCAGACGCTATATACATAAATGCAAAGGTATGCCCGGAATGGATAACATAAAGAATGCACCTAACGTGTTTTAGTCTGATTGGAAAATCAGCGGACTCTCCTTTCTTAGCCCTGCGGACAACTCTGACAAGCCATCCTCTGTCACCCCTATTTCTCTCTCAGAAGTTCTCAATTTAGACCCACGGCTGCCACGATCCGTTCAATTAAATCTCGACTATGCCTCCCCGGATTTTGTTCTCGATACGAACCTTAATGTTTCCGCCGATATGTTTAGCTTGGGACTTCTTATTGTTGCTCTCTACAACTCACCCCACGAATCTCCTCTTCATGCCAATTCGAGCGTCACAACCTATAGACGGCTCTTTGCCTCATCGGGCTCGATACCCTCCAGCAGCAACAATTATATTTCATCTCGGCCAATTCCTAGAGATCTTACGACCACTGTCCTCCCACGCTTAATTGCCCGTCGCCCTGCTCAACGCATGACTGCCCGCGAGTTCCAACAATCGTCCTACTTTGACAACATTCTCGTCTCCACAATCCGTTTCCTGGATGCGTTACCGGCGAAGACGCCCACCGAGAAGGCTGCGTTCATGCGCGGTCTTACGAAGGTGATCCCGAGCTTCCCCAAAAGCGTGTTGGAGAAGAAGGTCTTGCTAGTTCTACTGGAGGAGATGAAGGACAAGCAACTTCTGAGTCTGGTATTGCAGAATGCGTTCAAAATTATTGAACTCCTGCCGAGTGCTAAACGGTCTTTTACTGAGAAAATGCTGCCACGCCTGAGAGAGATTTTCTTGAGTGGTGCTAAGCCTGCCGCTCCTGGAACCGCAGGAGCCCCTGAACGTGATACTGGGAAAGAGGCGGGGCTGACGGTATTGCTGCAAAATATCAATATCATCACCTCTAATTGCTCGGGAAAGAACTTCAAAGACGGTTAGTAACAGGTGGAGTTTGGCAATGAAGCTTATCGCTGACAAATTGCAGAAATACTCCCGATAATACATCTAGCCATAGAGTCACCTACCCACTCTATCGTAGATGCGGCCCTGCGAAGTCTCCCAGTAATCCTCCCTGTGCTTGATTTCAGCACAATAAAGAACGAGCTGTTTCCAGTCGTCGCGGCGGTATTCAGCAAAACTTCGAGTCTAGGTATCAAGGTCAGGGGTCTTGAAGCTTTCGTTGTTTTATGTGGCGGCACAGCAGACTCTATTACCTCCGCTGCCGATGATGGCCTGTCTGGATTCGCACCGCAAAATGGCAAGAAGAAAGAGAAATCTCCCATCAGTGCATTGGACAAGTACACTATGCAAGAAAAGATCATTCCTCTCATCCGTGCGATCAAGACAAAAGAACCGGCAGTTATGCTCGCAGCCCTCAAAGTTCTACAGCAGGTTAGTTCCGAGGCAGATACGGAATTTATCGCTATGGATATCCTGCCTATTTTGTGGAACATGAGTCTTGGCCCACTACTTGATCTCAGGCAATTCCAAGCCTTCATGGACTTGATTAAGAGTCTAAGCACCAAGGTAGAACAGGAGCATACGAAGAAGCTCCAGGAACTCTCGGGCAGCAGTTCCGGTATCAAAAATGCTGGGGGTAACGATGATTTCATGTCCTTCGGCGACCTCCCAGCAGCATTCTCATCAAATGCAAATGGCGGCGAAGACGACGACTTCGAGCGTCTCGTGACCGGAAAATACACTACTAGCACAGCCGCGAGCAATGCAGTAGCGGATGGTGGCTGGGACGCAGCTCCCAACGCCCCCGCAAAGCCTGCTCCCCCAGCCGCTCCCACGTTCTCATGGTCGACCACTCCCTCCCCATCTCCGGGCCCATCATCCCCGGGTATTGGCTCCATGTCTGCGGCCATGAGGCCACAAGCTCCATTTCGAACCATCACTCCCGATCTCTCGCGCTTCGACTCTCTCCAGCCATCAACAACACAGTTCTCACAGCCTCTCCAGCCCGTCTCCTCAGCCTTCATCCAACCGCCACCAACCCAAGCGTCGGTCAACTGGCAAACCGCCGCGGCCCCCAGCAGCAGCAATATATGGGCCTCCTCGAGCCCAACTTCAACACACTCATCATTTGCACCTATGGTCCCCGCGCAACAGCAACGGCAGACGTCGTTTTCGGGAGCACAACCTAACATGAGCACTTCGATGGGTAACCTTTCTATGTCTCAGCAGCAAAAGCCAGCAACCCCCTTTTCCCTTCCTCCACCGCCTACCTGGTCACAACAACCTCAGCAACCAACGCAACAGCAGGACTGGGGCGCGTTTAGCTCTGCCCCACCTCAAGGACAGGGCCAGGGTGGGCAGCAGCCTGCGCAGAAGAAGGGGTTGGATGCTTTTGAGAGCTTGTTATAAAATGGGATATTATGATAGGTATTTGGGTAGATATAGAGGGATTAGATACATATATGTAGTTAGCGTGGTGCATATTCCTTGAGCGGCAAAGAAGCGTTGAAGTTTGGCAGGGTGCTTCGGTTGTCGAATTCGAGGACAGTTTATGACAGATGCGGAAAGTGTGATCTTGTTTGGCGGAGATTGAACATGGTTTTTTGTTGTGCTTACTCGCTGTTGATTCTTTAGGAGGGATCGATTTGGGATAGTCCCTATCGCAAATACAACACCTCCATGGCAACTTATTGCCATTTGTAGGTTCTACAGTTAAGTATTGACTTTCTTACTTCTTCCAGGACCAAGATTCGATTTTGATTTCGCCTGGCTGGGAATATACAGTGAGTAGGTTTATATTTTTTATATTTTGCATGATCTCTCGCCTACTTTTCTACCTTTCTACTTTTAATGAGCGATTACAACCTACCTCTTGACTTCACTCTTTGGCAAGCTCCGAGTTTAGACCATCAACTGCGTGATTGCTGCAGATGACCCTATTCCACCTCTTTTACTTCTTGTTCTAACTCTTCATAATACTCAAGCACACTTCTACCGTTTTGATCTTCATTCAATTCACCAAGTGAATACTCATATGTGGCACTGAAGGTTGGACACAAAGCACTGCACTCTTGGAGAGCTTCCGTGTTTCTGTTACTATCCTCGTTGAAGCTACCGATCTTGTCTTTTGCACATTTTCTTTCTGAATATTCTGATCTCACCTTGAGTTTAGTCTCAGACTGCAGGTTAAGTCGATCTAGTGAAGTACGCTCTTGAGATTGCTTCAGTTGCTTCTATCATATCTTCAACCCCAAACTATCAAACGCCCTACCTCGACCCCCCCAGGCTTCCTCAACCTTCTACCTCCTGCGCCTAGTTGGAATGCTATATATATATATTGGCCAGCTCTCCAACATCCCCGTTCAGGCCTCTTCCATCCTCCCTCCAACCTTCTTCCAACCTCCGATCTTCTTCCAACTTTCTTCCAACCCTCTTCCGACCTTCTTCCAACCCTCGTCCAACGTTCTTCCGACCTCCAACCTTCTTCCAACGTTCTTCCAACCTTCTTCCAACGTTCTTCCAACACTCTTCCAACTTTATTTCAGCTTTCATCCTCCAACCCTGGCAACCACCACCTTCAATGACCTGCTACTATCTACAAGTATAAGCAAAAGCTATATATGAACCTTTGAACTCGTACTCAAAGTAAGTTTGTTTTTCTGTCTCCATGGTCTCACTTCATGCATTTTCGATCTCAGATTGAGCTTCACCTTCGTCTCCATACCTCGCCTCTAAACCTCACTTTCCGATCTTACTTCTGTTCAATTGCCGATCTGAGCAAGTCAACCTTCCAGTTTGCCCTCAAACCTCACGCTTTACTCCGCTCAATCCGCAGTTCCGGCCCCTTCTGCTCTCATACACCACATCAGCTTGCAAGTCTTTCCTTTCCACTTCGTTTATATGCCACATCAGTTTCCGGACCTCCTAAAGCTTCCTTTTATACATCACTTTCGGTCTCAGGGTTCACCTTTGCTCTTCATTATACTTCACTGAGTTTTGAGCGTAACTTCCACCGTCTTCTGTTACATGTTCATCCTCTCTCAAACCTCGGTCTTTCTCAACTTCTCTGCCATCTATGATACTTTGCCAACTTCACATGTCCTCTATTTCCTTCCTGCTTTCTTGAGTTTACATATTCAAACAGTTCACTCCACCAGTCTCTTTCACTATCTGCTACGAAACAACACCATATATTTTGCACATGCTCAGCAAGACGTTTCCTAACTGAGGGCGCAGAAGCGTCACAACTTGTGGATTTAACCTGCCAACACTTCAGTTTGATGTAAGTTATTCCTTTACTTGACAATGGGTTTACTACTTCATGTTTTACATCTTCAGTAACTTCTCGTTATTTCATTTGCAATTCATACCTGATCTGATACGATCAACTTGCTATTTTCCTTTCTCACATCTGTGCTAGTTTAGTATAATTCTGCCAGTTTACTTCTGTCACTGGTCTGCAAGGTTTCCCGCTGCCTCTTCCTGTTTTACTTCAAGTCCAAAGTGTTGGTTATCAATTTTGGTCTCTGTGCTCATAATACCACACATTTCATTTCATCCATACACGTTTCATGTCACCAAAACTTCATACCGTTCCTTTCATGTGCTTATTCAAAGTATCTCGGCATTGATATGTATACTAATTTTGCACCACAGTCACCATGGCCGACCGTGGGAACCGTGAGTTCCTTGATGCCCTGCAACTTCGCGTTCGCGTGCTGGAAGTCGAAAACACCAGGCTCAATGCAGAAATTCTCAGTTTACTGGAGAAATTGGAAATCTGCATTGAAAAATACGGCCCGAAATGCTTCGTAAGAAAGTCCAAGCAAGTTGTAAGTGTCCCAATCTCACTCTCCATGCGCATGATACTCGTTGACTTTAGTACTATTGCTTGACTAACCTACTAATACGCATTCTAGGACTGGAGGAAGATGCTCCGAGACTCCGACAACCTGACAGACCCAAAGGAACTCAAAAAGATTTACAGGGCTGCCTGCAAACAGTTTAATATGAGCTCAGTCCCTCAGAACCACGGGATATACTACGTTCGGCCAAACAACAAAGAACTTGAATTAGAACTGGCAGTGGCCGACCCAACAGCGGGGTTCCAACCGGAGATGTTTTTCAACTTTGCTGCCCTCCTGAAAGACCATCCGAAGATTGCCTTCAAGATTGCGGCCTATACAATGGTTAAGGATACCGCGATCTCTGTGGTCGCCCGTTTCGACATACATGATGTGTATCCTCCAACACAAGGCGGGCTCGACAAGAAAAGTGGACTTAGCTACCGCTTCCACTGGGGTGGTTCGGCCTGTGCTATAAATTCGTCGCCTCTCCCAAGAGACGTCTTGGCCCCCATTTTCGTCTCCAGGGATTGGCACGAGATGTTTGCCACTGCATTCTACTTTATGAACTCGTTTTCATTCGAGTCCTTGGGAGAATTTGGCATTTTCTGCAGAAACACTCCACGAGCCAGATGGCAGAGGGTGTCAGATTCGGCTATCACATGGATTGGTTCCATAATGGAGACCAGCAACCCAAAGAAGAGCGGACCAAGATGGTGTAAAAGCCGTTGGGGAATGCATGTGTTGGGTCAGTTTCGTAATCTGAGAAGCCTGGTGATCAGCCTCGATGAGACGTCAAATGGCAGAATACGAAGAAAGGACGAGCCAGAACACATGAAGCAACCGCTCAAGAGGTCAACCAAGAACCACGACAATTACAGGATGACCAGAGATCTCCGCAAGTTACGAGGCATGGATAACATTTACCAGCTCCGAGGCATTGAGCATATTGAAGTGTATGATAACTTCCAACTGTTTCCAAAAAGGCCAGTTCGAGATCAAACTTTCGTTCAAGACTTGAAGCGCCAGGTGTGCGCTCCAAAGAGTCAAGCAGATGAGGCGAAAGCAAAGATTAAAAACATGATGCCTCTTTTGCGACGAAACCCTGGCACTCCCAAATACAAGCCGTCGAGGCAGGTTAAACAGGTGCTGAAATATATTTTCAACTCCCGTCCTCGATATGAGCGTCCAGATGTGCCACAGCAAATGGCAGGCGATGAGAGCGATTCGGATGGCGATGATGATGACGAGGACCCTGGCGATATCAGTGACCCCGAAAGTGACGACGTTGACTACGACCAGCTCGATGATGACGACCACCAGAACCCACACGACGATGATGACTCCGATGATGATGATGATGATGCGCCAAATCAAGGCGCCATTGCTTCAAGAGAAGCTTCAGAAGCCTCCAGGGCCGGAAATTTTGCCAATGGTGGCAGCGAAAACAACGATGATGAAGATGAGGATACTGAGATGGGTGGACATGAGCTTCAGAGTGTTATAAAACCAGGGGAAGACTCTGACGATGATGACTTCGAGTTCATTCACTCTGAAAAGCTCCCACCGATTAAAGTGGAAGGCGACGATGAGCTTGGATTCCTCCACTCCGTCAAGCGTCCTACCCAAACCATCGATTTGAGCCAGCTGCCTGACATGGCAGATCCAGACACTGCGCTTCCATCCATCGAACAAGATGAGGTCAAGCAGGAGGTGAAGTCCGAGGATCCAAGTGCAGGAGAAGGCAGGGATAGCATGGAGAGCATCCCCTTCTTCGATAGCCCAACTTGGACACAACGAGATGTGGTTTCACCTTTCGGACGGCTCACTCCGAGGCGAGGCTCTTCACCACAATCATCTTTATTCGTTCGTCAAAGTCCCTCCGCACGGAGCGCTTTTTCAAGCCGCCTCTCTGGATACTTCGGATCTCCAGGCTCGGAGCGAAAGCGAAGCTTTGAAGATGAAGACGATGACGATGCGGCACCTCTAAGCGTGAGACGTCGCTTGTCGGATATGACGGTGACTGAAAATGAGATTGAGAAGTGAAGCAGCTTTATGAAGATTTGCGCAATATCGAAGTATTTATTATGATTTACGACTTGGGCAATTTGAGAAGGAAGGCGTGGGTTTTAATGGCTATTGACAGTCGGTGATGGCATGGGTACTGGAGAAAGGAACCGAGCTTACGGTGGCGCTATTTGATGATATCTAAATGAATCGTTTTTGAGGCATCTGCGTGCACTCGGAGAGCAGTTTTATTTTTTATATTTTTATGATACCATGGAATGGAAAACGAGAAGGTTTGCAATTGAAAGCAGAAGCATTTGCGGTGTTATCGTTTCGAAGAAAGAGCCAGGCAAGAGTACGGATACTGACAGTGGATCCTTCTCATGTGCTCACAATTTATTCATCGAAGTTAATCTAATAAATCGATTTAACTTCATCATTCAATTATAAAAGTGAGATTAACATGTTCAGTTTAATTGTGGCATATACGGGCCCAACCTTGGCCAGCCATACTATCAAAGCCTAAAGACCCCGCGATACCTCGGCTCCACTAGCGCCAAGCGCCAATTGCGGGTGATGACGTCAACGTTACTGTTGTGAGGATTTTGAACTTGGACGAACATCGCCCCACATGAATAATGTGGAAGCTTCAAAATAGCAATTATTCTAAAATATAGACCCTCATTAAATAAATAAACAGTATTATCTGGGACAGCTATCGGGTCGTCCAATATAATGGAAGCGGCGTGGTGGTTGAGCTACAGGTTCCAATACCAGAGCACAAGCATCGACATTACGGTTTCTATTAAGAGGCTCAGAATTTGAGCTCCGACTAGCTCGATTCTCGGCTACTAAAATACGCTATGAGAACACCGCTTTCAGGAGCAAGGTCCCTGGAAATGGTAGTCCCTGAAAATATGCGCCTGGCCATCCATGTTATATGTGGGCCAGGTCATTGGAATGACGACATGATTCTAAAGTTGCCCTGACGCAACAATGCAAGCTACAAATATGAGTAGCTCCCCCTTCCGAGCAGAAAATTATTACTCTCTATACTCAGTGAAGCTTCATTTTCAATCAATTGAGCTGTGTTCGCGAAATTCCGACATTCTCACCGCATAATATCATACTTCCCGCATTCTATCACATCTTATAATCATGATGGCTTCAAGAACCGCCATGAGGTCGGCGCGTGTGCTGAAAGCGCCAGTAAGGCCCCCAATCCGCTCCAATGCCCGCCAAATCAGACTACAATCGACTTCGACGCCACAACAATCCTCACAAGTGGCATCGAATGCCGGGGGCGGTGGTGGTAGTGGAGTCGTTGCTGGAATCGCAGGCGGCGCCCTCGTCTTTTCTCTCGGATACGGATACTACTACTACAGTGGCGCAAAGACCATCGTTGATGGCGCGGCAGCAACCAAGAGGCAGTTCAAAAACATCACCTCCTCCATGAAAGACTCGGCTCCTGAGCCAAACGAGTTATTAAAATGGTTCCGGAGCACCGTTACCTCATACGCCGCATTCATCCCCGGAGCCAAGTCCTACGTTGACGCGGCTTTCAACGATCTCGATAAGATTGAGCAGAAGCACCGTGGCAAGGTCGACGAGATTATCAAGGATGCTTACTCCGACATGAGGGAAGCAACTAAGGGCGGATTGACCATCGAGACCGCACACAAGACCTGGGAAATCCTCGAGAAGCACCTCAGCAAGGTGACTGAGCTCGCGAGCGAAGCATCGGGCGAGATCTTGGATAACCACCCTCAACTCAAGGAGAAGGTTGGCGGCAACATCGACCAGCTGAAGAAAATGGCCGACTCGTACGGCCCAGAGGCGAAGGAGCAGGTGAACAAGACATATGGCCAGATCAAGGACATTCTCAAGAACAGCAGCGGCACCGACGCGGCGGACAATATCCGCAAGGTCGTCGAGGAGAACATTGAGAAGCTCAAGGGAATGGGTGATCAAGCGTGGAAGAAGGGTCTTGAGAAGGCACAGCCTTACCTTGACAAGAACCCCGAGATCAAGAAGGTCATTGAGGAGAACTCGGATGCGCTTAAGCAGGCGAACTTCTCGGAGCTGTTTGAGAAGATCAAGAGCGGGGATGTTAGCGATCTGAAGGAGTATGCGAAGAAGGCTAGTGAGAAGGCGAAGAGCTCGGGCGTGGGGAAGAACATTCAGGAGTATATCAACTTGATCCCTGGCGGTCAAGAGATCGTGCCGAAGTTGCACAAGCTACATGAGGCGGTGAAGAAGCATGGCGGAGAGGCGGACAAGATTGCCAAGGAGGCGTATAAGGAGATCGCAGAGATCCTATCAAAGAAGGCTGATGAGGTTGAGGATCTTGCGAGCAAGGCAGCGAGCGATGCTAAGAAGTGAGGGGTTGGTGTTTAATCCCTGGAGTTGGCATGGGGAGGATGGGGGGATAAGTGATTGTAGATAATACGCATAGTCTCGGAGTCCCGGATATTCAAATGTTCAAATATTCACGTTCAAATGGCTCCTCATGAATTATAGGACTCATGCTAAAGCTTCTGTCTGGGTTTGTCAACGCTCGTGATCGTATTATATCTTGTGAGAGACTGAAGATATCATAAATGCTCGTGCGGCACAACCCAACGGCTTCACATGGACTCCGCCAGAAGCACCCAAAATGAAAGCGCACAGCAACTATACGTGAAAATATAAAACATTAATCACTATATGCTGTAGTTATATTTTTGAAGAATAATACTTATAAATCCAACACAACAGGGTAATTGTAGCCCTGGCGGGGACTTTTCAGCCTGAGAGCAGGGGTTTGCGCGGTTTTTGACCCTGGATGTTTCGTATGACAGACTCGCAACTCACATCAAAATAGATATTCAGGAGGTCCCTTGGAATTCAACTAGTAAACTCTGTGTACGTTCTGTAAGTCAGTAGACAATGCGCTTCGAGCGACTTCGTCATCTAGGGCTCCTCGAAACGCTTCCCACGTCTCCCCGAGACGAGACATCATTGCCCACGAAGTCCAATGCATTCAAGCCCAGATCTTTCCAGGCCTCTCCCGAAAAACAAATAAACAGATACAAAATCCCAAATCTTCCCAAATAAAATAAATTCCATCATTCCAATCCCACCCATTTAAAGCCTACACCAACTGTGCCCCCCATCTCACACCCCCCTTGGCCGCCCCCAGCCCGACCCAAAAAGCACCGACCACACACGCAAGCGACAACAACAAATCCCCCAAAACACCCACCCTCCGTTTGCCCACCCTCCCTCCCAGAAACCTCACAACAACACCGTCCACCAACACCTTCCACATCCCCAAACCCGCTCATCACAGTCGCCTCATCTCCGCGATCCTCGCCGCAAAATCTGCCAATCCCCAATCCCAAATCAATCCCGTGAGTCCAACTCCCCTCCCCGCCGCACGCGCCGATCGACGCGCTGGCGTTATCACCCGCTGCGCCGTGCCTTCAACGTCCCTCCACAACACAACACACAACACCTCTTCCCCAACTTACCGCCCCGCGACTACACCTGTGAGAGATCCAACTAATGCACCCCCTTCAGAACCCCAAAAAATGGCCCGCGAAACCCGCGCCGCGACCGGCAACTCGCGCCCGCGCATCTTCGAGGCCCCTCCCTCGCCCGTCGCGCCGCGCAAGCGCGCCGCGCCCAAGCCGAAGGCCAACACAACTGCAAAGCGCGCACCGAAGAAGGCTGCTGCTGCGGGGAGCAAGCCGGTTGGTGTGAAGAAGACTACGGCGGCGCCAAAGGCAGGGGCTGCAGCTGTTGTTAAGGCGAAGGTGGAGAAGGTGAAGAAGGTTGTGGAGAAGAAGGTTAGTTAGTGGTGATTTTTTTTTTTTACTTTACTTTTCTATGTTTTGGTGTGCGGGGTTTCTTTCAGTTCGATGTTTTGTACATGTTTGTGTGTGATCTTTGGGAATTGGGAAGACGGCTTGTGAGATGGGTGCTGGATCGATCACCTTACTTACCATGTCCCTCTACCCACACTAACACACCCACCCCCCAGGCCGCACCAGCCAAGAAGGAGAAGGCCCCAGCGGCACCCAAGACGGTCGTTGCGAAGAAGTAGACGCGTCTCTACCCGCCTCATGGACACCACACCGCACTCACATACAAAAAACCGGCAGGGCGGACCGAGGATTATATAAGGGTTGGAACCATGCGTTTTCTGTCTAGCTGACTTGTCTATATCTGGCACTCTCTCTCTCTCTCTCTCTTTTTATGTTTTCCTTTTTGTGCTTTTTTTCGGAACCGGGTTATGGACCTACACCTCGCTTTTCATGTGCTCCTCTTTCGATGTTTTCTACTAAGGTTTGGGCTTGGCTGGGAGGAGAGCGACTTATCAGGGTTTTTTTATGGGGAGGAGCGTTCGAGCAAGCGGGTTATAGTAACGTTTATTGCGATTTGCTAGATTTGGTTTAATTATACCTGTCTAATACGTCCTATGAAGCCTGTTGCTCATCGTGCTACCTACTATACTGTAATATGCCACCCCCAATTGGTATACACCCACCCCCAATCTAATCAACCTGCGAATACCCAATATCCCCACTCACCCTCCCCAACTCCACAAGCCTCTTCCTCATCCCCTCCGCCACCTCCCTATCCTTCCCCTCCATAGCCCCAAAATCAACCTGGTCAACCCACTCCCCACACCCATGCTGCAGCACATTCCTCGCCCGATCCCTTCCGCCCTTCACATGTCCCATACTCCCATGCAGCGTTGCTCTCGCCTTGCCCGCATCATACACCCCGCGATGCAGGATATTATTATTGTAGAACACCGCGTCCCCGGCCTTCAACTGCACAATAAGCTGCCCTGGCATGTTATCCTCGTACTCATCCGCGGTCCTCTCTGCGTCCGTCCGCGGCCTTGCGTGCGTCCCGGGGACTACAATCAGAGATGCGTCGTCGTATAGCGCCAGGTTCCACTGCGCGTGCCACGCCGGTTTGGCCAGGCGCTCTGTCTCCTCCTCCGCCGTAGCAGTGGGAGCAATATCATCCCTATGCCATCGCAGCGCAAAAGGGTGATCAGGTCGGACGAGGAGGTTATACAACTCCATAACCAAATCATCAGTTTCGCACTGCAAAAGCTCCGTCACAACAGCCAAAGTGCGCGGACTAAAGTAGGAAGACGCGAAGAGGGCGGAGGGCGGGAGTTCGGGGTGCATCAGGTGCTGAACGCCCCAGATTCCCTTGTCGAGGTCGGCGGCGGACCAAGGGGGGAATTGCTTGGGGAGAGTGCGGATGTAGGGCCAGTTTCCGGCGCGGGCCTGGGCGTCGACGGAGGTGGTTGCGGTGCGCATTGTGGCGAGGGCTTCGGGGGTGAGGAGGGAGGGGATCACGACGAAGCCGTCTTTGTTGAGGCGGTCGAGGAGGGGGTGGGGGGAGTCGGTTTGGGCCGACATTTTGAGGGTGGGTGAGGGGGTCTCGGTGGTGGTTTTGGTGATATTGGTGATATTGGACGGAGTTTTGGTCTTGTGCTCGTGTTTGAGTAGCGGGGTAGCAGCTTGGGGAGAGGAATAGAGGTTATAACATGGGTTTGGCTTGAAGATATAAGGCTGAGAAGGCTGGAGGGGCGAGGCTCAAGGTGCGGTAGTTTAGGAGATGTAACGTAGCAATCCCGCTGTGGAGAAGGTTAGCCGGAGCCCTTAGAGGCAGAGGGGAAGGTGGGATGAGGGGTCCACGAGTCTCACGGGGCCTCGGATCTCGTTAATAGGTGACGTTGTGTAGAGGGTGTTGATCTCTGGTGGGTATTTGTGGTCGTATTTGTGTGTTTTTGATGGGCATGTCACAGCAGGGCGGGGTTGTGGTAATGTTGTATAAAATGATGCTGCGATAGAGGAAGTGGGGTTGATTGTGATAAGCTTCCTCGGGACCGAAAATCCGGGGATGCGCACGAGCGCAACTTTGGAACGGAGTGCTTGTGCCGGTTCAAAAGTCGGAGGGGGATTGGTATTGAGATTGAAATTGAAATTGAAGTTGTTAGAATTTATTTCTTTGATTCTATTTCTTAGAACCGGCCCCTTTGAAGCTTTGAAGAGATATAATATGCCTGTCGTAGTATAACGCCCCTATATCCCAAGACCGTTCTTAAACCAGACCACACGTGTATCCTTCACATACGACCATAGACTCAAGAGAATTGGGCATCCCGTCCGCTCTGCCATACACAAGCTTGAGATCGGTGGATTAGTAGTTGGGTGGGTGACCACCAGCGAATACCCACTGTTGTATGTTTTTTTTACCATTTTTTTATATAATTTTGCTTCCGTATCCTCTGGATAATAGGCATGGCTTAGAATCTAGGCCCCTTGCCGTCTGAAGGGTGAGGAGAGGGTGAGGCTAAGTAACAATTTTGTGTTTGGCGTTACTTTCGCGTCATTTTTGTGTTGGCGCCGAAGTTTAGCTATATGTTAAAAGACATTAATAATATAATTAGAAGATACAGAGCCTAATTCTATTATATCTATAGCTTCTTAAAAGCGAAAGTACAAGGCTTTATATAATAAACAGAAGATAGAAAAGATTACCCTGCCACCTATATTCTATTTACAACTTTTATCCTGCTTAAGTACTAAACATATCAACCTCGCTCCAATCTTTCCCCCTAGGACACTGCACACTCCCCTCTTTCAACCCCAACACCTTCTCTACAGCTCTCTCCCCACATCTGTCCGAAATAGTAAACGCTAATGTCCAACTCGCCAATGATCCGCCGCGCTCCCATCACTAAATTTATAATCCTTCTCCTCCTCATACTTCCAATGATCGGTACCAAGCACTCTATCACACCTATCAGCTTCGCTCTTGATACTCTTTCCCCAATTACCATCATCCCAGCCTGAGATCTTTAGATTGAAATCATAGGCCCATTTAGCCACGCCGTCGGAGCGACGGCAAGCGAGGTGCATGAAGCCGAGATGTTGGTTGTCAGCTGGGAATTCATCGTGGGATACGCCACCAGGACCCTTGGTGTTGATATCGCGGATGCCGATTTGGTAGAGGTCGCTGACCAAGGGCCTATTGATCCAGCTAGAGTCTTTGGTAGCACCGTAGTTGTCGATCATCATTTGGGTTGCGCTGTAACAATTTTGTCCGTCTTGAGTAGTATATAAGTATAGCTCTTTGGTGTTGGAGATTTTGATGGCGTATTCGCAACCAGTGGACCCGACTCTGGTAGCACGAACGAACTGAGAGGGGACGTTCTGGATGGTTGAGATATCGCAGATGTTTTGGCAGGCCTTGTCACGAAGTCGATAGTAGATGTTCTTGATGTCTTGCTTAGAGTTGTCGTCGAGGATCCAGTACCTGGGGAAGTTTGAATTGAGATCTGTTCCTGATCTAACGGGAACCGAACCAAAGAGACCTCCTAGAGCTTTTTGGAAGCTGTCGTCAGAAGAAGCTGTATTAAAGTCGTCAAAGTCTCCAAGGTGCAGAATTACTGGTCCTGTCTCTGCTACTAATGGGCCAGGCTTGTTAGGAACTCCTGGGAAGTACTTCGTAGTATCCCACCAGTACAGTGCTAATGAGGAAACATTGATTAGCAAAGTTCTATGCAGAGTTGCGAAGCAGATAAGGACACTTACAACTCGCAAGCCAAGCGTAACCGTCAGCATTAGTACTAGCCCTCGTAGCACCTCCTCCTTGTTGCAGATCTCGAATAGCTAATTGATGAACTCGCTTCGGACCATATGCTTGGTATGACATTATATCAGGGTCAATATATTCATCAATGACTGCCGCAACAATTAGTCCTACACACGGAAACATGTGTATTTAATGGAGTATACTTACTATGTGGTTGACCAATTAGATCGGTATGCATCATCTCATGCAAGAACATATGTCCACTTGTGAAGAAATATCTCGCATCCCTCATAATGTCAACATTACCCTTAGCCATCTCACCTTGCATCTCCTCGAACTTTCGGTTGAGAGTCGAAGTACTGAAGAAAGTCGGACACATTGTGATGTAGTGGTATTTGTAGCCAAACCAGCCATTACATGTCCACGCATAACCTCCGACTTGTTTATCCTGGCGTTGAATATTGCATAAGTTTCTGGTGTCTTTGCAGCTTACTGTGATGTAGTCGCCACCCTTCAATTTAAAATCCGCGGCTCGGCAAAATTATCTTGAAATCATATTAGCTTGGGTATTTGGTTATCTGATGGTATTAGAGTTTACCTTTTATCCGCTGCTGTTGGCCTGCATAGTCAGGTCCCATATAGAAGTGACCTCCTTCGATATTATGTATATCTGAAGTCAAACGAGTGTAGTGCGCCAGTATTTGTGCATCCCATTCAGCAGTCTCGAGAAATCCCTCTCTCGTATCAGCTGAATTGAGTTTGCAACTACCATCGTGATGTAGGGTGCCACCGAAAGCATGGACACCACCATCTGATGCGTGCAAAGCGTTTTTGCAAGCCTCAGGTGGATTCGAAGCGTCGGTACACTCGGATGGTAGCTGTGGCCATCCGTTGGGGAATGGGTTCTCCTCTCGAGCTGGTGCTGTGATCGAAGCAGGAGGGGTAGTTGGATCGTTGGAATTTGGATCGTCTGTTTCCTGGCGGTGAAGATGTGGTAGGTGAGGAAGAGCGGCTGCTAGGGAACATCCAAGGAACAGAAGCGAGCGAATTAACATCTTGAACACAGAAAGAAGAGCAAAAGAGTTGAAATCGAATTACTGCGAGCGGAGAAAGACAGCGATGTAAAGAGTACAAGTAAGGTAGGAGGTGGGTTGGAAACTTGTGCCTTACCGGAATATACCTGTTTTAAGTAGCGGTCGTTGCATAGCCCCAAGGCAACTGACTGCCTTAGCACCGACCGGTGAGGGCATCACGGCTGCCCAAAAAGAAAAGAGTCCGTCAGGTTTGCCACGGTCTACGGAAATAGAGATCTGTGTTAAAAGGGTGTGTTAGCAGCCCTGTGCGGAAATCACTTTTCTATTTCGGTCAGCAATACGCAGTAGTAAAAGCGACGGCTATAACAATAGGTCAATTCTACAGTTATATGTCAGTCTATATTCCGACTACAGTATCTATTGATTGCGGAGTAGTACAAACGACGATCTATTTAGAAGACTGTCATGCAACCCATATTCGAGGCTAGAGACCGTGTGAGGACCGCAAGGGGAGTTCCCTGGCGTCCCGCATGGAATCATCTGCTGCGCCGCCACGTAACCGCGAACATCACCCCGCCGTAGTTTCACGTCGATTATCTCGCGAATGTGCGCCTATAAGCACTCGAGTGCAGGCGTAACGCGCTGAATCCCCGCAGCCGCGATGAGCCCATCCAGTTGCGTCTTCTGCGCCGCGATCCGCGCCATTGCCGCTTCGAGCTGGCGCACGTCGACTTGGGCATAGTAGAGCGAGCCGACCGACTCTGTGTCGGCGGCTGAGCGCGTCTAGGCCTCTAGAAAGTTAGAACCGGCTTCGGGACGGCAGTCGAGGCGGTGGACTATTTATCGGTGTAGTTCGTTGTGTTATGCAGGGCTGCGGCAGCAAGTGGGGACGTGTCAGAATCACACAGACACAAACATGCACATGACCACGTGCACCCACCCCACAGTGCTTTGGTTCCAAGTGCAGCACAGTTTTCATTAACGATCCTTGCTTGGATTCATTACAAAATCATCCTCACACTGTGCTAGAGGTCAATACTTGGCTAGGCAGTTCAATTCTCAATAAAGTTTTAAGATTTTGAAGCATGTACTCTACCTACTGTGCTAAATGTAGAGAGTTCGACGTTATCTCCCTCATCAACGGAGACTTCAAACATTATCCAAGCTTGGCAGTGCTGAAGTCATCAGCAGAAGATCAAAATTGTCCCCTATGCAATCTAATATGGGCGAGTCTCACTCGGCGAGATATTTATAGCCAGATTGAGAAAGCACTTGATAACCCTCGCAGCCAGATTAAGATTTACGGGCGTAGTGTCCAGGATACCCGGGATCCCCAAGCAAAGAAAGGGGGCTTTTATTCTGTGTTTGTTTCTTCCAAAATTGATACAAAACCTCCATCAGTGGTGAGTGGCGAGTTGGCTTTGTTTCTCGGGAGAGGTGTGTTATGCTCTTATTTTCTGAAGACGCTTTATCTGCTTCTATAATCGAAACCCGTCTAAATGGACATAGATCAAACAAATACGTCAAACGTCGTGGCTGGGAGACAAGTGTTAAGAGATTCTGCACTACCTGAAAACATTCAGTTGATGAATACGTGGATAAATGAATGTTTGCCTAGTCATCCTGAATGCCAATATTTTGACGACAGGTTGCTTCCAACAAGAGTAATCAACGTTGCTACAGATGGTCAAGATCCTTACTTAGAAGTATCCCATGGACGCAAAGGCCGCTATGTAGCGCTCTCATACTGCTGGGGTACCACCACCGCACCTTTTACAACAACCGTCGACACTCTCCCCGAACGACTCCAAGGAATTCCGTTAGCTAGCCTACCCAAGACACTTCTCGATGCGGTAGTGGTGACACGCGCACTTGGAGTAAGGTATCTTTGGATAGATGCCCTCTGCATTCTTCAAGCCCGATGGGAAGATGACCAGGAGCATATTGCGGACTGGCAGATCGAAGGCGCCAACATGGGTAATGTCTATTCAAATGCTTGGCTAACCATTGCTGCCGCATCAGCTGGCGATAAAGGAGATGGATTGTTCTTGCCAAGAAACTTGAAGGAAAGGAAATATAAAGTTCCAATAAAAGCAGGCGACAAGGAGATAGATTTCGCATACCTCAAGCTTATTTCATACAATTCCCCGCTAGAACTTGATAAGCGTGCCTGGACTTTTCAGGAGTGGATTCTCTCATCGAGAATACTTGGTTTCACTACGGAACAAATAAAATATCACTGCAGAACTTGTGAGGTCTGGGAGGATGGGCAATACCAGAGAAACGGCCAGGATTTAAGGCAAATCTTAACAACACCAAAATCGCCAGAAGAAAGTGGAAACGGGCCAAGGCAGCTGGGATTATTAAATGCGTGGTACGAATGTCTTGCAGACTTTTCAGAACGCAATATCAGTTTCATGCGCGACCGACTCCCTGCTATAAGCGGCTTAGTCCAATTACTACGACAGCAGCTCCCTGGAGAATATTATGCGGGTGTTTGGAAAATTGACATCCACCGAGGTCTCCTCTGGCGATCTGACCAAAAAGTGCATTTTGGACGGCATCTAGGGCCATCGTGGTCGTGGGCGTCTCGGGCAGGACGTATATCGCTCCCATTTAGTCCTACCTATAGCGAGGACTACGAATGCTCAATGGAAGAGTATGAGGAGTGGCTAGGGCAGAAAAGGGATTTTAGAACAGCAATCCTCGAGGTGGAAATGCAATATGCCGCACCGAAATACGAAAGTACTGGAATTGTGGAACATGGCATTTTAAGGGTAAGTGGCCCAACGAGAGAGTCTTGGGTGGCGATGGCCGATGATATTAGGGGGGAAGGCTCTGGTTGGTATGAGTACTTGGAGAGGAAATACTACGACTCGTCAGGTATAGATACGGGAACGGTCCTAGATCTCATATCAGGCTCTGCTTTGCTTCTTTTCGATGCAAACGAGACACAGGATAACACTCTCGAGAAGGTTGTAGGTATAGGATACTTCGATGATGGTGGAAAGGATGTCGGGAGCGCTATTTGTCTACTTTTGACAGAGTCCGAAGGTTTGCTGCTTAAAAATCGCAAGGATAACAGGGAACAATTTGAGAGAATTGGCATCTTCTCTGTTTATGAAGATGCCTGGTTTGAAACATGTGAGGCTCGGGACTTATCAATTATATAATTGATCATTATGTCTAATGAAAGAGCCTGGGATCTTATTTTCAGTCCCTTGCAATCCGAGTACCATATGTATACGCCATTATAGAGAATATTCACCCTTCCATTTCCCTTCGCAAGAAACCTCTGTGAAATCTACCCGTTAGATCTCAGCGTTATATCTGTCTTTATAGTATTTCCAAACCTCATCACGTTCACCCTCGCTCACCCTCGCTCACCCTTGCTCGGTCACCCGCTCACCCGCTCACCCGGTGATCCCCCTCCCTCACTTTCAATGCGTATATGTACTTCTGTATGCGAGTAATCGTCACATACGACCATAGACTCAAGAGAATTGGGCATCCCGTCCGCTCTGCCATACACAAGCTTGAGATCGGTGGATTAGTAGTTGGGTGGGTGACCACCAGCGAATACGCACTGTTGTATGTTTTTGTTATTTTATTTTTTGTTATTTTATTTTTTGTTATTTTTTGTTATTTTATTTTATTTTATTTTATTGTCGTTCTGATATGAGGGTTGCCGGCGTGATATTAGTCGAAATGGTCGCGCTGGCCACAAGTTGGAAGGGAGTTTGATATTTAAATTGAAGTCAGTAGAAGTTGTATTTTTAGCTCTGTCTATCTCTCGAAAGCCAACTCCATTGAAGCTTTGAAGAATATGCCTATTATACTGTGATCTGCCCCTATATCCAACGGGATATTTAAACCGCGACGGCGACCAACCAACAGCCACACTCCTCACCAAACTCGCTCCATTTCCTGCAAAGATAATATGGGATATCTTTACCGTACAATAGCAGTCAGATGTTCGCCGTTTGCATAGACTGCCCAGAGCATCGTCGTACTGGCTGGTTTATCACTTCTCACCACCATCACCTCGTCTCACCGCCATCCCTTCCCCCCATCAACCTTCCACCACCACCCCCCTTTTTTACCACGTATGCCCCTATCACCGCTAAGAATCTCACGTTAGTGGAAGCTTTATAGCTCACCACCTCTAAAATCGAATTGTGCTTCGTATCCTCCCTCTTAAAGTTGCAATTTTTAGCCTATTAAACAAGCGACTAACTATAGTGCTATTAATCATCCCCTAAGCTGGTGGGGTAGTATCAAGACCAACCACTGAGAAATTGAAGGCATCATTCCTAGACGGGATCAGTCCGAGCTCACATGCATCATCAACAACCACATACCTTGAGTAGCTTCCCGCAACATCCATGTCAAGTCTCCCCCTCTCACAATCATCCATATCAACCTCGGTGCTAATCAACCCACCATCCTCAACCTCCCACAACGGCTCAACAAGAACAGTGCCGTTGGAATTAACAATGCAGGATCCGCCACGAGAGACGAAGTCGTCGCCCTTGGAGACGTCGCCCTTGACCCATGCGGGCAAATGGCTCTTTCGCTGGCACTGGTTGGCTGAGACAACTACACACCTACCCTCGCAAGCAATCATGCGCATAGCGCTCAACCATGTGTCACGGGCATCGGCCGTTGGCGCCAAAAACAGATTGACGTTCTGGTTGTACAGACTTTGTCTGAGGAGCGGCATGTAGTTCTCCCAGCAAATAGCAGCAGCCATGATAATCTTAGTACCGCGAATCTCCGTGGTAACAGCTCTCAGCGAGGAAGCCGCTCCCTGGCCCCAAACAAGTCTCTCGCTGCCCGTCTGTTCCCCACCTCCATCAGCTCTCGCTTGTCATGTGATATTACCAAAAGAAAGAGTGGTGGCAACATCCAATACATACCGGCATCAACTTCCTCCTCTTCCCCAAAGCGCCATGCACAGGATCCACGTATATAGCACCACAGTACAAGGTTCCCCCACACCTCTCAATTAGTCCCACAACGAGGAAAACGCCCGTCTGCTTCGAAATCCTCTCCAGCTCCTCTCTCGTCCCATCACCTCTCACGCCCCCATTCTTCGGCGCAGGCAAAGATTTCTCAACCCAAGCGTCGCCAGCTCCCTCAGGGGTATCCCCCAAATCAACCGCTGCGCGGAAGTACTGGAGGAACTGCTCACGGCCGGCGTCGGAACGTGAGCCGATCACGGCGCCGAAGTCACAGCCTCGCGGATAGCCGCCTAAGTAAGCTTCGGGGAAGAGCAGGACATCGATGTTTTGCGCTGCTGCTTTCTTGGTGATTTCCTCGAGGTCGGTTAGAGTTTCGGTGAGGGTGTTTAGAGTGCGCGCTTGAGCGGCGCCGACTTTGATGACGGATGGCATTTTGAGGTTAAAGAGAGACCAGCGAATCAATATTATTAATTAGGACAGGCTTGAAAATGGTAGATTTGTGGTTTTTGACTTTTGCTACAAGAGGATATGGGAGCAGATGTCGTCTCTAAAAGAAGTCCCATTGGTATAAATTAGATGGCCATCGTAGGATTTGGGTTGACCTAATTAACGTTCATGGTATGCAAGGTCCGAGCCTACCGAATAACGTAATACAAAAAATGTGAATCCACACCGGTGCGCGTATAGCAATTTATTTACTTGACATTAGGTTTAGTTTTAAGGGGTTTAAGGGAGTTAAGGGATTTAAGTTAACCTCTTTAATACAAGGCTTAGACCGGCACTTAGACACGGGAGAACATTTACTTAAACATTTACTTAAATGGTCTCCCGTGTCTAAGTGCCGGTCTATCAGAAATATATAGCTAATGACGAATGAGAATTTTGTATCACACGTCATTCTACTCCGTTCATCTATAAAGACTCCGAAGTTCCCATCACAATCCTAGGAACAACGCGTGCTTGTCATTTAGTATTGTCTATTTCTCTTCAAAAGCGACCCCGAAATCAATTATGGTAGCACACGCAGAACAAAGGCCAACCGTGGTTCTTGTACCCGGTGCTTGGCAGAGATCTTGTGTTTTCGATGTAGTACAAGACAAGCTCCAACTTCTAGGATATCCGACTGTTCTAGTAGACCATCTGTCGACAGGAGCTGAGCCACCAACGATAGAGCTTCCAGATGACGTTGATAATTTGCATAAAGTCCTCCAGCAATTGGTTGACGAAGAGAGAGATATAGTTGTTGTTGCGCACTCGTACGGCGGCGTCGTTGCCTCTTGTGCAGTGGAAGGTCTTGATGTACCCACACTCCAGAAGGCCGGCAAAACAGGCGGCGTCATAATGTTGGCATACTTGAGTGCATTCGTACTTCCCAAAGGCGCATCACTGATGGATGGCCTTCATGGTCAATGGTTGCCGTGGCAAAAAGTAGAGGTTTGTGGCAGCACATGGCTGATAAAATGACAAAAGTCACTAATTGCATTTTATTTTTTGATTTTAGGGAGACTACTGTGGCACCACCAACGAAGCCGACGTGTTTTACAACGACTTATCCGTCGCTGAGCAGAAAAAGTGGACTGCAACCATGACACATATGCCAGTCGCTGTGTTCAAGTCCAGCTGCACATACGAACCATGGCATGCCATGCCATGCATGTACGTTTTTTGCACGAACGATAACGCGATTCCTTTGGCCATGCAAACAGGCATGGCCGATCAAATGGGCAGTATCACAACATATTCAATTCAGTCCTCACATTCACCATTTCTCAGCTCGCCAGATGATGTAATTAAAGCAGTTGAGTTGGCGGCTAGGACTGGTGAAGAGAAGAAGTCTTTGATGTAAATGAAAGGGAAATTAGACACTCGCAACAAAATATGAGGCCTTTTTATGCTGCGGTTCTAGTGTGATCATCCATTTAACAAGCATGTCAAAAGTACTCGAATCTCCCTAGACAACTACTCTGACCTTGTTCCATGGTCTTGGTCGTGACTTTACTTATCCTCAAGTGCACGACAGGGAGCGTAATTCTGATCGTGCAGCTCCTAGCACCCTATGAGAGCGCAGTCTACCATCTACAATATTCACCTACATTGAAGGACTTACTATCAGGCGGAAAACTTTCTACATAGAAGGACGTGCTGTTCTTGTACAGTCAACAGGCTTCTTCAAGCAGAGAACATCTGCTCTACAGGATGCAGTAAGCCAAATTGAACAACGTTCTCTCTCTAGGGCTACTAGTTCCAAGCACGCGGACGCAGGGGGGGTATTCCAAGAGTACGGTGAATATTGGGTGGATCCGTGGATACGCAGCTCCACAATTTAATGAGGGCGCGAGTCTTGATCAACACGGGCCGAACCAAGTGGAGGCTCACCCACTAGGCCGGATGGCAACCGATTTAAGTATTATCTAGATACTTGCTTGATATCGGTGGATTAGTAGTTGGGTGGGAGACCACCAGCGAATACCCACTGTTGTATGTTTTTGACCATTTTATTTATATTTTTGACGTTCTGATATGGGGGGTTGCTGTCGAGGATGCGGGATGGGCGTGATCTTAGTCGAAATGGTCGCGCCGGACACAAGTTGGTGGAGATTTGATATTGAAAATTGAGCAAGTAACAGTTGTATCTTTGGTTCTATCTATTTTTGGGGAGCCGACTCCTCCTAGGCTTCGAAGAGATATAATAATATGCCCATCGAACTGTGATGCGCCCCTATGTTTGACTAGGCTTCCTCCTTCTCTGGACTTACATCGCAGAAAAGCTCTCTATACGAAGGTCTTACTCGGGACTTCTGTATCCGTTGACAACAATATTTCGTATATACCTCTGATAGCCAATATACAATGGCCATTCGACAATATAGGACTTATAGTACGGAAGTTGACCGTGTCCGTCCTGTGAATATAACACCTCTTCACTTCTTGATACTATATCACCTTTCTCTACACCCGCACCCTATCAATTGGCCATGTTTGATCATTGGCAACTAGTTAACATAGGCCGTCTCCTTCCACGCCGTGGCCGTGGACGCGATGTCATTCCTATGCCAGCGCAGCAATATAGCTTCTCACCACCAGCACTTATCACCACTTGCCTTCCCCTCCCCCCGCGTTGTAGGGCCTATGGGAGAAATATATGCGCGAACCTCTGTTTTGTTCAGCCTTCGGCTGGAGTTCAGGCGTGAGAGAGCAGATGTGATAGCACCTATGCGTGGTTATTGTGACCATGACTGTTTCCCGGCAACCAGCGTTAACAGCCGACCGGCGGTGCTAGGTATTTTAATATACGCTTTCCTCATTGGAACCAAAATAATCAAGTAATGAGAAGACCTTCTTCGGCCTAAGTTGCGGCATTAAAAAGACAATGACAACGAAGGCTGTTGGTTGGTTGTTCATGACGAACAACGTCAGGAACTGCTCGTCAATAACCCATCACACGAACTAGAATGAATCATTAACCCCAGACTTCTCACCGATAACCCCTCAATTAAACTAGATTATGGCGGGGCTTCCCCGAGTTCTCCATGTCCGGGGTAAGTGACCCCAGACTTTTTATTGGTAACCCCATTTCCGGGGGAAGTGACCCCAGACTTCTCATTAATAACCTTATTTCCGGGGGAAGTACACCCGACGTTGGGGGAAGGACCTCCGTACTCCACAGGTAATTACATGTAGAATGATATGATACCCCTAAGACCAGATTCCCACGAGTCTGCACAATCTATATAAAGCGACGTATTCGTCGCTATTTATTTTGTAGAGATCAAGCCTTCAATTACCTCACAGAACGATCAACTTACCTCGAAGTGAACATTATCCACCCGACACTTTCAAGCAATCCACTCACAGGCACAGAGGTGATCGGCAACAACCTAACAGCCACAATGAAACCAACTCAGATCATTTCTGCTATAACATTCTCGGCGCTCGCAGCGTCTGTCTCCGCAAAGACGGAATTTCATGCCAACTACGAAGATGGCACCCTAAGCTCTGGACACCCGACGACAGGCCCCTTCCGAATTTGGATTCCTGGAATCGAGCCAGGCCTCGCCGTGGCCAAGGACGCCTGTTACATGGTGAAGGGTGGCGCGCACAACACGAAATGGGCCGTCGCGAACAAGGTGACCTTGGACGACCCGGCGTACATCGGCGGCAATTTCCCTCGCAGCGAATTCGGCTTCGGGGGCCCAAGAGGCACCTCCTACCATTCGGGTGACCGCGGCGCATACAGCTTCAGCATGCAGTTTCCGGATCTCGTGCCCTCCGTGAAGGGAGATCGCCCGGCGCCTATGGAGGACGTGGTCTGGCAGTTCAAGCATCACGACGGCGGTCACGATATCCATCTCGCGCTCGTGGGTGTCAATCTTGTGCTCGGCTGGGGCGGGAATGTCTATAAGCAAGTCATCATCGACGATGTCATGCCGTATGTAAATAAGTGGATGGATTTTCACTTCGAGGTACTCTGGAAGAACGACACCACGGGCTGGTTCACTCTAGACATGAAACTGCCCGGAGAACGCAGATTCGGGCACAAAATCAAGAAGAAGGGTATTCAAACGTTCGTGACCGCCAGTCCCGATGGCACGCTGTGGGGAGATCATGGCATGATCCAGTACGGAGTGTATCGCCATTCGGCTAATTCTTCAGCTGGCGACACAAAGACGCTCATCATCTGGCACGATGAGGTCACGGCGATCAACTTCAGCCAGCCGCCCGACCAGATGCCGCCCGTCTAGTAGGGCATGCATCGCTGCAACGGCGGACCAGGGCGCTCTCGAAGCAAAGCTCGCACTTTGCTCACTACGGCCAGCTAAAGATTTGCCCATCTTGGGAGCTGGCGACTCTGTTTCTGGCTTCCATAGGGGGGTGGGGGCATTGTTAGAGTGTCACATGAGGAAAAGGGGTAACCGCCGCTGAAGGCACAGGCACCAACAGGCACAGGCTGATGCCTGCTGTCTTTGTTAGGAGGATTTCTTTATTTTGCATTGGTTCTTTATTTTTTTGTCGTGCGGTTAGAACTAGAACATGCAGGAAACCGCGTGGAGGACGACTGCCAATTATAGTATAAGTCAGGGCCTTCTGCTCCGACTTCATGTTGCCTCCTTAGCATTATTCAATCATCGTTTTTACACCCAACCTGGTGTTACCTCATTTGTAACCATTCCGTCATTCTGACAGGTGACTACTAGCAAATACCTACTGTTGTGTGTTTTTGCTGTTTTATTTATTTTGACGTGCTGATATGGGTGTTGCTGCTGGGCATGCGGGATGGGCGTGATTTTGGGTTGGAATGGTCATAGAACACGCAGGGATAGCCTCGATTGAAGTCTCCAGCATTAATATCATGTTGAACTGTCGTGCCACTCGAACAACGAGTGGCGCATGATGGCTTTCCATGAGGCAGCGAACTAGTCTAACAATGACCACCTAAGAATCGGGTTCAAGATGGCTTTTGCGGTGGAGGGTAGCTTACTTCGCATTCACGGTTGAGGTGGTGTTAACAAAGATTAGGTTCAGATATTCATTTCTTACTACTAATAGTTCTCGTCACTAATAGTTCTTACCACCATTTCTCGCCACATCCTCCCGTTCTCACCTCCTACCCCCCTCCCGTTCTCACCTCCTACCCCCTACCCCCTCCCCTTTACTCCCCCCACACATCCGCCAAATAACCCCGCTCCTCACGATGAAACCCCAATGCTCGACACCGTAGTAAAAACAGCGTGTAGCGTTCTGCTCGTCCATTGCCTTAATACATCTGTTGCTCGTATCCTTTGTCGATTTATAGAAGAGTCGGGGACTTCAACCTACTGGACTGGTATGGGTATCAGTTCTATCTAGCGAAGGTGTGTATAAGGTCCACGCTTGTGAATTACACTATATCCCCTCCCCTCCTCCCCACTCCCCACCCCCCACTCCCTAGATGTCCCAGGTTCCGCAGCAGTAATCTACAGATACAATCCAAATAAAAAAGCAAATCCACCAAGTACAGCTGGCCATTTGCCAGGTGGCTCCACAGAGTTGGCATACGAGTACAAGATCCCAGTTTTTGCCAAAAGGTTCTGACCAAATGACGTTCACTCCCGAACACTCGCTAGTATCCTTTCTGCTCTCTCCTATGCCCTGGTTATTCTGGATGTAGAATTCTCTCGCATTATGAGGTCGAGAGGGTGGGAAAGGTTAGATCCTCACTTCTCACCACCACAACTTCTTACCACCTCCCCCTCTTCTCACTGTCGCCCTCTCTTCTCACCACGAATCCACCACTTCCATCACCACTCTCAACCGAGTCCCCTAATCCCAACACTCCTCACCCCACATTCACCATAAACCACACAACGGCCATGTCCACTGGTGTAACTACGTGTGAGCTTGTCCCTCAACCTATCCTCCAGCCTGTCCATTATATACCCATCAAGTCTACTTCACAAAGCGGCGTCAGTAGCAAGCCGTCCAATCCCAGCCTAAACACAAAGGACTTTGGACTTTGGACTTCGGACCACTAGCATCAACACATATCACTTCCGTCGAGAAAAGATGAGGTGAAAATTCGACGCATATACATTACACTATATTCATTTAGACTACCCCCCCACCCCCACTTCCCATCCAATCCATCCTTTCCCATCCCCATTTATGTCCCTCCGCCCCAACTAAAAAGAAAAACCTTATATATGTCTACCCATCACTGTAGTTGTTGGTATGTATGCGCAAAAAAGCCCAAGTCGTATGCTCATAAAATGCCCGGCCTCAGCCATCCCTTCCATTCATCCTTTCCATCCGTGGTTAATCCAAACAGAAACAAAAAAAATCCAAAATAAAAAAACGCCGGTATGCGAGTACAACAAAAAGAGGTGTCGTTGTGCTGTACTGCCTTCGTATACGCAACCCCTCCATCAAACCTCCCCCTCCTTCCTAGATCTAAAACTCCACCCCCTCCTCCTCCCCTTCCCCTTCGGCTCACTCTCACTCATCGCCGACCCCGGCCTCTCCCTCTCCCCACCACCATTCCCGGCCACCCCCTTCCCCTTATCATAAACCCCCCCAGCACTCATACTCCTCCTCCCCCCCTCCACACTCAACCTCCCCTCCTTCCTCGCCTGCAGCGCCATCTCCGCCAGCTCCGCCGGACTAGGCCCCCTCCACTGCGGCGCCATAGACGGCAACGTCCTCCCCCTCGGCGTCGTGAAGCCCGCGCTCTTCGCCGAAACGATGGCGGGGATCTCGCCCGAGGATCCGACGGGTCCCATAGGCATGGGACGTTTGGGTGGCAGCGCGTCGAGGGATTGTCCGTCCTTGGAGGAGGAGGATCCGCTCCAGAAACCGAGGATGCCGTGTTTGCGGTGCTGGTTGTTCATGAGGGAAGGGGGGGGGCCGATTTTCTCACGCTTCCCTTTCATCAATGGACTCTGGCGCGTTTCTGGTACATTCAGCGACCCAGACGCAAGAGCAGGGACAGGCGTCAGATTCCCATTCCCCGCTCTTGGTGTCGACGCGCCAGACGCAGTAGGGGTGCGGTGACCAGCACCAGCTAGCTGATTCGCAAAACTCGAATTATTCGGCACCACCACCACCACAGCCGGTTGTGCGCGGCCGTCCGAACCCTCGGATATACTCTGCGCCACGCGAGACACCAGCACCTCCCTCCTTTCAGCTTCTTGGGCCCGCTCAGCGGCGCGAACTTGGCTGCGCGCCCGCGCGGAGTGGGAGGCGGAGTCTTCGTCCGCGACTATGAGGCGGCCTGTGCGGTCGCGGCGGGGACGGGTGGTGGTAGTTGCGGACCCGGCGGTTGCGGGAGCGGGGGGAGGGGCGATGGCGGAGGAGGAGGCGTCGTAGGGAGTGTTGCTGAGGGGGCTGGTGATGGTGGTGGCGTTTGGGATGTGGCGCTCGAAGTCGGCGCGGGGGTCTTTGGTGGTGGATTTTGGTGGGGAGCGGGGGGCTTTGGGGGTATCTTTTGGTGGGGAGCGGGAGTCTTTGGTGGTGTGTTTTGGTGGGGGGGAGGAGAGGGGTCGGAGGGATTTTGTGGGGGGTGTGGGTGCTGGTGGTGAGGGGGCGGCGGCGTTGACAAGTCGGAATCCAGGCATGGCGGGGGAGGACTGCCGGCGGATTGAGCGCTGAACTTCTTCTTTGGATGGAGGGGGTGCGGGTTTGGGTTCCTCTTCCTTTTTGGCGGGCTTAACGGTGTCAGGCACTGGTGTCGTATGTTTCAATCCCGAGGAGAACCTGCTTGCTCGCTCTCTGAACGTGAGAGAAAGGCGTTTAGGCACCGGCGGCACTTTAATCTGCTCAGGTTCCTCAATCTTTCGCACCGTGATGGGAGCCTCTGAGCTTGGCTGGGTGCTATGCCTATGCCACCTCTTCTTGACAGGAGTAATCGTGTCTTCAGAATTAGCACGACCCTGAACAGCTAGGGAATTTGGGCGAGCCCGAGACGACTTTTGAAGAACTTTGCCTGGAGACCGCTGCTTGGGAGATGTAGGTGCAGACTTGTTGTTAGATTTGGTAAGTTCGGCTTCTGCCTGGGACGCCAATGAATCATCCACGTGGGCAGTCGTCATTGGGATCGGGGGTCGCGGCATCTGGTTCCTTTGGGGCTCAGATGGAGCTGCTCTCACCGGCGGTGGGGCTATTGGCTCTGCACGAGATTCTCTAGCCAACTCGCTCGGAGCATGTTGCGTCCTCCAATAATCCGCTTTGGGGACTCTAGGTTTAGAAGACACATCAAATTCAGATGGTCGAGCTACCTGGTAATTATCGAGTTCAGTAGGAGACTCTGAGGTATCCCTCAGTTTTGACCGAGACCCGGATGACTGCACCGATCCCAGAGAAGTATAAGAGCTATACCCGCTATCGGGCACAGCCGAGGGCTCAAGACGTGCGTGCGTCGAAGTATCCATTGTTTGCGCAGGACGGCGTGGCGACATGGTTTCGACAGCAGGAAGATACAATTCGTCGTCCTGCCTTCTCGGGGCTTCAGAAATAGGGCTACGCCGATCATGCACTGAAAGCTCCGACTTAGCGTCCTCAAATACCCCAAGATGTGACCTGGCGTCCTCAAATCGTTCGTCTTCCTCAGAATTGCGTTTCGATGAAGTTTCCAATTTCGGGGTCGACGGCATAGATAAATCAGCAGAGAACAGGCTGGGAAGGAAATCAATATCCAGTCTGTAGAACTCAGCAAACTCGCTAGCACCACCAGGTATCTGCGGCGCCGATTCCAGATACTGCGACGACGCTCTGCTGATTTCCAGGACGTCAGAGTAGGCTGATTGCTTTGTTGCCGTGCTGGGGCTTCTGGAGGGCGGATCAACGGTGAGTTGGTCTGTAGGGTTGACTGTGATCTCTGGCTGCCTGGCTTGTTTGACTTCATGCGTCTTCCCTTGTTCCGACGGATGCCTCCGCGCCAAGCTCGCGAGACTCATGGCTGTCGTCCGCGCAGAGACATTGTCTACCTCACTATCTATAGGTGGTGCCCGTCGTGCCTTTGGCGTGTTCGCAGCGTTTGGAGTTGCGACACCATTCATGATCCTTAGACTACCTAGCTCAAAACTACCGATATGTCTCAAATCAGTCGGCGTGCTCATCCTCTGCGTGCTTGTGATGTCTTCTCTAAACCGCGGTTTCTGGAGCGGTGCCAGCATCTCCAGATCCTCTACGGGGCTTTCGCTTGCCTTAGCCTCGTCGTAGTAACTATATATTTCCTCCTCACTGGGCAGTGTCTTTGACCTTTCGAAGCGGTGGGTGAATGTCTGGCTGGATTCCGGTTCAGCTGCGGATTGTCTCCATGCCTTTGGATTTTGCTTCTGCAGCCTCGAAGAACGTGACCCGCTGTTGGTCTCGCCCATCCTCGTTGCAACGCCGGGCGTGAGGTGGGAGCGGCGGCGAACTGAGTGGGAGGTATAGTTTTCTGGTTGAATGTGCACTTGTTCCGTCGAGCTCAGGCGGGCGGATAGAGCGGGAGATGTGCTCGATCTCATGGAGTAGCGGTTAGATGCATTTGAATTTTGCGAGTGGACGCTTGCATTTCTGGTAAGGATAGCTTCTGTTTCGGCAAGGCGCTGGCGGCGCAGGGAATCATTTATTTGAGCAGCGGATGATGTTTCGGCAACAAGGGACAGTCGAGCTTGTTGGTACCTTATATAGCTTGGAGATCTATGTAAATCCGGTGTGCTGGATCAGGGGTTAGCTTTCTGCATATTCGATGTTCTGCATACCGTTGTGCGGCTGAATGAGAGGCGTTTGAATAACTTACCTGTCAGTTACTGAGTATTGGCTATCCGTAGGCAGGTCCTGAGCATAACCTGCAAGCCCCAGCTGTGAGTATCTACGCAACGGATCCGAATTATCCAACGCCTCAACTCCACCGTTGTCGTCTAAAATCCATTTATCATCTGGCCTATCCTGGAGCACTATCGACGCAGGCGTGCTCGACTTGCTTCGAAACAAGCTGCTCAGCCTCGACGCCCTCTTATCCCTCTCCTGCTGCCTCCCACGGCCCGGTCCAGAATCTTCCCTCGCATCCTCTGCGAATGGAAGATCCACATCAGATCTCGCAGGAACACTGCTCGACCTTCTCTTCCCCCTTGCATTAACACTCGCTAGCGAGCTCTTCCTCGAGACCCCGCCTCCAGGCACATCCAGTAGATTATTCGCTGACGTATTCGTCCTGGGTTTCGACAATTTATTGGGTTTATTCGATTTGGTCCGCGGCTTCGCACTCTTTCGTTTTGGCTGAGCTGGTATGTCCTGCGCCGTCTTCCCGCCGAATAGAGATGATATGAGACCCATCCGTGCGGATTGGGGGGGGAAACGAGAGTGTAGGTCAGAACAAAGGGATCATTGCAACGACATTAATATTTCTTCCTCCCAGCTCGACTTCGCCTGTCGGTGGTAGGTAATGGAGATCTTAAGGGGTGCAATGACGTGTGGGGGAAGCGACGGATCCGGGTGCAGTTGTTTCAGCTGAAGAGTTGCGCAAACCTCTCTACCAGCTGAGGCCAATCCCCACGGAGGAAATGCAATGCAGCGCTCAAACACTCTGTATACGTAAAGGTATGCGCTGGGTCAGACAGCGAGGAAGCACGAGGGGTCACTCAGCATAAAGAGGTCTTTTGGGGGAGGTTTTTGTTTTGGAAGTGTTGAGAATTGATAAGTATTTTTTGACGCCTTGCTGGCAGATCTCCGCAGGGTAATCCACGGGCGTGGCGGGGGGGTGTCGGGGTGCTGGTGCGGACTCTGTGGACAAATCAAAAATGTCTTACATGTAAACAGAGGCGTATCTCCGTGTTGAGCATGTCAGAGTATGCAAGACTATACCACTTGTAGTCTGACTAGAGCGTTTTATATTCCGCGATCCCCTAAACCGTCACTGGCGCCTCGTATTCTGAACCCGTTTCTGCAGAATCAGATCCTACTCGTCTCTTGTAACCTGCGTGGGTAGTAGTAGTGTCGTAGCCCTGGTAGTAGTACCTCGTAGCCCCTCTTTTGAAGACGGGACGCATCGATAGTATAGTAGTATAGTAGTGGAGAATAATAGGTGACTTGACATGGATATTGTACAGTATGACGATTCTCGTAGAGAGGGATAATACAGTAGTAGTATAGTATAGGAGAGTATAGGAGAGTATAGGAGAGTATAGGAGAGTATAGGAGAGTATAGGAGAGTATAGGAGAGTATAGCAGAGTATAGCAGAGTATAGTGCAAAACCCAATCACCTGCAATGTTCGTATTTTCCCCAATTTACTCGACTCGAATATATTGGAAGTGGACCATTTTGTGCATTTGTGCAGGAATGGCGTACCTTGTCTAGCTGAAGTAGCTGAGGTACGGGTACGGGGACAGTAAAATGATGTACGTACGTGTTAGTGGAGTCAACTAAACTCGGGTGCCGGGCACTTAAAGTTCCGTGCGCCAGACGCCGGATAGAAGTCCCGGATAGGGAAGAGTGAAAGATAGATGACATGACATTGCTCATTATTGCTGACACAAAACCCACGACTTCAATATATTCAATATGAATAAATATGTATTAAAACCCGCAGAAACTGCAGAAACTGCGACTCTCCCCAGTATTACCAACACAATGCTCCTCGTACACTCATTGTCGTCAAATGCGTACCGACTCTCCTGTTGTGCATTACTGCACTATCTGCACGGTCTGCACCCAAACTCCGATGCAATCCTGCCGTACGGGATCCTCAGTTTCCACTTACCTCATGAATCGTCTAGGAAAGACATTATCTCCGTTTAGACTCATTCTTCGGCTCGCCGGATGCTCCAGTCTCAGATGTTCACCGAGTCGACCGTGTCCTTCCATGATACTCAAACCGATAGGAGAAGAATCAAGACCTACTGGCACCAGCAAGACTCTAAATTTAAGCAACGCCGTCATGAGGACCATCGTGCTACGGCGTTTGAGACCCCACCTCCATTCGACTGCGGCCGGGAAACCCCTCGTTTTCTGCGGCGACTCTAGTGCTTCCCACGACATTTCGTAGACCCTCGCTGCTACGAGAACTGCCAGTATCACATCACACCAGTGCTACTGGACAGCGGGAATGTAGGACTACAGTTTTCGCCTCCCACACAAGCCCCCCTCCTCTCTATTACAGAGATAGCCACGACTCGTTGATGTGGCCTCCAACGAAGAGGGCTAGTTCAAATATAGGGCATATGTTCTTTATCAGGTCTTCTCGAAGATGGCAACGACAGCAGTGGAAGTTGGCTATCCGTTGTTCCACACATTTGACGTGGCGGTCGGTGGCACAAAGGCCTGCTTGGATACTGACTGAATAATACAAAAGCGGGCACAGCATGGCCGTATGGCTGTAGAATGTGCACATAAGCCGCCTTCGTCTACATTTGATTATAGTAGGCCTATAAGCATATCTCAGTACAGCATGGGCATGACGCTGTGGGACACCGAAATTGCGTGAGATGGAGTAGAATATCCAGAAACTTCTCCTATCACCATTGCCGTTCTCCCGAAGCCTTCTTCCTCATACCACCTCCAAGGTACACAAAACAGCAGTGTGTAATGCACGCCTACATTTTCCGGGAACATATTGTACGCCACTTCAGTGCATGTGGCCATTCCAAGCAATCCGGACGTAAACATCACCAAAGACCCTCAATTCTCACCCCCAGCGATCACATCCCTGTGCTACCCTATCCCCCAGCCTTGCACCCAGCCTCGCGCTAGGGGTGCACCGCGGCTAAAAGTCTCCCTCACGAATCGCGCCGCGACACAATTCGGCGGTACCCCCAGACGCGCGACACCTCAAGCCATCACCAGAGTTCAATCGACGACATCACCACGCCGTACCATGCCAGTCCCACACTAAGCGCGCAAACATGCATTTCATCCGACCGGCGTGGCTGACGCACAGTGGTACGTTCCTGCCCTTCCCCCCCCCGGGACGATTTCACCGATGCCTCTCCAATACAAGGTGAGCCATGTATACTAACTGAGGTCCCAGGCGAACAGAAGGACTTCGAGGTCTACTCCTGCCACGTCTCGCCCGATGGAAGCCGTGTCGCGACGGCGGCGGGAGATGGCCATGTGCGCATCTGGAGCATGGAGGCTATTCGCAATGCGGCGAATACAGAGTACAAGGGCCCGAAGCAGTTGTGCCATATGAGCTACCATAGTGGCACGATTCATACGGTCAGGTTTAGCCCCGATGGCCGCTGGCTGGCTAGTGGTGCTGATGATAAGATTATTTGCGTTTATCACTTGGAGAAGGAGCCCCCGGCGCATGGGGCAAGTTTCGGTGAGTTATATTCAGGAAATGGGGGGAGGGGCAGAATAAAGGAGAATTGGGAGATGGAGTCAGGAGGTGGGCTAACGATGATCTAGGCACCAATGAACCTCCGCCTGTCGAAAACTGGAAGATCCTCAGACGTCTCATCGGACACGATAACGACGTGCAAGACCTAGCATGGTCCTACGACTCCTCGATCCTGGTGTCCGTCGGCCTCGACTCCAAAATCGTGGTGTGGTCCGGTCATACGTTCGAGAAGCTCAAGACCCTTTCCGTGCACCAAAGTCACGTCAAGGGCATCACCTTCGACCCCGCGAACAAATACTTCGCAACCGCCAGCGACGACCGCACCATCAAGATCTTCCGCTTTACATCACCCGCGCCGAACGCCACGGCGCACGATATGGTGAATAATTTCGTGCTCGAGCATACCATCGCGAATCCGTTCAAATCGAGCCCGCTCACTACATACTTTCGCCGCTGCTCGTGGAGTCCGGATGGGAATCATATCGCTGCGGCGAACTCGGTTAATGGTCCTGTTAGCTCCGTGGCGATCATTAATCGCAGTCAGTGGGATAGCGATATTGCGCTCATCGGCCATGAGGGGCCGGTGGAGGTGTGTGCGTTTGCTCCGAGATTGTTCAGTAGCAGGGCGCAAGGGCCGGAAGATACGGATGCCAATGGCTTCAGTACGCAGCCTTTGACTTCTGTGATTGCTTGTGCTGGTCAGGATAAGGCTTTGACGGTTTGGAATACGAGCACGTCGAGGCCGCTGGTTATTGTGCAAGACCTGGCTCAAAAATCTATTTCCGATCTTGCCTGGACACCGGATGGACGGACCCTGGTTGTCACTAGTTTGGATGGCACCATTCTTGCGGTCGCCTTTGAACTTGGAGACCTTGGCTATGTGGCTCGAATTGAAGAGAATGATAAGGTATTGCAACGCTTCGGTGTTGGTCGCAAGGGCGTGGGCGTCATCGAGGACGTTGCAGGTCTTCGTCTAGAGGAGCGCAGCAGGGCCGGAGAGCTTCGCGGAGCAGAAGGGAGGATGGGCGCGCTGATGGGCGATGGAGCTACTGAGGCGCGCCCGGAAAAGAATGGGGTTTCAATCACAAATGGTGATAGCAAGGTTGCCGATAAGGGGGCTTCAACACCTGCAACGAATGGGACGGACAAAGATGCCGCTCCCACACCTCCAGCAGAGGAGACGAACGCTGCCAAGATCGAAGCAATGAAGAAGAGAGTAACGATCACGAAAGAGGGAAAGAAGAGGGTAGCTCCCCTCCTCGTATCCTCCTCCGGCACCGGCCAATCCTCACTCCCCCAATCCCAACTCATGGCCGCCAGCTCCAACAACGCCACAAGCGAAGCCCCCCAATCCATCCTCGACCTCTCCAAGCCCTACGACGGCCTCCCCTCCGGCGGCCTCGCCTCCATGCTCCTGGGCAACAAGCGCAAAGCCGTCGTCCTCGAAACCGGCGACGAAGACGAGACCGGCGCCAAACGCCTCAACGGCACCACCACCAACGGCACCATCCCCATCATGCGCAACGGCGTCGACGGCGTCGAGCCCGCCACCGCCACCCCGACACGCGGGCAGGAAGTAACCCCTGAATTCATCCGCCCCGCCGTCGTGGACCCGGTAATGTCAGTCTCACAAACGCGTCTCTCCGTCCCGAAAGTCCGAACGCACATCCTGCGGTCCCTCAATCGCGGCGGTCTACCCACTACCAAACCCCTCTCCAATGGCGCGGCACCAGACGACGACGCTGCCAAAAACGCAGACGATGTCATATTCGAAGCCCGCAATGACGCGCGCACAGGCGCACACGCTAATGAACCCACGCGCATCACAGCACTCAAGCGCTCCGCAGTCCTCTGGCAAGACTTCCTCCCCCGCCCCGTGCTGCTCGTGACGGGGAACAAAAACCTCTGGGCTGCGGCATGTGAAGACGGGTCTCTCTATGTCTGGACCCCCGCGGGCCGGCGCCTCCTCAACGCGCTCGTGCTTGAAGCCCAGCCTGTTATACTAGAATGTCGAGGGTGGTGGCTCCTCTGCATCACAGCGGTGGGGATGTGTCACGTCTGGAACATCCGCACGTTGTCGTCGCCGCATCCGCCGGTGAGTCTGGCCCCCGTGCTGGATGCGGCGGTGAAATCGCTGTCATCTCACACTGTCCCCGGACCGGGAATAACCTCCGCACACCTCAATTCCACGGGGAATATCGTCCTTACTCTCACTAACGGCGATGGGTACGCCTATGCTCCCGCCCTGTACGTGTGGCAGCGCCTCAGCGAGGCCTGGTGGGCCGTCGGCTCGCAGTACTGGAATAGCAATGACTCCTCCGTCTCCGCTCTCCAAAGCACCGCCGTCGGCGGGCCATCCACCTCCACCGCGCCCGAGACCCTCGTATCCGCCGGCATAATCCCTCATCTCGAGCGCCATACCACCGCTGAGGTGTTGCTCAAGGGGCGCGCATACATGCTCCAGCGCCTCGTCAAGGGTGTGTTACCACGCCCTGGCTTCGAGAGATTCGAAAGCGCGGTTAGTGTTGCGCATCTGGAGAATAGGGTGGCGGGTGCGCTGGGGCTGGGGGCCAGGGAGGAATTTAGGTTGTATCTGTATATGTATGCGAAGCGGCTTGGGGCAGAGGGGGCGAAGGGGAAGGTGGAGGAGTTGTTGAGGGGGTTGCTTGGGGGGATTCTGGAGGAGGGAACTGCAGAGGGGGAGGGGAAGGGGTGGATGGCGGAGGGGGAGACGATTTGTGGGTGGGATCGGAGGGAGTTGTTGAAGGGGGTTGTGTTGATTCTTGGTATGTTTTACCCTTCCCTCTCTATTCCGCTGTCACAGCTGGGCGCACTCTTTGGATTTGTTGGAACAGAACTAATAGTCTATATAGGCAAATTCCGCGATCTCCAACGCGTCACAGTCCAGTACGCTCGCGTGCTAGATATGGTAGACGATGAGGACGCGATGGAGTCTACCTGAGCTTATCTTATCGTTTCCACTGGAGTTTTCATGGGTCCTGGTTTTGCGTTTTGCTAGGTTGCTAGGTTGCTCTTTTGCTTTCGGGTGGCGGGGGCCGGGGGGGGGGATGATGGCTGTTGTACGATATCACAATGAGTTATTTTTGGTGCGGGTTGGTGGGGGGGATGAAATGGCTTGTATTTTTTTGGACGGGCAATAAAGGAGGTGGGGGGGGTATTGATAGCTGGCTGTATATTGCTGGGTATTATGGGGAATGAGAGATAATTTAATTGCAGTTGCAGTCGGTCGAATGTTTGTCTCCTGCAGTGAGTGTGCTCCTGGCCTTAAAAGGAGGGCTGGGCTGGGGAGGAATTACGTCTCCAAGGACATCATCACGTACGGACCAACCCGAAGGTATTGGCTGTGTTGAGAAGATAGCCAAGGGGGAGCTCGTTGTATTAACTCCCCGGGCCATTCTAGACCGCTGTTGCTGCTCTTGGTAATGCTGCTGTTCTCGTTGCTGTTGCGATTCTTGTCACCGTTCCTACTCCCTCTGTCACTCTTGTCGTCGCTGCTACTCCTGTTATACTGGTATTACTGTTACTGCCCGCAATGCCTAGGTTGATCCTCGCGCTGGTACACGAACTTCTGCAGCTAACGTGGTTGTCGTCCTTGTTTCATGGTGATCCCATATTCAATCTGCGCTCGCACAGTGGGAGATACATTCATGAGTTGGGGATAAGTAATATGCGTCCCAGTTCTTACATTGTAGAGGCTCTCCCAAATATTACACGGCAGCGCATCCCCAATCACCCAGGTTAGCCCCCCCCCCCCTTTTCCATCACTTCAAGCCCAGTTTCGCCTGGGAAGAAAGGGGTCTACGTAGGGGGACTCTGCTTTGTCACTTGTCTTGTCTGCACCTATAATCTCTTTTTTCGGACTCCGGCTAGTCCAGTCTGGCGAGTTTACTTTCTTTTCCACGAGGCTTCGGGAATAGCATGGACACTTGCGTTTCTCGCGGGGAAAGAAAGATCAGATCAAAGCGCTACGACGAAGATACAGCTGGTTATCGGGCTAGGCTGGGGGCTGTTGGGGGGTCTGATAGTACGCTTGGATTTGTTTATGCCACATCTGTTGATGATATATCTTCGGCAGGATTTATCCAGGACTGGGCCATCATAAGGCTTGACCCGGGGCGCCTCGAAGGTTGCAATGTCGACTAGCATATAATTAACCCTCGAGTGAGGAGGGGGCCATTCTTGTGGCCATTGGTACTCTTGCTGTCGTTATTCTTGCTGTCGCTGCTATTCTTATTGTCTCACTACTACTGTTCTCCCCGCTGCCACTCTCCTGCCACTGTTACTCCTATTAACGCCGCTACCTCTGAGATCGTCCATGCCCGGTCACCATGATCAAAGGAGACTTGACACCCTCCACCAAACAAAGAACTTGACGCCTGCAACCAACCAGAGGACGACGCCCAGGATGGGCTCCTCTGCTGCTTGAGTTGGGGCGCAATATATATGCCGAGCTCATGGGAGACCAGATCGCCGTCGCTAGTTTGCGAAACTTCTGTAGCCAACTACTTGCTGTCTCTCTTTCGGGCTTTGGACAGAACGTGTTTTCTTTTTTGCTTAGATGTTGTTTTGTAGATTGCATCTTGAGCATCGTCACTTCCATCATATTTACCCTAGTCACGCACGTACCCTGCCGCCTTGATAACCACGAAGTTGGCTTAGCAATACGCCATTAGGATATACTCAAATTTATCCTTAGAGTCAAGTTTCTCCTCAAGTGGGCAGTTAGCCACATAGTATGTTGCAATGACTTCCCGCGTCATTCTAGACTGATGTTGTTCTTACCAGCGGTGATATTCTTGTTATCGCTCCTGCTCTTGTTGCCGATGCTGCTCTTGTCACCGCTACTACTCTCCTGTCACTGCCACTACTGTTACCGTCGGTACTCCTGCTACACTCAATGCCCAGTTCGCTATCACTGGTGCGTGTGCATTCTTGAGGCAGCATATAATAAGTGTGAATTTAGTGTCCCTGCAGTGTCCGTGTCGTCCCTTCTTGTGTTATGATAGAAAATTGGTTTCACATACGGACGGGGCGTTATATACTTTCTTATGGGCTGCTATAACTCCTCCTGGACACTGCCTTGCCCTTCCTTGCCAGGCTTATGGGCAGAATGAGCAATTGCTTCCTGTCGCCAAACTCCCACACGTGCTTCGCAACGCTGACAATCTAGACACCATTTGGATAACGCAAGTGTATCTGGATATATTGTGACGTGGCTAACCCATGACTGATATAATATGTATGCTTCCACCCATTCTAATGCCTGCCGGCGCTGCCAAGATCTAACTTCTATGTCATCAAAAGAGCAATAGCACAAACCGGTCATACATGTACAGATAATCAGAACGAACAGAGACAAATGGTATGTGAATTTATGCCGCCGCCGCCTCCTTCTTATCCCGCATGGCGCGGAAGAAGTCCATAACGCCAGTGTAGACGACGAGCAGAATACCTCCACCGGGACCCAACCTCAGAACCTTAGGCGTGAATCCCTTGTACAGCGCAGCGAAGCCCTCCTCCTTGAAAACCGTCGCAAGCGCTGGCCACGCCCAGTTGTACTTCTGGACCTGCCCAGCCACCTTGGTGGTGTTCTGAATCCTGGACTTGACGACATCCATGGGGGTGTTGAGGATGGTACCGAAAGTTCCTCCGGTGGCACCGGACAACATGTCGTACATCATCTGCTGGTTCTTGTTGTCGGCCTTGGGGAGCAGCGCGCGCACCTGGAAGATACAGCCGAAGTAACCGGCGTTCCAGAGGATGTGGCGCCACATGGTGCTCTCGAGGCCGTTGTACAGGGCGAGTGGGCCCTCCTGCTTCACAATCTTGGCGACACAGTCGATCATGCCGGTGTATCTGCCTGCTGATGCCTTATCCTGCAGACGGATCTTGACGAGCTCGAAAGGAACAACGACGACGGCCTCGGTGGCACCAGCGGTGGCACCGGTGAGGATGGAGAGAGACTGGGTCATCTTGGGGATGCCAAATGCGTCACGGTAGAATTGTCCCCACTTGTCGTTGGCGGCGAATTTGGTGGCGCGCTTGGGGGCCTCCATCAGGATGGGAGCCTCGATTCCGCGGTATAGCCGTCCGAAACTGGTATGGATTAGAATCTCAAGCTGCTTTCTGCCCGTAGCTTGACTAACCCTTCATTCTTGATGATCTTGCGGAAGCAATCCAACATGCCATTGTAGGAATCTGCGCCTTTTCCAGTGCCGGTCTGCAGTTGTCTATCGCCGTATTAGCCTCACAACAATAGCTTTATATTCAAGAGAAATCGTACACTCTGGTCTTGACGACATCTAACGGGTACCTGCGTGTGAAAGTCAGCAGAGTTCAAATGCGCCGCGTCTCCCGAGTTGACTCACATAACCAAGATCTGAATTTAACCAGGGTTAGCAATTGTTCATGTTAACTTCGGGCCTGTCCTCACCTCAGACACACCAGCCACGGCGCCTACATCCTGTTAGCAAGAGTCAATGGCATACTGGGTCTGAGGTAACATACCAGCCGCGAACTGGTAGACGAACGGCAAAGGTCTGTCAGTCATGATTGCTGTCGTGTGAGCTGCTACAAAGGTTAGAAAATGGTTCCAAATGGCCAGCTCCGTATGAGCATGGCTTCCAGTGAAGGGTGAGACCTACAAACCTGTTGCGGTGAAGATGGAAGAGATGAAGTTTTTCGAGACCCTGGCTGGAGCGAGAGAATCTCAAAATCCTTATCGACCACCCACGCGCCATTCTCGACGGTCCTAGCCGATAATCGCTCTCCCCCACGTTGGAGCACTCCACCCCGGAGAGCTTAGCGCCAGGGACCCAGTCGGAGCGATACCCGCCAACTCCGCAAATCTCCGCTTGGTGTTCTTGCTTGATGAGAGGTTTAGAGGCCCCAGTACCCCATATCACGTGCTCTCGTGGACGCGACTTGGGACGCGTCTTCTAAACACAAGAGTAGGAACGACGTAGGTAATTGAGGGACAAGAGTGTAATTGTTACAAAACATCCCCACCACCCCTCACCCTCACCCCTCCATACCATAATATGCCTCTTCAGAAGTCGTTCTCAGATACGAATCATTCGACAAAGGTACTTATATTCCTCCAAGGTGATTGAGAGAGTGTGGGCTAACTAGAGAAGCAACGACGACCTCAATGGCAACGAAATAAAACATTCCACGCGCCCCAGAACCGATATGATGTGAATCCCTCAGAACCAGCGCGAACGAAACCTCCGATCCCTATATCCTCGGCCACGAAAAGCAAACTCGAAGTCTTCCAATGCAACGCTCAAATCAAGAACCGTCGGTCTTCCATAGACATGTCTGGGACGGGGGCAAATCCTCTTGTCTTAGAAGAGGACAAGGAGAACACACCACTCAAAGCATCAGAGTATGGGATAAGCCCTTTATCTCGAAAAGATTTTGCGAAACCGAGTATTGAGACTCCCGCGACCCCCTCGAGCAAACTGGCGCTTCCCGAACTCATCGGCATGATGGATGTGGGGTCAATGGCACAACTACAATTAAAAACGCCAGACGAGCGTGTCATGTGGGACCAGGCCATCAACGCCGTTGATAACAATAGCACTTCTTATGTTGCACCCAGGCGGGGGGGTAGAAAGCGGCCTCGAAGTTCGTCGCCAATGTCGTCGCCAGGAAATATATCGTCGCATTTTACCGCGAATCCAGAAGCTGGTGATATTCAACAACCGGGCTCCCACGCTGCTCATGCCGGCCCGGGGTTAGACTTATGGTCTGGATATGCCATTGGGGCCGACAAATTCACCCCGAGAGGCCCCCCAAACCCACTATTTGCACACCTCATGGGCAACAGCTCGTCACCGCAAAGCGCAAATGTCAAAAATTCTGCGTCAAGGGAAGGAACGTTCAAAAGATCTATCAGCTGCGGTACACAATTTCCGAAAAGGAGGAAAGTTGGCGTTTTTGAAGATCATACAGATGTATTCACGGGGCCTATGAAAAGCGCGCTGTCCAAACCTTCACGGGTTAGTGAGTTGCTTGATGGGATAAAAGTGGCAGCAGTGAGCCCGGATAAGTTAGCGTTTTCCTCCGGCCCCTCAAGCTCGTCGCCTATCCCACGAAGTAAGACTTGGAGCGAAAGGAAGGAGATGCATCAGGCGTCGCCTTTAGGTGCGAAAGATCGCTATGTGACCACAGATGCTGGCATTGTGGAAGGCGAAGCACCACGACTCCGATTACAGCCTGAAGAAAGGGACGATGCGACTGTGTCGCAGAAGTCGGATTCCACCTCGTCGGATTACGGAGATTTTGACGCTGATCAATTCGACGAGTCGTTCCTGGAGGTGCTTGAATCGAATCAGACCAGCATTCAAACCTCACAATCTCCTGCAACAGGAATGTACCTCGATAGGCGACCTATAAATACCCAAGATAGCCCCGCGCCAGCTAAGAAACCCAGCATAATGCCTCCTGCGGATGCGGAAGAGGATGATGAATTTGCAGATTCCGACGAAGAAATGTTTGCCGCAGACTTCGAGGAAATTTTATCGAAATACGACACCCTTCCAGCTACTGCCGACGCAGGCAATCAACCTGCTTTGAAACAGGAGGAATTAGCTGAAGGGAAAGGCCCTGATGCTAAGACAGTGGCGGATATAGCTGACTCTGATGATGAATACGGTGATGATTTAGATGACACGGACTTTGCTGTGGCGGAGGCATCGGCTACACAGGCACAGGCATTACAGAATTCAGCTAGTTGCTTTTCGAATGTACGTACTGAGTATCCATAGCCTTCTGCTCAAATTACTAAGAATATGTTTTACAGCTCAGTCAAAAGCCCAGAGTAATTCAGCGGTATCTTGTGACAAACATACTCGATGATAGCTACCAGAATTCGAGGGGGCGCCAGTGCAACGAAAAGGTTTACTAGCCCCGCCTCATGTTAAGAGCCAGCTAACAGTCACAGGTTCTTATAGTACAAGTAGAAAACACCAAGGAGTATCGAACTATTCGACTAAGAGATGGATGGATTGAAACACAGGTCACGGAGAAGGCCGCTGTTCACGTCATCGGCGATTTTGTTTCTGGTCAATGTGTTATCGACGACTCGCATAGCTTGTTGATCCTCCATCCAGATCATTTGATTTCGGCCACCGTGGTCGCCGACTCTTTTGGCTGCACGAGACGCGCCGTGTTGCAAGACCGTGTCAAAGCTACGAGTGATTCCAGTGCACCACTTGTTTATGGGACTATTCTCCATGAAATATTCCAAGCTGCAATGATGGCCAACAGATGGGATAGCCCATGGCTCCATGATCTCATTGAGAAAACTGCGACCAGGCATCTGGAGGACCTCTATACTATAAAGATACAGATCCCCCAGGCTGTGGAATACCTGCAAAGTAAGATGGGAGAGCTACAATCTTGGGCCGAAGTTTTCGTCACTTCAAAACCACACCCGGAAGCAATCGTCAAGGCTGGCAATGGTGATACGGCCACGATGTGCGTGAGCAAACTCCTAGACGTCGAGGAACACGTGTGGTCACCAATGTACGGACTGAAGGGAAATATTGACGCCACTGTCCAAGTGACAATGCAAGATGCGAAATCCCGCCGGACATTAACAGTTCCCTTTGAAGTTAAGACTGGCAAGAATGCCAATGCGTCTCATCGAGCACAAACTGCACTATACAATCTTCTTTTATCGGACAGATATGACATCGACATCGCATACGGCATCCTATATTATATGGAAACTTCAGAGACAATACGAATTCCGGCCATTCGCCATGAGCTACGCCACATGATCATGCAGAGGAATGAGCTTGCCTGCTTTGTCCGTGAAAGACATGCGCAGCTGCCGCCAATGCTCAAAAAGGAGAACCTGTGCGGTCGATGTTATGCCAAAACCACTTGCTTCATATACCATAAGCTTGCCGACGACGGAGACGGAGAGACGAGCGGTATGAAGGACAAGTTCGACGAGGTTGTGAAACATCTCACTCCACAGCATAAAGAGTTTTTTCTCAAATGGGATGACCTTCTGACTAAAGAGGAGAAGGAGAGCTTGAAGTTCAGACGGGAGTTATGGACCATGCTCAGCTCCGAACGAGAGAAGCTAGGGAGATGCTTTTCAAATGTGATTATTGAACCTGGTTCGGCATACGAAGAACAGGACAACCCTAAGATTAACCGCTTCCGATATACCTTGATCAGGCAGGATGAAGCCGCCAATACGTCTTTCCTCGAATCTCAAATCACTATTGGCGAACCCATAGTGATCTCTGATGAGAAGGGCCATTTCGCCCTTGCTAACGGGTATGTGACACACGTCCGAAAGCATCGGATTACTGTGGCAGTCGACAGGCGCCTACATAATGCTCGTATTCGACGTCCTGGCTTTGATGAGGCCAACAATCAGGTCTTTGCAAGTATTATGGAAGTTGCAGGCGAAGGGTCAGCACCAGAATCGACAGAAGGCAAGATAACAGAGGCACCAGTGCGATATCGACTCGATAAGGACGAATTCAGCAATGGTATGGCAACAGTCCGAAATAACATCATTCAACTCATGGCGGACGGGCCTTTTATGTCACGGCAGTTGAGAAGCTTGATCGTTGACTTAGAAGCGCCAAAATTCAAGTCACAGGCCACCAACTACGTGCTGAAAGATAGGGAAAGTATCAACATTGATCAGAGAAGAGCTATTGACAAGGTCATGAGCGCGCAAACTTATGCGCTCGTACTCGGCATGCCTGGCACAGGAAAGACGACCACCATAGCTCATATCATCCGGGCATTGGTATCTCAGGGGAAGAGCGTTTTACTTGCATCCTACACGCATACTGCTGTGGATAACATCCTTCTCAAACTTCGCGATGACAAGATCCCTATTCTCCGCCTTGGAGCTGCGGCGAAAATTAACGCGGAGGTTCAAGAATTCGCTGAGCTAGCCGCAAAACCTAGATCGTCATTTGAGGAATTGGGGCGTCTGTGGCATGATACTCCAGTAGTTGCGACAACTTGCCTTGGAGTCAACCATGCCATCTTCAGCGAACGCACTTTCGATTACTGCATCGTGGACGAGGCATCGCAGATCACCCTTCCCGTTTGCCTTGGCCCAATCCGCATGGCTCGGACTTTCGTTCTTGTTGGCGACCACAACCAACTACCTCCTCTCGTGCAAAACGAAGCAGCACGTACAGGCGGACTAGATGTAAGCCTTTTCAAGCTACTTTCCGACGCTCATCCTGCCGCCGTTGTGAACCTCGAGCACCAATACCGCATGTGTGCGGAAGTCATGGCCCTCTCCAATGAGCTCATCTACTCCGGTCGACTCAAATGCGGCACCCCAGAGATTGCGGCTCGCAGTATCAGCATCCCCAATATGGCAAACCTCCAAACGCACCATTTCTCCTCGTCGACGATGTCACGCGCGGGGAAGACCATCTGCGCTGCTCCTGCAAAGGGTCAGTGCTGGATTCGCGATCTGTTGGATCCGGCAACGAAGGCCTGCTTCGTTAATACAGATACCCTGGTTCCTCGACCCCGTGAAGAGGCCAAGGGTAATCGTATCGTCAATCCTACAGAAGCCACGATCTGCTCGCAGCTCGTGCAGGCTCTACTCAGTGTCGGAGTTCCAGGCACTGAAATAGGGGTCATGACGCATTATCGATCGCAGCTCGCTTTGTTGAAGCACAACCTGCGCTCACACCAGGAAGTCGAGATGCACACCTGCGATCGCTTCCAGGGCCGCGACAAGGAGGTGGTAGTGATAAGCTTAGTACGAAGCAACGAGGCAGGTGGGATTGGAGAGCTCCTACGCGACTGGCGGCGAATCAATGTCGCGTTCACGCGTGCGAAAACGAAGCTACTGGTTGTAGGAAGCGGATCGACGCTTAAGGGTGGAGAAGGAGGGGCGGAGGAGATGGTTGGACAGTTTGTGAGGCTTATGGAGAGGAAAGCTTGGGTATATGACCTCCCGGGAGGTGCATTGGATAGCCACTGTTTTGACGATGCGGCGACGCAGGCGAGCGGCAGTGCTGCGGCGACTCCGGAAAAGGGGGGGTGGAAGCAACTTGATTTGAAAGCGGCGAGGATGCCGGGGCGTGCAATAGGGAATGAGAACTTTAAGGGGCCAAAGAAGGCGGTGATTAATGAGCGGGCGTTATTTGCTGGGAAGCCGGTGTTGAGGGATATTATGAATGAGGCTCGTCAATGATAGTCAGTGGAGGGGACTGGGTGTTGTTGGATATGATTAGGTAGAATAAGTTTGAATACAGTATGACAACATATATGACATGACAACTCCGATTATGGATATTCTATGGTGCCAGTTGTGAAATTGTGTAATTCAAGATATTGTACAGTAGATTTTAAACTCGTATCGATCTTATTTCTTTCCATCCAGACCAACGTGGAAGTTATATCCAAACGACCCAGATGGGTCATTGAATCTCAACTTCTTATCCAGTCCGTCAATCTTCTTAACATCCTCATCTTTAAGCTTAAAGTCTCCCTCCAAATTATCTCTAATCCGCTGAGGAGTCTTGCTCTTTGGCACCACACACCTGCCATGAGCAACACCCCAGGCGAGGGCAACTTGTGCACCGCTCTTTCCATACTTCTTACCAATCTCCACAAGGACAGGCTCCTCCTACACTGTATTAGTAACACATCATTAATAATAAAGGCAGCATGTTTCCTTACCGTCAGCTTGCCCAAGTTCTTCCCAGCATCGTAGGTCTGGTTGAGGTTCCCAAAGGGCGAGTACTGCGTCATATGAATACCCTTCATCTTGTGCCACTCCGCGAACTCAGTCTGCTGCAACCACGGATGCATCTCCACCTGATGCATAGCCGGTGGTACCTTCCCCTCCTTGTAAATCCTCTCGATTTCAGCCTTATTGAAGTTGCACACTCCAATGGCCTTCACCTTTCCCGTGTCAAGGAGCTTCTCCATCGCCTTCCACGTATCGAGGTAATCGATCTTCGCCGTCTCCATCTTGCCATTCGCATCCTTAGGCATCAGTTCAGAGCCGGATTTGAAGGCCCCAGGCCAATGCATCAAGTAGAGATCGACGTAGTCGGTCTGCAGAGCTTTGAGGGAGTCATTGAGAGCTGGTTCGACATCCTCTGGTGCGTGGGCGTTGTTCCAGAGCTTGGTGGTTATGAAGAGGGTTTTGCGGTCTACCCCGGATCTTTTGATGGCTTTTGCAACTGCAGGTTCCGTGCCGTAGATGTGTGCCGTGTCAATGTGTTTGTACTATTATAGAAAAAAATGTTAGAACTTGCCCTTGCTCTAGAGGAAACCAAGGATGGTAAAACTTACGCCAGCTTTCAGTGCCTCAAGAACGGCATCCTCCTGCTCTTCTTTGTCCTGCCAAGTGCCAAAGCCAATGGCTGGGATGGAGGCACCAGTGTTCAATTTTTGAATAGTCGGCATCTTTCAAGCTGTATGGTAGGTAATTATGTTGACGAGATCGAGTAGGCGCAGATGTGCAAACTATATGCTATGAACTATGTGATGACGAAATCATTTTATGCTACCCTCGAGAGCTCACATCGGATCTATGTGGGTAAAACATGATAGTTACTTGTGACGTTGGTGGCCACTTCGGTCACTTGTCGTTCGGGATCGGTGTTGTTTCTCATACGTCACAATGAATAATATCGTCATTCAGCTCCAGTTCTTTCCCCACAGAGGAAACTACCGCGTTAGGCCCCGGCACTTGCAAACATCAGAATTAATAATAAATTGCTCTAGTTTAGGAGAGACTGGAGTTATATGATAGTAGTTGTGTGTGGGGTGGAGTAAAATCGGTGCTTGTGGGGTTTAAGTTTTTTATTTGGCATCTTGTGAATTTTATTCACGATAAGCTATTATCCAAAATATACTTAAAAGTAGACAGCGGGAGGTCCCCTTATTATGCTAGAGAGAGAATAATAATATTTAATACTATACAATTAAATTTCATCTAAATAATGCCTACATAGCCAATCACTAGAGAGCTTGGTCAGGGTCCACACGTATATATATCACCTGAAGCAAACAGAACAATACTACAGCACGGCACATTGAAGTAGAAGTATGGAACCTGGTTGACTTTCTATATGCCTTGGCCAGTGATAAACACTCAACATATGAAGCTATTCCTCGTCCCATCGCGGCATCATGTATGATTCGCCGCGCCTAATTATCCCATATTGAAAAACGCCTACAGTGCAGCATCCCCCTTACACTCGCCATCAGCCCATTTGTTGAGAAACCAGACATCATATCTTCATCAGTTCACCTCGGGATTTTATCCCGTCACAAAGGTGAACATTTCATGCCATGCCATTCACAGGCCCGCCCGCAACAGAACCGTTCGCGACACCCTCTGGCTCAAAGTCCTCCTCATATTCGGTGTCCAGTTCATCCCTCTCATCATCCACAAATCCACTGTCAACCTTCAAATGCCTCAGCCGCCTCCTCATATCTTCCCGTTGCCCATTCTGCCACCTAATCAGCGCTGCAGGCGCGTGAACCTTGAATCCATAGATCCTAGGACTGTAGCGTTCGTAGCTCTTGGCGGGCATCAGCGCTGGGTACACCTGGAACAGGATGTTGTGGAAGCTGGTCCCGAAGTACGCGCCATCGATGGCGGCGTGACGCGAAGACTTTGGGTTATAGATATCTTCGCACTTGGAGCAGTAGAGCTTCACGGCTTTGATGTTGGGGTTGTCCGACTGGCCCATGGGAAGGAGGGGTTGTGATTTGCACATGACGCGTGGACATTTGCCAAAGTCGTTCTTCTTATACTTGTCCAGCTGATGAAGTGTCAGTCAATATATCCATATACATAGTTCCAGGAGGGGACCCCTACCATCTTTGCCAGTCCTCGGGTCGTTACAATGTATCTTGCGTGCACGAGACCGTATAAGTGCCTGGCAGACTTCTCAATCGTCTCCCTCATATCATCGTCGCAATCCAGATCGAAGACATCAGTGACCAGATCGAGCGCATACTGATAGTATTGCACTTCCGTACTAAGCCCCGTCAAGTTGAACCGATCCGTCAAGTACTCCTCGTCGATCTCGCAGAAATACTCATTACCCCGCGATGAGATGAACTGTAGAGAGAAGAAGTCAGCCATTGCATCTTGAATTTGACAATACAACTAAGATGTGAACCATATCGCTCCATATGTGTGGAAGCCAACCACACCGCGGTGGCTTTACACGGTCCGACGAGTGATCGGGCGACGATGGGACAAACTTCGGGGCGGCTGGTGGGAGTTCTTTTCTCTCGCGCCCAAAAAGCTTGCGTCTGAGCCTAAGACGATCTGGGGAAATAGTTTGCATTTCGTCGGGGCCGGTGGAGCAAGGCTATTCTTTGAAGTCTTCTATTTATGCCTGTAGCGTGCACGTTGGACGGGGCGCAAGTTCTTCAAAGCTGCGGAAAGACAGCCTTCCGTGGCCGATCGGCGCGAGACAATGATCGAATTGTGCGCCCCTCCCATCGCGCTTTCCCATCGCCCAAATAAGCAGCAGCGCGCCTGCCATCGCACTTGCTCAAGGCAGAGGTTATAAACAGAAGGAACGATCATGATAGACCTACCCAGTCTCTCCAGTAACTAGTGTAATCGCTATCGGTTTCGCTGTTGAAGTCGTCCATTTCGTGGGCCTGTTGGACAGGCAGTCGCGACTGAGTCTGCTGGCGCTTCCTGCGCTCCGCCGGGTGTTGCGAAAGAGCAGAGGTGTTGATACGGAAGGCTGCGTCGTTACGTGGATCCCGCTTTGGTTGAGGAAGCTGCGTCCTTGTGCGTTGGTGGGGGAAAGCGGGCGCCGCTTGTGATAATCTGATCTGATGTCAACACCCCTGTCGCGATTAAACCCAAAAGCGCGCTACAGCCGATTCCGACAATTTCTACTACAACAATACTCCACAAGTCACCTTTATTAAATGTTTTGCAACAAAAGCATCTCGATATTCTTTGATTTTTGGTAAGGTCATTATTTTTGTAAATATTCTTTAATCCCTCGGTCATAATATTCTGCCAATACATAGTCTATTCTATATACAAACAAAAACTATGGAAATGAGAAGTAGTCTGGCTTGCTCGGGTCTTGGCGTAATCCTCCATCACTACTATTATTCGACAGTTGTCCCGGACTTATAGTACCACTGCTAGATCGGTCCGAACCATCATATATCCCTAGGCCCGCCGGCAAACTGTGCCTGCCCCTGCCCGACCGCCGTGGCGGTTTCAGGGTGGTGCCTTGTAAAAGGGAGCCCACGCGCTCAACATCTGTCGTGGGGCTCCGCATATCAACCAGCTCCAGTGCCTCTCTCAAAGTCGCACCGCTTTCATCCAAGGCCGTTAGGAAGCGTGCCAGCTCTTTGCACAGATCCCAGTCACCTTCGTCTCTGGCTCTACCAAGTAATCGAACAAGCTGCTCGGAGCTTGAGGACAGCTCTTCAAAGGTATGTAAGACTAGCAGATATCCTCCTGCTGTCTTCAAAGAACCCTGCTGCAAAGACTCCTCGAAAAGGGTTGCGGGAGGCGGTAGGTATGCAAATAGTGTTCGCCAGGATCGCACTTCCGTCTTCCTCGTGCACTGCACAATAATATCTAGATATTGCGGGAATGAGGATAGGAATGAAACCACACCAGGTAGCAGCGCTTGATCAGGGCGGGGTGGGTTATCGACTTCATCGTCCAGCACATCGTGTAGTAAGACTTCCAAGGCGTGAGGAAAATATTCAAGATGTCGATACTGATGGGCGAGGTGAAGCGCCGCCGTCGAATCATATCGAGATAAGTGAAATTTGAGCACTGGAGGTATGAATAAATGTGTCTAGTAGACAGTTAGTACTTGCAACTAGGCCGTCACGGGATATATCATACCCTTATTGCGAAACGGAAGAAGGCGAAGTTGATGTCTCTACGTTGCACCAACTCGGGCTCAACGCCTATTAATATCCCCTTGTTTAGTGAGATAGACAAGGGGTAAAAATCCGTGGCAAAGTGAACCGTTGAGGGGAGTTCTCGGGCCAAATCAGAAGGCGCCGACCGCAACACATCTTGGACATCAGGCCATGCCTTGATTTCTTGTCCATCAAACATCCATAGAGAATCCTTCAGACCTTGAGGTTCGAAACCATTCATAGATGTACCCGTATGTGGAGACCCTGATGTTGCCACACCCTGAGACTTCTCGTCCGGCAAATCTCTCGTAAGGGCAAAATATTCGATATTATGAGCAATAACTCGCATATCATATTTCAATTGCCCCTCTTCGTTAAATGATGGCTGTAGAAGTACCAGCTTCCCATCCACTAGAAACACCACAGTAGCAGTTGCCACATCCTGAGCTGGGTCGCCTTCATTCATTTGTTTGTCAGGCAAGATCCAACTGAGTCCCCTGACCCGAGCTGGTGATCTGACAATTCCATGGAAAGCAATCTGGCCAACCTGGACAAGTTTGATCGTCCCATCAACAGGTGTAAAAATATAGTGGTAGAGTAAGTTGTCATATGTGTAGACAAGCAATGAATCCTCCCCGGAAGGAGACACGAGTACAATTGGCGCTGGTAGGCGGACTGCGTGTTTCACAGAAGAGCTTCCAAGAGGTGCGTCTCGAGGGTATAGTCTCACCTCGTAAGAATCACCAGCCTCAACGGCTGCAACGAGAATATGCTGATACCAGCACATACCCCCGCGAACCACAAAACTATTTTCCTCGTTCCCGTCATCAAATGTTTTCCATCGGCTACTGGATATGCTATAGTGTGCGAGACCTCGTCGACCAGCGACTGCCACATATCTCCCGTCAAGCGATATCACCGAGCACCGGATTGGCCATTGATCAGTGAGATAGTTCGTAGGAATCTGGGCATGGTGCCACAAAGATGACTCTGCAGATATCGTAGTAAGATCAGGTAAATCATAACCTCGGTACACCATTATCGAGTCCCTAGTCTGAAGCATTGTTCGTGATATGTTGGATGCAGTAAAGCATCCAGTAATCGAACTGCGTGACATTTCCAAGATCCAAAGTCTGTCGTCGTTCGGCCCAACGAGAAGTATCTCGGAACCGCCAGGGAGCCATGTCCCTTTGCTAACTCCATAGAGCCATCCCTCATCGCCGTTTTTGTTGGCCCCTCGGTTGGCAGCGAAGCTTGTGCTTTGAGGTTTACCGAACACGCTCCAGGATGCCCAGCCTTCTTCAAAGCCGGCGAAGAGGCAATATCCATCCGGAGAGTATGCCAAGAAAGTTATCTTCCCTGAAGTAGCACTTGATACTGAAGCCCTTTGAGTGTGAGATAGGGGTATGTTTCCAGCGTAATCTTTTGCAGCGTAGACATCAATGCTACAGTCCGCACGCGCAACAGCAATCAAAGAAAATCTGGCATTTATAGCCACCTTTGTGGCGTGAGTGGTTTCACTCTTTGGGTCATGGAAGCAATATCCCTTAAAGAGCTTGCTTGTGCTGGTAGACTTCTTTGGCGGATTGCTTGTGTCTTGTGGTTCTGCTTTCATGGCGTCCCTCGATTCGACAAGTCGTTGCACTGCAAAGGCCTTCCCGTCACTAGTTATCCATGCCGACAAATTCATCGGGCGATCATAAATCATGTCCAAAACGGTGACTTTTTTGGGCAGCCATGCCATCTTACTCAGAAGCTCGGTACTGGTTTGGTTACCAGTGCTATCCGGAGCCCATCTTATACACTGCACTGCAGGTGGCTTGGTGGTTGCAACAACCAGTTCTTCGTCGAGCGCCAGAGCTCTCTCAATGCCCGCATCAACCTTAATCACCATCCGAAATCGAACACTGACTTCACGCACTCCGCCACCCTCGCCGGGGCCCCATAGTATTCTATCGCTTTGGTTTCTAGCGCCAGTAAAGTTGCTTTGTCTTCTGGTGTTCACACTGGAATTTTCAGGGAAATGCGGCCTATAAGCGCGAGTATCTGGGTCGGTTGCCAATGAATAGGTGATAAGGTAGCCTAGGGTTGTTTGAACAACGAATATGGCTGAGTCGGGGCGTATGAGGAGAGAGACATTCGGTCCATAAGTTTCGAGGGAACCAGGCGAGCGTACAACAACCGCCAGTATTGCTGTTGGCTATTTATTATTAGCAAATGGACATTTCAACAAGTCAGGGAAGCAAGAAGTTGAATACCTTTGTTTGCCATATTGTCATTGAAGTTGCTGTAATAACTGCAAACAGGTGCCCTGTCCGAGACATTTGAAGTCCCAATATGGGCTGCCTCCCTGCTTCTCGAATCGAATCATTGTGTCCATATTCCAAATCGTCAAGAGACGTGGCTGGTGGCCGGCGATGGGCATCGAGTTCCACAGGTTGAATAGCGGGGGTGCGAGGAGTGGTTGGAGTCAAATGCCCAGAGAGCAACTCCTCGTCATCCTGGGCAGTGTCTGAAGCTGCGCTTGAGGCATTGAGATATGAGGTGCTCTGGGGAGCACTGTGAGGCCCTACATCATCATTGGAGTGATAGATGCGGCCTTTCGAGGTGGAGCTATTGGAAGCGGCGTATATCCGGGGAGCTCCAACGGGCCAGTACATGGCTCAGTGATGGCGCGCGAGGCCTCATTCGAATCAACGCATGCCTTGTAGGCAATATTGCTGCTTCGAGAGCACAAGACGAGAATTGAGGCCCTGAGTTGTCAATTCACAGCTTATAGCCATAAATCAAAAAGGTGATCGAACAGGAACAGGTATGGCGCCGAGATTGGCTAGCTCAAGCGTACTCGTATGCAACGACCTTGAGGTACCCCAGTGTCTCATGGTCCGTGCGTCGATATTGAAGATCTAAGATAGAGATACAGCAGGCCGATCGATCACTTGGACTCTATTTTATCTACATTTGTGCACGACTGTTTACTTGTTCAATTCCTTGAGCCTGTACCATATATATATATATTTGTTATTACGAAGGCACGCATATATCCCGAAGTCTCATTCCAGGCCTTTGTACGTAATCTCCTAACCCCAAAACGCGTGACATCAAAGGCTTACAAGGACTTATAGTATAAAGACAACAGCCCACTGAGGCAATCGTGCTGCTAGCTGCGGGAGGCTTCTTGCAGATTCTCTACGGCCCATATTCTGGCCTTTGCTTGAACCGACTCCCTGTGTTTCCTTTCAGAAAGAACGGGCAATGGCGCCCATGAGGCCAAGGCCCAGCATCTCCAAGGAGCGATTCCCGGCGGTTTTCAGCAATTTTAAAACCCAAACTTATCATGACCCATCTGCTCGTGGTGTTGGATCTCACGCGTAAGTTCTTCTATTTACCCTCAAATTTTATGTCTCCTGGTGAAGAAATACTATTCCCCCGTTTCATATATGGCATGATAGCCAACAAAGGGTGCCTGGGCCCTTGCTCAAAACTATGAGTTGCTGCCCCTTTGTCTTTCTCATTTATAGGCATATTATATCCCTGGGGAATAATGCCGATTGTACAGAGTTTCAAAATGTTTCTCCTATTTCCCGATGACCCCCCAACGACCGAGCAAGGCCAAGCGGTATGATCGTGTGTCTTTCATGACGACTACTTCTAAAACCAGGGTATTCCTGGTTAATCAAGGCAATAAGAAGCTAATTATTGCTACAGAATACGATGCTTAGACTGGAACCCTCTGGGGACACTCATTGCTTCCGGTTCAGCAGACCGCACCCTTAGAGTCTGGAACCCCGACAGGCCAAACGTGCGATATTCGACCGAGCTGAAAGGCCACGACGCCAGCATTGAGAAAGTAGCATTCAACCCAGTCAAAGATGCCGAGCTATGTAGTTTGAGCGCAGATGGAGTCTTAAAGCTGTGGGATGTGCGAACGAAAACCTGTATCAATGAGATCAAGGGCCTTGGATCGGCTGTTTCGCTGGTGTGGCATCCGGACGGCGAGGGAATCATTGTAGGGAACAAGGTATGCAAAAGTACTACCGATCGCATGCTCATATCTAATACTTTCTTTAGACAGATACCCTCTTCTTCATAGACCCGGCGCAGTTCAAAGTGGTGGCTGAGCATGCACAAGACGTGCAAACAAACGAGATCGCCTTCTGCTGGAGTGGAAAGCGGATATTTGTTTCGACAGGAGAGGGCCGTGTTAAAATACTGAGCTATCCTGACCTCCAACCCGTCTTTCAGTGCGGATGGGAAGATAAGCCTCTCACATTAAACGGCCACACATCGTCATGTCTGTCGTTGGCATTACAACCAACAGCTCGCTTTCTGGCGAGTGGCGGGTCAGATTCAATCATATCCCTCTGGGACACAAAAGACTGGCTTTGCCAGAGGACACTGATTGAAATGACTGGGCCAGTCCGGAACATCAGCTTTTCATGGGATGGGATGTATGTGGTTGGGGGCAGCGACGAAGGAAACGGCTTGGAAATAGCTCACGTGGATACTGGGGTATATGTTCACAGTGTGAAATCGCAGACGCCGAGCCCAGTGGTGGCGTGGCATCCGACGAAATATCAACTGGCATATGCGGATTTTGGAGGATTGAAGATCATTGGCATCGATTCGGATAGGAAGCATAACAACTAAAGCCAGCGATTTCGGGCATATGTTGATAGTGAGGCACGTTCATTTAAGGAGTAGGGGTTATGTATAAATATCCGTTGTTAACTACTACAACCATGAGTTTCTACTTCATTACTGCATGGCCATATGGTTATTAGAAACCAGTTGCTACAGTAAATAGCGATCCACACCATAGAGTAATGCCACATCGACACTCTACACCACTATCTAGCCCCATAACACAGTAGATCAGTCATTGCTCGCTAACCCCGCGAAACTGTAACTAGGAGAGAGAGTTCCTGAGGTCGATTGCCGCATTCAGTCCCAGGCGCTCGTCACATAACGTCGGAGGCCATCATAGAACATCGGAGGTCCTCATAAAGCATGAAGGCCGAAGGCCGAAATTATGTTATGTCCGGTTGAAGTGGGTGAGACGGCCGCATCGCGGCCGCCTCGGAGTTTGTGACGTCCACCGTTGTGGTCGACGTCACTTCGGAGTTTAGGGAGTTTATATAACCTTCATCAATTTCATGGCTTTTGGGCCTGCAGGTGAAACCACATTCCACTACTATTAATGAGGTTCTCTGAGAACGGTAAAATATGTATATAAAGGCCTAATCTCCACTCAAAGTATTATAAGTTTTTATCATCGTGAGTATTTATACCTTCCAAACTACTACAGCTACGAACATCCCACTCTTCAAATCGCCCTATCAACGTATCCCTTCCTCACCCGTAAGCGCCAAAACATAAGCAAAATGGTGAAGATTCAGGGAAAAGAGGTCGGAGAGACTGGATATGGGCTTATGGGTTAGTTCCTCGGTGGCAGCTCCATGCTCGTCCAATTCTAAACCACATTATAGGATTCACAATGCCTCAAAAGCTTATAGAGCATGAGCAAGCTTTCCAGGCCATGAAGGCTGCCCTCGAAGCAGGAGCGACTTTTTGGAATGGCGGCGACTTCTACGGCACGCCCGATTACAACTCCTTGCATCTCGTTGCCGCCTATTTCACAAAGTATCCTGAAGATGCCGACAAGGTCGTACTCTCTATAAAATCGGGGTTCAAGACCGGTTTTGAGATCGATGGTAGCCCAGAATACGTCCGCAATCGAGTTAATAACGCCAACAAGATCCTGGCAGGCACGAAGAAGATTGACATCTTCGAGTATGCTAGAGTACCAACTAATGTTGATTTCTTCAGTGTGACGCTCAAAGAGCTACAGAAGTGTGTGGAGGAGGGACTCATTGGAGGCATTGGCATCAGTGAAGTCACAGCGGCTACTATCAAAAAAAGTGCAGCAGTCACAAAGATTGACGCCGTGGAAGTGGAGTTGAGCTTATGGTCGACGGATATCTTGACAAATGGTGTCGTGGAAGCCTGCAGCGAGGCCAATATCCCTGTTATTGCGTGAGTCTCCTCGGTATCTCCGAACTCGAAGATATAGTACTGATATAAGTATAGATATTCGCCGCTTGGACGTGGGATGCTCACGGGCCAGATCAAGTCTGCAGATGATATTCCAGAGGGCGATTTCCGTAGGAGGTTCCCGCGTTTCCAACCGGAGAACTTTCACCACAACATCGAGCTAGTTCAGCGACTCGAGGAGGTGTCCAAGAGAAGTGGATGCACACCTGGACAACTTGCGATTGCATGGGTTAGGCAGGCAGGAAAGACAGTCAAGGGAAGCCCTCAGATCCTGCCCATTCCGGGAGCTACCAAGAAGGAGAGAGTGGACGAAAATTGTAAGACCGTCACGCTGGACAAGACTGCACTGGCGGACATTGAGAAGATATTGGCTGAGGTCACAATTGTTGGCGCAAGGTATCCGGCGCAGGTACCGATTGAAGGATAGGAAGCATCAGGACTGGCACTGGTTCCATTATGATCGTGGTAATATATTTCCATATGGTAGTATTTAGAGCATTGTAATTTAATATCGTGTTCACCGACATCAGCGCTAAGTAATAGAAGATCTTGGACAAAATCCGAAAAATATGAACACATAAGCAACTACATCGCAAGTTAGCATGCATGCCACGAGGTACTTCATGGCTAATGATAGAGTGCGAATTTGCATCAGAAATAGTGTAAAATGTGATAATCTGTCGCCTTGGGATCCCCGAAAGAATCGTACGAATTGCAGAACTCTTGGAAGAATATTCATCATGTGCAGGGAAAGAGAACGGAGAAGTAGTATCATACCTTTTGATATTAAAAGCCCCCAGGTCCCCATGTACGGCATTAATATCCGCTACTTACCATCTCCATAACATTCCAGCAACAAAGTGGAATCAGAGATTCGAAATGATGTTCATTTTTGAGGCTCGAGGAAAATCGACTTTTTGAAGGGGAGCATGGGCCGACCCACCGACGCTAATCCCCAACCGGTACCCCTGTATCGCGATGCATCCTCGCGATTTCTACTATCAGATGAGAGACTGAGCAACAAACGCAACGCCGACTTTACCAGCGACAACCCAACACTGCAAACCACCACTCAATCGCCTCAAACAACTCACCTAGCAGCAGCATCAAACCTTCAAAATGGGTTCACGGAGCCCCTCTCCGGCGAGCTCGCCACTCTCGAACGTAGACTCCGACGAAGCTGAATACTACCAACGACACATTGCAGCTTCACATCCCTCCAAACGACAGCGCCTTGACGGGGGCTCTTTAGGAGCCACATCAGCTTCACACGATCCTGAATTGGACACCCTATCTTCAATATCTTCCGACACCTCCGGCGACGTGCCACAGTCCCCAAGTTCACTGCCGAAGGTGGACGACGAGGATGCGCAGCAGGAACAGGTCACTGTGTGCGCGTGGGAAGGCTGCGATGGCGGGGATTTTGGTGATATGGATAAGCTTGTGACGCACATACATAATGTCCATACTGAGCATAAAGGGAAGAGGAACACGTGTGAGTGGGCGAACTGCCCAAGGAAGAGCCATGCGCATGCCAGTGCGTACGCGTTAAGGGCACACATGAGAAGTCACACGAGGGAGAAGCCCTTTTTCTGCGCGTTGCCTGGTAGGCTAACTCCAGCTCGATTTTTCTGGATCCTCAAACTGACAAGCAAATAGAATGCGACAGGTCATTCACTCGCTCTGACGCCCTTGCAAAACACATGCGCATAGTCCACGAAACCGAAGCGCTGCGCCCATCAGACCCAACCCCGAGATCCATACTCCCGAAGTCAATGCAGGCGCAGGGTTCAAAGAGCAGCAGCCGTCTCAAGATCATCATCAAGAACCAGGGCGCCCGAGGCAGCGACGGGGGTCAGTCCCCAGCCCCGAGACGGGGACACGATGGTCTCACGCCTTTGACTGTGGATGACGGGTTTACACTGGATGAGCTGGCATTGGGAACGAAGGAGCTGTGGAGGTTACTGAGACGACAAGCACACTGGGCAGATGAGGAGGCGGAGTCTCTGAAGCAAGAGATCCAGACGATGAACGAGATACGAGACAAGGAGTGGCTGGAGAAGGAGATCCTGTTGGACCAGGTCATCAATAATGAAATGGACTGGTTTGAGAGGCGGAAGCATGTACTTGCGACGCTTCCAACAGTTGAGGAACTGAGGTCACAGACAATGGCGAAGATGGAGAAGGCAGGCAGTGGTAGTAAGGGTGGGAAAGAAGAGAGAGAGGCAGACCAGAAGGTGGACCAGCGGGAGGCGGCGGCTGCCTTGGCCAGTCTGGCCCAACAGTAGAAGCAGCCTGCCTTTCGCCAAAAGGATCGTTTGGCTTCCTTCTGGGTGTAGCTGGAGTGTTGGGTTTGCACAAAGGAAACCCCTTTAGTGTGGTATGCACGGAGCGAATATCGGCGTTTTGAACGGATGTATGATTATGATTGGGATGGGAACTGGTTATGGCAGGTAGATTCGAAGGGACAATATCATATCAGATGAGCTGGCCTTGCTTGGGTTACGCTCCAACTTCGAGTTGTCATTAGCAAAGAGCAACATGGAAATCATATATTTCCCATATTCTACCATTGCACTGAGCTGTTATCTCACTTCCCCAGTTCCAGTGAGGGAAAGCCGGCCGATTTTAGAGATGCGAGAAAGCAGCCATCGCATATTGATAGTTTGACTGCAATTCGGTGTATTCTACGGGCCGGTAGTTGCTTTGGGTGGTTGGTGGATATATTACCCCCACGCCGTACCAGAAAAGATTGGGGGAAGCGGCGTTGGCTCTCCGCTGGAAGTAACGCTGCGGGGCACGGCGGGGGTCACAGTCGACTCACGGCTCCAAATGTGCCGATATCGCGATTTCATGGCGGGGGGGACAAACGATGCAAAGTAACATGGAAACTATTGAATATTGAGAATAATAAAGTAATGATTAGATACATTACAGCCTGAATTGGTGAAACAGAGCTGCTAAACGAGAGGCTTTGGGGATTGGGAAGGCTGTTGGGCGTTGTAATAATTATATCTCCATAGAGCGCGGGGTAACGGCACGCGAGTTGGGCACAACAAAGCACATTAGATATCCAACCAAGTAGTAAGAGTCCTGACGCTAAGAGTGCCAGTGGAGAAATTGATATTCTTACGTTCTTAGGGGTCGAATCTAGTAGCTATAAAGTATATTAGGTGGATTGGGCCTGTATTCTTCCAACTACTCCTCAGCCTCGTACTTCAGACCAGGGAGTGTACTTTATCCAGACAGCATTACTCAAATTAAACACCACTGCCTCCTTGCTACTTCCAAATTATACATAATACTTCATTTTTAAAGACTCTACCATGTCTAAGCCAAAGGTGCTCCTTCTGGGTCCGATTGAGCAGTATGTTTCCCATAGCGTTTCCCCTCACATCCATTGATAGCCACTGACCTCTCATTTCCCCAGTGCTCACATGGAGTGGTCCGACCTCGCCTCAATCGCCGATGTTATCGAGCCTACCTCTACCAACAGGGCAGACTTCATCAAGGAAGCCCAGGGCGGTGCATTTGACGGCGTCGTCGCTGCATACAGAACCTTCCTATCGGTCTCCGTAACTGGACTCATAGACGAGGAGCTCGTCAGCTCGCTGCCCAAGAGCTTGAAGTTCCTCTCCCACAATGGTACGCTATATTTCTTATGATCCTATATACTCAACACTTCATTGTCAACTGGACATGGCGGGGTATGGCAGCAACAAGCTACAGCGAGGGCAGACAGAGAGCAACTGGCTAACCAAGCACAGGAGCTGGATACGACCAGATCGATGTAAACGCCTGCACCAAGCACGACATCCGCGTCTCCAACACCCCCTCAGCCGTCGACGATGCCACCGCCGACGCAAACATGTTCCTGATCCTCGGCGCCCTGCGCAACTTCAACTCCAGCATGGTCGCCCTGCGCGCCGGCGACTGGAAGGGTAACCCCAACCCACCCCTCGGTCACGACCCCCAGGGCAAGGTCCTCGGTATCCTTGGTATGGGCGGCATCGGACGTAACCTCAAGATCAAGGCTGAGGTGTTTGGAATGAGCGTGCAATACTACAACCGCACGCAGTTGAGCGAGGAGCTGTCGGGGGGGGCGAAGTATGTTAGCTTCGATGAGCTGTTAGCGACGAGTGATGTGCTGAGCTTAAACTTGCCTCTAAACGTGAGTAACTCGTGCTTGTTTTAAGGGGCTGGGACTGACAGAGACAGAAAAACACACGCCACATCATCTCGACGCCGGAATTCGAGAAGATGAAGGATGGAGTCGTTATCGTTAACACGGCACGCGGTGCGGTTATTGATGAGGCAGCGCTGGTTGAGGCATTGAACTCTGGTAAGGTGGGGTCGGCAGGCTTGGATGTGTACGAGGAGGAGCCAAAGATCCACCCGGGGCTTGTGGCTTGCGAGCGTGCGATGCTGCTGCCGCATATGGGGACATGGACAGTGGAGACACAGACGAAGATGGAGGTGTGGGCGATTGAGAACGTGAAGATGGCTGTTCAGTCAGGAACACTGAAGAGCCCGGTGTGGGAGCAGAAGGGTATGTGAAGTTGCCGACAGGGCATATAGAGGCACAGGCGTTTGATCGAAGAGGAGATTGGACCTGACCACAAATAGAATACAAAGGGAGACGGGCCTACAAGTTATGAAGGGCCGTAAAGAATAAGGGTCATATATTCAGATATAGAGGGACAATATAACTTCATGTTAGCTGTCATTGTTGTCTGCCTTGGACAATGCATGTTGGTGTACCGCGGCACATTTTACATATAGCACAGACGAATATCATAGTCTAGGAAATTCCAATCAATAAATTGTTTCACTTCAGGCTCTTCGTAGAAGCCTAGCAAGTTAATTACTCCGCTATGAGTGGTATCCCAACGAGCGATTCCCTGCCTGCAAAGTTCACCGCCATTGCCATGCCCTTATAACTCCGTACACCCGTTAGATATCGTCACTAGAAGATCTGCCACTCGCGGTCCTAGATCAATGAGAGTTCCATCATCTCTCCCCCAGTGGGTCAGGAAACTCCTCTGCTGATAGTTAGATTGCCCCCAACGGTCCCAAGAGTTTCGAGGGAGAACGTACTCATACTCCATTCCTGGTGTACCAACACCGACTCGCACCTAGCCACGTCCTCTCGATACTTTGCGCTCTTCCAGCAGCTTCCCGGCGCCCCAAAGGGGTCCTTCCCTTTTCCATCCTTGTCGCCATTCTTCCCACCGCTTGGTCCTGCCGCAGCGTTCGAGGTATTCGCCGACTCTATGAATGATCGATTAGTCTGTCGGTCTGGTGTATCGGCTGGTGAGTCCAGCATCGCCGTATCATTATGGCGTCCGTCCGTTTGCAGGGGAGACGAAGTCGGGGGCGGGGAGTTGTGGTCTAGTGGGGTTAATCTGTGAACCAAACAGGAGGAAAATGATATACAGATTGTAGAAATCTGAGCGTAATAAACTCACCTGCCATTGTGTCACCCTTGAACGACGTGGCTACGTGTCTGGCTTGAATTCAATGGACCAAAGCCTGTTGTTATGTAAAGTACCTGAGCTTGTGCGAGCAACAACCTGGAGGGCTTCCAGAGCGCTGCACGGGGCTGGGCGGCCGCATCAGTGCCGGGGCCCGCTAACCCCCACATTTTGGCACGAACCCAACCCAACCGAGACATAAAGTTGCGAGTTTCATGGCTTAGTTTCTCCAACATTACAACTTACCACTTTCGTTGCTCTTTTTACTATATACAAGCACGTATATTTATATATAAATAGGCCAAGCTCTTGGAATGGCTAAAAATGGCTCATCAGTACCCGACGCCTGGGACGACGACTGGGAGTCTCAAGCGGATAAAGAAGAGGGAGGGGTTAAGCTGGAACAACCTGAGGAGGTGAAGCTGAGCAAGGCCGAGAGATTGGCTAAGCACGCCGAGGAGAACAAGAAGATGTGGCAGTCTGCGTAAGTTTTTCTCGAATTGCATTGCTTCCTGCTCTCGTCCGACCCTAACACCACGTGCAGAGAAACCCCAGAAACTTTCCACTTTCTCGCAGCCAAAGATACCGTCCCACTCAAGTCAGAATTCAAACCTACCCTCAAAGTCCTCAGTCGGAAACCCGCCTCGCAAGGTGCCGGAGACGGCGACGAAGACGAGCAACCAGGCAAGAAACAACTCTCCGTCGAAGAAATGCGCGCCAAGACGCAGAGGGAGCGCGAGGAGAAACAGAAGAAATACGAGGAGGTGCGCGCAAGGCTATTTGGAACAGATACAAAGTCCGGCAGTTCAAGCCCCGGGAACGTCACTCCCCCGAGCCAAGGAGACGATGGGAGGGGAGGTGGCAGAGGGAAAGGAAGAAATCGAGGCAATGGTGGAGGGGGAGGCGGAAGGGCTCAGCAGGATATTCGCCGTCCTGACAGCAGCCATAATGGCCCTAGAGAGCTCTTTGACCCGAACTACACGGCCAAACCTGGTGGAGTCTCTCTCGCACGCCGCGGCAACGAAGCCACCTCCGGACGCTCTACACCCAACTCTACCCGGGGCGATCGCGAGGACGCACAGATCTTACGCACACCAAGAGGTCCGGATGCAGGGCGAGGGGGTTTTGGTTTTGCTAACAGGGGAGGCAAATCTGGTTGATTGATTCGTCTCTGCGCTAGGTCTAAATCTATCTACCAGAGGGCTCCGGCGCCGGCTACCAGCCTCCACCGATCTTGCCTGCGAGCTGGACAACACGCTCCGTGTCGGTTGTCTTGTCCTTGCCGACGTCGCTGATGACGGCGCGGTAGGATGTATATGCCAGCTTATCAAGCGGTATATCTGTTACGTCCGCCCAGTGGGACAGGGTATTTTTGATGTGGGAGGGAGATATACCATAAATGGTATCGGACGGGCTATCCACCTCCATCTCTCCATTGCCGCCCGATTTCACAACCCCGTTCTCTGAACCAGAGAAATACGCCTCATCTACCGCGGCAAGCCATTCCTTCTGCTCCTGAGGCCCTGGCTTGGTCTCCCTACCCAGCCGCTCCGCTACAATTGGGTCGTCGACTTTAATCTGGCCTCCGCCGTTTGTGCAACCGCCGGGACAGGCCATCACCTCGACGTAGCTGAGCTCCACAGAGCTACCAGCTTTCCCCACGGGTTTCCTGGCTCCGCCAACTGGGCGTCCGCCTGGCATCCGAGATGGCCGCACTGGCTTCAACTTCCGTACTAAATTCTGGATATTACGGAAACCATAATATCTTGCGGTCTTGAATAATGTCTCGCCGCTGGAAGAGATGATGTTATAATCTATCACGTCGGCGTTCCGGCCTCTGACGGTTTGAATAGTGCTTCCTGGATGTTGAGATGCGAAGTATTGGAGGATATAATGGAGGTTGCCGCCCGATGTACCCGCCGCGCGATCTCCGTTGTTTTTGATAGATGAGCGTGGTGGGAAGAGGAAGTTGTGTAGTGCTTGATCTGGGAATGATTGCGAAGATGGAAGTTGCGAGCGAGGCAATGCCGCGAAATCAATGCCTCGTGATTCGGCGAGCATTATTAGTTCCTTACTTGTGATAACGCAATCAACATCCCTGACCCCTTTTGTCCCAGGCGATGTCTCCCCGTCCCAGTGAACGTCTGTGAGTTCCTCACGACTCGCTTCTAGCTTCTTGTCGAAGCATGGCATGACTGCTACATGCCATATCCGATCTGGCGAGATCTTCAGCTTCTTGCTAAGCGTCGTCTTGAGGAGCGTCCCCATGAGTGCCTGTGGCGACTTTAACCGTGATAAGTGCGGTAGAACATGAGGATGCGTCTTTTCCGCGTAACAGATCCAGCCTGGACACGAGCTCGTGAGGATAGGTTTGGTAGGTCCTTCTTTGCCACCTTGCATAGACGCCGCCACCTCCTCAGCTCCTAGAACCAAGCATGCTTCTCTCGCAACATTCGTATCCACCACCCACTGGAACCCGTTTTTTTGCTCGCCTCCTATGCGCAGTCCCTGAGGCCCGCTCAGGAGCTGCTCAATCATGTACCCTGCCTCGCGCTCTGATATGCCATAAGCAGCGGCTATACTGGCTCGGCTCTGCGGGGACACGCTTGCGATGTATATCCTCCCGTCCTGACTCCCTACCCCGCTTTGTATCCCACCATCCTGCCCGAGCTGCAGTGCTGGCGCCGTGTCCAGTGCATTCAACACTTCCGCATGGCTCTGCAAACTCACAAGCACGGCCTCAGCAGACGTCACACAGCCGGAGCACGCGAGGCAATCTGTGAGGCTGATCTCTGCCGGTGGCAAGTCGGAGGGGAGGGGCGCCTCATTCGAGAATTTGAGTTCGTAGGGATTTTCGTCTGCTGGCGCGGGTGGCAGTGTTTCAATCGGCTTTATGCAGGCGACACCTGGGGAGATGAAGTCGTTGAGGTCGTCCGCGGAGAGGATGGCGGACATCGTCCGGATGGAGGGGCACTTCGCGTGCAGTTGCTAAATCTTTGTATGGTTGTTCTCAAGTAGTCGAACTTCTAAAGCTGGAAAAGACTAGCTATAAATGGGAAAAGAGAATAATAAAATCATTAGGGTGGTTCAAAATCAAAAATAGTACTGATTTGTAGTCATAAATATACGATTAATAATACCGAATTATTGTAAATTGGGATAAGATAATTCGATAAGGTCCCGAGTCCGGAGAAGCGCGATTTGGGTGGCGATGGTGGGGTTCTGGCCAGGACAGGGATGGTGGGTTCTCGCTTTTGCTTTGGGTCCGAGATGACGCACGTACGCGGATAGCTACTATCGGCCTCAATGTTCAGCAGGGTAGCTGTTTTGAACTTTTGGATATATGGAAGCTTGCTGTGAATCTCATGGTTTATGACTTATAACTTGAATTGATACGTCGATATCCGTCAATATCTATTATTATTTTAAGCGTTGATCTTGTTACAATACCACTCGATTGCATTCGCGCAAACCTCCCACGTTTTGAATCATGAATGCAAGTTTCCCACAGCTTTGTTTTTGACGCGCTTTCTAACTTCTTCAGTCATTTAACTTGTTCTGCTATGCCACAGCAGGCTGGCTAGCTCTGCAGGCGACGCCATTGATTATATCTCCTCGCATCATAGTTGCGCTTCTCTCCAACGACATCCACCAGCCAAACTCTCTCGAGACCTACTTTGCCCGGTTCCTTGGTCTCACCCTCATACCCTTCGCCATCCTGTTTCTGTTCCTAAGCGGCGCTTTCCCCCTTGATGGTTCTAGCTCACTTTGTATGTTTCCCTATGATAGCATCTTTTTCTGTCTTGGATTTCTCTAACAATGCCACAGCTGAACCCGAAGACGCCCAAACGACGCCATACACTACTCCCACTCTCCTCCTGGCAGGTCTATACCATACTTCGATAAGCTTCTACACATATTCACGCTACGTTCAACGATCTACGTCGCAGTTCTCGTATCTGCTAGCTGCCACGGTATCCGGACTCTTGGCTGCTCTCGGGCTGTGGTCCACAATGTTTGGAAATGGTAGCCATATTAGCAAGAGAACTGGGGCAGACAAGAGGACAAGCGGATGGCCATTCAAGAACACTGTGGAGACAAAGAGGAGGAAGGGAAAGGGGAGGCAGGAGGAGGGGATCGAGCTCAAGGAGTTGTAATAGATCATATATGAGAGCTGGATGTTTAGTATGAGAACATACAATCAATAGTGAGCAATGAAACCACAGTAGTTAGTTGGCACCGAGATTTTTTGAGCGATAACTAGCAATTTATTTGAAGAATCCTGTACAGGATAAGCCATCGAAAGCCTCGTGGCTATCTCGTGGGGTTTGGTTAGGCCTAGCTGGGCGAAGATGGTGTAGCACCGTCAGTGAGACATGTCTTAGAGTGGCTGGCGGTTGCTTCCGCTAATAGAGACACACTACTTGTGTAGGGCCACACGATCAAATCCATCGTAGCTGCTTCAAATACGAGCAGCGAAAGTCATATGTGGCATTCATATTCGTGTAATATTACATACTTTTTGGATCACTCTCCTATGATTTCATTTCCATGAGTCCGTACTCCACTATGCAGCGCAGCTTAACGCCCTTGAAAACCGAGCCAAAACATCAGAATCCCGCCATCGGGTGAATATAGACAAAACCCTTCAGACCACACGTTTAACCTGTTCAATTGAGTTAGCCACTTGTCCAAGAACAATGCGATATGTTCACCTACCTCGAAGAATCTCTTCAACCACCAGACCTGGAAGACACCGTTTGCAACCAGAACAATCATTTGGAAGGTGCTCCACCACTTAACGCGGCCGTTGGTGCTCTCAGCAGTGTTGCGATGGATGCGCTCGCGGAGGACAATGTAGGACTGTTCGTCTTTAACTTGCGCGAGAAGATCGGATAGCGCGCGAACTTTGAGAACTAGTTAGCAACAATTTTTGTAGACATCAGGCGATATTGTTACCTTCAATCTCTAGAGGGTCACTGGTCCCTTCCGCCTCGGGCACGTAGACAATTCCGTGGACGTTGAATGAGACCTCCTTGCTGTTCGCCGACCAGTTGTCATTGCTGAAGCAGTATACGAATTTTCCATCGTGCTTTGCAACAAATGAGTGGTCGCCTGTTGACACACTGCGTTCATTTGCCTCGAGTCCGCCGGCAGGGTTGGTGATCTGGTATACTTGTCAACAAGGGCCCTTCCAATGGACAACACGTCATGAGCTTCTCACCCAGAAATCAATGTCCAAATTCCCAGCCTGCTTAAATTCCCTGTCGCCGACCTGGAAGGTAACAGTCATTTTGTCATCTCTGCGGAGCTGTTCGTGGAAGCATTCGCGTCCATGCCCCGCGAGCTGGATGTTGTGAGCTGTCGCGGCGGTAAAAAGGGTACCTATTGCCAGCAGGCAGGCTGAGGTGAAGCGCATGATGTCGGTATGGCAATTGAGCAATCGTGGCCCGTTTGTTTATATGCCGTAAACCTGCTACCTGATCCTCGTTGATATGGGCGGTTCCTGATCTTGGTTACCTCCTAAAATGATGACAGCAGACCTAGGGGCACCTTTAGACTCTGGATGCGCTAAAAGTGGCTTAGCGCGGCTACAGACCGCGAGAAATCCCACGAAGACGACCTGTCCACTCTCGCCTCACCTTATCATCTACTGAGTAGATAGTCCATCATCCAACTCTCCACCACTTCAACGACCTCGTCCTCATTAACTCACTGCGTTGTAAGTAGGAATCTTATCAACCTCACCGAGTCTCCAACAGTCAAGTCCGCCAATGTCCCCTTAGTGGCGAAACCATCAACATCGCATACGGTGCCTGGTTTACGTACTCGGCCACGGCTTGGCCCCATTTCCCATCGTGGACGGGGCCATAGGGGATATTGGGCGTCATGATGTTGCACATTCCAACCATGGCCTACTCTATCACTGTTACTCTATTGTTGCCGCAAGAACTCTCGCTGATTCGAATAACGGTGAACAGACATTTACGCACGAGCGCCTCGCCATAACATAGCCCACTCGCACATACCGCAAATATGGGTCTTACATTCTCGAAGCTGTTCGACAAGTTGTGGGGAAAGAAAGAGATGAGAATTTTGATGGTTGGTTTGGACGCTGCCGGAAAGACCACCATTCTCTACAAGCTCAAGCTTGGTGAGATCGTCACCACTATCCCAACAATCGGTATGGCACACCCAACAATCATTCCAGCTGCTTAATCAGTCATCGCAATCGGGACTGACGCGTTTTAATTCAGGATTCAACGTCGAGACCGTCGAGTACAAGAACATCCAGTTCACCGTGTGGGATGTCGGAGGACAGGACAAGATCAGGCCTTTGTGGAGGCATTACTTCCAAAACACCCAGGGTATTATCTTCGTTGTCGACTCCAACGATCGCGACCGTGTTGTTGAGGCCAGGGAGGAGTTGCAGCGCATGTTGAACGAGGATGAGCTTAGGGATGCTCTCCTCCTGGTCTTCGCCAACAAGCAGGATCTGCCAGTGAGTTACCATCAAAGACAGACTTGTTGAATACGTGTTAACCTGCTTCTAGAACGCCATGAACGCCGCCGAAATCACCGATAAGCTTGGTCTGCACAGCTTGAGACAGCGTGGCTGGGTAAGAATCGCCCCCTGTCTAGGCAACCGCTTTTGGCATGTGAAGATAACAAAGACTAACTTTTGGACACAGTACATTCAATCCACTTGCGCTACCTCCGGTGATGGACTTTACGAGGGTCTTGAGTGGCTCAGCAGCGCTCTCCGCAAGACTGGCCAGAACTAAGATTTGTAACACATATCATCTCTCCTCCTCAATCGTTCATCACAGCTCAGCCAATCATCCATCTACGACAAACGCTTTTACACATCCCTATTCTGGTCTTTTGTCACTTCAGCGGTTTTGAATCCTATGAGAGGCGCAAGGGTGGATTTTGTTCGATGGCGAAGTTCTGTGGCTCTTTGCTTTTCTGCATGGCTCTGGCTTCGCCTTCGTGGAGCCCCTTTCTCTTTGCGTGCCTTTTGGGTCTCCTCTCTCAGTCTGCTTGTTGTTGTCTTTATGGTATAAAAGCAGTCGGTAGATGAGGGATGAGACGTGGTTGGTAGTTTACTCGATAATGGATTTTACTTTAGAAACAGGATCGTCATGTGTCATTTAATCATATTCTTAAGACTCTGATCAGCAATGTGCTTGTAGTATTGTTTTCCATATGTACTCGTATCTATGTTGTACACTCTAACTGCAGAGGGGTAATATTGCGTATTCAAACACCTCCACATGCATCTTTTATATCTTTACACCTCTCCCCCTCCCCCTCTCTTACACCTCCTCACTCCCCCCCCCTCTTCTTCCCACTCTCCCACTCCCTCAGCGCCTCCTCCCACCCCTTCCCCCTCCCCTCCCCACACCTCTCCTCCACAACCTCCCAAGTCCTCGCCCTCACAATCCTCTCCACCCCACTCTCCATCCTCACCACCCTCGCCAACTCCTCCGTCCTACTCTCCCTCGGAAAAAACCTCGACGAATAAGGATCAAGCCTATCATTAATGACCCTCGCCTTCCCCCTCTCCTCCTCCAGCTGCCTCGCCACCAGCCCCGGATCATCCGGGTCCGGAGACACAGCTACGTGTCCGCAGTACTGGAGCACGTCGGAGCGCGCTTGCCATGCTGGGAATAGGATCGAGGACTTGAAGGAGGTGCATGCGTTGGGGTCGAGCGTGCGGGCGCCGGAGGGCGTGCGGTGCGAGGTGGAGGTTACGTCGAAGCCGCGGGAGGCGGGGGTGGCGAGGGCGTTAAGGTTTTGGGTTATGGAGTCGTCGATTGAGGAGCGGGAGATGCGGATGAAGTCTAAGAGGTGTTAGAGGAGGGGTTGGGAACTGGGTGGGCTTGGGGAGAGGCGTACCTCGCAGGGCGGCGGTGGAGAAGCAGAATTGAGGAGTTAATGCTGGGTGGGGGGGTTGGGAAACCATCTCTTCCGTTGCCATGGTGGGCGAGGAGGGAGGCAGCTTTGACCAGATGAGGTTCGCCACGGTGGATGGTGTTGGGTTGGTGATTTCGTGGGTTTGTGGATTGGCGGTTAGGTGGTCTGGAAGGTCTGGTTTGGGCGGTGATGTTGGTACTGTAGTAATGTACTTTTTACCTTGGCTTTATCTAAGCGCGGTTTGGCTGATAAGAGACCTCGATGACGAAGTGGGCTATTCCTTGGATGGGGAATCTGTCGAGCTTCAAGGCTGGGGATGCTTCTATGCTTCTGTAAGATGCGTATAACATGTCGAAGAACACGAATGTGGAGGTCCTCATTGTGAGTTCTTTCTAAGGATGTTCTTCGTGTGGCAATCGTTTCTCCCTTACGTACAAATCGCTCTCAAACCGTATGACAAGTGAATGTCTCGGACGAGATAGTAACGCTCTAGGAGGCCTATCCTGTGTATAGTCGGCCATTTGCAATTTTCAGATCATATTTCTTTGATATCTTAAATCGATATGAAAATTTCGTTGCTTTGTTCTAAAATGTTCAAACCCCCACCACATCCGCCTACCTAATTTGGTGCGACGAGCGGATCTCGAGAATTTCATAATGTCAACCCCCCCACGGGTCTACCCCCACGGCGGCGCTTGCATATTTGCTTTTTTCGCGTCTCTTATTTTGACGTCAGGTCTGCTGCTGATACTTAAAGGCTGGAGGAATCGCTGCTTTCACTATCGATCTGCTAGTGTATCCATTGGATACTTTGAAGACGCGATTCCAGAGCAGAGACTACAAAAGGCTCTACTATGACCCAGCCAAAAATGCGGTTAATAAGGCGGTTCTCTTCAGGGGGTTGTACCAGGGCGTGGGGAGTGTGATCCTCGTTACTCTACCCTCATGTGAGTCTATTTCTATAATTATTGTTCTGTACTGACTGTTGGCAGCGGGAATCTTCTTCACAACATATGAAGCCGTCAAGAGCGGCTGTATGGAAATCAACCCAACACGGAGCGGGTCGCAACATCCATTAGTCCCGCTACCGGTTGTCCACGCTGCAGCCTCATCTATAGCTGAGCTTGCATCATGTTTGGTTCTTACACCAGCTGAAGTCATTAAGCAAAATGCACAGATGGTACGGCGGCCGGCTGGCAGCCACCATTCCAGCTTCAAGCAATCGCCAACCTACCAAGTCCTCCAGCATTTTAAGAAGCCAACTCAGTTGCTCAGGGGTTACACCTCCCTCGCGGCCCGGAACCTCCCATTCACCGCAATGCAGTTCCCCATGTACGAGCACTTAAAACGGACTATCAATTCCAGCAGGCAGAAGAAGGGCAAGGCAACAGGGTCAATCTCGGAATTAGCAGCCGTCACAGCGGTCAGCGCAAGTGCGGCTGGCTCAGTCGCATCGTTTATCACAACGCCACTAGACGTCGTGAAGACCCGGGTCATGCTATCAGCAATGGATAAGCGCAGCGATAACAGCAGCAGTCCAAAGCCAAGCGGCTCAGTATCTCCTGGAAAGGGAAGCGCTCCTGCACGAGCAAGCCGTGGCGTGAATATTGACGTGGCACGACAAGTGCTTTCCGAAAGCGGTGTCAAGGGCCTCTTCCGCGGAGCGAGCCTGCGATCCGCCTGGTCTGCGTTGGCAAGTGGGCTGTATCTAGGGGTCTACGAGAGTATGAGGATGTGGCTCGGGGAGCGGCGGGTAGGGACGGCTGGGACGGGTGCATGAGGATGTGATAGGGAGAGAATTCTTAGAGGAGGAGGGGAGTGTGGGGTGTGGAGTGTGGAGGGGAGATGTGGATGATGAGACGTTGTATCGCGCATCCTGGTTCGAAACGGTGTAAGCAAAGGATTTGTGAAAAAATGCTAGCATCCCCACATCTCTCTAGCCACGTGGAGAGTATATAGATGTATATACTTGAATGGGGAAGGCTGTAGAGAACCTAGAGAATACCACACGCCAATTTGAGATTTTCCACGCATGTTGGACCGCGTCTCGTACAGGCAGCCGAATGTGATATGGGTAATATCCCCTACGTCGATCAAGGGGGGGAGGGTGTGGAAGGAAGTCCAACACTCCGATAACTCTCGTAGCGGTCATTAGACAGGATCAGCAGGAGGGAGCGAGCGTTTGATGTGAGCGGTGAGAATCAGCCGGGATAATCTAATGACGGTGGTGTGGACTGTGCGTTGCAGACAAGATGCATAATATACCACAGGTTGATAATGGAAATGGCAGGATGTTTGGATGGGGACGAACGGACTAACCAACACACATTAGCACCCGGATGTACTAGAGGGGTAATTCGTATGCGCTTCGGGGAATTTTGGCAGCACACTCACACCTACAAACACCCCAGTGCAGGGCTAGGATGGACTAAATGGCACCTTGGAGGCTATCAATCTCGAATTTATGATGACGATTGCTTGCCCCGTCTTAAACTATTATTGATGCTTTACATGGGGACATTACATTAGTTCAGAATGTGGTAATATACAAGTAATCAGATATGCGGGACGCCGTTTCGTGAGACATGGGGACATTGGCGAATTTGTTTTCTGTTTGGGCAGAAAAAAACCCGTGGGTGTGGATGTGTGGTTACGGGTAAACCAATCCGTCGCCTATGGCCGCGTTATCATCGCTCGCGCTCGGCGCTCGCTCGCTCGGTCGTTCCCTCGTCTCTAGATACGCCATTGTTGTATATCTGAGAAGGTACAAGTCAAGCCCCGTCTCAACGCATACGCATTTCTCTCCCAATTGTTAGCTTCAAACGTGCCAGGCTCTGATGTATGAATGGCTATCGGATAATCCCTTCTTTTAGAGATCTCAGAGTACTATATTCTACAAAGAAAAACGGAGATTATTCTTTTAGCTTCTAACAAAGAAGCTCGGCCAGTAAAATATTGTCGAGTCATGACGAACCAAGCAAAACCAAAAATCCACCACCCTAGATTAAACGTTTTTCTATCCGCCTTCAGGACCGGTAGGGTCCCACAGTGTGTGCCTGGCAACCCGAGGCCGTCTTGCACCATCCGGCTTTAAGATGTCGAGCTATATTGTCTCGGTTGCCACTACTTACTAACAGTAATTGTGGTATTTATTAGACCAGCCCGCCTTGCACATTTTCTTTTTTGCCTTCTGGTTTATATAGTAAAGTCAAAATCCAGGTAGTTTTTTGAGTCCATTCATTCTCTCTTTTTGCCTCCCCGTTTCGTTCTCTTCACTTATCACATCGACCCCGCGGTCAATTGGGCAAAGAACATCCTTTCAGTGTCTCCGGCTTCCTCACACCAACTATCGCCCCTCGTTCTAAGACAACAAAGCCGCCTCCTCGTCACGTGGATTGGTCCTTCACTATCACATTTGCATCCTCGCCGTAACAATGGCGATCGACATTGGTCCCGTCCTCGTGGAGAAGCCCGTGTTGCCGTCCATTCCCATCAAGGCCGCAGCACCAGTTGCTCTTCCGGTGGCGCCAGTGCTTGGGCCAAAGCTTGGGGACGAAACCCATCTGGTCATCTCGCCATATACCGACCACGCCCATCTGCTGGATCTCAGCACAGTCGGCATCCAAGAACAGCTTTTGGCGTACGCATTGATCAAATTTAAGTCCCTGAGGGAAGACTATGCCACTGCTCCATATACCGAAACCTTCAACTGGGCCGAAGTTATCGAGGACCTCCGTGAGCGTGCCAAAGCGATTGGGCATTCGTGGACCGAGCAGGCTTTCTATATCGTTGCCTTCAGGTCCCAAGTTCCGCCAACAACCGACTATTCAAACCTCGGTGCTCTTGACAAGGCGGCCCACGTTGAAGCGGTCCAGAGTGGCGGTTTCTTGAAGTAAGTGATAACCCCATGAAAAATTCCGGTTTCAATTTCTAACATTTCTCCAGGTACTGGTTTGGATCTCCCGATGTAACTGGGAGAAACCTCGCAACTTGCGTTTGGAGAACGAAGGAGGACGCCGTTCTTGGCGGAGTTGGACCGGCTCACCGCCGCGCCGCGGGTGCTGCAAGACACAGCTACACCGAGTGGCACATTGAGCGCCTCTCGCTTGTCATCAAGGACAACATTGACAGCTGGGCTATTGAAGAATGGGTAGCACCTAAATGAAGGCTGCAAGCTACACCAACGATTTGACGCTGGGAAGGAAAAGTTAATGACGGGGAAGAAAATTATGATGAGACGACAAAACACGAGATAGAATTGTACCCGTTGCGATACCTATTTGGTTTCTTCTTTGCTTTCAACTTGGGTCGGTTTGGGAGGTTTTGTGCTTTTTGCTTTCAAGCGAGCTCATCATATCATAGCGGGCGTTACAATAGACTTTCATCGTACAAGGCTCTGCCAATAGGCGCCGTTACTGGCCTGAACTGATAATATTTTGAAAATATATTGAACTGAAAACGTGCATACCTAATCAATCACCTCGGAAGATATTTCAGGGTCGTGAGAACCTGACTTGCCTACAGTTGGGAGACGTGAGAGAGCGGAAATCTGTGGCGATGGCGCTAAATATACTAGCGTGATTTTGACGCCAAGACTTTGCGTTTGCGATCCCACAAACGAGAAACGACGTCCAAAAAGTGTCCCGCCCCGACGAGTATTCAATCTGCGACGACCACCTCACCTTGACAACCCTCTTGCCGATCGCCATCGCAAGCTTCATCAACTCGTCGTACACCAGGGAAACCTTACATATTCAATATGGCGGACGCTATTACGAAGGAGATTCCGCTCAACGCGGTGCAGGTGGAGGCTTTGGTATGGCGATAGGGCTTTGGTGGCCAGTTCACGACTGACAGGAAACAGGTTGTCATGAAGATCGTCAAGCACTGCACAGCTGCGTTCCCCACGACCGCAACCGGCTCCATCGTCGGCATGGACAAGAACAGCACCCTCGAGGTCACCAACAGCTTCCCCTTCCCCACCACAGATATCGTCCAGTCCGACTCGTCGCACCAGAGCCAGAACGACCACCTAAATGCGTCGAACGCGGCAGCAGCGGCACCGCGCGCAAAGGCCAACGTGGTTTACCAGAACGAGATGATCAAGTACCTGCGTGAGGTCAACGTGGACGCCAACAACGTTGGATGGTACACGAGCGCGAATATGGGCAGCTTCATTAACTTGAACCTGATCGAGAACCAGTACTTCTACCAGAAGGAGGTTAACGAGCGCACTGTCTGCTTGGTACACGATGTGTCGAGGAGCGCACAGGGAGCACTGAGCCTGCGTGCGTTCAGACTCTCGCCTACGTTTATGGCGGCCTACAAGGAAGGTGTTGCCAAGTTCACAACTGAGAGGTTAGTCGCATGCATATCATAGCTGGAAGTCTTTTCGAAATACTGACCATTTTATTTTAGCCTCCAGAAGTCCAAGATGACCTACAAGGATATCCTTGTTGAGCTTCCCCTTATCGTCCACAACTCCCACCTTTTGACGTCTTTCCTACATCAACTACCGGCAGTCCCATCCGCCGAGCTTGAGTTCCCCACCAGCTTGGCAGACATTAAGGGTCTCAACCCAGAGATCCCATTATATCCAGCATACGAGACCACTCTTGATATGTCGATTGACCCATTCTTGGAGAAGTCGTGCGACCTGCTTTTGGACGCTGTTGAGAGCCACTACACCGAGCTGAACAACTTCCAGTAAGTCATAAATTCGCGCCATCGCACTACCTTACTAACTACCTGTTCAGATACTACCAAAGACAACTTGCTCGTGAGCAGACCAAGGTCACCGCTTGGCAAACAAAGAGGAAGGCCGAGAACGCTGGACGAGTTGCAGCTGGCCAGGCGCCACTCCCGGAAGACGACTGGAAGACCCTTTTCAAGCTGCCAACCGAGCCATCTCGTCTCGAGTCTATGCTCTTAGCTCGCCAGGTCGAGCAGTACGGACGCACCGTCGACAACTTCACCGCCACCATCAGCGCAAAGATGTTCCTTTCTAAAGATACCCTGCTTCCTGGAGAGTCATCCTAAGCTAACTTAGGGGGGTTTTGTTGTGATGATAGGGGGGCATGGATGGGGAACGGGGAACGCGAGATAATGATCTGCTCGTTTGGGGGATTTGCATGGCAATGGCGTTCGACGGCATAGAACGAGCTGTATATAGTATTTGCCCTATTACAGCCATAAAAGAAAATTCAAAACTATATTAAGCAGCTGCCTTTTCGGGGACCTGGGAAGTGAAGTACGGAATAGCAAGTGGAATATCCAGGAGCTTGCTGCTACCTTCCTCGTCCACGCTAGTAACACACATGTTTTGTTGTTTTCGCCAAGGATGACATCCGAATACGCTACGTGGGGAGCAAGGGGTTTCTCAGATCGCTCTACGGGGAGTTCTCGCGCCCTTCCCAGAAACCCGATGCGGGCTGGGAGCCAATCATATAGTCAAGACAGGCCACACAAGGTTCCAGGACAATATGCCCCGCAGCAAAACTGTTACAGTGTACTCTTAACGTGGTGAAGCAAATGGAAGTCGCAGCTTCGGTGCAACCCGTCTTCGGAGTTTGTAAGGCAGGGTTGGTTACGTTGGGAAAGGAGTACCAGGGCGTTTTTCAGCGCCAGAAAATTTGTAGAGAGATCTCAGACCACAAGTTCCCCGATCGATGTTGTCCTACATATTTTATATAGTGTACAACTAGAAATATCAAATAAATATTCTCATTATTCAGTCCAATCTTTGCTGTAAAATAAATTAATTGCTTCAATCGTATGTTTTCTGGGCGCTTCTGCACGTTGCGGTAGAGTTTTTTGTCTGGACGACGGAGACTTACCCCTCCTTCGTCCTCTCACCGCCACGGGCACAATTCGTTCAGGGGCCAACCACCACAAAGCCCGCCAAACCCGAAAGGTTGGTGGGGTTATCTTTAGCGAATATACGATCCTTCAACTTGTCCCACTCCCCTCCCCCGCCTTCACCTTCTCAATCATCTTACTCTCCCAAACACCTCATTTTCCTCCCATCCAAAATACCCCCCAAAACACTTCACATCGCAATCATGAGCGGAGCACCAGCATCCAAGTTCAAGGTCGCTGACCTGTCCCTCGCGGCTTTCGGCCGCAAGGAGATCGAGCTTGCTGAGGTATTTACACCCTCACCTGAAACGGATAAAATAATCATCGAACTTGAAGCTGACCAGAGTGAATAGAATGAAATGCCCGGTCTCATGGCCACCCGTGCCAAGTACGCTGAGGATCAGCCACTTAAGGGTAATTGAATTCACTGCTTCATAATACATATCCAGTTCTAACTTGTCCTCAAGGTGCCCGCATTGCTGGATGTCTCCACATGACCATCCAGACTGCTGTCCTCATCGAGACCCTCACCTTCCTCGGTGCTGAGGTTACCTGGTCTTCCTGCAACATCTTCTCCACCCAGGACCACGCCGCTGCTGCCATTGCCGCCGCTGGTGTCCCAGTCTTCGCCTGGAAGGGTGAGACCGAGGAGGAGTACCAGTGGTGCCTTGAGCAACAATTGGTTGCCTTCAAGGACAATAAGGGCCTCAACCTGATTCTCGATGACGGTGGAGAGTAAGTTTAACCATTCCTGCTTTTACATTGGAATCCGAGTCTAATCGCAACTAGCTTGACCTCGCTGGTCCACAAGAAGTACCCTGAGATGCTCAAGGGCTGCTACGGTGTCTCTGAGGAGACCACCACCGGTGTTCACCACCTTTACAAGATGCTCAAGAACGGCGAGCTGTTGGTCCCATCCATCAACGTCAACGACTCCGTTACCAAGTCCAAGTTCGACAACCTTTACGGTTGCCGTGAGTCCCTCGTCGATGGTATCAAGCGTGCCACCGATGTCATGATTGCCGGAAAGGTCGCCGTTGTCGCCGGTTTCGGTGATGTCGGAAAGGGTTGCGCCATGGCTCTCCACTCCATGGGTGCCCGTGTCCTCGTCACTGAGGTTGACCCCATCAACGCCCTCCAGGCTGCTGTCTCTGGTTTCCAGGTCACCACCATGGAGAAGGCTGCCCCCCAGGGACAAATCTTCGTCACCACCACCGGCTGCCGTGACATCCTCGTTGGCGAGCACTTCGAGGCCATGCCCAATGATGCCATCGTCTGCAACATTGGTCACTTCGATATCGAGATTGACGTCGCGTGGTTGAAGGCCAACGCTGAGTCCGTCCAGAACATCAAGCCCCAAGTCGACCGCTTCCTCATGAAGAACGGCCGCCACGTCATCCTCCTCGCTGAGGGCCGCCTCGTCAACCTTGGCTGTGCCACCGGCCACTCCTCGTTCGTCATGTCGTGCTCGTTCACCAACCAGGTCCTTGCCCAGATCCTGCTGTTCAAGTCCGAGGATGCCGCTTTCGGCAAGAAGTACATTGAGTTCGGCAAGACCCAGAAGCTCGATGTCGGTGTCTACGTTCTCCCCAAGATCCTGGACGAGCAGGTCGCCCAGCTCCACTTGGCACACGTCAACGCCGAGCTGTCCACCCTCTCCCCTGTCCAGGCTGAGTACCTCGGCCTCGCCGTCGAGGGCCCATACAAGCCAGACATGTACCGTTACTAGAGAGTTTTCCTTTTGGAGTCTTAATCAGGGGCTGGAGCATTTTTCAACACGAGTTATGATAGCATGAATCTGGGGAACTAGGGAGCATTTGTCCTTCAACGGCATCTTCACAACAAAGGGTTTTCCGGAAAAGTTATATTTCAACAAAGGATAAGGGAATGGGATGGGGGGTGTTTCGTTTTGTAGCGTACGGCGTTTGCTTGGCTGGCTCTTCAACCACGGTCAAGTAGAATGTAGAGATGAACTTGACAGAGTAATTCCATAACTAGAATATTAAATATTTGGTTATCTGATAAATGGCTTCATGAATAGACTGATATGGTGCATGCCAGCCGGAATAATGAACCCAGAGCAAATTGAACACGCCACAACACGTACGATAATTATAGCTTTCTGTATATGCCAGTGTTGCTAACCTGATGACTGTTCAGCGCAGATGGCTAGTACAGCCGACCTCGAAGGCAGGATCAGAGACTCTGGGGTTGAGACTGGCTGCAAGATAGAGTCTATAAAGTCCCTTATTGAAGGTAATTTCAAGGTCTTAAAGGGGTCCAAAGGTCTCACAGGGGATCGATTGCCTCAAATGATACCGAGGAGCGGTTCCAGGTCGCCAAAGTAACTATTCACAGCAACTTTAAATAAAACCAAAGCTTCAAGGCTATCCAAGGTTATGATTACGATATTATAGACTTCAGTGAGCTAATTTTTATAAACCAAGCCTAAAAGAGATGTTTTCGGGTAGTATGAGCAGTTGTGAGGTATGAGAACAGCGGGATGACGAGGCTGCGATGGCGATTTATGACCCTTCAGCCTTGTCTTGGCAATTTCGGACGTCATGACGTTTCCTGAAAGCTCTAGAAATTTCTACGAAGCTTCAATCAACATTGCATATAATTGCAATAGTTAAGTCTTAAATCTCATTATGCCTCTTATGTTCCAAAATCTATAAACACCTGCATATTGCAGTAATGCTATCCTCAAGGATGAACGCGCCGGCAAGGCGCATTTGCGCCTCTGCCAGGCTGTCAACAGTTACATCACGAAGCTCTGCTATAGCTCCTCGATCATATATATTACCAAGTACACGCGCGAATCTTCGAATCATACCGAAACTATCCCCCGTGGTATCCCTTCGACGCTACGCCAATGGACCCCGCAAGCCACACCCTCCGGGAGGAACACACCGCATGGACATGAGTGGCGGGGAGGAAAAATCCGCACTGGAAGAATACGGCGTCGACCTTACCCAAAAAGCCAAAGACGGCAAGCTCGACCCCGTCATCGGTAGAGACTCCGAGATCCAGCGCACCATCCAAGTCCTATCGCGCAGAACGAAGAACAACCCCGTCCTGATCGGCAAAGCTGGCACGGGCAAGACGGCGATACTGGAGGGCCTGGCTCAGAGGATTGTGAGGGGCGATGTGCCGGAGTCGATGAGGGAGAAGAGGGTTGTCTCGCTGGATTTGGGACAGTTGATTGCGGGGGCGAAGTTTAGAGGGGATTTTGAGGAGAGGTTGAAGAAGGTGCTGAAGGAGGTGGAGGAGGCGGAGGGGAAGGTTATACTGTTTGTGGATGAGTTGCATATACTGCTTGGGCTGGGGAAGGCGGAGGGGAGTATCGATGCGTCTAATATGCTTAAGCCGGCATTGTCTCGTGGCGAGCTTCAATGTTGCGGTGCGACAACGATCAACGAGTACAGACTTATCGAGAAGGATGTCGCGCTCGCGCGGAGATTTCAACCCATAATGGTGAACGAGCCAAATATTCAAGATACGGTTAGTATCCTGCGCGGCATTAAAGAGCGTTACGAGATCCATCATGGAGTACGCATATTGGACGGCGCGCTAGTTGCAGCTGCTTCGCTGGCCAATCGTTATATCACGGAAAGGTTTCTCCCAGATTCGGCTATTGACCTCATGGATGAAGCGGCCAGTGCGCTTCGGTTGCAGCAGGAGAGCAAGCCTGAGGATATTTTACGCTTGGATCAACGTATCATGACGATCCAGATTGAGCTTGAAAGTCTTCGAAAGGAAAGGGATGTTGCTAGCAGAGAGAGGAGAGAAAAGCTGGAAGCGGATTTAAAGGCGGCACAGGAAGAAGTGGGCGCGCTGAATGAGAAATGGGAGAAGGAACGTGGAGGCCTAGAAGCTATCAAAAAGCTGAAAGCCGAGCTTGAGGAAGCGAGGACGGAGCTTGAGCAAGCACAGCGCCTCAACAACTACGGCCGTGCAGGAGAGCTTCGCTATTCTATTATCCCGAAGTTAGAGGAGCAGTTGCCAGCAGATGGTGAGACTGGATTGGATGCAGGTTCGGAAGGCAACCTCATCCATGATGCAGTCTCGGCGGATGACATCGCTGCGGTCGTATCGCGTACCACTGGCATCCCGGTTTCTAAGTTGACCTCTGGTCATGCTGAGAAGCTTGTTCATATGGAAGACTCGTTACGGCAGTTTGTTAGAGGTCAGGACGAAGCACTAGTCTCTGTCGCCAATGCCGTCCGGATGCAACGAGCCGGATTGAACGGCGAGAATCGTCCACTCGCCTCATTCTTCTTCCTGGGCCCTACCGGTGTTGGGAAGACGGAGCTCGCAAAGAAGATAGCGTCTTTCTTATTCTCCACCGAGCAAGCTGTTGTCCGCTTCGATATGAGCGAATTTCAAGAAAAGCACACCATCTCCAGACTCATCGGGTCTCCTGCTGGATATGTAGGCTACGATGATGCTGGGCAATTGACGGAAGCAGTTCGGAGGAAACCATATGCGGTTCTCCTCTTCGATGAGTTTGAAAAGGCTCACCGCGACATTTCAGCACTCCTCCTACAGGTGCTAGACGAAGGCTTTTTAACCGATTCGCAAGGCCACAAGGTGGATTTCCGCAATACCCTCATCATCCTCACCTCCAACCTCGGCGCTGACATCCTGGTCGGAGCGAACCTGGATCATCCCTACAAGGAGGACGACGAGGGACTAATCGATCCTGAAGTCCGCACGGCTGTTATGAACGTGGTCGCCCAGAACTACCCGCCCGAGTTCCTGAACCGTATCGACGAGTTCATCATCTTTAAGAGGTTGTCACATGAGGCATTGCGCGAGATTGTGGATATTCGCCTCAAGGAGCTTCAGGGGAGATTGGACGAGCGGAGAATCACTCTTGAGGTCGATGACGAGGCCAAGGCTTGGCTTGCGGACCGCGGATACGATCCTCGCTTTGGAGCAAGGCCGCTGAACAGATTGATATCAAAGGAGGTGGGCAACAGGCTTGCGGATCTTATTATTCGGGGACAGCTGAGGAAGAACCAGGTTGCCAATGTTAAGGTGAAGGGAGATGGTCTGGAAATCGCATCTATCACAGGTGGGGATGAAGAGTAGGGGATGGAATGGATTGGAAATTCGGGAAGTCAAAATTGAAATGGAGTTATCAGGGAAGGATGGGATATATTTGAGTGTGTATATTATAATATTTTTGTTACGTATATAAGACTGTATTCATAGTGGTCGTTTTATCACGCAATAGGGCTCATGGGCTTCAGTTGGTTCAAGGATGCCTCTCCTCTTCAAAATTATGTCTATCGCCACCTGTGCTCTGCTAGAGTGGCACTTTTCATATTTTTTTGGCAAAGAAACTCAATAGCATTCAGCTAACTTCTACCACCGAGAAATTTGCCTTCTCAGTTTTGAATAGTGGTAGATGGCAAATTATCCGTCGGGCTGCGATTCAGGTACCACTGAGGAACCACACGTGCGGCAACGCGGCTCTGCGCTAAATAGGCGACCAATTAAATCTCTCACCCCTCCCACAATATTTGCGAAAAGAACATCCGCACTCCTCGAGCCCAAATAGAGATCGCGACATTACAACTTCTTCTTTTACGATCGCTCAATAACCTCGTCTCTATCCTCAATTACCAAATTTTCACCATGGGTTTCACCGATCTTGTCTCCGAGGCTGGTCTCACTGGTAAGTCTTGGCTTCTGTCATTTTCCCTCAAATTCCCTCTCGACGGCTCGATTTGAACCCCTCTATTTGGCCAAGAAATGGAAAATTTGGAGATCAACAACGCTGACTTCTTCCAGTCCTCAACAGCTACCTGACCACCCGCTCTTACATCGTTGGGTAAGCATACAATCTCTTCAGATTTCACCTATACCTCTCTGCCATGCCACTCCGTTGCTGTCCATGACAGTAGCGGTGACTCAACCTTCCCCTCATTATGAAGAACGATATTGGTCCGTGTTACTGAGGGGCCTCAAGAACCCCATTATGGCGACAAAACCAAGCACTTGTGCAACTCTGATTTGAAACATTGGCTTCCATTTCATGCTCTATACGCATTTGTGGTCTTATCAGCAATTCTAACAAGACTATAGCTACAACGCCTCCCAAGCCGATGTTGCCACCTTCAAGGCTCTCTCCTCCGCCCCAGACGCAGCCAAGTACCCCAACGCTGCCAGATGGTACAAGCACATCGCTTCCTACACCGATGAGTTCGAGACCCTCTCCGGTGACTCCACCAAGCCATACACCGCCTACGGCCCTGAGGTCGCCGAGGTTACCCTGAACCCAGCCAAGGCACCTGCCGCCGAGGAGGAGGAGGATGAGGATGTCGACCTTTTCGGCTCCGATGACGAGGAGGAGGATGCCGAGGCCGTCAGGATCCGTGAGGAGAGACTAGAGGAGTACAGAAAGAAAAAGGAGGGTAAGGTCAAGCCTGCCGCCAAGTCCGTCGTCACCCTTGATGTTAAGCCTTGGGACGATGAGACCGATATGGTCGCTCTTGAGGCCTCTGTCCGCAGCATCACTAAGGATGGTCTCGTCTGGGGTGGATCCAAGCTCGTCGCTGTTGGTTTCGGTATCAAGAAGCTCCAGATTAACTTGGTCGTTGAGGATGAGAAGGTTGGTCTTGATGACCTCCAGGAGGAGCTTGCCGAGACTTTCGATGAGTACATCCAGTCTTCCGATGTCGTAAGTTACACCACATATCCCTCAAAATACAGCATCAAATCACTAACACATTTACTAGGTTGCTATGCAAAAGTTGTAGATGGTATGGAGTCTTTTAGATCTAGTCTATTTGCCCATATCCAGCGCCGTGACGACGTAATGTCACATTTTCGAGCTGGAGTTGAAGGTTAATTTACTGTCAGAAGAGTACAAACGAAGCTTTATGACATGATGATATCATAACTAGCGATAGAACCCGAAAATTCCATGCGCTGAAAATGTCTGGGAATAATTTAAAGAGCTGTAAATATTGTGATATACGTGTTCGTGAATTTTGTATAAACAGTATGGGGAACACCTGATGTGACCCTAGCTTAGTTTGCGGGAGCTGTAGCGCCAAGCATCCATGCCCAGAAAGTGAACGTCAACCACAAGCTATCAGAGTGCTGTGCTGACGAATAGCCTCGACAACACCCAACAAAACAAACAATGCCCTGGATCTCGAAAGCAACGACGGGCCTCGGCCTGCTGTTCCTCGCACACGCGTACGCTCCCCCACAATCCATCCCCTTGAGCTCCATTCCTGACCCAACACCCATCTAGTTGCTACTCAGCCCAAGAGCACTCCGCATTACAGTCCACCACCAACGCACTCCACGATGTGCCCTCCTCCGCCAGCCTCCCCACAGACATCGTCCTCGAAACCATCATCTCCTTATTCACCACCATCCTGGGCCTGGTGCTAGGCACAGCTGAGCTGCGTCCGATACGCTGGCGCGTGTGGGCCGGCAAGATTGAGCGCGAGGGCGAGAAGGGGTTCCTGGGCGCGGATGGACTGGTCGCGAAGGACTATGTTGGGAATCCGTATAAGGCGCTGGAGAGCAGACCGGGGTTTGTGGATATTAGGAAGCAGAAGAAGGAGTTTGCGGAGTGGGTGAGGGAGGGGGGGAGTGCGGAGGTGCGCTGAAGGGGGGGCGAGGGTGTATAATATGGGTTATGGATGGGGAAGATGGAGATGAATAAAAAATTCAAGTATGTCATACATTCATGGAGCGTCGAAGAATAGATTGGTTCCCTTTTCTCATTGGAATCTTGTGATAAATCGTAGGTGTAAGTTGCGCCTATATTATTTATTCAGGTCATTCCAAAATCAATTCTTATGGGTGCTGTGGTTTCTTCTACTCTTTATATTATCCGCCGAGTAGCACTGTGTGAGAGAGTCGACTCTCCAGGCCGAGGCAGAGGAGTGATGCTCGCCAATTCCCAACCTCAGTCACCAACGACCGTTTGTCCACACTGCTGTCTCTTGAGTCCAAAAGAAATATTGAACTTTCAATAACCACGGAATGCACAAATAAGTAGCAATGTCCTCCAAGCGTCAGAAAACCAGCTCACAGTCGAGCTCGACTGCCTGGTTTTCAGGCCATGGGTCCAAGTTCGCCCCCAGAGGCAACACCCATACCTCAGAAACCGCTTCATCTCCTGGGTTTCAAACCCCAATAGGTCGAAGGACCATTGCTAGGAGCCAATCCGCAAATGCTCGATTTTCCAGGCAAGGCTCCGTGCTGCGAACTTCCCTTTCCCCCTCGTCACCCACTTTGCCACAAAAACGGACCTCCTTCGGATTGCCGCGGTCTCATGCAAACAGCGGCGGCTCCTCATCCCTCTCACGCATCAGTAATCATATTGCTGAAATCGAGAGCGAGGCAGAAGTCCAGGATCGCGAGGATTCCGATGCGTTGAACGAGATCATAATGGCAATCGACATGAGAGATCGGGGTACGCTGGGGTGCGCATATTACATTGCAAGAGAGGAAAAGTTGTTCCTTATGGAGGATATAAAACTGTCTGGCCTGGATATTGTTGATACTCTGAAGCTACATGCTTCGCCAACTGTTGTTCTCATCAGTACCAAGTCGGACGACGCACTTGAAGACCATCTCATGAAAGAGGCCAAGGATGCAAGCCGCGGTGATACTCCTGGTATGCTCACCCCGGCCTAACTTAACTTGAAAACAAAGTGGTGGTTGTTATACTAACTACTATCAGATGCACTTTTTGGTGCATATGTTCTCGATTCAAGACCGTCAGCTGAGTTTCAGTATGAACCTGCGAAGAGCAAACTGGTGAACTACGACCTCAGCGGTAGCAATGATCCACGCATGCAGTTCTCCACACCCGGTGATGAGCTTATGGGAAACATGGGATATATGCAAGACCCTGAAGAATATGAAGCTGCAGGTCATCAAGGACGACTTCTCAGACTTGCCGGGTGCATTGATCTTGAGAGCCGTGTTTCGGTGCGTTTAGCAGTGACATGGTTTATCAGGAAACAAATATCTAACGTTATTACAGATTGGGTGTGCGGGTGCAGTCCTGAGCTATCTTGCCAGACGCAGAACGACTGAATATTTGCCATGGGATCAAGAAGCCCTCGTAGCATTTAATGTCAACACGATCGAGATGTTTAGCCTGGCAGACTTGATGTTTATCAATACCGACACGCTTAACTCGCTACAGATTCTCCAGTCTGAATTTCACCCAAACACACATATGCAGGGGCCTACCAAATCCAACTCAGGGGTCAAAGAAAGCTTATCTGTGTATGGTCTCTTCCGCCAACTGGCTCACACCCCCCAAGGCAAACACAAGCTCCGACAAGCTTTCCTCAGACCAAGCTTAGATTTGGATTTGATACAGGAACGCCACAATACTATTGCTATCCTTCTCAGACCTGGCAATGCGGAGGCTTTAAATGTCATTATCCAGAGCCTCAAACGAATCAAGAATATTCGTACCGTGCTGATTCATCTCACGAAAGGGGTCAGTGCACCAGCCAGCAAAGGCGGAGCAATAAAGCAGGGCATATGGGGAAGCCTGCAGCAATTCACCTTCCATTCGTTGAAGGTTGTAGATGCAATTCGAAGCATTGAAGATGGGGATAAGCTGGCGATTGTAGGCAAGGTCAATACCCCATTATATTTCCAAGTTCCGTCCCATATTCTTACTGTCCCCTTAGGTTCTGAAAGAATTGCAGCCAGCCGAGCTACATGTGGTTGGTGAGCTCATTACCCAAACTGTGGACTTTACAGAATCCGATATACATCATCGCACCATCGTTATGCAAGGCGTGGATCCAGACCTTGACAGCCTAAAGAGGACATACGATGGTCTCGAAGACTTCTTGAGTCAAGTGGCAGCAAAATTGGCGGCTGAGTTGCCTGAATGGGCTACTAAGTATGTCCAAAACTGCATATTCTTTCCCCAACTGGGATTTCTCACTGTGGTTACTCTCGATCCTGAGACTGGAAAGGGTAACTACGAAGGCCAGGGGCTGGATGACGACGTCTGGAATCTATCATTCTGCACTGAGGATATGGGATACTACAAGAACCGCCAAATGAAAGAGCTAGACAATCATTTTGGTGACATGTATGGCATGATTTGTGGTACGTGACAACTGGAATATTAACATTGGTGTGCTGGCTAACGCAAGACACAGACAGGGAGATTGAGATTATTCATGAACTTGCAGTAGGAGTACTTAAACATGAGAAGGTTCTCAAAGACACATCGGACATCATAGGAGATCTCGACTGTCTCGTTGCCCTCGCACAAGGAGCCCGAAAGCACAACCTTCTGCCCCCACAGATGACAAACGACAATGTAATAGATATTACTGGTGGCCGGCATCTTTTGCAAGAGCTGACAGTACCCTCGTATGTTGCCAATGATGTTTTTATCCAGGGAGGCAGTGGCAAAGAAGATGACGAGGAAGTGATAACTGCAAATGATGACCAGCCAAAGGGCCCGAGCCTCTTATTGATGACCGGGCCAAACTACTCCGGCAAAAGCGTATATCTCAAGCAAATCGCGCTCATCGTTTATATGGCGCATATTGGAAGCTTCGTCCCAGCAGACAGCGCCACCATTGGCTTGACTGACAAAATATTAACCCGAATTGCCACGCGCGAAAGCATTTCCCGCGCCCAGAGCGCTTTTATGATCGACCTGCAGCAGATTGCACTGGCTACCACATTGGCCACATACCGCAGTCTCATTGTTATCGACGAGTTTGGGAAAGGAACGAACTCTTCCGACGGAGCGGGCCTAGCCTGTGGTGTCTTCGAATACTTCCTCAGTCTAGGGGCTAACCGACCCAAAGTCATCGGTGCCACACACTTCCACGAGATATTCGCAAGTGGTGCACTACAGGATCGCCCAGAGCTGGAGTTTGGACACATGGAAGTGCGTGTCGACGCAGATAGCGAGAGCGTTGAGGACCAGGTCACGTATTTGTACAACTACAAATCCGGCAAGAGCATGTCAAGCTTTGGGACTTGCTGCGCTGCGATGAATGGGGTCGATCCTGCGATTGTTGAGAGGGCGGAAGAACTTATTATTCTCTCGAGCAAGGGGGAAGATCTGGTAGCTGCGTGTGCAAAGATTTCACAGGAAGAGGCGGCGAGTTTGGAGGAGGCGGAGCAGATGGCGAGGAGATTTTTGGCGCAAGATATGCATTATCAGAACGGGAAAGGGGGCATGATGGCTTCTGGTGTTAAGGAAGTGCTTCATGGCATATTGGCGAGAGCTTGAATTCAAGTTCCGTATTATTGATAATCTGCACATCTCTTTGCTATATCGCTAACACACGAACTATTTTTCAACCTGCTCGGGCTAGCTAGCTGTCACAATTAAGAAGTTTTATGACGCATTTGCTTTCTCAAACGCTGTACCTTATTCACCAAATGCAATGGTAATTAGCATTAATTGGAACAGTTGGCAAATATTAATCCCAGATTCAAGATGACAAGCACATAAGACAGAGTGTTTTGATTCAGGGGCTGTTATTTGAAGCCGCACGCGAACAATCAAGAAAGAGTTTCCTCGATTAGAATTTATACCTAACTCACACACAACGCTCGCTACTTGATAATTTCGAGATCATCATCGTCGTCATCATTATCATCGAACAGAACCTTCGCCGCATCCCCCCCAAAGCTCTCCCTCCCAGCTTCCCTGATCCCCTTCGCAGTCACAAAACGCGTCTTCTTCTTCACAGGCTGCAATCTCTCTCCATCCTTCATCCGTCCCAGCTCTTTCGTAAGATGCCCTCCCCACCCCATTGCTGGGGCACTAGAACTTGTAGAATCAGTCCCTGTCCTCTTCCGCTTCACCGGGCCCAGACTCATGTCGCTAGCCTTCCCGCCTAGAAGCCCAAGCTGCTTCGCGTCAGGGCGAGCCTCTGGCTGCCACAAATCAGCTTCGCTCTCCTGCCGTTGCGATTGCTGGGAGCCGGATCCAACACGCATATATTCTGCGCCTAACCCGCCGCCCAAATCTGCCAATTGTTTTTGCAGATCCCGCTCCTTCTCTTTCTCTGCCAATCTTTGCCTCATCCTCTGTGCTTTTTGCATCTTTTCGCCTGCTTCTCCTTCAAAGCGAACATCTCCCCTATGTACATACATTGTTGACTGGGTACCTCTATCATATGCAACACCTTGGTTTTGGTTTTTCTTCAGAAGTTCTGATCGGCGTTCTGCGTGATTATATATCTCGTTATTACGGCGACCACCCCTTTTACCAGCTTTGGAGTCGAAGTCCATGGTGCTCACCTCCATTCGGGAGGCTTTAGTCCTTTTGAGAGTTTCATTAACGTGATATTCGCAATACTCGGTGCGACGTTTGTCAACCCAGGTGCTGCATGCATTGCCGTCTTTCTTGATTGACTTGCAGTATCCCAAGTCTCTTGCTGTGCCAATTTCTAAGATTGTGTCGTCACTCGAGTTGATGACTAGACTAAATCGCCCTGTGTCTGTCTTCACGGGTTTCATGATGGTCGGGTTGAGTATAGCAACCACTGTGCCTGTGGTGAGTTTCCAGTATTTTTGGAAGCCTGTATCAAAAAGGAACAGATCCACCTCCCACTTCAGATCGCAGAGACACTGGATCATGAATTTCTGGCCTTTAGTAGCTCCATTTTTCTGAGGTTTTGGATCGGATTTAGAAGCAAGGATGGCGAGAACGACGATGTCTTCCTCTATCTCAGGTAATCGAAAATCCGGCGCCTTAACATCTCGGAGGAGATCAGGAAGCGTGAATATTTTCTTGCCCGCTAATGTCCGAGAGAGGACGTTATGGGGAATGATCCGTTTTGACAAGTGGAGGGAGGAGAATGACTCAAATTCGACTAGATCGGTTTGTGAGCCCCCAGGTATCGATTGAATTGATGAGGCGGAAGATTTAGGCCCAAGTTGAGAAGAAGGTTGCGAGTCTGTAGAGTGTGCAAGTGTCGAAGCAGTCGATCCACTGACATTCCTTGACGTCGAATTCAGGTAGCTTGTGCTTTTACTTTTGTGTAATGTGCCACCACCAGGGCCCTGCAACCCGCTCAATACCTGGTCTCTGCTGAACTCTGGCACTTGTGGTCGCACTTCCGGCAATGGAACTGCGGCAGACTTAAAGTCCTCCATTTGCCTCGCATCGATATCAAAGGCCCTGCTCCGGAGCCTCTTGAGCCTTGCATCTGTTTCTTTCTGGGTGGTTTCTTGGTCTCTAACTTTGGCCATACGCTCACTGAAAGACGTGGCAGGCCTGCTCTGAGATTGAGACGTTGAGGGCACTGGAGCAAACGGATCTTGGTTAGCCATAGGTGACTTGGATCTCTGTAAATAGCCACCAGCACGCTTTACATTCTCCATCAGCGCATCCGTCGGTTTGCGGAGACTGGGTGGTGGCCTCTTCAAGGATACATCGCAGCCTCGGAGCCCTTTGTCAATCCCCAGGAGAACCCTACTAGGCGACCTTGTAGGCTCCGGTGCTTGGAGTTTTCGGACCGGCGACACGGGCACATGAATGCTAGCCTGCGACCTAGCCCTCTCTTGCCTCTCTTCGCGAAGTCCAGATATATTCGATCGTCCGTGGACTGCTGCTGAGGAATTCGCTCGTAAATTCGGCACCGTCCCAGACCTCGGTATAGCCAACGCGATGGCATCCCCACCCCCGGCCTTTGCTTTCTGCAGCTTCTTAAGCTTTAGTCGCGCTTGTATCTCTTGCAATTTCAGTTGCAACGTCTCCTCGTCCTCGTCTTCGTCGTCATCATCGTTTAAGTCGGCCGACGCCGTCGCAAGGGCTGCTGCGCCATATTGTCGGTTTCGTGAAGGAGTTTGTCTATCTCGTTTCGAGGGGGATGGCGAAGGTGATGTTCGTTCCGCAAGCCGACGAAGGCGTTCTCGCCCACCTGGGGTGCTTTTGAGCGCATCCATTGGAGACCTCGGCGGCCAATGTGGGATATCCGCCGTTGCTGGTAGGTATTAGTACATGTAAATAATTCCAGCTGCTGCGATGGGAACAGAGAGCCATACATTGAGACATATCGCCGAGTCCTTCCCTCCATCAATGTTATATCGGATCACTGAGGGGTCGCACCATGCTATTGGGGTGTTGTTGTTGTTACGCAGGGATCGGGGTATAATAAAAATCAATTAAGGACATCCAAGTGATGCTGAAAGTTGTATAAAACTCCGCGCCAAAAAATACACTCAAAATATAAAATACGGATGTAGCTTGGACAACTCCGGACCTCTGCGAAAGTAAATATTATATCCCGCCAGCGGTTCGTCAACGGCGGGTTTCAACTTTAATTTGCTGTTGTCCTTCGTTCCTTCTTGGGTAAATTGAATTGTAAGGGGGTCGCGAAAGTTGCGCGGGCTTGGACGCGTTGGAGTCGCGTCTCTTATCGTTATCGCAATTCAGGAACGAACAACTGCTGTTCGAGACTTCGGCATCAACAGAACATACAGAACACATTGTTCAGCGACAGAGGCAATGGCGCCCAGTACGACCAGATCAAAAGCAAAGGCGAAGGGGCCAGCACCCAAGACTGGGGCCGGCGCAACATCCGCAACCACACAGAAGAAGCCAGTACAACCCGATTCTAAGAACCCGCCCAAACTCTTCGTCCTTCCCAAGGACGTCAGCTCCGAAGCTCGAATTGCTACATTAGCCCATCCTAGAACTTCCGATCCCACACGATACTTCATCTGCCCGGAAAAGGGTTTCTTTGAGTTCACAAAAATCGCCGCCCCGAAGTCCCAACCTCGAAGTTGGCTGCTCGCCCCTAACGAGGAGGAATGCGCAGCGGAAGATTCTCAAACTACTAGTAATGGAAAAAAGGAGGCCACCGTGAAAGATGAAGGAAACGAATATACACCTTCAGAAGGCTATATCACCTCCTCGGCCGACCTCTTCCTCGCCACGCCCATAGACCCGCTGTTCCTCCTCCTCCCTGCTCTCGCCGGCAAGTCTTCCAAGCCCAAAGAAGAACCTAAGCGCCTCTTCCTCGAAGCAGACGACTATCTCGACATCCTCTCCTCCGCGTCACCCCACCTCAAGTCACTTCTTAGCCAAGACTCTTTGCGCAGCAAGTTCACGGATCGCCTAGATGCCGTTTGCGACACAGTTGATGCCGGCGAGACCATGTACCGCCTCTCTGAGCCTAAGCTCATCGCCATTTTAGCTGAGAAATGTACGACAGTAGTCGAAAAGGGGCTCCCGGCAAGCATGGAGGACTTGCTAGTTAGCAAAGCCCTGGCCGTCCCTCTCCTCTCCGTAACGCGCGGAGAGGATTGCCCTGACGAGGAACCTGAAGTTGCCGACGCAGAGAGTAGCGCTACTCCCAAGACCGAGAGCGCCGAGTCGCAAACACCAAGCTCAGCTACAGATAGCTCTGCAACCCCAGTTTCGGAAGCATCCACCGCCCTAACGACGCCTTCACCAGATGCCAAACCACCAATCGTTGCCCCTGAAGGCGTGCCGCACCTCCTTCGCCTCCGCACCGCCTTCCAGTACCTCTGCTCTTCCTACATACCGGCCTCACTCAGCGCTTCTTTGGCTACCAAACTCAACACCCCCTTCCCCGACCAAGCAGCGTCTTTCCCCGATTTCACCCCCCTAGACACCCACCTTGCGCACCTCGCAAAGCTACGCGCCGACGCCATAGCATCGCGGTCTATGAACGACTTCTCAAGGAAGAGAGGCTTTGAGGACGAGGAAGCGGGTGAGACTAGGGCGGAGAAGAAGCGGAAGAAGGAGGAGGAAGAGAAGCTGGCGAAGAAGAATGAGAGTAGGGGTGTGAGAGATTTGAAGAAGGTGAATGTGAGCGGGATGAAGAAGATGAGTGATTTCTTCAAGAAGAAGACGTGAGGGGCGTGGATACCCTTGGGTCATGAGTGCTGTGTATGAGTATTTGAAATATGGGCGCTTATGTGGAGTTTGCGTGGGGGCTTTTCAGGCGTTTGGGCGGTTGCATGAACATTATTAGCATTGTTGAACGTTCCTGGTGTGGAATACAGATAAATGTCAGAATCAGCATTATAGTTTCCCGATTTAGAACGAGATATATAGTGAACCACGTCCTAGACCCAATAACAAGTATTTATAATTTGCTACTGGAGAATGCTACCTCTCTTATACCCAAAATATATAGATTCTCATGCACACAAACAAACCAAACTCCTATTACTACAGTTCGATGTTGACACACTCGTATATATAACATGCCTGTGCCTGGCATTAAATAGTCCCGACCCCAAGCCCACGATGCTTCTACCCGAGGGTACACCCCAGTTCAGTCATCTACTACTCTTCTTTACTCTCCACAGCCTTCTCACTCTGCTCCGGCTCCTTTATTTTCCCATCTTCCTCTCCTTCTTCAGGTTTGCTAACACTCTCACTTTCCGACGGCTTAACAGGCAACGAAGAAGTCGCCTCGTCTGCGCCTTGGTCTTTGACAGCCTCCTCCTCACCCGTCGTATCAGCAACAGAGGTTTCGTCAACCTCGGTATCCTCTTTCGGAGAGTCACTGGCTCCAAACACCTTCTTGACTTCCTTAGACGCACTAGCCGCGGTCTCTGCCACAACCTCCTTTGCGGTTAGCAGGGGGGCCCCAATGGCTGTGGTGATAGGAGAAGTCTCCGTCTTCTTGTCCTGTTCCTCAGGCTCAGCGGCTTCAACCTTCTTGTCTTCGGTCGTAACGATTGTATCCTCGGCCTTCTTGGCCTCCTGCTCGGGCTCAGCAGCTACGACCTCCTTGTCCTCTGTCGAAACCGCCGCAGCCGCAGCCTCAGCCTCAGCCTCAGCTTTCTTCTCCTCGGCCTTCTTCGCTTCTTCAGCCTTCTTCGCTTCTTCAGCCTTCTTTGCTTCCTCGGCCTTCTTCACCTCCTC